GCCTGAGGTGGTGGTGAGTCGGTGGCCGCTTCGCGGCCACCTCCTCCCCACCACCCTCCCCCGCCCACCGTCCCCCAGGCTGCTCGGGCATGCACCAGGCACTTGTTGGGCGAAGGATTTCCTGGTCAGGGAGGGCTCTGGAGGTCTGAAGGTCTGAAGGTCTGAAAGTACCTCGCTGACCGCATCAATCGTTTTGCGATGAATCTCATTCGAGCGTCAGTCAATAGGAGTTACCTTTCGTGAGCTTTCTGGCTAGGGAGGACGCTATACACCTGGGCATTCGACACAAATATGCTGTGGCATGTCTACCTACCATGGAAAACCGCCCAGTACTTAGCCGAACAATTTGCTTGCTTCGCTGACAGGTCGGGGAGGACGCTGTGACTGGCCTCGATTTCTATGATGAATCTTATACACATCACGAGTGACGGTCGACACGGTGTCCAGTAGGCACTTTTTTCAATCATTGATTGTAGATTCTATCACTAGGGAGTCCTCTGGCCTGCAACTCTTAGATTTCTCTGCCGTCTCCTCCCATACTAGGACCCCGACCATGGCCCCTCCCTTGCCCCTGATGCTGATCCAACAATAATGTCGGCTTGATGACATTCTCATCCAGCTGCTCAAACCAACGGGCGTCTCCATGAGCTGCATTGCGCAACAGGTCGCGAGCTCCAGCAGCGATGTGCCGGACCGTACCGCCTAGCCCGGCGCTGGCGTGGCTGGTGGTACCCATGTCGCCGTCGTGGTGTGAATCGTCGTTGTCCATGGTGAACGAGTTGGGATCAGGCGTCGGGTGGAGCGCAGACGCAGCGGATCTACTTCGATCCGCGCTAGGAGGCAGAGGGCTTGCGTGTCGTCGAGGTGCCTCCGGGGGCAGATCGAGGTCCAACGCCTCCTCATCGTCAGAGCTCAGCAGGTCAGACGTCGAGGCGCTGCCGCCGTTGAGCAGACTGCCTCGTTGACCCTCCTCTTCCCTTTGCCGCTGTGTGATACTTGTGCCTCCTTTTGAGTTCTTCCGCTGGCTGGCACCGGATGAATTCGAGCCTGGACGGATGGGCGGACTGTGCCTGTTGCTGGAGCTGTATCCGCGAGGCGCACTCTTGCTACCAAGTCGGCCGGGCCGACCAGCCTTAGCTGAGCCATTCGCGCCTCCACCATCATGCTCAACGTAGTCTAACGCGACCGCTCCCGAAGGATTGCGCGGCGTATGGCCGAATCCGATTCCTCCAGAGCGTTTGTAATATGTGCCGCCGCTAGCGGTCTCGATGTCGAACTCATCATCTGACTCAATCTCTTCGACCACACCAGTCCGGATCCCGAGCACTTCGAGCATGTGGCCGGTAGTGCCGCCGAAGATGATAACTGTCAGCACGACCACGACCAATACTGTAGCACGCAGGGCAGGCCCATTCGCTCCTTGAAGGCCAGCGGCAAGAGCGACGCCAACCGCACCTCGAAGGCCGGCCCAGTACAGCATTGCTTGATAGTTATAGGGAAGTTCGTCGGCCACTTCTGTCTGGCCACGTCGTTTGGCACGCAAACGAATGACTCCATTGATGGCTCGGCTGAGCGGGAATACCGCTAGCCAGCGCGCGGCGCAGATGCCCAGAGTTGTTACGATGATGAAGAGAGGTTTGAATTCGAGGTCAGTTTCGGTGAAGAGGGTTAGGCCGAGGTAGATGAAGATGAAATTTTCGGAGAGTTGAGCGGTGATCTGAAAGATGAATTTTGTGGTGAGTTGGGTGCGGCGGGACATGTTGTAATATGCGTAGTGTTTGAGCGTGACGCCGCAGAAAAGCAGACTCACGATACCTGAAGGCAATGTTAGCGGAAGTCGAAGGAAGAATGGTAAAAGGCGAATACATACCACTCATGTGCACACCGTTGGAGAAGAAGTAGCTCGCATAGGCGATAAGGACGACCAGGCAGCTCTCGATCTTAGGAAACCGTCTCACAAGGGTGTACTTGAGCGCCAGGGCTGTCCCAATGCCGACCAGCACGCCAATGACCAAGCTGCCAAAGAAGACAGACAAAAAGATACCAATAGCCTCGAACATACTCCAGAGCGTCAGATTGCCCTTGGGACCGCCAGCAACTTTGTATCGCTGAGCGGTCTCGAACAAGACAATGGCAATAGCATCGTTCAAGATCGACTCGCCGAAGATGATGGTATATAATTTGGGTTCGACTTTGTGAGCATTGAAGATGCTCAGGATGGTGACGGGATCAGTAGCGGAGAGAGTGGCGCCGACAGAAATGGCTTCGACGAAAGTGAGGCCCAGTCCATCGAGGGGAATGCGTGTCCAGATCCAGAGGATGAGGCCAAGAGATATGGCAGATATGAAGGTGCCAGCAAAAGCGAAGGTAAGAATGGAACCGATGTTGCGGAAGAAGTTGGCCTGGAGGAGGCAGATCAGTACATGGCTAGTTCTCTGCGGGTAGCTGCGGCTGTGGAAGCGTACCTGGTGCAATTCATATCCGCTTGAGAGGATGATGGGCGGCAAGAGTAGATTGAAGAAGAATTGATAGTCGAAGCTGACGCTGTCCTGGATAGCGGTACCCGGGGTCACTCGTATTATCAAACCCACGATCATGCCTGCATACGTTGTCAGTCTCTTGGGCACTGGATCTCTCATGCCGTGTGTACCAACCAGCGAATATGGCAATAACCGTCTCGTGCACCACTTGGATTTTTTTCTGTTGCAACATATAACTCGTGAAGAGGGCCGCGATCAGCAGCATGATGAGGATGAAGAGGCCCATGATGAAAAGATCTCTTTCTCGCCTGCTTCTGCTGGTTCTGTGCGAGCAAGGTCAGTATAACACCGAGAGCGAGGTCCCTGAGGAGAGGAAGTAGAGACGTACCATCGGGGTCTATGGCTTCATCGGCCGCTCGCCCTGTTCAAATTTAGCAAATGGTCGGCTGTCGTAAACTCGATATGCATACGTATCAACGAAGCGGCGGTGTCGAGAAGATCGAACGCCATCAAGGCGCTTGTAGGTTGAGTCGTCGCAATGCGCGGATTATGAGTCGCGGCACGGCCGTGGAATCATTGCTGGTCCTCGCATTCGGTCTCGTGCAAATCGAGTATTCAGTGCTGCGAAGTGTTGATGATGAGGCGGACTCTGGCTCGCTCAGTTGAATAAATCGTCGAGGGAGCGAAAGGCGATTGTGTGGGCAAGCGCATAAGATGGACGTGAAGTTGATGGGGACGTGGCCTTCGAGTCGCGCAGGCTGCGGCTGAACTTGAACGCCCCGACTCGTTCTCCGCATTGCTGCGAACCCACGCCGGACTTCTCTTCCGATCACGAAATGCAAGAGCAGAGATCACAGCCAGTTCGACCAAGGAGGCAGTCTGTGACAAAAGCTACTGGGCGTTTTTCCTACAGTGTCCTCCCTGACCAGAAAGTCCACAGGGTTTCATTCTTTCGCACAAAAGCTCGAGTGAGGCTCATTCAAAGCCCGCGGAGTCGATGCGCGCAACAGTGCAAAGGGCCTCAGCGCCCTCCTCGGCCGAGGAATCATGATGAGCAGCATTTGTGGCTTGAGAATGAGAGGTCGTAGTTGGGAGAGAACGCCCAGTACTTAACGTCACAGCTCGGTAGGCCTGGTCTCCTCGAATAGATGTCTTTGATGACAACAGCGAAGATGGTCAGGAAGTTCTGGAGGGCTTCCCATCACAGAATCGCAAAACCCAGCATACTCTCAAGTGTCTGCCCGGAAACTTCTTGATTTCATTTGAAGAGTTTATAAAAGACTTGCTGCCCGCCCAATGCATTGCGCCAACGTCGCTGGAGCGCGAAAGTAGTATGACATATCCATCAAAGCCTGGTCCAGGAGGACTCTGGACGGTAGTTTTCGGATGACCCCAATCTGTTAGTTCGCGCTGCTGTCACCACTAGCACCGCCGCCGTTGATTGCGCCACCTCCGCCCATGGTCAATCTCAACTTGGTGCCACCCGCCGGTGCGACGCTCGCACGAGGCGTGCCGTTCGCTGAACCGGCTGCCGTTGATTGCCCGTCTTCCAGCGCAGCAAGGCCTGGGTGAGCGGCGATCTGCTTCGCAATAAGGTCATTGCATGTTTTCTGAAAGGGAGTCAGTCAGCTTGCAGATCAGTGATGGACGGGAAGGTACAAACCTCAATAGTATTAGCATCTTCGAACAACAAGCTTCCGTCCTCATTGTACGTCCGCGCGTTCCTCGCCATAAGTCCAATGTCATCCTGCATGGCCCTCAAACTGGAGTACCGATTTTGATCGATCTTCTTCTCAATTACGTCCATTGCGATTGGCTCCGGGATCACCAGATAGTAATCTGCGAAGGCTTTCTTAGGCGGCAGCTCCATAAAAGGACCGATCACTAGCCTGGTCGCTGGCCCATCGTCACTTTCATCGTCCGATTGGGGTTCAGGGTCGCTATCTGGCACTTCGAGAGCTTGCAGAGCGTCATACACTGACTTGAGCGCCTTCTGAAGCATAGCTCGATCGCCCGAGCTGAGATTGTCGATCACTTTCGGCTGACGACCGCGCTTCTTCTTCGTGGGTGGTGTTTCTTCCGGAATGTCGTCTTCAGCTTTGCGCTTATTGCCAGTCGGTTTACGACCACGCTTCTTCGGCTGTGGTTCAGGTTCTGGCTCCGGCTCATCCTCGCTCTCCGGATCAGGCTCTGAATCGGACATGATGCCAGCAGCTCGTCGTTCTCGCTTCTCCTTGTTCGTCCGACGCTTGTGGATGCGAGCTTGCTTTCGAGCTGCCGCTTCACCAATGGAATCGTCTGAGTCGTCAACCGCAGCGAGCCACTGCTCTTCGGTGAGCCCATCGTCGTACCGCACTTGCGTCTTGACTCGAGCACCGCGACCAGCATATTCCTCCTCCGTGACCTCTGGCTGGGGATTCTCCTCGGCCATGTAGATCTCTGGCAACTCGTCCTCGCCCATCAAGCGGGGCAGAGGCTTATCGGGGCCGTAGCGATCCTTAGCGTTGCGCTCCTTGTCCATTTCCTGGAACAGCGCAAGTTCTTCATCCGAGCGAGCCATTATCATATTCAGATCATCGTCTTCCATCTCCTCTTGCTCGCCAAGATGTTCGGCTGCTTCGGCTGCTTCCAGGAGCGTCTTCAAGAAGGCGTCTCGCTCTTCCGCGGTAGATTTGTTGTCGAACTTACCGGCCTGAATGACCTTGCCGTCCATGTCGAGCTTGAACTGTGCACGCTCCAGAATCTTCTCCTCGACCGAGTTGGAACTAATGAGTCTCAGGATGCGCACCTCGTTCTTTTGACCAATGCGATGAGCTCTGTCTTGTGCTTGAAGATCCTGGTGAGGATTCCAATCCGAATCGTAGATGATGACAGTGTCAGCAGTCTGGAGATTGAGACCGAGACCACCTGCTCGAGTCGACAAGAGGAAGATCTGATACTTCGATCCTGGTTCGTTGAAGAGTCTCAAGAGCTCGCTCCGGTCTTCGGCCTTGGTGCCACCATCCAGTCGTAGGTAATGAGTGCCGCGCAAGCGCAGGAAGTCTTCCATGATATTCATGATCTGCGTCATCTGAAAGAACATAAGGACACGATGCCCGGTGGCTTCGAACTTGGGCAGCACTCGATCAAGCAACTCGAACTTTCCAGCTGTGCGCCATATCGAGTCGTTTGTGGCCTTTGTCGGATTCATCTGGTCCTCAACGGGCTCGAAGACGTATGGGTGATTGCAGACCTTGCGCAGCTGCATAAGCATATTGCTCAGTCCGCGCATGCTCGTCTTGCCGCCCTTACCGTCGGCAACAGCAAGCTTGTTGTGTGTCATCAGCTGGTAGGTGAGTTTCGTCTGCAGGGCAGAGAATCGACATTTCACAACCCGCTCTTGCTTGTCGGGCAAGTCTTTCTCGACGTCTTTCTTTAGACGACGCAGCAGGAAGGGTCGCAACACCTTGTGGAGACGTCGGATAACAAGCAGTGACTCTTCTTCGGTCAATTCCATCTTGTCCTGGCCACCCGTGTTGGCAAAAGGCGTGTTGAACCACTCATCGAAGGATTTGACCGACTTGAAGATCGTAGGTAGAACGAAGTGAGAAGAGCCCACAGCTCAGGTAGATTGTTTTGCAATGGCGTACCCGTCAAGATCAATCGATACTTGGTGGTGTAGTACGATGTCAGCGTGCTGCTCAGCTTCGACGATGCGTTCTTCATACGATGACCTTCGTCAACGATCATGTGAACCCAGCGAATCTTGCTGAGAATGGTCGATCTTTGATGATATACTCGTATGTGGTCAGCAGCACCTGAAAGCCACCTTGACGAATCCGATTCTGGTGCATCTTCCGACTTGCCGGCGGGCCTTTGTAGACAATCTTGTTAACCGAGGGCGCCCACTTCTCGAATTCCAGAGTCCAGTTAGTGAGCGTACTGAGTGGAACGATGACAAGGAATGGACCAGCACTGCCCTTCTTCTCGATGAGGTACGTGATGAGCGATATTGTTTGAATGGTCTTGCCGAGTCCCATCTCGTCTGCCAAGATGCCGTTGAGGTTGTTGTTGAAAAGCGAGATCATCCATTGCAGACCCTTGAGTTGGTACTCTTTCAATGTGCCACCCACGAGGATTGATGGTTGTATGTTCACTTCCTCCTTTATTCGGTGGGCAACAGCATAGTAGTCAACCTTCGGTCCGTCTTCGGCATCGGACTCCTCATCAACTTCGTCCTCGGAAACATCCTGGTCGTCGCCCCAGCGTTCCGCAGTCTTGCGCTGCTGTTGGCGGACCGAGGCAGCGAGTTGTTTTAAGAAACCGTCTGTCTGCTTGAGAAGATGGCTGATGCGAGAATCCTTGGCCTGGCCGAGAAGCTTGAGATACGTCTCTTCGTCGTTGGCTTTGAGAGCTTGCAATCGCTGCTTGGCCGTACGCTCGATCCGTTTCTGCTCTTCCTTCTCCATGAATTGATGCTGATTGATCATGAGCTTGCCCAGTTTCTGGGACCGGCTTCGTTGCTGCATGGCACTGTTCCGGAGATCTGCACCATGGTCGAGGATGGCTTTGAGATGGTTCGACTGTCGTGTCTTCTCCTTGTTCTCCCGGGCATCTCGCTGCTGCTTCTCAAGCTTCTCGGTGATCTTAGCTTCCCGTAGTGACTGCTTCTTCATTCTGCGATGCATTGCTCTATTGGCAGTCATAGCTAGATTGTCGTAGGAGAAGAGCTCCTGCTGAAGTTCTCGTCGAAGCTCTCGTTGCCTCTGCAGAAGGGACAATTTCTTGTACTCGATGAGAGCCTTTAGCTTGAGCACATCGCTATCTGCCGCCGCACTCGATGACCGGGTGTCCCAGGAGGCGATATTAACAGGAAGTGCAGACAGCTCGGCCTGCCTTGCACGCACGCGGTTGTAGATGGCACGTTCTTGCTCTTCTCGAACCTGCTCTGGGTCGATGCCAAGTGGCAGTAGGCTCGGAATGCGCTGGCGTTTGGCTCTGGCGGAATGATCTGCATAAGAGATGCATTTGCTCATTAACTCGTAAGGCGACTTGGCGGAATCGAAATGTGATTTGCTCAGCACGATCTCGGTCTCGGTAGTGTCTGTGGCATCAGCGCCGTCCTTCGAGGACACGGCACCTGCAGAAGTCGCATCTGCAGGAGGCTCTGCCGCGGGTTTCTGTGACGGGAACAGCTGTGACTGAACCTTCGCTGGCAGCGCCAGACCTTTGGACAGCATCTTAAACGCATAGATCTGGCTTCGGAGCAGGTTCAGCTGGTCTGGAGAGAAGCTTCCATTGTTCTGAGCCACAGCTCGCTGAACGGGACCGCCACCCTGAGCGGCCGTGCCTGCAGCAGAAGGCGCTGCCGCGGGACTGGCGGCATTCGCTGTGGTGTTTCCGTCGGTTTGCGGTGCCGAAACACCATTCTTAGTCACGCCGTTCGATGTGCCATTGGTTTGCGGAGCAGACTGAGGCTGCTGTGGCGGAGCTTGGACAGGTTGTTGCCCGTGCTGCTGTTGTTGTTGGGCCTGCTGTTGCATGGCCATCTTCTGCGCATTCATCGCCTGCTGGTATTTCTGACGCTGTTGGATGGCGGCAAGGAAGTTGCGAGCCTTGAGGAACTCGGGGTCGGTCTCGGATACATTTTGTGCCTTCATACGTTGGAATTTCTGGATAGTTGTTAGCTGTCTTGGTTCAAAAGCGATGGTGTTGGGCGCGATGAGCACGATCTCGTCGCGCAGGTAGTGGACTTACTTGGTACACTTCTTGTATTTGTGCATTGGTGATATTCGGGGGCAATGGCGGAAGTCCGGCCTGCATCGCAGGCGCAGACTGTACCGAAGCCATGATGGGAGAAGGGAAGGGGGGGAAAGGGATCTGGGCTATCGAGACACAGGTGGCATATGGGCAGTCGCCTTCCTTATGCCAATCGCTAGATGGGTACTCGTAACGATGAGTTCCAGATGGGTGCAACCTGCGTTGCGCGTTGTTAGCCTCGATGCGATACAAAAGTGACTTGGCGCAGTGAACGCGGCAGGAGCTGAGATGGACGTAAGGTGGCTGAACATACAGTAATGACCGAAGGAAGTGTCGGGTGCACTGAGGCGCACGACTGCGCTTGCCAACCCCTCAGTAGAGGTTGTCGGCGATGGAAAAAGGCGAATGCGACGCGTTGACGACAGGTTCTTGATGTCGGGACCCCTCGTCTCGCAGGAACACGCTCCGGACACTCAGCAAACGAGTTGACCACGCTGCCTAAAGAAATGGTTGGAGCTAGTCTGCTTCGGGACTAGGTCTCAAGTCAACCTCAATGACCAACAAGATCTCCCTCACCGCCGTCCTCTTGTTCCTTTCACATTTCTTTCCTCATTTCTGCTGTTCCGCAACTCCCTGAAGATGACTTTCGATCACATCGCCAGAAGTGGACGTCTTTCGCATTTTCAACCCTGACCCAATTCTGGTCTTGGCATTTTGCCAAATACAATGCTCGGGATTTATGCTAGCAGCATGTCACGTAAGCCAACCAGTTCATGGGGATTGCGTGCTTCTAGGTCAGAGCTACGACCTGTTCATTTCAAAGAATGCTATTCGGAGGGCTTTCCTCACTCCAGGGAGGCCTTCGTGATTGCGTCTCCCTGCATGTGTCACAGCTATGGACCATTTGCACCAAACTCCCGCTAATTTACTTTTCCCAATGGTGCCTTTCCCAGCACTCAACCTGATTCCAACCGCAAGGCCTGCTTTTCCCAATACCGGCCTCCCAGCCTAGTTCTGCTTCCGCTTCCATCATGTGTAGATCACACTCGCCCTCTTCTGCGGCACAGGCGGAGGTGGCTTTTTCGATCGACTGGGTGGTGGCGGTGGAGGCGCACGCCTGCCGGAGCTGCTTGCATTCGATGAGATCGGACTAGCCGCACGATCGCCATCAGGAGAAGAATCATCGGCGAAAACGTCGCCGTCGTGCTGTGTCCGTAGGTTCATCCGGGCAGTCTTGACCATGAGCGAGTCGCTCGGGATGCGTGCAAGCTGGACGGGATAGGCAGGCGACAGATCTCTTCGAGCGGACGGTGCGTTGTCGTATGTGATTGCTCTATTGATTGCTGGTCGCGGTGAATTGTTCTGGGAGATCTGCCGGCTGGTGTTCGAGCGGATCGTTGGTCGAACTTCTGGTATTGGCTCCGGCTCTGGTTCTGGCTGGGTATAGGATCTCATTGTGCTTGATCGAGACCGTGGGTTGGGCCGAGATCTGGGTGCTTGTGTACTGTTCCTGTCAGCTTGCTGTGTCACGTCAAACAAAGTCGTTCACTTACGAGGCAGGCCACTCGCTCTGAAGCTGGAGCAAGGCCGCACGACACTTTTCGTGGTACTCGAGTTGTGCCTCCAGAAACAAGCCGAGATCTGCCACGCTCTGCGGATCGTTGTCGCGGATGTCCTGCATGCGCCTTTGTACGTCGTCCTCGGAGTCCTCATACTTGGCCTTCTGTGACCGAAGCTCTTCCTCGAACCTAAAATCCTCCTTCTTTGCCTTCTGCATCTTGGCTAGAGACGTGTCGTAGGCCAGTCGCCTTGTTTCAAGCTTCTTGCGAGCGGCCTGGTATTCCTTCATCTGCACCAAAGATCGTTCGAGGGATTCGAGCCATGTGGATGAGGCACTTTCGATGTACGACTCCTGAGATCGGGCCAAACGCTCCTGTGTTCTACCGAGGACTGGTTCTGTTAGCACATGGTGGTTTGTTGGTAATGCCTGAGACTTACGGTTGAGACACTGCCCGAACTCGGAGTCTGGGTCGAAGTCTTCGCCGTGTGTGATCATGCTCCCGCCCAAGCTCGCAATCGGAAGCACCTTCTCCTTCGGATCGATCTCGGAGCGCTTCGAGATCGTCTTGACGTATGCGTTCATAGACTTCTGCATTTTATCGAGACCTAGGCATATAAGTATGACTCGTGGGGAATGGTAGGGCGTACATACCTTGCTGCCGCAGGTCCATCTCCATCTCCAGCGCCTTGAAGTCGTCCGAGACATTGGTCTTGACCTCTTGACCCATGCGCTCGTTGGTCCATTGCTTGAGGCGATCGAACTTCTTGTTCATATTCATCTTGTCTATATTCTAGTGTCGCGGTCTGGGTATCCTGAAATAATGTTGAGTAGTTGTGTGGGCGAAGTGCTGGCGCACTGATCTATGTTGACGATGATGTGTAGTGATTCTGAACGAGAGGATGAAGGTATTGGAGCGAATGCAAACACCCGCGAACCGTTGACAAAGGGCGATTGTGGTGTAATCACACGGCTTTCAAGGGATGTGATCGTCGCACTGTAGAGATAGCGAACAACAATGACTTTATCGCGATACGGTACAGAATTTGTTGAGCAAGCAGAGTCCGCCCGGGAAATGCTAGCAGGTCAAAAGAGCGACAAGAGACGTGCAAGCAGCCGACACCTGGTTTATGAGGAACAGCACGAGTGCGCTGACGTGGTATGTTTCAAAGAAGTCGAAGAGATGGGATGCGAGGCAGGCATGGAGGGGTGGCCGTAGATAAAATGGGCCCTCGATAGCCATTCAACTCAACTTTGCCCTCACAACCCCTGACGGCGCCACTAAATTGAAAAGAAGCGCTACCTTCCCCAGTCTCGAGCCACGTTCCGCTCCTGTTCAGAGTTCTAGACATGCTTGGGTTACTTCTAGGGGTACGCCATGCCCGGTCTCAGATATTGCATTTCGCGTTACGTGTTCAGCAAGGTCTATACTGGCAGCAACCTGATGGTTCATCTTCCCTGGCGTGGTGCGCGATCAGTTTATCACACCTGCTGGATACAGATAAGATCTCCAGAGATGATGCCACTGGGCCACGTTCGTCTCGGTAGCAGTCATCCCACAGCAGCTTGCGGCTCAGCCGGAGAGCGAGAGGGTTCAAGTTTTGCCGCCCAGCATGTTCGTTTCCGGCATGCCACAGCCCGTCAGATCTACAGACTACAGTGGGTCGATACAACACTGTCCAGGTGGAATTCCAGAAGGCCTTGTTCGGATATGGAGGCAGAAAAGCATTTTTGAAAATCTCATCTTGATTTGGCTTCGTAGTCTTGACAACGATCAAGCCACATCGCTGGCCATCTCGACCCGTCTGGGAGAACACTGCTGGAATCTGCTTCCGTCCATGTCAAATGTCTGGGGAGGACGCTGTTGGTACTCTCCTTCCGACTTGGAAGTTCAGAACAGCCCGTGCACATCGCTGCATTGACGACCTCAGAGCACTCCCTGCCAATAGAATAACACCACCATTTCCGTGCCATCTCTAGTCCTTCGTCTTCTGGGTACCGCGGAGCAGACCAGTGCGGCGAGCAGCGATGAGACCAGCTTTCTGACCTTGTGCAGCGTATCTTGAAATCGTCGAGGCTTTACCAATATGCTGATGGTTACCACCACCGTGAGGATGGTCGACGGGATTCATAGCAACACCACGAGTCTTGGGCCAGGAGTTGCGCTTGACGGCGAACTTGTGCTTCGCTCTCGATGCCTCTGTAGTATATCGTCAGTATCATTCAAGAGTGCTCTTCATGCCACTTACTCAACATCGGCTTGTCTGTACGGCCACCACCTGCAACGATACCAATCATGCCACGAGCAGAGCTGAGAATGACCTTCTTCGCGCCGGAGGGAAGCTTGACTCGGGTCTTGCCCTCGTCGGGGTTGTGACCGATGACCGTAACGTAGTTGCCAGAGGTTCTGCCCAATGCACCCCGATCGCCAGTCTTCTCTTCGACGTTGGTGATGACGGTACCTTCGGGAACAGCACCAACAGGAAGGACGTTGCCAACAGTCAAGTTCGCATTCTTGCCGGCGTAGATGAATTGACCAGTGTACATGCCCTCGTTGGCGATGAACGTCTCTGTCCTATCCTTGAACTTGTATGGGTTTCGGAAGACGACCTTTGCGAGAGGAGCGCCACGGCCGGGATCGTGGATGATCTCTTTGACTACACCTCGAACGTAGCCATGTCGCTCGGAGAAGTCGAGTTGTCTGAATTTGCTGTGGAAGGTATTAGACGTATCTTGAATCGGATCTCAAATCGGTTCTTACGCAGGAGCCTTGTTCAGGCGGGTGTTGGCGGTGAAGATCGAGCCACGACCTTTACGCTGGTTCCTGTTGTGAGCACCGTGGTCAGTCTCGTGTTATGTGATATCATGAATCGAAATCGTCGTGGAGGCTCGAGGGTCGGCTTGCGCTTTCCGTGGTCGATCTCATGCCTGCGTGCAGGCTGCCGTGGAAATGACAATGCAGGCTCGGTAGGGCAACTCACCTAATGACACGACCCATGTTGGCGACGTGTGGTTTCGGAACGATGAGAGGGATGCGATGTACCGAAGTTCGAAGTGCGCAGTCTTCAATCGTAGTCCGAAAATCTGGGCAAGCGGTTCTGAGTGCGGGCTTGGCGCCAAGCGAAAGACTTCACGCTAATGAAACCTCTCCTTCTCCTCATCAACCTTCGATCTGCTCTTCTCCTAAGAGTGTACCTTCCAATCGTCGCTGCAAAGCACTGTACTGAGCGTTAACATTCATGAAGTCGTCAGAACCAGCATCACTCAAAATTTCGAGTTTCTCAAGTATCTTGCAGGACGATGTGATGCTGATGAGAAGGATCTCGCTTCCCACGAGGGATCGTACATCACAGAGATGGTCCAAAATGTAAGTCATACGAGCCACGGAGAGACCCAACACCAGAATTCCTGGGAGACCCTGCGTCGATCGAGACCACAACGGCAATCTTGAAGTCGGGACAATGTTGAACACCAACTTGCCCAACCACCTACGCGCGTACGTACTGCAAACCGACGCGGCGAACAGCACAGCTTCCGCGTCGTTCATCGATTGTCCCTTTCTCTGAACTCCAGCTATTGTACACCCTCGCATGCTCGCCTACTTTGCATGATGCCACAAGACCAGCAGCTACCGATGTGCCACCTCGTACAAGCGCTTTTCTCTGTGCTCATCTGGGATTATGGCACAGCAAATACGGTAAGTCATATGCGTCGTTGAGGTCTTCCTGAAATTTGCGACAGTTGGGTGGAGCTTTCTCGCGCTCACAGTTGTCCCCTGTCATGCTGGGGAAATTGCGAGAGGTCGATGCAGCTGGAGAAAAGATTGCGGCATCGAGCATGTCAAAGGTCTCTTGGACTCAGTGTGGTGGATTCTGGCGTGCCACTGCTGCGCAGGTCCGCGGCCCTCGCGGTTCGACGATCAGCATCGACGCAGGTACCTCAGCGCCAAAGCGATCCACGAAAGAGCATCCACGGCATGTTTCGCGCTATGTCCATACAATCATATCATGAGAATCGAATTCGAGGCCGACACTGTTGAGCATGGTCTGAGCACTCAAAGAACGCCAATTCGGTCGCGCATTGGTTCCGCTTATTCTCGCCCCACTCTTGTGCACTCACTCTCACAAGACACCACAGTGTCACCTACATCTGACCAAGACAGTGAGAGCGTGAGAAGGGCAGGGAGGATTCAAGCCAAGGAGCAAAGCAATGAGGTGAAGCATGCAGAGAAGGGAAGGGCCAGGCCAGAAGAAGGGCAGCTCAACGCGTCACGGGCACGAATGTGATTCGTGCTTGCCAAGGTAGACCTAAATCTCGGGACTTAGACTTCACCGTTCAACCATTTCGCTCCTTCCTCTTTGCCGTATAGCCTTGTAAGAAAGCATTACTCTCAACATGGCAGACTCAGACTCTTCCTCGCTGTCATCAGCACCGTCCTCGGAAGATGAGGCCATCGCCCTGAAAATGTCCAAACCCACAGGACTCGTTACGAGTTACTTCAAGCCGGCACCCAAGAAGAAGAGCGCCTCGCCAGAACCACCTCCACGCGCGCCTTCGCCGCCTCACGAGTATGTCCTCGCCGACAACGACGCGATCGCGTTCCTCGTCATGTTCAGAAGCCGTTTCAGCGACGCGTTTCCCAAATCTTTGCCGCACTACGGCCCGCAGGATATCGAGTCCGGCATTGTTGGCGACACAGTCGATGAGGGCGTTGAGCGATACCTATGTGCACTGCTCAGTCTCGTACTGAATCGGAAGAAAGACGTTGAGTACGCCTGCTACAATCCCTGTCTCTAGCATAAGCCACTGACAGAACAGACGCGGTCGGTACAACCGGGCATTGGAAGAAGCACTTGCGGAGAATCGGTCACAATGGCCTGCTGCATGGCGCGGACAGAACCCGCTCAGCGGAGAGAGAACATTCAACAGCATGTCCCCAGAAGAGCGAGTCAGTATAGCACCCTTCCTACTCAAAACATCACTGACCCCTCGGCAGCTGGTTCTTCTCCGCGCCCTTGTCCTCTGGTCTCTCAACCAGTCCGAAGTCGTACAAGCCCTCCTCAAAGAATCCTACAAGCAAACTCGACGCGACGACGACAAGAATCAGCCTCGCAGCGTCCAGCCCTGGTTCTCCGACTCTCATAGAAAGCGATATTGGCTCGTCGAAGGCAGGAGGACTCGCATTTTCGAGTCTTCCGAGAGAATGATGGCAAGACCGCGCAGTACAACACATGGTTCAGCGTTGCTGGGAACATCTCCGAGATCAATGCCCTGGCAGACAAGTTCGCTGAGGAGGGCTCCTTGAATGCAAGAATGAATGCAGATAAGCTGCGTTCGGCCATCCCTCGATTCGAGCAGGGCGACGAGAAGAGAAGACGTCGTGAGTACCGACAGTTACAGAAGGCTCGATTTACACGGCCAGAGCCAGGCTTCTCGCTCTACGAAGGTCGGACGCGTGGCAAGCGGGCCAAATACACGTTCGACGATGGTGAAGATGTCTTCGATTCGGACGCACTGTCTACACGTCGATCGACACGAAATGCCTCGCCCTCCGAATCCGGCCCAACGATCACCGCAAGCGGCCGCCAGGTCAAAGCACGTGTAGGTGGTGTCTACGGCGAAAGCCTTTCCACGGAGCAACGCCGCGAATACGACTACAACTCTGGCCTCTCCCAAGCTGGTGATGACGATAGCGAGGACGAGATGCCTGCCACAGCTCCAGGCGGTCGACCCGCGCGATCTGCACGTGCAGCACCTCTCAAGTCTGCTGGACGAGACAGCTATGATGGCGCCGACGACGATATGCATAGCGAGAGTGACGAGCAGCAGTCCGAAGGTGAGGAATGGAGCGGAGACGAGAACGAGCCTGACGATGAAGAGTCCGAAGGTGACGGCAGCGACGACGATATCAGTGATGATGAGCTTGCGGCCGACGAAGGAGACATGCAGAGAAGTCTCGTGGTGCAATTACGATATCGGCCGAAGAAGGTGCCTGTGGCTCCAAGCAGTCGAGCGAGGACACCTCTGTCGAATGTCGAGAACGTCTCCGATATGACCGGTCCTGGCAGCAGCGGCTTATCGGCCGAGCTCACACTCGACGGTCATACTGCCAATGGTGCTGTCAATGAGGTCTCAAAGGATGAACCCAATGATCACCCCATGTCTGTCTCACCGATCAAGCCTTCACCTCAGCGTACCGTGCCACAATTTTCATCTACGACTGCGACAACTTACAACACGGCACAACCGGCGCAAGTCCCACCATCTGAGCCGCGTACCTATCAGTCTCTACCACCAGCGAGCCAATTGCCGAACGGTATCACCCACTTCACGTCTACAGAGCCGTCCTCGACAGCAAGCGTCCCATCATCACCACCCTCGGAGCCACATGGGCATCCCACCGGGTTCACATCATCGATTCCGCCTCCAACGACGAGTGTGCCAGAGATGTCTACAGGCATCAACGGAATGGGGAATGAAGCACAGCAGCCTTATCAGGTATATCCAAGCGCAATGGACGTTTCTTGAGTGCTTTGAGTATCATGTATTGTAGGCGAAGCACACACTGCGTCTGTGGAAGCGCTCCAAGGAGGACTCTGTGATCAGACGCTTGGGAAATAGACTACCTATTTAGCTTGCCATGATCATAACAACGATGACAGAAGTCAAGCTTCAATGCGCATGCTCTGATTCTTCGAAACCTCCTCTACGCGCTGCGCAGCTTGTCGCATTCGCTGTAATTCGAAGGGGGCAGGAATCCTTATCCCTCAGCGTGTAATCCTACTAGGCTTGCGTGATGTGTACACTTCGAAGCTCGTAGGGGCATATGACACGCCGGTTGACCGTCACGCCGGTTGACAAGACATACAATACTCACGATTGGCAAGACACGACCTGCAGGTGAGGACGCTTGACGCACAACATACTGGACCAACGAGACTCACAACCGTAGCATGTTGCTGCCTACTTAGTCTCGCCGCAAGCAGACACCGAGCGTGCGTTGCGACTCATCTTGATGTTGCAGCAGAAACACATGTAGCAACGGAAGTTTCTCGCTGGATGTAACATATATATCCACGTACAACTTGTCAAACATGGCGCTACCTAGTTCACGCCGGATGACAAGGTTCGCGCACCTGCACCCCAAACCACAATCCAGGCTCGGGTCCAGCATTTGCCAAGTTTGTTGCGTCTGGTTGTTCTCTATCGTTGGGGATGGTTGTGAGGACTTTGCCGAGTCATGAGAATATGGATTGGGCACGAGTGGGAATGACCAAGGAGCATCGCAAGTGGAGGAGCATACACGAAGAGAACAGACCTCGACGTTTTCCAAAACCCGAAGAACGCTGCTTCGGTCGATGCTGCGATGGTTGTGAGGATTTTCATGGAAGGCTTGATTTGTCAAGCTTGCGCGTGGTATCTCTATGTGGTGTCTATGCGCACGTAGTTCTGTACATCGTCTGCGCCAGCACGCAGAAACACGGTACTCTTCTTCGTCTTCGTCCCGTGGGGTATCACATATCGTAGTACAGAAAGAGTGCCCTCCCTGCTCGTCGCCATGCAGTGATCCACCCCAGTAAGACCCGAAACGCCATTGTCCAGCACAGGCGCCAGGACACCCGTCCATTCATGATACCGTTATTCTGTACATTAATCATCTTCGTGTCGACACCGAGTTCGTCAGTTGAGGTTGTTCACCCCAAACAGGTAGCCCAACTCCCTCACACCCAGTCGACTGAGCTGACTGCCAGCATTCTCATCTAGCGCAGTCTCGACCAGCTCTCTCTTCTTTTCCTGCAATTTTAGAATGCGGTCCTCCACAGTGTATTCTCCCTCCAGGCTCCGCTTATCTTCATCTGGACCGATGAGCAGACGATGAATCGTGACCTCGCGCTCCTGCCCGATCCGATAGCAGCGATCCGCAGCCTGATACTCAACGAAGGGGTTCCAGAATGGGTCGAGGAGGATGACGTGGTTGGCCGCAGTAAGGTTGAGCCCGGCGTTGCCGGCCTTTAGACTGACGAGGATGACGCGATTGTTAGGCTTGTCAGTGAAATTGAGCACTGCGTCATTGCGGGCTGCAGCACCCATTGACCCGTCGTAGCGACTATAGATCGAGAGATCTGGATGACGAGAAAGAGGCACTTCGAGAAGGTCGAGGAATGAGGTGAAGCTGCTGAACACAATGGTCTTCTCGCCCTCGCCGCGAGCGTGAATTTCTTCGAGTAAAGCAATCGTCTTGTCGATCTTTGCCGAGGATTCGAAGTCTTTAGCCAGGCGCTTGAGATATTTCTTCTTGGCGGCTCGTGATTTCAGGCCTTGTTTACGCAGCTCTGCAAGACTCATGTTCTTGGTTGGTTTCTCCTTGCCTTTCCCTTTCGAACGGACCTTCTTCTTCTTGCCCATCGATTTCTTCTTGGCCGGCTTGTCGTCCTCGTACTCGACTTCCTCGTCGTCAGCGACAATGAAGTCGGCAAGGTCAGCACCATCGTCTGAATCGTCTTCATCGTCAGAACCGTCGGTGTCGGACTCGTCTTCGCCGATAATGTCGTCCAGCGGCTCGACGCCCTCCTTATCCGGACAGTAGACGCGCAAAAAGCTCATCATGTTGGTGATTTTGTTCGCATCAATCTTGGCTCGACAATGTGGGCAGGAAGCTGCAGAACCTTCCTCGTTACTAACAGCGTTCTCGCAGAGTCTCGCGAAGCAATCAGTACAGACGCCGTGACCGCAGGGGAATATTGTTGGGTCTTCATTCGCATCCATGCAGACAGGACATTCGAAGCCATCCTCGACCTGTTGCTTGAGGCGATCGACGACGTTATCTGGGAGCGCCTTGGCATTCTCGACCATGTCCATAGGTGCAAGATCAGAGACGGTCTGCGAGAAGTCCTTCGAGTTGACGATGAGTGTCGGATGACAACATGCTTGCCGAAGTCTTAGCAGCAGGACGAGGGCGTGGCTATAATTTCGACCAACGCTGTTGTTGCGAAGATATCTGTTGAACTGGATCTGAGCTTGCTTCTCAAGGGCTTCATAGAATTCACGTTGATCCTTGCCAAAGATGGCGCGATCCTCAACAGTGGTCTTAGATGGCAGCTGCAGAATAGGTTTCCCATCGATCTTGGACTGCTTGGTGCGGCGAAGTAAAATAGCACGTAGGAGACCTTGCAGGATCGTCATGGCTCTGGTCTTCTGAGCTTCGTAGCGACCTTTGATGGGCCGTGCGATGTCGCGCGAGAACTTGTCCCAGTCATTGAATGGTCTGATTCGACAGAACTTGATGAGACTGTACATCTCCTCGACGTTGTTTTGCATGGGTGTGCCAGTGAGCGCCCAGCGATGAGTTGCAACGATCGAACAAGCAGCACGGGATGAGATGGTGTTTCTGTTCTTCACATTCTGAGCCTCGTCCAGAAAGACACGATGAAACTTCGACTTGGTGCCCAGGATCGCGCAGTTCTCCTTGATTGTGCTGGGATCTGCAGCGTGCTTGCATTTGTCATCGTAGGCAATTCTCCGCTTCAGTTCAGAACCAAGAGTACCATACGTCGTGATGACCACGTCACAATTTCGGATTGCATTGTATTGCGTGGCTCGAGATTGACCGTGGAGGATGACCACATTTCGAAGGTCCGCGCCTCTAAGGCAGAACTTCCTGATCTCACGCTTCCATTGCTCCATCAGAGCGACTGGAGCAACAATGAGGTTGGGTCGACGGTCTCCGTCGGGCGCAGGACGAGCTAGCATGAGCGCAATGGCTTGCAGTGTCTTTCCCAAACCCATGTCGTCGGCGAGAATTCCACCTTTGTTGGTACCCTCCTCCATTTTCTTCATCCATGCAAGACCTGAGACTTGATGTGGCATAAGGGGACGACTGAGACCCTGCGGCATCTCGGCAAGCTGCTCCTTGCTGAGGTCTTCATCAGGCCGAATGTGCTTGAGCAGATTCTTGATCTCTTCCTGCGTTTTGGCCGGATCGGCATAATCGTCCCATCCGCCGATTCCACCGAAACGGTCCAGGACATTTTGCTGATTGCTTGAGAGTGATCCGTATGGGTTGCTGTCTGAGAAGGCATTGATGCCCACCATGAGAGGATCCGAGTATGACGCTCCTGGAATTGATGGATTTCGATTCGGAATATGCTGACCGTAGACAGACATACCAGGTGTACTCGAGTAGAGTGCAGCGCCAGGGAATGCTCCAGGCATACCGGCCATTTTGCCTGACGCGCCGGGCATGGAAGGGCCTAATTGAGACATTGTAGTTGGCGGGCCTCTGTATGAAGGCATTCGCTGGACGAATTGACTGGCGGGAATTTCAGCAAGGCTGTCTTCGCTTGCTGGGGTGTTGGCTTCTGAAGCAGAAGAATCATCGCCGGCAGCGCGGTAAGCTTCCGTTGGTTGAGCTGGTGGTGGCGGCTGTCTGAATGAGCCATCACCTCTGAGGAAGGTCTGTGATGAGGAGACAGGCTGGCGTGGCAAAGGTGTGAAAGATGGTCTCTGACTAGCAGGAGGCAATAAACCTGTAGCGGAAGTCATGGCAGTTGCTGCTGAGACAGCCTGGTCGGAGGCCATCAGCGCGCGTGCGAACTCCTCGTCGGCTTCAAGTTGTCTCTTCTCTCGCTCCCGACGTTCCTCAAATTCCGCCAATTGCTTTCGCTGCGCTTCCAACTCGTCTTTGCTCAACAGCTCGTTGAGGAAACCGTCACTACCGAGATCGAACTCATCGAGACTGCCACTTGGAGCAGGGGACGGACCAGACGAGAGGTTAGGCGAGGCTCTGATGGACTTGGAACCACGCGATCCGGTCTCAAGTTCGTCGTCGAAGTCGCCACGTTGACGCTTGCGACTGACGAAGTCTCGAACTGGAAGTCGTAGACTGTCGTTGTTAAGGCCATCACCGCCGGCGGAGTCGCTCGGGCCATCGAGCTGTTGCATGCTGGGCGGCGCCCGTACTTCTTCTTGTGCTGTATCTCCAGGGTCTTGTTGGGTGGACGGGCCTCCAGAAGGTTGCTCGGGTCGTGTGAGATGAGCGAGTCGCTTCTTTAGCCGTTTTATGTTTCTGGCGATGACTTTCTTCGACTCTTCGGTTTCGCTGTCCTGTTCGGCCTCGTTGAGACTCGCAAGCAAGCCGACGTTCAGCTCAATGTCTTCCTGGATATCGGGGATCTCGTCATATGACGGTCGATACTCTGGAGTGGAAGCCATGATGAAATTTGGGTCGTTGCGACTTTATGAAGCAGTGGTGCGGGCGGCGTTTGTCTGGTCAAAGGCGCAGCAGGCGCAATGGGCGCGCAGCGTGTACCATCTAAGGCAGTTGCCTAAGGTACTCGTCGGGCGCTTCAACTGCCCAAGAAGTCCTGCCTTTGAAGTTGCCTTGGGCTGCAAGAGCCAGACTCTGACGCGTTGAAGGAAGAAAGTACTGTACCTGAACGCGTGTGGCAAGTGAAGTCGAGAACCCTGTTCGCTGCCCCGCCCAGACGCCTTCACTACATGATAGGCGCCAATCGCAGTTCTTTGGGGCTCGGATGTCCCCATGGCTACCCGGAGCTAGGCGGCGATATCCCGCTGATGACGGCTGCCCCGCCATATTCAATGCTTGCAATTCACACAATTTTCGAAAGCACAAGCCTCCTGCGATTCACCATCTCCTTCCTACCCACGGATACCTCGCTGTCTTTTCTCACCATCAAAGAGCCCGCCTGCAGGTTGCCTGTCTGCCCCAGTTCAATCTGCCCAATATGGCACCCTCCTCCTTCGACCTCCTCTGCCTCGAGAACCCGCTTCTGGACATTCAAGGCCAGGGCGATACCTCCCTTCTCTCGCAGTATGGCCTCAAGCTCGATGACACTCTCCTCGTCGACGCTGATAAAGAGCCCGAAAAGATGGGTCTCTACGACGAGCTAATCAATAACCGCTCTGCCAAACTCATCCCTGGTGGTGCTGCACAGAACACCGCCCGCGGTGCCCAGTACATGCTGCCCAAGGACTCGGTGTGGTACGTTGGAAGCGTTGGCGACGATGAGTACAGCAAGATCCTCCGAGAGAAGTGCGCCGAGCAAGGCCTCCACGTCGAATACCACGTCGACTCAGCACCAACAGGGAAATGCGGCGTCGTCATTACCGATCAGCACCGTACCATGTTGACCCATTTGGCGGCCGCCAACAACTATAAGCTCGAGCATCTCAAGCAGGATCGGATATGGGACCTCGTCACCAAAACAAAGATCTTCTACGTCGGCGGCTACCACCTCACCGTCTGCGTTCCTGCCGCCATGGCACTCGCCAAACACGCCGCAGAAACAAATAAGCCCTTCATGCTGAGTCTCAGCGCTGGCTTCATTCCACAATTCTTCAAGGACCAAGTCGCTGAAATCATGCCGTACTGCGACTATGTTTTCGGGAACGAGAACGAGGCCTCAACTTGGGCTGCCAGCAATGGCTACGAAGACAAGAAGGATGACCTACACGAATGCGCAAAGTTGATTGCCACCAAGCCAGAAAAGATCAACAAGAAGCAGCCACGTGTGGTGATCATAACACAGGGCACGGATCCGACCATCGTCGCCGTCAAAGCCGAGGGAAAGGATGTCGAGGTCAAGGACTACCCAGTCGCAGCGATTTCACCGAAGGAGATCAATGACACGAACGGAGCAGGCGACGCGTTCGCTGGCGGCTTTTGTGCTGGTGTTGTCCAAGGCAAGGGTCTCGAGGAGTGTATCGCCATGGGCCACTGGCTGGCGCGGCTGTCGTTGGGAGAGCTGGGTCCTTCATATCCCTTCCCCAAGCAGACGTACACCTCGTCGTAACGGATATGCAACAGCTGCGAAATACCAATTTCGTCAGGAAGTCCTCCCTGGAGTGGTCTATTTCAACAAAGACCCATCTCAGCATAAAAGTACTATCAGCATCTTGATACCCCATCGAGCGTCCTCCACGACGCCTTAGCTAGACAGAATACGCATCAGTTGACATCCACCACCGGTGGGATGGAAGACGGATTCACGGAGGGAGTGAGGCTGGTGTAGCGCCAAGCCAAGTGACCAGCCACCTTGCAGCCACCCCAATTCTTCCAGGCCTGAGCTCTGATTGGCTGAATCTGCCTGTTGTGCCCCAGACTACACGTCAATGTTGGCACAACCTTTTGGGCTACTATTGATTTCGAGGTTGGGTCTGTCTGTGGCAGGTACAGGTCCGTTCAGGTAGGTCTCCGAAGGACAATTGCATTGTGATATATTGAGGCAGGTCGCATCGGAAGTGCATACGCTCTACAGCAATCGTGGTAAGCGAGAATTCATAACTGGCTGTAGCTACTCGTCGTCTGCGATCAGTCATCCAAGCGTCGCGCACGTTGAATCTACAACCACTTTTGCTCCTTACTGCTGTCGTCTCTGCCTTCGTCGTGATCCTTCGCGACGTGGTCTAGGGTCCAAGACCATTATCCGCCTTGAGCAATCACAGGGCATCAACACAGTCCGCAACCATGCGCTCACTCTTCGCGTTACCAACAACTCTACTCGCCCTGTCTTCCCTCATCTCAGCTCTTCCTCAACAATCACAACAAACGACCGTCCAAGCGATAAACCCCATCAACGGCCTCCCAATAGTACCCGTGTCAGGCTCCGTGACAGCAACAGCCAGTGCCGCCAAACAATCTTCCCCGAAAGACGACGATGATGAACCCACCACTTCAGCCTCAGTCTCAGAAGACTCAGACCCATCACCAACCTCAACAATAACAACACCCCCAAATCTCTCCCCAACACCCACCAACCCGGCCTCCGCAACCACCTCAGATTCCGACTCAGAGCCCACCCAGTCAAGCATAGACCCAGACCTCGTAATCTGGACTGACACCGCCGCCAACACCATCATCACCATGACCAAAATCTCCACCTACGACGGCCCCGACCCGACCGTCGGCGTCCCTCCACCCTGGGGCTCAGGCCAGCCGGAGCGGCCGACGATCACGGTGGAGGTCACGGATGCCGCTGGGCATACGGAGCTGGTGCCGACGCGGAGTGTTGATACGTTCGTTGTTGCTTACACCGGGGCGGCCGAGAGGATAGGTGGTGCGAGGGCCGGGGGCGGGGAGCGGGTTTGGTGGTTGTTAGGTGTTGTTGGCGTTGGGGTTTGGGGGGCGTGGTAGATGACGATGGAACGTTAGATGAAATGAGTGGCTGTTTCGCAAACTGATGATTGGAACATTGATACCCTGCTGCTAGAGCGTATTTTGTGAATTATCATATCTTCTTGACACTGATAGAGACTGAGCTCGAATCATACGAGAAGTGAAGCCGAAATGTCTAATACTCTTTCAACTCGACACGGAAATGGCCCATGTATACATTGTGCTTCGTCACCACCATTTGCTTCGAGCCCAGATCGAAGTACCCGGACTGCACACAAACATCAGACACTCGTTCAAGAACTGCGCGCAAGAGACTTACCCATTCGTCCTCACATCCCCCTCATCTTGCAAGCTCACCTTAGCAATCAGCCTGAACGGCTTATCCAAGTACTCCCATACCCCGATGACCTTGCGCACAGGGTTGTCACTGCAAGTACATTCCAACCTCTCGGGATTGTCGTTTTCCCAGAGGTTTCGATATTCGGGACATACGCACTTCCCAAGTAGCTTGTTCGGCTCTCTATCGACCTGAGCTTCTAGGGTCCAGGAATTGAAGCCGCCTGGCGTTTCTCGTACGTGGTGTTTTCCAGGAAGTAGACACCGTAACCACCGACCGTATATATAAGGGACTTGAGGTTTGGCATTGCTTTCAGCAGGTTCATACCTCCTGCCCCTCCAAAGGCATGGCCGTCTAGCCTAGCGTGCTGAACCGCACTGAGCTGGAGGCCCGGTACCCGAACGATGGCCGTGGTTTTGTCGATTTTGCTAGAGAAGTCGATCCGAGCCGCCTCAAGGAACAAGGGGAAGAACTCGGTGCGGACCTGTCTGCAGCAAGCCAGAAGCGCACCGTACGTAGAGAGTCGGAATTCCGTGCCGGGTGCGACATTCTTGACCGTTGCCTCGTGAACCACGTTGCGATAGATCAGGTTGCGAATCTCTATGGGCAGAGCGAGAAGTAGGAAGAGGTGTCCTGTGGCAGAATTTGATGTCTCGAAAGGAGGAATAGGCCTGGTTGAAGGGATGGTACCGCTACTACGACTGGGTCCTGGTCCATCTGAGCTGCCTCGGTCTTGAAGCCCAACCACGAGGCATTTCATGGTCATTTGCTCGACTAAGTGATGAATTTCGTTGGGAACTGGGGGACGTTCGATGGGGGGAGTAACCGCGCCAGTACTCGACTCCATCTCAGGCAAAAAAATTTCGTGCAGCTGCGTCCTTGACGCGCCATCGAAAGACGATCCTTGTTCTGTTGCTCAAGCCGCATCAACTGCACCTGATAATCCTGCAGGGCATAGGGGTCCGATGGAACCGTAGTAGACCCGTCCTGAAATTGATATGCCATGTTGATTCGCGCCTGACCGTCCTCCTCCATTCTGCGAGCGTCGGCAACTCTGCTTGTGTCTTACCTGTCACGACGTCGTCTTCAGACGGTGGGACTTGGATTGCTCCGATGGTATTCCGCTGCAATTTCTATGATCAATGATTGGAGCGGCAGATACAACGAGCGTAGCAGTGTGTCGCATGATACAGGTCTCACGAGTCTCAAAGGGCCTGCATGATCTCAAAAGGCCCGAGTCGTGGCTGCTACCACCTCGCGAAGTCGTACGCTGAGCTGCATCGGTTAACATGCCGCATACGGATGGTTGGCGTTGACCAGAAGGCGAGCTTGGCTCGACTTGCAGGGAAGCTCGCGCAGGCTCACAGACCACGACAACCTCGCCATACAACCATCATGAAGCGCCCTTTCTAAATCTAGAGCAGCTCTACGCGCTTGGCCTGCCCTCACGACGCTCATGGACTGATGCATCGAGATCACAATTGCATACGACGTCATAGTCGCGAGACAACCGGATTGCCCTGGTTCAGTGGCTCTTCCCCTCAAACTACCAAGACATCGCCAAGCACCAGCAACGGAATTTTGGTCTTTCAGCTTGTCGGTTTTCCACTTTCCACCCTCATGCAATAACGTCGTCTCATGGTGCACAGCGGCGAATGCTGGAAACAGTGTCCGGACCTTTACTCTGCCGCTCGAAGTTCTTCCCTGTGTCATGGGTGAAGTCTCGAGTCAATTTGTGAAGGAGACATTGCTCGAAAGACCGCCCAGCAACCTTGACGACAATCGCAATCAAGCATTGCTTGTGCAACCTATTGAGCCAATCCTTCGCTTTTGCTTACCTCTCGACAAGCCACATTCGCCAAAGTTGCTTGTAAGTGTCCCGTTTCTTGTCCCGGCTTGGTCTTCTTCGATCACACAGATCATCGAGATCTTTCGCACCTCTGTGTTCCGCAGACCACGCCTCTGCTTCGTATGTCAGCCATTTACACGCCGTTTTAAATGTGGCCAGGCTTTCCGCCCCTGAGCGATGCCGTCTGATATCCCCAGTCTCTATGCCCATACCAAGTATGGCCTGCGCTTCGATCCCCCACCCCGCAGAAGTGTCAGTGCGCAGAAGGAGAACTCCTTGCGCCATGAAGTCATCGTGCGTTGCTGAGACTCGTGGTCGCATGGCCTGATGCATGGGGTTGTATTCATACAAAGTGGTGCTTGAGGGTATTGCATCCACAGTTTCTCTCTTTTTCTACACAGCTTCATCTAGGCAGCCTCTGGCTTGCATGCAGCAACGTGATCAAAGTTTGTCAATCCTACGTCTTCCCTACTACCGACACGCCTGCCCATAAGACTTTCACAATGGTAGGGTCAACCCGGTCGTCAACGATCGCGGCGGATAGCGACTCACAACACCGCGTTGAAGGCAGCGACTTTCGCGAAAAGTCCCTCGATGAAGCTCCTGGCAAGAAGCAATCCCTTCTCGGAGTTGATGGGCAAGATCTGACGGCCACTGGTCTGGACGCCTCCTCGCCAGTCCGCGCCGACGGCAAGCGCGAGCTCACCGAAGACGACGCCTGGGACAAGCTTGGATACTCCCTTCCTACCTGGCGGAAATGGTCCATCTTCGTCCTGATCCTCTTCATACAGACGTCCATGAACTCCAATGCTAGTATGTACGGCTTCGCAGTCGAGGGCATTTCCGAGGAATTCGGCGTATCTACAACGAAAGCTCGGCTGGGTCAATTCATCTTCCTAGTGGCTTACGCTTTCGGATGCGAACTCTGGGCACCCTGGTCCGAGGAATTGGGAAGATGGCCTACTCAGCAACTCTCGCTCTTCCTGGTCAACATCTGGCAGCTTCCTACTGCTTTGGCGCCGAATTTCGGATCAGTCCTGGTGGCGAGAGCGCTCGGTGGCTTGTCCACCTCTGGCGGGTCAGTAACGTTGGGTGTCATTGCCGATCTCTACGAGCCCGAGGACACCGGCTTCCAATACGCCGTCGCCTTCGTCATCCTAAGCTCAGTCGGTGGAGCACCCATCGGGGCCGTCATCGGCGGTTTCGTCGGCCAATACGCTGACTGGCAATGGATCTTCTGGACGCTCATGATCATGGGCGGTGTCGTACAGCTTCTGCACTTCTTCCTAGTCCCCGAAACCCGCAGCACAATCCTCCTTGACCGTGAGGCCAAGAAACGCCGGAAGCATGACCCCAACGCGAACTTCTACGGTCCGAACGAGCTCAAGACCTTCAAGGAGCGCTTCAGCATGCGAGAGATCGGCAAGATCTGGTGGCGTCCCTGGCTCATGTTCTTCACTGAGCCGATCGTTCTCTTTCTGAGTCTACTGTCCGGTTTCGCTGATATGCTGGTCTTCATCTTCCTCGAAGCCTTCACGCCTGTCTTTGAGCAATACGATTTCAAAACATGGCAGATCGGCTTGTGCTTTCTATCGTAAGTTCGCTAGCTCCCACCCCAGTGAAACCATCAGCTCACCTCGTCCAGATCGATAATAGGCTACATAATCTCCTACTTCACCTACCTGCCCGTCATTTGGCACCACAACAAGACCCGCAAGATCGACCCCGACCGCCTGTCTCCAGAGAGCCGCCTCTGGTGGCTGCTTTTCTTGGTTCCGTTGCTGCCAATTGGCTTGATGATGGTATGCATTCCCTCCATCATCTTCCAGATCCAGTGTACCACCCCTTCGATTGCCTTCCATCACCTCTGCGGATCTGCTCTACCAGTTTTTCGAGCATGCCTGACTAATACCTCCATAGTTCGCATGGACCTCCCTCCCACCCCCACAATCCCACTGGATCGCACCCCTCATCTCCGCCGCCATAATCGGCATCGCCAACTACGCCGTCTACAAATCCTCCATCGACTACATGATCGCCGCCTACGGCGTCTACGCCGCCTCCGCGACCGGCGGCAACGATCTCGCTCGCGACTTCTTGGCCGGTATCGCTGCATTGTACGCGCACCCGTTTTATGAGAATATTGGTGGGGAGGATCGGCATTTGGTGTATCCGAGTGTGATACTATCCTGTTTGGGTTTCCTTATCATCATTCCGGTGTATGTGATTTACTGGAAGGGCCCGACGATTCGAATGCGGAGCAAGTTTGCACAGGAGCTGGAGAAGGGGAGGAGGGCGAGGTTGGGGAAGAGTGGGAGGAGGAGCACTATTGGGCGACAGGGAGGGATCAAGTCTAAGAATGGGAGTGTCGCTGATGGCGCGCAGGAGAAGCAGGTCGAGCAGGTCTGAGCGTCGATTTGTTTGCGGTGCAGTGCGTCAAGGCTTGGCAGATTTGTAGCTCTGGGGGGCGACGCCCGTTGATTCGTTGAAGACATGCGAGGAATACGAAGCGAGAGGTAATTCACAAACAGAGCCTGGCGTTGGAATTATCGTTCGTAGTCTTCTGCGTGAAAGTAAATCCTCTTCACATATGTACTGATGTCACCACTCGGAGTTCGTGATCCGTGCATTTTGACGCCACGAACTTTGTGCTATGAGGACACAAGACGCTCGTTGCAGCGTACTCTGTGTCAACACGCAATGCAAATGCCCGGGACCTACTGAGCAGACGGACAATCAGCAAGTGCACCAAACACCATGGCCCGCAAAGTCATAGCCGTAGTCACAGGCTCGAACCGGGGCATCGGCGCCGGCATCGTCGCCGCCCTCGCCCAGACCAAACACCCGAAAGGCGCCCTCGTCATATACGCCACCTCTCGCGCTGGCCAGAAGCAGGAAATACCCACGCAATACGACAACGAAGTGCGCTTCGCGAAGCTGGACATCTCGGATAAACCAGGCATCAAGGACTTCCTGCGTCTGATTGTCAAGGAGGATCGAGCAGAAGGTGGCGGCGGCAATGGTGTGGAGATCTTGATCAACAATGCAGGCATCAATCTGAACCGTGACGAGACGTACGAGAGTGCGGAGAAGACTATCGACGTCAATTATCGTGGTGTGCGGGACATGTGTCAGCTATTTCTCGATGCAGGAAACATGAAGGATAACTCGAGTGCGCGGATCGTGAACGTCAGCAGCACTGGCTCGAAGCTTGGGATACATGGGAAGGCGCTGCAAGAGCGTTTTCGTTCTGTCCAGACGGTCCAGGACGTCGATGCCTTGGCGGACGAGTATCTGAAGCTGTACAAGGAGCAGAAGCTGGGTGATAGCGACTTTGGAAGTGGCAACATCAGCTACCAGGTCAGCAAGGCGTGTGTGAACGCGTTGACGAATGTACTGGCCAAGGAATATCAAGAAACTGGGCTCTTGATCAACTGTTGCTGTCCTGGATGGGTCGACACCGACATGGGCAAGATTGTTGGCCAGCCGTCGAAGAGCGTCGAGCACGGCGCAAGGATTCCGGTGCGATTGGCCATTGAGGACATCGACGGTGTTACGGGCGAGTATTGGTCAAACGATGGTGTCAACGACAGTGGCCACGGAAAAGTTCAACGCTGGTGATGTGGGGCTTCTCAGCACGTTGGGAAAAGGGGGTTCATTGAGCCCATCCGAAATCTTTCTTCACTTCGGACGCGCATGCTGCAGGTACCGTAAGCTCCCGGCGAAGTGATAGAAGCTTCAGCGCAAGCTTACTTAGTCATGGCTCTGACAAGACAGGCGCCGAGAACGACTGGAGCATGGCCACGACACTTACGCCGGCAAATTTGCTCTCTTGTAAGTCGTGTGCTTCTTGCGGGAGTTGTAGTTGTGGCGCTCCGTACACTCCAGATTAGTACCTAGGTAGAGACTTGTCGTGTACGGCACGTGCCTAGCAAACAGATAATCTTGCAGATGTCGATAGAATCCATGAACGCCGATCATCGCTTGCTGGGATTCGGGTCTGACGAGAGTGTGAGCAGATTGGCGTGCGCGGCTCCCTTTACAAGCTTGTACAAGCAATCGGCCCCAGTATCTTGGTGAAGCTTGGCCGCCGAGAAAGCCCGAGCTACTGAATGCTTCGCTTGCTTGATAACGCTGCGAGCTCTCATTGGTCAAGCGCTAGACTTTTGTCAACGGTCCTGGCTGCCTCGCGAAGGATAGCCTTTCACCACACATGTTGAGCGATATGAGTTCGGCGTCGTCCAATCATAATATCGCCTTGTACACTGCGACGAGTGTCGAAAAGCCATAGCTCATTCGTGACGCGGCACAGAAGCGAAGGATGGCGGCATATCAATGTCGATGTCGAGTCAAGAACAACAATGATTTGTCGTCGTCCCATACGGAGTCGTATCGATATCAGCCGAGTGTCTGTTCTGGTAGGATGTGACAACCTCGAATTAGCAAATGCTCTAGAGATCTCGTGGGAAGTTAAAGTGCTTCGAGGAACGTGCGCGAGGAATCCCGTGCACCGAGGAGCGACTCAATTAAATTGATCGATGATCCCACATCCCAATATCTCGTGGCCGCACGTAGCTTCTCTTCTTGCAGTCACTGCTGTCCTCTGAGCACCTGCAGACTACCATCCCCGAACAGTGACGACCACGATGGGTCCTCTCGAAGCTCGAACGCTTCAGCCTCGCTGGAATGGCAGCGATCTTGTTGCGCCGGAATGGTTGAATAACGGAGACAATGCCTGGCAGCTCACGGCTGCGACTCTGGTTGGCCTGCAGTCGCTGCCTGGTCTGATGGTCATGTATGCTGGGTAAGCTCTCGTGCCTTCCAATCGATAGTGCGCATTAAATACTGACAATCATCGCAGTCTGGTGAAGAAGAAGTGGGCGATCAACAGTGCCTTTATGGTGCTGTATGCATTCGCCTCCACTCTGATCGTGAGTGTCTCGTGACTGAGGTGAAGAAACATACTGACAGGGGACCAGGTTTGGGTTTGTATGCATACAAGGCCGCATTCGGTGAATACATGCTGCCGTTCGTCGGAGTACCAGGACCGGCCGTCGCGATGGACTATGAGCTTTCGCACGCCACCTTACCCTCAGCCAATGAAGAGGCAGCCTATGGCATGTCGACCATGGTTTATTTCCAGTTCGTCTTCGCCGCAATCACTGTGGTGCTCATAGCTGGAGCCGCGCTGGCGCGAATGAATTTCCTGGCATGGGCTATATTCTGTCCGCTCTGGATCACACTGTCGTACACCGTCGGCGCGTACAGTATTTGGGGCGGTGGGTTTCTTTTCAACATGGGCTGTCTCGACTACTCTGGCGGATATGTCATCCATGTGTCGTCCGGTATGGCTGGGTTTACGCTTGCCTACTGGATCGGTCCTCGCCACCCACGCGATAGGAATGACTTCCATCCCAACAACATGCTGCTTGCATTGGTCGGTGTCGGACTGCTCTGGCTGGGATGGAATGGCTTCAACGGTGGTGATCCATACACGGCATCGCCTGATGCTGGGGCTGCAGTGCTCAACACAAACATTTGCACAGCGATGAGCATGCTTGTCTGGATCCTGATGGATGTCATCTTTTTCAAGAGACCTTCCGTGATCGGGGCCATTCAAGGCATCATCACAGGCCTGGTAGCTATCACCCTGCGGCTGGGTTCGTGGCAGGCTGGGGCGCAATCATCATTGGCTTTTGCTCGGGGTCCATCCCGTGGATCTCGATGAATGTTTTGGGCAAGCAGAGGTTCTTCTTGGAGTTCTGTGACGACGTGTTGGGCGACTTCCATACGCATCTCGTTGGCGGCATAGTCGGTGGCTTCTTGACAGGCCTTTTCGCTACCAGCGAAGGTGTTCAAGCATTTGCCCTAGCTGCTCCGGGTGGCGCAATCGATGGCAACGGTCGTCAGGTTTGGGTCCAGATCGTTGGATTTCTCTTCATCATCGGCTGGAATGGCTTCTGGACCAGTGCCATCTGCTTGTTCATCAAGTATGTGCTGCGAGTGCCGTTGAGATATGACGAAGACACTCTACTCATTGGTGATGAGGCAATCCACGGCGAGATCCCATATGCTTTCTTCCACGACGGAAAGCACGACTATGACGCGAAGTATGGTCAGCCAAACCCAGGTGTACTGCAAGGTCACGACCCAGAGGGAGGCGTCGCCAGCTCCAGCCGTAGTAATGGCAGTGGCGACGAGGATAAGATTGGAAAGTCGGAATGAGGAGACGCCTTCTTCTACAGTTGACACAGTCGTACTTGAACTAGATCGAAGAAATGGTTTGACGCCAGGGCCTATCCAGAGAGTCGTAGCAGGTGGTGTAGGTCGTCCCTATAGAACACCACTGTCGGACCTTGTGTATAGTATAAACAACTTGCGGATACCCATTTCGGCCAACACTGGACCCAGCCGTGCCTCGTGGGACTGATACGACGTGATCAAAACGAAGTGACCGATGATCAGGTGTCGGGTCAAAATTGCTTCGCTTGGTGACTGCTTGAGGATTCATGTGCCACAGAGCAAGTGCTGCCCAGGGCACTCGCAGAAAGACGAACCGATGGACAGTGCGACTACGTGAACCTGCACCTGGCAGCCTTGTTGCCTTATTCCCCGCAGTCGCGTCGAGCAAACATATATATTTCTTGCTTTCTCTCCAACCTGACCGCCACAACGAACCCCCTCTAGACACCGATACGCAGTCTTCTGCTCCTCATGAACGCCATGGAGCAGACGCCAGACAATCCGCTGCTGTCATCAAAGCCATCCGACTCCGGAGTGACAGTCGCCCTCCATCCTCTCGTTCTCCTCACAGCATCCGATCAGATCACACGAAGTCGAGTACGAGGAGACAAGCAGCCAGTCGTGGGAGTCCTGCTTGGCCAACAGCGTGGTCGCGAGATCACCGTCGAACATGCCTTTGCTGCTGCGCTTGCTCCGGACAACGCTGGCTTCGACGGCGAATGGCTCGATACAAGAGTGACACAATGTAAGATACCCTATGACGTGCCGGCAACGATGCTGACTTATGATGAGATCGCGACGTACATAAGGCGCCTGCTCTCGATGTCGTCGGCTGGTTCGCCCTAGCACCCGAGAGCGGTCCTCTTCCCGAACTCGTACCTTTCCAGCGACACATCACATCAGTCTACAATGACTCGGCTGTATTCCTCGCCATCCACCCAACCGCATTCCAACAGTCAAGCTCAACAGATCGGACCCTGCCTCTGACAGTCTACGAGAGCATCCAGGAGTCAGAAAATGCCAAAGACGAGAGCTCCATGCAAGTCGACGGCGATGACAGTTCAGGTCTCTTGTTCCGCACCATTCCATTCACGGTCGAAACGGACGAAGCCGAGATGATCGCCATCAACTTCGTCTCCAAAGGCGCCGGAAGCGCAGCTTCCATCACCGATGCCACGAGCGCCTCCAAATCAGACCCCGCCGCAGAAGACAAGAAAGGCAAGAAACGTGCCACCCGCAGCGATACCGCAACAAAACCCACTTCCCAATCCACTCTACAATCCGCTCTCACATCAGAAGAACAAGACCAAATCGCCACACTCACTACCCGCCTAAACAGCGTCAAGATGCTGCAATCGCGCCTCTCACTACTCAACACCTTCGTCCGCGATCTGCCGCCCTCTTACCTCTCCGACCCCACCCTCCCGATCACGCCAGAATCACCCTCACCAGACTCCCTCCCGCACCTCCGCAACCTGCAATCTCTCCTCACCACCTTATCTCTCCTCACACCATCTTCGACTTCCACTGAGACCACTACCGAGACCGCCAACAGCGCTCAGCAGGACGCCCGTAGTGCCCAACGCAACGACGTCCTCCTATCACAACTCCTCAACTCCCTCACCAAGGACGTCCAGGGTCTCCAGGAGCTCGGACGGACCTTCCAGGTCGTGGAGAGCGGGCGTGCAACCAGCAAGCGCAACAAGGGCCAGAGTGGGTCATTCATGGACGACATGTTACACGATCCCATGAGTGTGCGTTAGTTGACCCAGGGCACGGCAGCTGCATCGCATTTGAGTGCCGCCGGGGCAATCGCATGGGGGCGCGAGCAGCGTAGACATGGAACGAAAAGTGACGAAGTGGGATGACTGCATAGCGGCATAGCGATGGCGTTTTCCGGCGAACGGATACTGATGAGTGAAGCCCACGTGAGGCATGCATTAGATCAGGTAGTCACATGGCGGAATATACACAGCTTCAATCCGTAGGCATCCAATACGCCAGTGGTTTTGAGCCCACGTCCCCTCCTATTGTCCTTCACTGCACACGCTGGCCCGTCCCAATCATCTTAATTTGAAACCAGAACTGATTGGGGACCTGCACCTACCGTGAAATTTCTAGAAGTGCCGCCCCCCCAAGATCTCGAACCTGAGATGCCTGACCCACGCATCTATGCTCTCACGATAGCCCATTTGATCTCCTTGACACTGACCTCATCGCCAGCCTTCTCGTCGTAGTCGAACCATTCGCCTTCACTGAGATCGATAGCTTCAAACTTCGAGCCCGAATCGATGCCTTTCGCAAGCCATTCTCCCTGCACACCGTCAGACTTCTTCGTGTTTCCGGAAACGTCGACCTACATCCGGCTTGAACTCAGTAAACTCTAGTCCTCTGCAGTCGATCTCGATGAGCTTCGTGGTCTTGGGCGGCTCGGAGTGCTCATAGGCGGCTGGGCCGGTCTTGATTGTCGCGTGCGATTCTCGCTGCTGGTCGTCAAGCTCACGGCCTGAGATGACACATGATGCTGGGATCCTACCTTACAATTTTTGCATTTCCAGACGAAGTTGGCTTCACCTCTGGAGCCTGATTGCTCATTCATCTCATGACGATTCACACCAACCCAATTTGCATGTGTCTCTCGACATGATGTGCATTGGACTTTGAATGTGTAGTAGTATGGGCTGTCTGCGGTGTCTGCTGGCCGCAAGTCGGTAATGCTGGTCGAATCAGTTCTGTGGATTGGAGGGGGGTGTTTGATGAAGGTTCACCCGTTCAGTTCTGCGGTCAGCGTGAGGGCGAGCATGGTGTAGCGTCTGGCCGTACTCTTGATCTAGTGCCAGCACTCAATCGCTACGATGCTGTCATAGGCGTTTGGTACACTGGCACTGACTCAAGAAAATAAAATAAGGCAAACCTGAACCCCACACTCGACGCCTCACGGGGATCAAAAATGCCCAGGTGGACACGCTGCTCAGGGCTGGGCTTGACCACCGGCTCTTCAGGTTTGGCACTGAATCCATCGCTGAGGACTTTACAGTCGGCCTTCGACTCGTATGGCAGCTCTCATGTTTCGCTCTGAGCAGGTCAGAGAGGTCTTTGAGCCCTCGTGGCCGGATTGCTTCGCTGAGACGCGACATCAATAGCAGATTGTTCCTTCAGCCATCGGGAGAGACCGGCGTAGTGTGGCATTGTGGCTGCGCGCTGCACAACGCCTTGGCCCAGAAATCCGAAACTCGCTCCTTGAGCTTATTTAAGCAATTTTGGTACGAGCACCGAATCTTCTCACTCATCACCATCATGCTCACGTTAACAGCAGATGATAAGAAGGTTACACGGTCATCTTGCTTGAGTCGATCGGCACAAGATGTGTCACCCACCATCTTGTCTTATCCCCCGGACTCTTGCGTTCTGATTTCAGAAGTTCCCGAATCCCGAACTCGATTTCCTCTCGCTAGAATGTCCCTGCAATTTCTGTTTTAATTTCCACCGCCAAATCACTGGCAGCACAGAAGCCTCCTTACGGCACGGGTTCGCGGACAGTCCCTTGCTTTTGTTTCTTCAAGCTTTCTTCGCTTGTTGCCCACACTGTTGGCTGATGTTGGCGAACCCTTAGGCACGCCACCTTTTGCACCGGCCTGCTGATGGACCAGTCTCGTCAGCTCAAGCCCGTATTACAGTGCGGGTGGCCTACCGGGTCACTGGGAGGCGGTCCACTGACAGCTCGACCTGAGTCCTGTCAGCCTTTGACTGAAACAATCTATCGCTACCTGCCAGTGGTACCTTGTACAACTTGACATCTAGATGCGAGGGCGACAAGTTACCAATCTTCACCCAAATCTTTCCTTGCGCACTTCATTCACTGTTATACCTTCAAGTGACCATCTTCGCGACCGCGCCTGGACGCGTTGCCCTTGACTCCCGTCTGCTACAGCGACAACTCAGCCACGCCGTCCTGAAGTCATATGCACCACTATGCGCGGTAGCTGACAGCCAGTTTTCTTATCAAGCGACGGATTGCGACATCGGGATTGCTCCAGCAAAGATGACGTTCGAATACTATACACGAAGCTCGACGACAGCTACCACGACTTCGTCAAAGAATAAGAAACACTTGACCCTAGAGACAGTACCTAGAAGCCAAAGGAAATACCTTGGAGAACCTGATGATCCGCACTTCATACCAAAATCGCCCATAATCACACGGCAGCAGTTTACCGAACAAGAAGAGGGCGAGTTGAAGCGGCTCTGCGCACTCGCACTCGCGGACGTACCGCATTCTGACGGACCAGATCCTGTCGCACCACCGTCCGCAGCCCGTGCGACCAATGCTCCAACAGCACGTAAGGCTTCGGCGCCTGTTCAACAGCGGCAGGCGATCAAGCCACCACAACCGCAATATGCTGAGGACTCGAGGACGCCATCAGAAGGCTCTCGTCGGGATACACTCGGGACTGCGACCGACTATTCGACTCCGCTTACATCGGCCGGCATCACACCAGGCGAGCAAGCGAAGCGCTTCTCCAGCTCCAAGACACAGAACAGCAGCCTTCTTCGCTATTACGAGTGGAATCAACAGCAGCAGCAACAGCAGCAAAAGCCTCTTCAACAACGCGGCAAGTCACACACCGATCCTCAGCCCTCGACGTATTCCCAGCAGCGCCCTGCATCACAGCCAAGCGCTAGGAACCAGCGCAAGTCAGCAGCATCCGCCCCGGGCGAGAAAACGCTACGCTTTGTCAAAGACTCTCGCGACCCGTCACCCAGCTCGAAGTTCTCCGAAGTAAATAAGTCGAACGCCTCGCTGGTGAAACTTTCCTCACCAGATACGTCAAGATCGTCCAATCGCTTCTCCCAAGCCGAACTCAACAAAAAGCTGCCGCCACTACCTGACGACCTTGTTAACAACGACAGCGGCCCCAAGACCGCACCGTTGGCGAGGATGCTAAAGGGCTTCTCGAGGAAGAAGAGCTCTGCACAGCTTCACGATGCGGCTGATGAAGACGACAACGAGTCACCGCTGAGATCTCTCCCACCCGAACGACCTGGCACGAGCTTCGCTTTCGCAAGAAGCGTGCCATCAAGTCCGGCCTTGGGAGTTGCTGACGGCAGTCGGAGGAAGCTCTTGAAGCTTTTCGGTCGCAAGAACCGAGATCAACGACCTGGAACGGCAGATCCCATTGCAGCATGACATCCTCATCACCGACACGGCCTTCTCGGGTGTGGGTCTCCACCATGACTACCCGCATCTCACCATTTCATCCCACCCAAAAGCGATGGCGTTTCCAAGTCGGCATTCCATTACATCTTGCAGCGATCTTCACGACTTCAACGTGCTTTTCTCATATTTCATTGATACCCACGATCCGCCCAAAGCTATGCATGCACGGCAAGGGATAACCAAAAAGCTGTCTTGGCAGCAGTGTCGACCAATCGTCCTCTCCGGGAGGCTGGACCTCTCTGAGGCAATTGGTGCTGAGAGTAAGGCCGGCGAGGGACTGGCTGTCTATCTAGTAGATGTGCAATAATAAGATGATTTCGAATACTCCATGTGGCCGTGAGACACCTTTGCTTGTGGATTGTAGGCGAACTTGTGACGCGAAAAGCCTGAACGCATTGTTCCCCTAACCCTAAAATATGGCATTGCCAAGATCTTGAACTTGGGGACTCGCTGTTCGCGCAGCCTTTGCTCTACAGTTCTTTTGACAAACCATCGCTGTCGTTGATCGCGGCGCACAGAGTTCGAGCACCTCCCGAGACTTGCGGTGGAAGGGTGCTACCATGAGTGTATGTATTTCCGACCCTAGATATTGGCCAAGCTAATTCGTCGCAGTTCGCACCCGTCAACCCGCGGCCGCTGCTGCAATCCTTGATCAACGAAGACGTGATCATCCGCCTGAAATGGGGTCAGACAGAATATAAGGGCCGACTGATGAGCGTGGACTCGTACATGAACATTCAGCTGTCTGGGACGGAGGAGTATATCAACCGGAAAAACACAGGCACACTGGGATCAGTGCTCATCAGGTAGGTTCAAAGTCCTCTCAGGTGAATGACAACACTGACGTGCAGCAGATGCAACAACGTGCTGTGGATTTCGGCGGCGAAAGGCGTTGAGATGAACGGCGATACCTCTGATGTTAAGATGGAGGGATGATCAGACGCATTAGCTCAGCGCGAATTCTTCAACCGAACCACCCTCCTGCGGAGAACGCTGGCCAAAAATGCCACACGAGCCATACATGAGGAGCACGTCAGTCGGTCTCCGATGGGTGCGTGCAGAATCGTCCAGCCTACCAACGAGTATCAATTAGAAAACCATGGACGAGTATCCCAAGGAGCGGAATGGAGACTCAGCCCGTACTTGAGTCTCACAACAGAGTGTTGATCGTCCAGCCATTACGACGATCGCCACGCATTCTGCTCGGTCAGTCCCAGAGGAATCCCCGTCACAGGACTTGCAGCAACTCCGGGGGACTTTTCACGACGACCATCAGTACAGCTATATGCGGGTGGATGGTTATGAGACGGCGAAGGGATGGATGTTTATGAGTCGGCGAAGCTTCCGTCTGCTTCGCTCGCGAGCTCCTCCGCTACGTTGCTAGTCCGCGGACTGCTACGACGACATAGTGTAGCCCAACGAATGCACAATCTCAAACATGCATATAGCCAGTATGGAAGTCCCTGACTAGACATGAAAATCTTGACAATATTGAACTGCCGCACACGTTCGAGAACGGTGTACTAGTGCAATAGCGCAACTTCGGGGCCTTGCTAGGCCCCACAAGCTCCGAAAGTCGAGCACTTCTCGGTACTGCTTGCTTCGGTGCAATTGCAGGCAAGACTTGCTGCTTGTACTCTCACAGGGTCTCTCACCTGCCAGATACCTAGACAGTCATCAGCAGGGTCTCGCTTACAATCATCGACGAGCGTACACAGTCATGAGCCTCGTGACGTTGCTCATCGCGTACTCATCATCATTTACTGGTCTCCATGCGCTCATGCAATGACTGCACGACCAGAACTGCTCCGATAAATCACCTTCAAACCGTTGCATTCTGCAGCATTGCCTTCGCGTATTCCTGCGAACTGCCGCCTAAATGGGACGTGGTATGGACGCCACTGGCCCCCCTAAAAGGTACGCTTGGGGCCTGGAAGCCGCTCAGGAGGCGCTATTAGCTATTCTTGTGGGTCAGCGATCTCACTTAATTGCGGGTGGTCATGCTGATCGCAGGGGCCCTCGTGCAGACCCTTGGCCCACACCTGACGAAGGCGGCTTCTTGACCAACCAACCCCAACGCAAGATGCCTCGAAGCGAACTCTACGGTGGAATTGAGACAAGCAAAAAACGCAATGTGGTCGCGTGTTGCAAAGCCACCCCTTGGCGAGTATGGTAGGTGGGAGGTGATAGTAATATAGAATGGCATGGGATGTCTCTGCTGTCTCCTCCCTCAACTCGACAGTCTCTGTTGCTGCAAACCACCATCGTTGCCGTATTAGTCTCTCGCTATCAACCCGTTTCGTTCGCTACTACACTTACTCTTCGAAGCACGCGACCAGTTAACGTGCCACCAAACTTGCTTACTACAACCCTCCACAATGGCTGCCGGCAAGTTCACGGAGATCATGGACCCGTCCAACACTACAACACTGCAATCATCGGACGTCCGGTTGGAAGACATCCTTAGGCTCAGCGAGAAGCGTGGTCGTACGCCATCGGAGACAAGCAGCAACGCCAGCTCTCAGGACTCGCGCCAGAACAGCGGCGATCGGTCACCTGTGGACAGCAAGACAAAGCAGCGGATTTCGCGGTTGTTGAGTATCAGCAAAAAGTAAGGATGCGCCGACGAAGAGTACGACGCGAAATACGACTGCTTAACGATTTGCTTCTCGCAACACGACATTTGTATCAGTATCAGCATCAGCATCAGCATCATTTTGGCCATATGACTCACGATCATGGCGCCCTCCTCGGTGACCGCTCTTTTTCGCATGCAAGCCGCCGTTGCTTGACTTCGGCTTCGCTTTCTGCAGATTCGTTATACCGGCTGGGCCACTGGGAGGTTGAGTGCCAAGTTCTCTTGTTGTGTTGACGGTGCTTGCCCTGAGCGACCGATGGATCACGTCCGCTCAAAGTCGCCAGCTACCGGATTGGCAGTCTGGGTGTGGTGTGTGAGACAGTATGGCCGTCATCATTCGGGACACAGCCCGCCGTTTTCGAAGAGCACAGTCGGTCAGCTGAAAGCCACCAACGCATACGGTTTCTACGTCTGCCTGACGGTGGCGGGTGGCAAACTATTCTCAAACGGCGGCCTCTCTGTACACGATCACATCATCCCTTGAGTCGTGTCAGCGGTTCACGCGGCAGCCAGCAATGCAGTTCCGAACTGCGCAGATGAATCTGTCTCTACGTAAACAGGATTGTGCTGAGATTGACAAATGCGAACGTCCAGTATTGTGCGTTGCCTGGCGGGGATAGAGTTAGGTGGCTTGATGTAGGGGCTAGGGGCGTTCAGCCACACGACAGCCTAGAGTTTTTTGACAGGCCGGGGATTGGAGATCTGCTTTGGGTAACCAGGCCGTGCCGCCTGCTATGTCGAAAGGCGGGCAAGGGAGCATGGCTGCCCCAGATTCCCAGGAGTTCTGCATCCTGTTCAGAGGAAGGGGTAATTGCAGCAGCGATGCATAGCGATGGTGGGCAAAAAGAAAAGCATTCCATAGGCAAGGAGTAGGCATGAACATGAATATCGCAACTACAGTCGCGCCTTCCTCGTATACGAAAAATTTGCGGTCGTCTTGATGCCCCCTCTCGTGTCTCACCGGAGATGCTTTGCTTAAATCCTCGACCTCGAATGGCGTCCCTCTCCATCAACACAGCTTGCAAAAGCAAAAAGAACATTGCTCTGATGAGAGGAGTGGGATCTATTGAGAAAGTCAGACCCGGATCGACTTGTTCCTTGATCAGTGTTGACATACTCGAACCCACGAGGTTTCCCACTGCGGTTTTACGTCCAAATCTTGCTTTCGATGGAAAAAAGACCTAAACACAGCGCCTTAACCACTCCTGCAGGTAGGTCTTAGTAAAGGTCTTCAAGCTACGGGTGATGTAAGACGTACGGCCATCCTCCCTTGAAGTTTGACATGAATTTGTGTGCTTTTTGGAGCACATTTCAGGCAAAGTTTGCTGCTCGCGTGTTAATATCCTACACTCAGCTCCCAGCTTGCCTTCACAGCCGCGGGCGCCCGAACAAATGAGATGTGCCGGGGTAGGTGTGCCCAGACTTCCGGTGTTGCGATCACACCACTTACCAAGTGCTTCTCCCAGGGAGAAGCGTGTGCGAGCTATGGCCCGATCATCCAGATGTCTCATTTCGCACCGACGTATGATCAGATTGAGCAGTTAAGTTGCCAGATTAGGCATCATGGTGCAACGTGGTTGGACGGATGATCGTTACGACAATCTACGGAAGTGAGGTCCGTTTACATGGCACGGACTTTGCGATGACGGATGGCTCGATTTTGGATCTGGCTCGATTTTGGATCTTGCTGCAGATATCTGTTGACTCAATCTTCTGTATCTCTATGTATCTAATTCGTCTGGCCGTGGAACCTCGACCACAGCGGTTGTTCATTTCGTGAGGAGGTCTTTGGCGGCATTGACGGCGGCAGTGCCGGCCGCGATCGCTGCTTGTGCTATGGTTTGGGGCTCACTTCGGTCCCATGGCTTTCCATCCCGCCAGAATCCCTCGACAATCGGTGGCCTGCCAGGCTTGCCATCTCGAGGAAGTTCATTGAGCCAACCCCAATGACACTTCTCCTTCCATCCCTTCTCCTTGAAGTCCTTAAGCCCGTCTCCCTTCACACCCTCCTTGTTGAGCGTTGGCAGGTAGTCCAACAGGGTCGGGTCGTGTGCCGTGCACACTAAGACGTTCGGGCTGTCGTCAAAAGCCTGCATCTTGTCGACAGACTCCTGCGCTGTGTCTGGCTCGGTGTAGCCGGAGCGCTCATGAGTGCTCACTTTGTACCACGAGCCCTGCTGCCCGTCATCCCGGCGATTGTTGTCCGGGACATTGCTCACGAACCTTGGGTGCTTGTCGGTGAAGTACCACGCTTCACACGGTATGGAGAACTGAGGTGCTTCGTCAAGCACGCCCTCAGGAATTGGGTCTGGTAGCGGAATGGCTTCAGATGGCCGGAAGACACCTGCGAAATGTGCAATGTCGCCACCCATGAAGACAAATGTGCTGCCCAGAGGTGCGTTGGAGCCGGTCACGCGAGCTAGTCCGCACATATGGCCTATGCAGTGCCCTGGGGTGTCCAGAAGGTAGAAGGAGCCGTCTCCGAAGAAGTCATGCGCGCGATAGCCTCCGATCTCGAGGAAAGATGAGGCGTCGTAGTCGTTGAAGTTGATCTCGTTGACGGCGCGGTCTTTGAAGTCGGAGGCAGATACAGGTGAGTCAGGTGCTTCTGGATAGCCAGGCAGCAAGGCGGATGAAGCTTTGAAGCCAGGACCAACGGTGATGGAGGTAGATTTGGGAAAGAGGGAGGCATTGCCGGTGTGGTCCCAATGGTAGTGCGACCAGATGATCGAGCCTGCGGCGAGAATCAGAGACGGGTCGACCAGCTACAGAAATGCACTCACCGACGGAATCAAGCTCGACACCCTTCTCCTGCAGGATCTCGCTGACGTCCTTGTCGACCTTCAGGCCTGGGATTACGTCGCCCAACCTCTTCTGGATTACAGGAGGGAGGTTCCAGTAGTCTTTGCGACATCCGGAGTCGAAGAGCACCCGCTTGCCGGTTTTCTCGTTCTCAATCAGGAACGCGACATCGGTGCAGTTGATTAGTTCGTGGCCGTATTGGACTGGACGAATGAAGCTTTCTGCCTTGATGGTCAAGCAAGTTGTGCTATCAATCAAATGTACGCGAACGGTGGAGTTGGAATCTGGCAATTTGAGGTCCGACATGGTGATGGCCTTATGCTGCTGAGAATATCTCGTGCAATATCCGGTATCAGCAATAGCTGCCGTTAAGATAATTTTCTATATACATCATTATCATGTTCCAGATTGCTCCGGGTGGAGCTGAACTCTCCCCTCACGACGTCGATTGGATCTGTGGCGTAGACATATTTTTGGAGTGTCAGTATCAGTACTGGACAATATATATATCGCTGTGCCAGTCCAATATTCTCCTCCAATTCCTATCTTCTCGCAACCTGCAGTATGTGCAACCCGGATACGACAATCGCTATGACCACAAGGCTTCTGTATTTACACTTCAGCAAATCTCACTCTAACAATACGCAGTTCCGCTCAGTAAGTCAAGTTGTTGTCACAGTAGCCTCATAACGGCAGTATACCATCGGAACCAACCAACTTGAGAAATGAAGGCAAGACCACTACATGTGCGTCGTTGAAATGTATGGCATGAACGACCCCGTGATTGCAGCGGGATCGAAACCAGATCACATGATGATATTCGAGCTCATCACGTGATACTGGACTCGGCCATTGCCGCTTGGCAAGCTCGATCTGAGCGACAGCTCTTCGTCGCGTCTGAGCTGAGCTATTCTCTTCATCGATACAACTTGTTCCCATCCCTTTTTCATCGCACAGTGTTGTTGCTGACCACGAAAGGAAAATTGCCGATCGGTGTACCGCCGGCATTTGACCGTGCATCATCTTCTATTTCCCCAGCCCCAGCATTCAACCCCGCTCGTTGCAATCGAGGTTCTTTCTCTCCAATTTCCTCCTCCTCACTCCCCTCACCCAAACAATCCCCAGGCTCCCCTCGAGTCAAGAAGAAGCCTCAAAACATGGAGACGCCAGCACCCGCAGGCCGCGTCAAGCGCAAACAACAAGGCAACAAGACAAAGACGCTACCATGTCCTCACTGTCAACGCCTCTTCGCACGACTAGTGAGTAGAGCTCCTCATCTCCCTCGGCAGTCAGCGCCGGTGACTCCAATTCAATGCTAATGTTGTCGCAGGAGCACCTCCAACGCCATATTCGTACACACACCAAAGAGAAGCCTTTCGTATGCGACCTCTGTGGCAAGACCTTTGCTCGAAGCGACCTTCTCGTACGCCATGAGCGACTCGTCCACCCAGGCGAGGAAGACAAACACTCGAGCCGAAAAGGCCATCACAGGCACATCACAAATTCGCAAGCACACAATGCATCTCAGCACCGCTCGAGCATCGTGTCGCAAGGCAGTCCCACCAACGGTGTTGAGGGGATGGATGTCTCGCCCATGCAGCAAGGCCAACAGCCACTCCCATCTCCGCAAGTCAACGAGAGTCGAGCCATGATGGATATGCTAGACCCTCAGCTCATGGGCCCTCATGGCAGTATGCCCTCGCAGCAGGCAGCTATGATGGGCGCACCGTCTCTGGATCCATCATGGGGCTATGACCTTAATCTACTATCACATGCTGCAAGTCATGTCGCTTCTGGAGCTCAAGGCCAGTACGAACTACCGCCTGTCAGCCAGGAAGAGGCTGCTCTACAACAAATCCTGCCTGGCGTGAGCGAAGCCGCTGCGGCGGACTATCAACCACGCATCCTTACGGAGGGCTACGGCAGTGCAAACCTGTTCGAGAATTCGGATATTGGTGACCCAATGCAAGACTTCACCCACTTCCTCGACAGCGTTGGGCTGTCTTCAGATTGGCATACTAACATGTTCGGCGACCAGATCGACAACCTCTCCCCCGAGCTGAAGGCTGAGCAGCTTCTCATTCCGCGCTCAATGCAAGCCCCTACTGAAGCTCAGGTTGAAGGTGGTCTGGTCCCGCCCCGAGAAGAAGTCAGCACCTTTTCACGGTTCGGTTCCCGACTGCCTTCCCTGCAGCCAGAAGCGAGAACACCCGATACGAGGCCCGCTGAGCCACCCCGAAGTGCAGTCGAAGAAAATCCTATGAGAAATAGACCAACGACATGGGATGTGTCGGACGCAGACAGGCAGGTCTTTGCTACCAAGCTGGCTGCTTTTGATAGCATTATGCCCAAGGGTAGCCCACCCACATGCTATCCAACCCCGTGACTAGCTGACAAGATATTCAGGCTTTATTCCTCCGTCTCGTCATTCTTTATCACGATATCTTGCTGGCTATATCAACGGATTCCACGAGCACCTACCGTTCATTCACGTACCTACACTGTCGGTCGCTGCCAGTGCACCTGAGCTGGTACTGGCGCTAGCTGCGGTAGGAGCTCAATATCGCTTCGAGAACAGTCGCGGTATCGAGCTCTTCTACGCCGCCAAAGCGGTTGTTACCGAACAGATTAAACGTCGCGATGGATCGGCACAGACGCAGTCGTTCAGACCACGAACGAGCTCCTTGGCACAGTCACCTTCAATGCACTCTGGCAGCCCGTTCACATTTCAGCCTCCCGAAGAAGCAGTACCCACCGACAGCAAGGAGTATATGGATTCGATACAGGCATTATTGTTACTCACTGCATTTGCCACCTGGGAACGACATCAAGAGCTATTGAAAGAAGCACTCGCATTTCAGTCTACGCTTGCCCGTCTAGTACGCGACAGTGGTCTGACCAGCACCAACGATCAGCTTCCAGCCACTGATCTGACCTGGGAGCGGTGGATCAGGATCGAAGGCGACAAACGGACAAAACTGATAGTGTATTGCTTCTTCAACCTACATTCCATCACATGGGATATTCCACCACTTATACTGAACGCCGAAGTCAAGCTCAATTTACCAGATCCAGCTGCTGAATGGAAAGCCACAACGGCAGACCAGTGGAGGGAGCTACACGCTGCAAACAAGGCACCTCCAATGCCATTTCAGCTTGCCTTCAATAGACTATTCTCGAAACCTCCTCAAGATCCTGGCTTCGCAGTGTCGCCACTGGGAAATTATGTACTGGTTCATGCGCTCATTCAGCAGATATTCTTCGCCCGCCAGCTGTCTATGAGTTGGCCTGGCTCGGCAGGCTCGATGCTGCGATCCGAAGACATTACTGTGCTCGAACGTGCCTTGTCTGCATGGAAGCAAGGGTGGAAGCGTGCTCCGGAGTCTTCGCTCGATCCGCAGAACCCCAATGGGCCCGTCGCATTCACATCAACGGCCCTGCTGGGTCTAGCATACATTCGGCTGCATATCCATATGGGACCGCTTCGGCACTTGGAGACTCGCGACAGCGTACAAATTGCCCATGCCCTTCGCAACACTCCAGACCTGCAACGTGACCCACGCTTGACGCCGGCGCTTCTTCACTCGGCTCACGCGTTGAGTATACCGGTGCGGCTTGGCATTGACTTTGTCGCCAGGACGCAAACATTCTTCTGGTCGATACAGCACAGCATCTGCAGCTTGGAATGCGCTTTCCTACTGTCAAAATGGCTCGCTGCGCTGTCTCGCATCACGACCAGCAGCGGTTCTCCGCTCAGCGACCACGAGCGAAAGCTACTCTTGTGGGTGCGTAGCTTGCTTGAGGAGAGTGATCCAGCAACCGGCAACGTCAAAGCCTCAACCAACACTGTTGCGGCAGAAAACAAGGAGAACAAGGGCGTGGATGCACAACTCGAGCCACCAAAAGTCCCTAAACCCGATGCGACCAAAGCTGACGACACAGAAGGTGCTGCGCAGCTAGCGAAACAGGCAACAGCAGCACAAGCTGTGACTGACAAGGTCAAGGAACTGCTCGACGACAAGGATCGATTGAAGCGGTTGAGTGTCAGTGTGTTGCGGACGTGGAGCAAGACGTTCAAGGGCAATACTAGCTGGGCTATTGTGGACATGATCGGAGGTGCGCTCGAGATCTATGCTGATCTGCTGGAGGCGGATTTGGCTGTGCACAGCTCGGATCCTTCATAGAGTGGATGGATCGCCCTGTCTGTGCTTGCGGAGAAGGCTCTCGAGGGATTAGCTGCTGCTGGTAGCGCACACTTGGCTTGAGTTGTTCACAGGGCTGATGGGAAGGATTTCGGTCGAGCGTCATTCTGAAATGTTCAAAAGAGCTTCTATTACGGGTAGCGGGGAGGGCGTTCCGGGAAAGACAGCCTTACAGTCGAGTAGAAGATAATGAGCTACGCCTACGTTGTATGCGAACAGAAGCCACGAATCAAAATCGGTACTTTTGATACCTCAAGTATCCTATACTGTACAGACCAGCAGGTCACAGTCTTGGCTGAAAGTGTACATCTGGATGAAGTAGAACGGGCACCATTACCAATCTCTCAAACACGAATCCCCTCCCAGCCTCAAAACTTCAACCTCGCCGCCTGCCGCCCCATATGCCACCCCGTATAGACGACCGTCTTCCACAAATTCCCCAAATCCAACGTGCTGCTAAACGTATCCGCAAACCCAAACGGCAGCATAGCCGGAATCCACCCCTGCGCCAACTCGAGCGCAAAACATCCATTCGGCATCGTATACTGTGCCACTGTCCCGCGCTTCATCCAGTTCTGGTCGCCGGGACCGAAGACGGTGGGGGTGAGGTCACCGGAGTAGGCGAAGTGCTCTTCGCCGACTAGGATGGTGAAGTAGTCGTCCGCCATGTGGACGCCGGTGTGGCCCTCGGTTTGGAGCGGGGTGCCGAAGAAGATTAGGTATTCGGAGATGGAGGCGTGGAGGATTACCATCATTCCCTGTTGGGGAGAGTGAGAAGTGGTTGGAGCGGCGGGAGTGCAAAGTAGGAGACATGACTTCGAGGAAGGAAAGCAAGCATCCGAAGTGAAAGGTAGTGAAGGTTACCGACTTACCATGGCACCGCCGGCGTTATTCCACATCCAGTCCGCCTTCGAGTAGTCCTCCACGATCGCATTGCCATATTCCGCGCGCAGATCTTGGTGAATTCGCCGCATCAAGGGCTCCGTGTCGTTACCATACTGTGCGATCGCGGAACGGGAGATCTCCTGTAGCTTGGCTGGCTCAAAGACGAAGTTTCGGTGGTTGTTCTTGTCGAGGGTGTAGAGTAAGGGTATCAAGAGGGCGAGGAAGAGGACCCATGGGGAGAACGCCTGCCCAGCGGACATTTTCGATATCGTGTGCTGCTGCTCTGGAGGTCTCTACTAACACAAGGACAGTTTGGCAGGTCTATAGAAACTTTTCTGATATTGAACGTTGAGATGGAATTCAATTGGGAAATAGGGGATTTCATTTCAGCCAATCATTTCAAGCTATTTACAGCGGCACCACTCCGGCTCGCCGGCAGCAGAAAAGTGGCTGAGAGACTTCATTCACTTCATCAATAAATTCACAGCCCACGGCACCGACAAAGTCCTGAGATCGCCATAGTGCTGACCAACGCCAATGAAATGTACGGGCACCCCGGTAGCGTGGACCAGACTGACGAGTGTGCCGCATGAGTCATCCACGGTGTCCATCTTCGACACTATGAATCCATCGAGCTTCCGACCTTTACCCAAGGCTTTGGTGAAGTTCTGAGCCTGTCCGACAGAATCGTTGCCAACGAGAGCCTCAGCTACTTGCAAGATAAGATCAGGCTTCGATAGATCGATGAGCTTCTCGAGAGCCGACATCAGTTGTATATTAGTGTGCGCCCTGCCAGCAGTATCGACGAGAACGACATCATAGCCATTCGATGCGGCAAATGCGATAGCATCTTTGGCGACATTGGCTGCGTCCTTTCCATAGCCTTTCTCGTAAATGTCGACTCCTCCGAGCTGTTCTCGAGCCGTGAGTTCTTTCAGATTGCGAACGTGAACTTTGAGCTGTTCCACTGCACCAGCTCGGAAGGTATCGCCCGCCGCAATCATGACCTTGTAGTTGTTCTGTAGCAAGAAGTAGCACAACTTGGCCAGATTTGTGGATTTTCCGACGCCGTTGACTCCAAGAATCGTGATCACAAAAGGGCGTGGCTTGACCTGTGAGCTCGAGGGCTTGGTGATGGCATCGATCTGTTGAAGTAGATCCAGCGAAGATCTGGGCGTCATTATCTTACGCAGAGAGTTTTCCAGAGCAGGACGCAATGCTGTGTCCACTGATTCGAAAGCGCCAGTCTTCTTCCCGACCATCTCCGACTGCACGCCCTGGCCCAGACGCAACGCAGCATCTCGTGCTACGTTCTTCTTCATCAGATGCTCCTCCATTGCTCGAAGCGGTTTATCGAGTTCCTCCTTTGACATGGTTTTGCCACCGACTATATTTCTGAAGTAGCCAGAGATGGCACTGATTCGAGAGCTTGCTCCGTTCTGCGCAGCATCGGACTTCTCTTGATCTGCCTTTCGCAGGATCTCGTCAATCTCGTCATCGATGTCTTTGAGTACAAAGTGTCCATCCTTGGTCTTTTTACCCCAGCTCTGCTGATCTATGGCTTCTGGAGGGGGCGACTTGGTACCTTCCAGGTCATTCTCAGCGTGCACGGAGTAGTCGAGATTTGTAGCATCGCCGTCGTCCTCGCCAGCCATGCCGTCTGGTCCCCACACGCGTCCTTTCTTGCTTTTCGTTCTCGGTGTAGCTGGTCGCTTGGCCTCATCGCCAGACGTATTGTTGCTCTGCGGAGCATTTGCAGCATTCGCAGCCTTTCTCGCTCGGCGGGATCCTCGACTGCCCGGTCGCTGCTTCTCAGCCAGCAAGTGCGGAGGTAGTGGAGTGGTAGGACGCGAAGTATCTGGTGTCTCAACAGGTGTTTCGGTTTCGGAGATTTCTCCGGGTGCAGCTGCAGTACGAGACTGCACCCTGAGTAGCCCAGGCTGGGATGGAGGAGGAGGGCCCCCGTTGTCTGACTCTTCCGGACTTGATCTTTTGTCCTCCAGCTCGGATGCTCTGGGAGGCTCAGCAGATGCTGCGCCGGAGGTGCTCTGGTCTAGTCTTTGCAGCTGCTTGTCGTAGAGCGAGTCGAAGTCGTATTTGAGGACGGTCGCATTCGGCTTCTGCAGCTGATCCTTGTATACTGTAACGAATATCGCCTGGATGTCGTTGAGCAACTGATCTACCCATGTTAGATGGAGTATAGATTGGTACACAGCCTGTTTGCGTTAGTATAGTTTGACGAGGTGTTGTCAGGAGAACCATACCACGAACATCAGACCCAAGTCCTGCACAAGCGCATATCTGAGCGTATACTTGTCATGCTTGTAGGCGGCGTTGCTGGCGGCATCCTTACTCGGTCGGAATGGCCCCGCTATGAAGATGTCGTTGATGAGACTGTTGACTGCTTGGCCTGCGCCGGCAGAAGAACCCTGGCGCGACCATAGTACCACTCCGGAGGTCGTAATGACCTCGAACGCGTCAAGCATTGTCGCAACGGGTTTCCTGGATGGTTGCAGATGAGGTTGCGATCTGGACCAGAGTCGAGTACTGTCTCGTTGAATTATTGGAGAATCTAGGCCTGACGTAGGTGCCAAGGGGAATTTTAAGCGTGTCACCCAGGCGGCGGGGCGGCATTCGTGTTTGTGAAGGTGTTGTCTTTCCCGCTTCCTCTTGCGAGTTCACCTGTTTGAGTGTGACAGACGCAACCCTCCCTTCATTTGACTGGGAGGATGAAATCACCAGATCTTAAATGGACTTCATGTCAAGTCTATCTCTATGTCCAATACTATCCTTGTGCTCCAGGCGCGATGTGAGTTGACTGATCTAAGTCCGCCACTGCTCAGGCGTCTCTAACGCCAACAAGCTCGCAAGATTCTTCCCACAATTTCTTAGCACTCTCTGCATCAAATGCCCAGGATGCATAGCCAGTGTCGCCCAGCTGCGCACCTTCCTTGGCTGGCTCTCCGACCATGCAGTCCTCAAGGTACATGGCACCTGTCCCCTCAAACTCCTTTTCAACCGCTGCCCACACGCTAGTCGCAGCACCTTGGGCAGGTGTCTTCATAGCCTTTGCTACCTCAGGAATCTCCCACATGACATCAAATTCTGGCACAAACGTCTGTAAGCCGGTCTTGATGCCGCCGGGCATTACACTGAAGGCGTGAATCGCCTTGCCGCTCGCAACGGCCTCTTTGTTGCCATAGCGTCGTTCGATTTCGTTCGCTGACCAGATCACAGCGGTCTTTGCATGCCCATAAGCCATCCACTGCTCGTATTTGGACTCGAGATTCAAGTCGTCCAGGATGGTCGGGCTGCTGCGGTGACCCACAGACGACAGGTTCACGACGCGTGAATTGAACTCTGGCGATGAACCGGCGAGCAGTTGCGGCTTCAGGAGCCGGAAAAGCAAGAAGTGTGCGAGATGATTGACACCAAACTGGGTCTCAAAGCCATCTTGCGTAACGGTGTGGTGGGGCACGGCCATGACCCCGGCATTGTTGATGAGAATGTTCAGCTTGGACTCCTTGGCCTGGAACGCAGCAGCGCAGGCTCGGACACTGGCGAGGGAGTTCAGGTCCAGCTCCAGAAGCTCAGCTTTGCCGGGCTCGAGGATGTCTTTGAGTGCCGCCTTGCCTTTCTCGACGTTGCGGACAGTCATGTAGACTTTCGCACCGGTCAGTTTCATGGCAGCAGCGGTTTCGATACCGATACCGCTCGAAGTGCCGGTGACGAGGACCACCTTGTCGGTCCACTTGCCGACGATATCCTGGTCCTCGACGACTTTCTTGGCTGTCGCACGATGATCGCCTGGACCAGCATTGTTCTCACGCTTGTGGGGTTCGGCGTAGCGTGTATACATGGTGAGAGTCGTCCGAAATGCTAGGTATGGCTCAAGTGATAGATCAGTGGTTGTTTGATGAACGTGAACGTGTCGCTTTCGATTGCAATGTGTGTTGCGTGGTACCTCCGATGACATGAGGGCTGTGACTTTATATAGCTGACCGGAGACCGCTCGATAGACCAGCAACAGCCGCCACTGCACGCGCGAAACCGGTCGAGCTGAACCACATTGTGCTTCGACCACCGGGCAGAGCGATCCGAAGCCCACGTTGTGCCTCTATCAACGGACAAGGCTATCCGAATATTATCGGTCGGCAATAAACATGATATCAAACAAGCCAATCAGGAAATGCCGCTGTGTGGCCGCTAGCATTAGCGGTGCCCATAGGGCGGTTTTAGGTCGAAAGCCGTACGGCCGTTGCCTTAGGTAAGCGGTGTACGTGTAGCCAAGGCACACTTGGACGTCGGTTAGTAGGAATAATTGATCGTGGATTCCCTGGCCAAAGGCGTCGCTGTAGGCAGTCTGTCCGTGAGCAAAACTCGCCGTCGACTCCGCTGTCGCAAACTAGCTCAGGAACTGTCGTAGCTAGTATGTGTTGTGGGCTGGTCGCGACTCGAATTTTAGTCAGGTTTCCGGAAGCAGACCGTCGAAACGCCTTGTCCCTTGTGGCCACCGAACTGGAACGTTTTGTACTTGATCTTGCCGAAGACTTCGAACTGGTCTTGCATCTCGCCTGTGGTGAACCAGTCGATAACCTCCTCTTCAGTCCAGTTGCAGCTTGTGATCAGAAAGAACCCACCTTTACGGACGAGTGCAGCAGTTTTCCCAGGATAAATTTCACAGAGGCGTTTGTCGACGCCTTGTGAGTCCACGACGGTCTCTGAAGACAATGAAACTGCATCGAAGGTACCCTTGTCCAAGACTAGATCAAAGCCCTCCCCATCTTCTGGCCACCAGGTTGCTATCAGCGGGTCGTCGGTGACCATATCGAAGACGTGAAAGCTGATCGGCGGCGGCCGATGCTGGGGCGTCGCGAAGAGACGGCTGTACCGTGCATGTAGCTTGTTCGCAAGCTCGATGCTCTGCTGAGAATAATCGATCCCCACAAGACATCCAGTGTAGCCTCCGTCGATGAACAGACTGAACAGCGAGCTTCCATTGCCTGTCCCTAGATCCAGCACAGTGCAGCTAGTCTTCCGAGAAGCCAGTGGGAAAGCCTCTGAGGTTAGATATTGTAGAACTTTCGCAGGGGCGCCAACATCATCAAACCACGACTCCAGGTCCGTATGGCTGCTCAATGCAGTCGCTTCATCTCCCTCGGATTCGTCGTGGTCAAGGTCATTCTGGTAATACTCATCCCAGCTGGGATTTTTGTGAGCATTTCGACTTACATGGATCCTTATGCACTCACTATGATCGAGTGCCAAGCTCGCTTGGTTCCAATTGACGCGGAGCAGGCTCATCGACCGCCGTTGCTACTGCCTCTGCTGTAGCCATGCCACACGAGGTTGAGTTTAGGATCTGTATAACAGAAGAAGGGTGTTGGATAAGGGTACTTCAGAATCGAGGGGGGGAAGCGCCCCAAAAAATTTCTCCAACCACAAAATGACGTTGGCTGCTTTTTTTCGTGACTTGGGCGATGGTCTGCATTTCTAAGCACAGAAACATAGAAACACTGAAGTTGCCTCCGTCGGTCTTATTTATTGCATTCGCGACGACCGCGGCGTCTGAAACTACCCCTTCGTACCACTTGGCTTGCAAAGGACCTCCTCAACATCACCACCAGGAAAATGGCCAGCCACGAACGAAATCCTCACGAGTTGGACCCTGAAGACGATGATATTCTTGACGCCGATGAGGCCGACGAGGAGATTGACGAAGACGGTGACCAGCCAATGGACGATGACGATGAGGAGGAGATTCAACTACAGAATGACTCTGCGGCATACTTCGACGCGCATCAAGACAGCATCTTCTGCATAGCCCAGCATCCTACCAATCCAGGCATCGTCGCTACAGGGGGCGGTGACGACGTGGCCTATGTCTTTGATGCCACCCTCGCACCAGGGCCTGTACTGCCCAGCTCTTATGAGAGCGAACCCAAACAGCAGACTGAAAGAGCAGGACTACAAGCACTCGAGAAGTTGGAGGGCCACAAAGATTCCGTCAACGCAATTGCCTTCACCTTGCCCAAGGGCGACTACTTAGTGACGGCCGGGCTCGATGGACAACTACGAGCATACCAGAGCGACAAGTCGGCGACCAAGTACAAGTTCTTCGCCGATGCTTCCGAGGTGCAGGAAATCAACTGGGTCGAGCCTTGCCCGAATCCGAATCAGCCGAACGTGGTTGCCTTAGGCGCCAACGACGGCTCGGTCTGGGTGTATCAGATCAATGCTGCCGACACTTCAAGTCCGCTGACCATTATACAAGCCTACTATCTGCATACAGCAGCCAGCACTGCTGGTGCCTGGACACCTGATGGCAGTCTTCTAGCCACTGTTTCGGAAGACGGCAGCTTATACGTCTGGGATGTCTTTGGCACCGGCCAAGCAGTCGTGTCCCAGACTGCTACAGATCAGAGGTTCGAAATCGATGGAGGCCTCTACAGTGTGGCTTGCAACCAGAGCCTTGTTGCTGTGGGTGGCGCGACTGGCATGATCAAAGTCGTTGGTTTGCCACAACAAGCAGATCAGTCAAAGAAGAACAAGGCCGCCAAGGGCTCAAATACGATAGCGTCATCCGCCGGACAGATTCTTGCTTCGCTACATCCCCAGAATGAGAGCATAGAGACCTTGTCTTTCTCGTCGGCACCACTGAATCTGCTTGCGGCCGGCAGTGTTGACGGCTCGATTGCACTGTTCGACACCGCTCATCGATTTGCGATGAGGAGACATATCAAGGAAGCTCATGAGGAGCATGCAGTTGTCAAGCTGGACTTCGTACGAGGCTCGCAACGTGGCGGGCACATCCTGACGAGCGTTGGCATGGATGGAGTCGTGCGACGCTGGGATGTGCGCGGCGGTACCACTGCTGCTGGACAAGGCTTTCTGAAAGAATGGAAAGGGCACAGAGGCGATGGTGAAGGTGGCGGTGTGCTCGGCTTTGTCCAAGGAGGGCCAGGGAATGTTATAGTCACTGCTGGCGACGATGGTGTCTCACTGGTCTTCAGGGCAGACATTGCCTGAAGCAGGCGCCTTTGTTGCAAGATACAGGTCTGGCATGCATTGCATAAGATCCAGCAGCGTCTTGGGGCCCTCTTCTCTGCCATAGTTATCACCGTCGCTTGAAGATGGACATCAGTCAGGCAATGGAGGCTCACTTCGTCGAGTGGCTCCGGGCGGCGACCTATGACATGCTCCTGATACAGTACAACACGGATGGTTCGAGGAAGCCAGCAGAAATCCACTTCGGTCCACGAATATTAGATAACGTCGGTCAGTGCATCACGCTCGCCCCACTAGATTATCTTCCGGTCCTGGTCCGCGAAGCTCTCCCACAAATCATCAGCAAGTTCAGAACCCAAGAAGGACGAAACCTGGAATACAATCTCATTACGGTCCGCGTCTTCCTGCCAGATAGAGTCTTCTACGGTCACGACTGCAAAATCTCAGCTACACAATCGAATCAGAGTGTCTGGTTCACGCATACGGGCGCAATCCAATGCGAATGCATTCTCGACACCGATCCTGCCAAGGTAGACTTCCATGAAGCAAACGGTACTTTCAGCGAGCATCCCAGATCATTTGTCGATCGTGCTGCCGGCCTGAACAGTCGTCTCGAGGCTGGTCGGCTCTCCGCCGAGCAGTTTGGCTATGAGTTCGGAGCTATGCTGAAAGGATGTCCACTACAATGCCAGCCTCAAACGGTCAGTCAAGGGCAGTACATGCTCCGAACACAGTTCGATCCAAGCGATATGGCTCATATGTTTAAGCTCTCGGCGGCAAATACCGGTGATGGATCGGGTAACCAGCAGGCGTGCATTCAGATTGTGCTGAGGGAGCTCGAGCTGCAGGATGCGGTCAAGAAGGAGGAAGAGGAAGGGGGCAAGCAGGTGGTCAAGACCGAGCCGATCTCTGCAAATGATGCGGACATAATCATCCAGAGTTGGCTAAGGAGAACTAAACGGTAACGGCAACGCTGGACAGATACAGCAGATTGACGAAATCGTGGTTCTTTGCGCGGAGTTGTGGTTGGCAGCAAGAAGGCAAGTGGCACAGACAGTGTAGCTATCGTCGAAAGCTACTGACTAAGATGGTCACGACACCGCGTCCTAGACCATGCGCTACTACACCCTGCAATGCTGGTCGGGCCCAATGGTGGAGTTTATGCTCAAGCACAGAAAAAGATGAGTGACCAACACGAAACATGCTGTGCTTGGACCTTGAAATTATTTGCCCTTTTACTGTGTCTGTGGCTTCCCTGTGGAGACATCTCTAGCCCTGCGTCCAGGCAACCAAGTAACCTCAATGTGGACTTCCTATCTCCAATGCTTCCTTTCTCCCATCTTCCCCTCATGACATCTGACTCTCCTCATTGCGTTCTTGGGAATGATGAAAACGTGCATCCCGGCAGCAGGGATCGTCCAAAGACGAAGCTCCTGATATTGCGGGGTGTCCAATGATCGTTGCAGCCGGCGTGCCGCGAGACCGAGTGCTTTCGTCTCGAGATGTCTATCGAACGGATCAGTCGCCTCTCACTGGCTCTCGAAAGAGCATGTCTGACGTCTCTGCTGCTGCGAGATGGCTTCGTCTCAGGAAAGAGAAGTTCGTGACGATCTTCGACCAGGGCTCCTGTACTATAAGTCTGCTGTCGACACATGCAAGTCCCTCGATCTGACGTGCTCGCACTTGCGCTCTGACACAAAAATTCTTTGAGCACCCCAAGGACCTAACAAAAAATATCAAACCGACACGATGCCTTCAGCCAACGGTACAAATGGTACAAATGGCTCAGCTCATGCCTGGACTCAACTTCCATCAGCGATGGGCAAGTCTGTCAAAGGACTCCAGAAGCTGCTAGACAACGATCCACAATGGCAAGCATTCGTCAACACGAACGCTGTCATCGAGCCTGTGACTATGGGCGTAGCTAGCAAGGTAAGTGCCCGGGCTTCAGTAGTGACACATGCGTTGGCTTGGATGGCAGCCCCAAAGCCTCCCCGGGCATGACTGCCGCACCTTCTCTCCTCCTTTCAGTCTCATTCCCGGGTCTCAATACATACTAACCAAGATCCTCTCACTCAGGGTGGCGATGCGATCCTGGTCCACGTTGACCAGAAGCAGACGAAGACCTCAACAGGCTCGCAAGACAAGGCAGACTTCACGTTGATTGCGAATGGTGAACAGTGGGAGAAGTTCTTCGACGCTGACCCGAAAGCACCGTACCAGTCTTTTGTTGGGCTTCAGGTCTGCAAAGTCTCTGTTGCACCCTTCTCAGAGTACTAACTCAGCCAGGGCATGAACATCAAGCAAGAGGCGTCGGAATTCAAGGCAACCAGACCAAGTTCGCACAGAACTGCCATCTGACCACTCGCCTCCTCGAGCTCCTGCGCGAAGGTCTGCATGGTCCCATGCCACAGGACTCCCAGACAGAGCCCACAGAGGACAAGATCGTTGGGCGCTACAAGTACGTCGACTGCCCCGTTTGGGGTCGAACAAAGCTCTTCTACGAGACAACCGGCAACGGGCCCATCCCCATCGTCTTCCTCCACACCGCCGGCTCCGACTCCCGCCAATACCACGGCGTCCTGAACGACGAGCGCATGATCGAAAAGTGCACCATGTACGCCTTCGACCTCCCAGCACATGGCCGAAGCTTCCCAGGCAGCAACTACATCCCCGGAAACCACACCAACAACGAGGAAGCCTACGTCGGCACCATCGCCGCCGTAGTCCAAGCCCTAGGCCTCGAAAAGCCCATAATATGCGGGGCCAGCATGGCCGGACAAGTCTGCGTCGCCGTCGCCATCCGCGCAGCCGAAGTCGGCGCTGGCGGCACAATCCCCATGCAGGGATGCGACTTCTTGACCATGGACCGCACCTTCAACGACAAATCCCCCGTAGTCAACCAATCCCTCTGGAACCCAGACTGGATCTACGGCATGATGAACCCGCACGCGCCGTACATCAACCGCCAGCTGATCTGGCATATGTACTCCGCCCAAGCCTACGGCATCTTCCACGGCGATCTCGACTTCTACTTTGGCGGCTTTGACGCCCGTGATCGTGTATCCGATATCGATACTGATGTTTGTCCGATCCATTTCCTGACGGGGGTGTACGACTGGTCTACTACGCCTGAGATGTCGAAGGCTACGGCGGACAAGATCAAGGGCGGGAAGTTTACTGCCATGGAGGGACTCGGCCATTTCCCTGCGACGGAGAATCCGGGGACGTTCGTGCCGTACTTGCTTGAGGCGATCAAGGGCATTGAGGGTCAGAGAAATGGTGGCCAAGGTGGAAGATGGTGAGTTTTCTTGTTGTTGGTTGCTCCGATTTCCTGCTTCATGTTGTGTCGCGTTTGTTTGAGACTTTGGGGATGACGTGGGCTGACGATGCGTGTGTTGCGGGAAATGAAGGTCCGATGATGTTAGCATGAAGGGAACGGAGAATGGAAATGAGAATAAGCGGAGGAAGACCCGCCATTCATGATGTCGAGTGGCGCTAGTGAGGGTTGCACAAGAAGGGAGAATGTCGCTCGACGGTGAGTGGTGCAGGATTTGAGAGCAAGCCTATGTATATTAGTTTCGGGCGGTTGTTGGAAATATATTCATTGGTACGCGCATGAAATCCCTTGCGATATTCTACGTCGAGTCACGCGGTAGGACTGGCTGCGACTAACCATGGCAATTCGCTTGTCCTTGCCGAAGGACGCATACAAGCGGCAGGCAGCGACGGCAGTTGGATTTGATTTGGATTCGAGCAAGGACAAGGAAACGACGTTCTCATCTCACGCCGGATGACGAACCAAGTCGTTCAGGAAGACCGGATGACCAGGGGTCCCCGTACCTTCTTCCAACACAGAACTGCCCGTGAACCACGGCGCCATTCTTGACTCCAGTCAAACTTCCATTCCGAAGCCTGGCTGCTTGCTTGTTTCAGTCATCATCGTCATCACTATCATCTCCACCGTCGTCTTCACCATCGCTGTCCCCACCGCCGTCCTCGAATATGTTGAGCAACGGCTCCTGGGCTCTTCCAGAGCTCGCGACCGGCAACCCCGCCGTAGCCGCCACAGCCTCGAACCCCTCAGTCCTTGCCTCCGCGAGCCTTTGCGTATACGGCCCAAACCCCCTCTCATGAAAGCCCAACCTCGCACCGGCATCAGCAGGGTCTCCAATCGGTGCTCGTTCGCTCAGCGCCCAGCCCATGACGGCGTTCCCGATAGTGGCTTCGGGCCCGAGGCCGAGCGTGCTGTTGAGACAGTCGCTGCAGAGGAAGGTGTAGGTGAGTTGGCTGGCGGAGACGGAGGTGGCGGAGGGTATCGGGCGGGCGGTGAAGAGACCGCGGACTTCGGGTGGGTTGTCTTCGTCGGAGGCTGTTGTGAGGCGTGGGGATGTCAGTCTCAGGTTCTTGTTAGGTGCGGGTGGTGTTGGGAGCAGCTGGAGTGGGTAGGGGAGAATTGACCTTGTCTGAAGCTGGACATGACGCCGCCGTTCCCGTCAGGCCAAGCGGCGAGGATGAAGTTGCCTTCCATCTCGCCTGTCAGCCGACGGCACCCCAGCCGTTGCCGTTGACCAAGGGGAAGGAGAGTTGACCGATGAATGAGGTGGATGTGGTGGATGCTAAAGGTAGCGCCATGGCGAAGGAGAATTGTGTGCGGGCGCCGAAGAAACGCTCCATCGGGAGGTTTGTGAGTGGATCAACGAAGGGTGTCGTTATCTGGGCAGCTGAGGAGGTGGGCTCGTCATCATCTTGTGCGTGAAGGGGACTGGAAAGCAAGAGGAGAGGGACTGCGCTGGCAGCAAGAAGTTTTGTAAGACTGAGTGGTCGACGCTGTCTGCTATGTGAGAACATGTGGCGTCTTGAGGCCTGCAAGAGATCGCTGGAATTCATGCTGGGACAGATGGCATGGACAGTAGGCGGACGTTGAATGATGGACGTTCTGTTGCTGGAGACGGGAGGAGCTCACCATAACATCAGAACACGAACTTGCAGGACCATGCGACCCCTATGAGATCGTAGAGTCATGGCGAGCCGCGTACCATTCACACCGGCGTCCTCCCGTGAACATTGCTAGACGTGTAAGAGGTGTAGGTCGTGGTCGCCAAGCACCTTCTCAGGCGGCTAAGGCGGCTTGGTCCTTCCAACGGCTTCGAGGGATACAGCGCCATTGCAGCCATCAAAAAGGCAAGCAGTCATGATTGAGGAAAGTATAGGCAAAAGTTGCGTGCCTCAACGGTCGTAACTTACGCGGTTCACAATGCCAAGACTGACTTTCGAAACGCGGAGAGCGTCGCAGATCTATGGGCGTTCTTAGCCTTGCGTCTTGAACGTTACTCTGCCCATTACGTGGGCCGGAACACGTAATGTCCAGTGCATACATGAAGTTCGGTAGTAGCATACAAGCGAGCCGACCCTGCGAAACGTCCACGCAACCAGAGTATGGCAGTCGCGTAGGACAATTGGACCACAGGAGTGGGTCGATCGCAGCATCCGTCTGTAACAGCTTGCTGTGAATGCCTCATGCAGTCCTTTAGCTCGACTTCAAGTATCAGAGACATGTGAGGTTCATATGAGACGAGATGAAGCTGCTGGTGGCCCATTAAGAGTTCTCTAGCAGCAGGCAGCAGGCCGTTCGAACCAGCCAGCGAACAGTGAATACTTCGAAGGAGCGGCAGTGAAGTGATCGTTTCGGTTTGCGCCGGATGCTCAGTCTGTCGAAAGATTATAAGTATCTGCTTTGCCCTCGTCATTCTACTTCTGCTCTTATTGTCAGAAGAAGAGCAAAGACGAGTACACTTGTCATGCCGTGTTAGCATCTAATGCTGCCTGGTGGGACGAGCTTGACCAATAATTCCTTAGCCGTACCTGTATCCCGAATTACCTGCTTCCGTCATTGGCGCGCGGGTTATGCGTACCGACAGGGTTCGCGTCAGCCAAACCCGACCACCAAAGGTGCGTGTGCGCGCGTTCTGACGCATATTCGAAAAACATACGTCGTGCCGAGTCATCTGGTCCAGCCACTGGAGTCCACTGTTCTTGACGTGGACGGACATAGCTAGGTCGACAATCGTGCAGTAATCCGAGATTTGGACAACAAGACTGGCCTCAGGTATGTTTGGTCTTCTGACCTTTGGCACCAGCACTGACGTTCTCGGCTTCTCTGGCCGGAAGCAGTAGTCTCGCCAATGCGCCCAGGGCGTGTGTCATCTATTCAAGAATCGGGTCAGCGCATCAACCTACGCATTGCAGACTGTCCATGGGCTCACGCCGGCCACGTCTTTCTGGCACGGTCGAACATAAAGCAACAGCTGACTTACAATCCAATCAAGCCACTTCGAACCGCCAAAGGGCAAAGGTATGTGGATATACCTATCTCTCTCAGAGAAAACTCGCATTCCATGAAGGATCGACGGGGAACCATTAGCGAAAACGTCTCTGAAGAACCTGCGTGTAGAGATCTGTCAGTTCCTTCGTGGGCTGGAATTGGAGAGGTGAAGAGGCAGACAGGCAAAGCCTCCAAAGCTGCAACGGTAGTCGGGCCAGCAAGGTCCTCGAATGCCCTAGTCCGGACCCCAAACCGCATTCATATGCAAGTTTGTACACGGCCGTTTATGAGAGAACAAACAAGAGGGAGAAACTGACTCTGCCTTGAAAGTTCCACTGCCATCTACTTCCTTGCCATCCTTCTCCCATCCCGCAGCCAGCGCCCTCTCCCGGAATGATGCTCCTACACCCCTGATCACTTCGAACCCATGGACGGTGCCTCTTCGAATCAACAGCTCCTGCCCTTCACTCAAGACATGTTCCTGACCATCGATGAAGAACTTGAGCTTCCCAGACAATACCGTCATCGCTTCATCATGGTGCTCGTGCCAGTGCGCTGGAACAGCCAAGAGGGTGTGCTTCGCTGGGTCGGATTCGCGATCAGACGTGATGGTTGTGGGAGGTGTGTAGGTCACGGTGACCCATGATGACGGTCCAGCGTCGGGGGGCGTGCAGTTGTAGATATCGAGTCGCGAGGTAGCGGTAGGGTACAGCGTGGTTTCGTGAGTGGTGTGTGAGGGCTTTGGGTTAAAGGCCGGAATCTTGGGTGTGATACTCATCGTTCTTGGCTGCTGTCCGGAAGTGGCGTTGAATAAGGAGCCGTCCGTTCGCAAGAGACGAGTTTGGTATACTCTTGGTGGAGGTGGTCTGATTATAAGTCGTGGGATGTGTGAATAAAGCCAACTCCCGCGCTTCCTTGTACTCTATTGATCCTTCCTGGGCTGCAGACCTTGGGCCAGGTATGGCTTCAGTCTCGTATGCACAGCTGTCCCGACACGCGTTGTTGGGCCGAACCGATCACGGTATCATTTCGAAGGCATACCACTCGAAATGATATTGTGATTACACGGACCTACCTTGAACAACAGAAGACAGGATGCTGTCACCGAGCAGTGGAAGCTGCCGTCTGGACATGTTCGAGCTGCAACGTCGCAATTCGTATTCAGCCGCATTCGTTTCGGCGGAATGCCACTTACCGAGCTGGCGTCGATAGGCCAGGAATAAGTCACCGGTTAGGCGCAGGCGCGTCGGTCTGAGCCGGACAGCTAGCTCCCATGATCTTTGTTGAGGCCCCCAAGACCGTACCGCTTGACAAGCGAGTGCGAATAATGCAGTGCGAGTAGTGTGCGACCCATGTTCAGTGTGCTGCTGCGACTGAGGAGAATCAAGGCTTCTAAAGTTGTTGTTGAGCGACAAAAACGCAAAAAGCAATGCTCATGGCAATGTTGACATTGCATCAGCCGTGAATCGAACACGGGGCCCGTCGATGGCAACGACGGATTTTACCACTAAACCACTGATGCGATGTGTGACAACTGGAGGTGGTTGTTGATGCAAATTTGCGATACCCACGTATATGAATCGCAATTTGCTTCTAGTTGCAGGCGGGGTCTTCATCGTTTGATCTGCCGCTGCTGCCGGATCTGTAAAATCTCACTCTCCGGCAACCTCTCAGCATTCAACTTACCCATCATCAGGTCTGGCCAGGACGCAGACATGGAGACAGCAGTCATATTCTCGGGCTCTGCCAGTGAGCCTGACCGCCATGGTCGCGATCACTGAGGACCTCGTCCTTCTCGATATTACTGAAGTGCATACGATGGCTTTCTGCTGATTGGCTGGGCGCTACTAGCTTTCAACGTGGAATCATGCATTTCAATGCCCGAAGGGCGTGGGCTAGCTGATCGCGCTGTTATGATCTTCCCCGATCACAGCACTACCTGCACATGGCCGCACGCTGGCAATCCTGCTGTTTAAGTATTGCAGGCGCCAGCCAATGCGGCGAATTGTCCTTTGAACGTTTGTAGTGATAGCGAAGCGAATACGATTGGCCTTGTGTAAAGATCATACATCTACAAGACATAGCAGGTACCATTTGGTTATACAGTCGAGACTTCAAAACTGATCGTGGGAGTAACAATGGGATCTCTTTCGCCGCCCTCGAGCGACGTGTCAGTCGCATTCTACAGCCGGGACGACCTGAGAGCCGATCCTACTGTGACTAAAGCGATCTTTGATCTGATCAACCTCGCCTTCATGGTACATTCTCAGACGATCGGCTTCCACAAGAAGGAACCGCGCTTTTGGAACACGGACGAAATGCTGGAAATGGTTGGTCCCAATGGTGTTCTCGCCGCAGCATCGATCAATGGTCAACTAGTCGCTTCCTCCTCGTTCGTTCCTTGGCGACCGACGCCAGGAGGTAACGTTGACCAAGCCCTAAAACGAGACCGACCAAAGGACTACGCTCTCTTGGAGCAAGGAGGGCCGAGCTATGAAGTCAAAGCCGTCGTCACGCTCCAGGGACCTACAACATCCCGGCAAGGTCTGGCAGGAGTAGTCAATGAGGCACTGCTCAAGCACGTCGACCAACGACACCCAGGCCAGGATGTACTGCTGTGGATCGGGATAGCGGAAGCACAGGCGGGTCCGTATTGGCGGAGAAGGGGGTACGAGAGAGTAGGAGATATTGAAATCAAGCCGACAGGCACATGGGGTTCAGACCACCCTTTCGAGTATATGACATGCATAAAAAGAGTAGACATAAGCCGGTCTGGGTAGATTTGAGTGAGCGAGCAATGAAATAGAGTCATCATTCGTTATCCTTGCCATTACTGTGTCGATCACCGTCAAAGCTCCAGTGACGCCATTTGCTGTCCCAGCTATAGCGGCTCAGTCGTTCCCACGCTATACTATAGCTACCACACACAAGACCATGTGGCTAGTTGGGCGTGAGGGCCGCAGGGCGGTACGGAAGTTTTGGATTTGAAACTTGGCCTTGCTTGAAATTTGCATATTCTGCTGGGGTCATAGTGACGTTGACGGTGCCGTTGCTGCCATGATTCTTGTAGCCATTTATTTGCCGGTTGTTGGCCGGCTCGTTGACTCCATCGTCGATGGATGGTGTCGATGGTGATGCGGCAAGCTGCTGGGTCTTGAAACGCCGCTTTTGGTTCAAGGGTGCAGGATTCAGGGCCTTCTCGAACGCGTTTCCGAGCGCAGTCAAGAGCGCCTGCTCCGCTGTCTGGACGGCGTCGTTAGCTGCACTTTGTTCTTTGCCTGCCTCACTCTCTTCAAGCTTGACCTGGATGTCATCCGGCTTGTCGTCGGGATTGCGCTGCTTGATGTCGGTCTCTGCTTCTTTGAGCTTGACATCAGCTTCCGCAAGCGCGTTCATAGATGCAATCAGCTCTAGCAATTCGTTACTCGCTGCACTCCAGCTCTCCTCCTCGAGATCGGTGAGCCATGTGCCCTCTGCGCCCAGGTAAACGGTGACCGCACGACTGGTAGGGAAAATGATCTTTCGCTTGTGGGATTGATCTTCCCAGACGACATCTGCCAGCTTGTCATTTATCTCGATGCCGACTGGCTGCTGACCTTTGGCATAGAGACCAAGCCTTGCCGTTAGTTTCGAGCCAGACGCGCTTGGTAAGACGATCGTGCCCACGCCAGGTAGCCATGGCTCAGCTTCCATGTAGGACCAACACCGTCGGCAGGTTTACTTTCGCCCTGGGCTACTGCCTTTGTCCGCCAAATCCATGGGGTAATCACCGACTGATTGATCAAGTAGATGGTATTCTCAGGAGGCTTGTTGCCGTTACCAGTGCTGGCTGGGCGGAAGCCGTCACCCTCAATTGTGTAAACCTTGCCATCCGCATTCTTGGGAAGCCGAAACGTTGGTTTGTCTGCATCAATCGTGAGCTCGAGCTCGATCGTTCAATGCGCGTGGTGAATGAATGGCAGACTTACCTTCGTTGAACGAAAACCAATAATCAAAGGTGCCAGGATCATGGCCCTTGACGCGCATGGTGATCTGCCACTTCTTTGGGTCATAAGCTATGGATCGTTAGAACAACATCAGACAATGAGGTGTCAACTGAACTGACTGATCGAATCAGCTTCTTGCTGGATGACGAGATCGGCATCCCACTGCGCATTGTCGAATGTGAGCGCCTTGATTGACACATAAGGCTGGTATCTAGTCTTCCCGATGATGTCCCAGATTTTGGCATCCGTTACCTGAATGGTGATGAAGTAATCCACCTGGCTGAGTCTTCTTCGGTCACTTCCACAGGAGGTGCCTGCTCTGCCTTGGTCTCTAACGCCATTTCGTAATTGTGGGAAGCAGATATACCTCGAACGGAGAGACCTTATGTTACCCGCAAACGCGAGCCGCCACCCTTATATGTGCTCTGCATCGCCCAAGCTCTACTTACAGCGCAACAGCATGCAAGGGTGACCGAGCTGGTGGCTTGGGCCAGGCTCTGGCCAGTCCCATTCAACATCTGCACTGACAAACCCAATAATGATAAGCACAGAGCACACTGGCGTCAAGTCAGGCTCTACCTGGATTTGGAAAGCTAAGCCTGCATTCAAGACGGACTCTTTCATTCGAACAGCAAGACAGCTAGTCCAGCCTCGCACGCATGACTAGTGCCAAAAAGGCAGAGACGCACACCAAGATCTTGCATGGTTATTTGTGGTCAGTCAGGCTTCATGTCAGAGCGAAGACCCGCTAAGCCTTTTTGACGCATCAAAGGGAAGAGTTAGGTCGTCAGGATCGTTCCGGACCATGCACCGGGGCTCCATTGGGTAGCTTGGTACCGAGAAGAGTAAGTTCCAGGGTAGCTGAGTATCGAGAAGAGTAAGTTCCAGCCAGATTTGCCAACAACAACTCATAGACAAGACGACGATGAAGACATTTGAGCCAGCCACAAGGCTGACCCCTCACGAAGGCGCTGAGCCTCGACCGGGCAAATACGAGGTCGAAACCTAATTGAGAGCGCAATACTCTGTCGTCGAATTCGCATTGGACGCGGTTTCTGCTTGAGTCTGCGCACGCCATTTCTGGTCAGCAAACCTAGCCGGAGCTGTATCAGAGCTTTGACCACTCGGCACGCGGCGTCACGGCATGCAGCATGCGATCGAGTCCTTGAAAGTGCCCGAATCGTCGAGACTCTCTTTTGACACCTCATTTCTGCAGCCCAAGCTCCTCAAGCATCTATGCTTGTTCTAGACAAGACCTACACTGAGGCTTGGCCAGAGCCGTGGGATCCTTTTCTGGCTGATGCCACTTGCGAACAAGGCTAGATGCCTCGTATTCAGGTCTCTCTGCGAGACGAGTCAAAGATGTACTCTTCAATCCGGGTCCTGCATACACGACCTTTGACTATCGTCGACTGCGCGCCTCTGGTACAAAGTAACTAGTCCAGTCCTCGCCAGATCGTTTCTATGGGTCAAGAGCTCTCATTAATGCGGTCTCAAAGCGAACAACGAGCTATCCAGGAGCTGTTCGCAAAGCTCACACCTGATTGGTATCGAGTGAAAGCTGACGGGCTCAAACATGACAGCTCTTTGCATGCTTATTCGGCACCAGCAACAATGTCCGTAGGTCGTACGGTAGGTGCAGTGATGTCGAGGGACTGGTCGTAGGCTTCCGCTGCTGCGCGATTGGATTGTGCAAAAATCAATTCGAGCACTGCACGATGTGAGTATCGATATGAGACCTTCACTGCATTCCCAGATTTCGTGGTAGCACAATGTCAAGTAGACAAATGTCTAGCCTTAACAAAGCTGCAAGCGGCAAGCTATGGATTCTTCCCGCACAAATGCCGCATCGACTTGACAGAATCAGACATCTGCCTGTTGGCACGTCGCGGACTCGTCAATGATGCAGAAGGTTCAACATCGGAGGAGCCAGATAGATTTCGTCGGACGAGACGTAGACGATCCAGATATCGCCATTTCGTCCCTGTTGTAGGCTTGCACAGAGGCCTCCCTATCTGTACGAGACAGGCACGAAGAGCACTGCGGCGCAAACACGTTACAATCTGCTTGATTGGAATTGCATCTGTATAACGCGAATGAACAGTATTTTCGAACGACCAGTCGTGCCAGTGATTCCCTCGTTTCTTTGACACGTGACGTCACACAACATTTCCCTTGTCGTTCTCGTGTTCACCGTTCCCCGCCGTGAATACTGTGCACTTCACAGGTCTATGATGCAAACCATTCGTTGCTGACGGCCGCTCGCTGAAAGACTTCGTGGGCTAATGGTCTAGCAAGCGCAAATGTCTTCCCTCGATGCATACATCATCAGCTACAACTGCGGGAGAGAATTGATCAAGCCAGCGATCTTCGCCCCACACATATTACAAGCGGCTACAGGACGGCCAGATCTCATCGTCTTCTGTCTACAGGAAGTCGCCCCAATCTCATATGCATTCCTTGGAGGTTCTTTCTTATCGCCTTACTTGGATGCTTTTGGGACAGCTCTGCAACTCGTTGATGATGACTACGTCAACGTTGTCACTCACAACATTGGCCTCACGGCCATCATGGTGTTTGCCAAGGAAAGCATATCCTCGCACATCGAGTCCTTAGAGCTCGCTGCCACGGGGGTAGGATTCCAGGAGACTGGTCACAAGGGGGCGGCGGGTGTTCGCATGAGCTACGAGGACGTCACTTTGACTTTTGTTTCGGCACATTTGGCTGCAGGCGAAGAGGCCTTGGAACGGCGGAACCAAGACTACCAAGCCATTGTTGAGCGACTTGTGTTCGATGCTGCTTCGAAGGATTCGCAGAGCAGTCAACAAGGGGAGCGTGCGCATTTAGTGCCCCGGGAGAAGGGCATGTATGCCTCGTCGCACATTATCTTCGCTGGCGACCTGAACTACCGCACTTCGAGTCAGCCTCCCACAGAAGAAGACGCGCGACAATTCCCGCAGCCAACGAGAGACCCAGAAGACCCACAGCATTGGTCTCACCTCTTTCAGCATGACCAATTGACGGAGCAGGTCAGGTCGAAAAAGACCCTGCAACATCTTAGTGAGTCCACTGTGGACTTCCCGCCGACCTACAAGTACAAGTCGAGTGACGATGTCCTCTTGGACGGAGAGAAGCCGTGGCCCTGGGCAAGCCACCGTTGGCCGAGCTGGTGTGATCGAATCTTCTACTCGGCCGGAGTTGATCCACAAGCATACGAAGCGTTACCGCTGTTTGGCACATCAGATCATCGACCAGTGGCATTATCTGCATCGATACCACTTAAGAGTAGTGCTGTGGCCGCGTCGCCATACGGGCTCGATCCTCAGTGGCAGACCAAGAGAGCTGCAGCCCGGCGGAAGGAATTAGCGGTTGGCACGATAACGTACCTGACATGGACCAAGGAGGGGGCCACGCTACTCTTGGCTTCTGTCGTTGGGGTCCTAGGCTTCGGCTTCATATTGCGATCGATACTGGTCTAGGCAGAGTGATCCCTTTGCTCAGGTCTCGAGACTGTTGATCCGAATTTGAGCCTCTCGGGGCCGTTTCATGGTTGGGGTAAAATCATCGAGATCGAATTCTCGGCAACGATACTCGAAATGATCTGCATGCATAAGGTTACGCTCTTCGCCGCACTGCAGCACGAACGATCAACGATGCATAGCTGACTCCGCAACTTCCGCTTTCGCATGCTTAGAGGACACCGCATTGACATCAGCCATGAATGAGCAGCATGCCGCTGAATGATGGCACTTATGCGTAATCAAGGGTAGTCATTCAGCATAGGCGAATGATGGCTCAAGCGCTGGAAGCACTGAGTGGATGAGAAATGCTTCTAGTCGGATTCGAAACTCGCCAAGGTTAGCATCCTTAATCAGAACAGTCATCAAGTATGACTCCTAAAAGGCGAATAGGCATCACGTTACTGGGCCTCGTGTCAACGGAGTCGTTTCAGTACGCGGCCGAAATCGACAAGCACTTTGACGACGCGACAAGGTCATGGGACCATGGAAAACCCCGTTGACTTTGGGGGTGGGAAATGAAGAATCCCATTACCTGGAACCACAAAGCCATCATTATAGATGAACACTGATGAAGTCGATGTAGAAGGGTGTAGGCAGATGCTCAGGAAAAGTGTGTTTAGGAGCTAGGCATGGGAAAAGAAAACCGACGCCTAGCTTATGCATGGCTTAGATCATCGAATTCAAGGGGATCGGGCAGGGCTGCACTCCCCTGGAGAGGGAAGGCGCTCCGTTGTTGCCTGACGAAGCCAATTGCTCTTTCTAGGCTCGCAGAAAACTTTCTCGCGGACCCGGCCCTTCCAGCACCGCCTGCCAGTGTGTCAGCGCCATTCCCATGACCCTGTCCTCGTGCTAAACATAAACGTCTATGGTGCCGCCTGGCCTTTCTTTCTATGCTTTAATACTATTCTCACACCATTCTCAAACAATCCCATCAACTCAACACTGCACACTCTCCCAACACAACGCACTCGCGACAGATCGGTGCTCTGCTCGAAAGCAACGCTCACTACATCTACCAAGCCAGCATTGACTGCCCGAATCTCGAAGCCTGCACGACTCCACCCATACAAAATGTTCTCTTGCACCAACCAGCCCAGGGGCTGCCGTGGTCGATGTGATCAAGCCGGCGGGAAGTGCTCAGAATGCAGAGTCAGTCTTCCTAATTGCGACGTCTGACAATGCTAACGCTCTCACAGATGTACAACTTCAGCAGGCCAACACAGTACAAGTCGGCCTTCTCACAACCAGCAAACTACAGATCACCACTTTCTGCATCACTTCGACATGACCGTGATGCCACTGATGTCATACCGCCTAGGCGACAGACATGAGCCGATGATGGAAACTCTTGGAAACTCCAACTAATCCTGCAGGGCGCTCCTCAACAGCACCCTCCACTTCATGCAGGACCAAAGACCAAGCCACTGTGGTTGACGAAAGCAAAACCACCGAAGGCTCTGGAAATGCAGCCTGACTTGTGTCTCCAAGAAATGCACGAATTACGAAATTACGAACACGACATCATACTGCATCAGACCACTTGACTGTTCCGGCTACCTCCGCCAAGGACATCAACGCCCACTGGTCAGGTAATCGACCAGCGAAATTCTCCCTGGCGCGGGTGCAATCGTCCGAAGACAGCAACACTCCATGTTGAGTCGCGGGCGGTGTAAGGCGGTCCTCTTGTGCATAAATGTTTAGTTTAGGCACCTCATATTATGTTGGCAATTGTTGCATCTAAATTTGGGTCGGCATCAGGCGGAAAAGGCACCAGTCTGCCAAGACTCATGTCCTAGGCTTGGGTATTCGCACCAGTTTGAGATGGCCTCCGATCTTGCGTCCCCTTCAATACGATAGCGCTACGACGATCTGATTCAATTACCTCACTGGTGGGCGCAAAGTACGACCTGCCATGGACTTTCTCGAAAAGTACGACGTTGCAGGCAGGACACAGACCAGGTCGTGCTTCTAGACCTGGCTGAAACCAGGATTCGACTGATAAGTCTCGGCAGCAGCCTACGCGCCCGAGCAGCATGCAGCATGCTTCGAACAACCTCGTATATGTTGGACGAGCGTTGGACGTCAACGCATGGGACTTCTGCGTATGGAAGTCCCATTTTGCGATAACATCCTTCACACAGGATGGGCTCGCAGCTGCACGGCACTGGCAATCTCATGGCTTCACTGCAGCCTTGCTGCATCACGAGCTTTCAGTCAGCCCGCCACAGCACCACCTCACGGGCCTCGCTAGCACCACTCCGCTCGATCGAGCTGCTGTGTGTCTGCTGATCAGTTAGGCAGACATATGGTGGCAGATTTGACAGAGACTTCAGCTTCACCTCAATTTCGTCTTTTCAGACTATCGATTCATTCAAAACTTTTTGCGCGTTCTTAGCGACAACACATCACGACTATCTCAAAAGCATCGGACCAATTGGACACGTTGGGAAAATGAAGGCGTTTGCCGGCACGACTGTAACAGCAGGAATAGGCGCGGGCGCCTTTAGCATGCTTGACTCTTCTTGTATATGCAACAGACAGCATTTGGTAAATAGATACCCTGACAGCAATGTCCACGAAGAACCCAATTCAACAGATTGTCAAAGATCACCTACAGGTTTCTGTACTCGCCGCCACCCTTTCTCAATCATAATGACTCAATGAATGTCCCATGGTTGGCACACGATCATGTTCATCAGAATCGCCCCGCTTGCTGTGAGCCCCCTTCCACAATTACTCACTATGAGTCGGCTTCATTCGCCCCGCCTGGTAGCAATGGATGCTACAAGGCATGGCAAGTACCTGGTCATACCATCCGACCCCTCTTGGGCGTGAAAGGAACAATGAGCGAGTTGTGCGCAAGACGAGTACTTATATCCATCACACACAGTGAGGACTGCGGCTAGACACGGCATGATCACTTGATTGAATTGCTCAAAAGTATTCACTGTTCGCTGCACGAGTCAGTGTCGGATCGTTCGCGATTTGAGGCGCAAGTGAAAAGAAAAGACACCTGTGGCCAATGCGCCTTCTGCCCGTGGCTTTACAAAAGACCGGATGACAACTGCCCAATCTCTCGTCCAAGACCGGATGACCAAACCACGCCGCACCACATCCGCACCTTCCTCCCTCATCTCGTTAGGAGGCAACAACAGTAGGAGCATACAACAAGCACTCATTCCTCCGTACGAAGACCGCTGCTTAATCTGCTCCACTAACGGAAGGCTTCGCTCAAGTCACCCAGGAAGCGTCGTCATTCGGTCTGCTCTCGACTCTACGCGAGACCGGATGACAAGGGCCATCCCAGTCAACTTGAACCCATCAATCTTCGAGCGCTGCTGCCGCTTTCCTGCAACGGAAGTGCCACTGCTACGAAAGCCTACCAGCGCACATATGTAAGGTGTACGTGACGCAACCAACATACATCCTTCACTCGAATTCCTCGAAAGTGAGGTGCAGACATATATATATGTGTCAGTGAACTGCGGTTATAGCCTTCAGAATAATGTCTCTGGCGCCGCCAACGACAGTGGTCGCTGTATCATCGTGCCCACGAGACCGGTCTGCCACGCATCTTCCACCCTGATTCGCGGATCTCACAGTGAATTCTTCGCGTCCGGGTCATAAGAGTGAATCTCTCGGAACTGCCTTCAGTGTTCACTGTTGCGAAGCATTATAAGTATTCGTGTTTTCCTGCCCTCTGGTTTCCCCTTCCTTCATGCTTTCGCTCACATCTGCACTTCCAAGTTTTGTCATGCCCAGGTAGCACTTGTTGCGACCTGGTGAGACGGAGACAGATCTACAGAGAAACACACAATGGATGCTAAGGCACAACAATGAATTTTATACACTCAACGCCTCATGCCTCAAGAATATCGCAAACACAAACCGCCTCCCTCCATGTACAACGCCCACAACAACCATCTCCCCACTAGGTACTATCATCAACCAGCCTGCCTCCCAACCAAGCCTTCTTCGCCAGGTCAAGCAGCACGTCGATCTGTCCGCTCGTCTCACACATGCTCCTGAAACTCCCGCCCTCCTTCTGTATCAGCGCCCACGGGCTGTCATATTCGATTACCTCCCTTTATCGAGCATCAAGATCTTGTCGTAGTCTATGATCGTCTGCAGACGATGCGCGATCGTTATCAGTGTATGCTCCTTCAACTCCCTCAACGTACTCTGAATGCGCGTGTCGGTCGCGTAATCGATGCTCGCGGTCGCCTCGTCCATGACGAGGATCTTGGGCGATTTGAGCAGTGCGCGCGCGAGGCAGAGGAGTTGGCGTTGGCCTTGCGAGAGGTTTGAGCCACTCTCTGCGATGGGCGTGGAGAGGTCGAGGAATATGTTCTTGTTGTCTTTGCTGTTGGTCGAGACGTGGGCTAGCGTGGAGCCTGATGAGATTGTACTGTCGTTAGGGGAGTCGCCGTCTTCGGAAGAATTTGACGACCCTTCCGCTACGAAGGTCAGCGTTTGGCTGGGAGAATTGAGAGTGTTGGTGCTCGTTTTGGGTTTGAGACTGTTCGTGCTCGTTTTCGGGCCAAGATTATTCGTGCTCGTTTTCCTTGCCCGCTCGACGGAAGATACCAGCTGCACTCTCTGAAGAGCAGTGAAAACCTCTGCGTCCGTGAACAGCTCAAAGGGATCCAGGTTGCTTCGCAAAGTACCCGTGAACAGTGTCGGGTCCTGGGGCACAATCGTTATGGCCTCCCGGAGATCTTGTAGCCCAATCTGGCCGATGTCCACCTTGTCGATGTGGATCTGCCTTCTTCTGCCTCAAGCCACGGAAGAGAGCCAAAGCTAGAGAACTCTTGCCTGCGCCAGTGCGACCTACCACGCCAACCTTCTCGCCCGGTTGAATCGTGAAGGAGATTTTCTTCAGAACCTGATCTAGATCTGATCTGTATCTTGTGCTGTAGTTGCTGAACTCGACACCACCTTTGCTCGGCCAGTCCGGGCCAGGGGCGGTGGCGGGTATTCGTGCTGGCGCTTCTTGGTCCACGTCGATGTACTCTTGAATTCGTTCAACAGAATTCATGTTCTGCTCATTGGATGCATACAGCCTGACGAGCCATAGGACGTTCTGCGTGAACTGAATAGCATATGTCAAAGCTAGACCTGCAGCACCTGCATCGATCTTGCCAGCATTGACAACAACGAAGACACCGGAGAAGAACGAGACTAGAGCGCCAGCCAGGTCCATCCGGAAGGCAAGCCACCTATTCGTTGCCCAAAGGTAGATGAACGGCCGGTTGTGCGTGTTCACTCGCAAGTGACTGTCTTGCATGAATCGAGCTTCGTCGCCATATGCTCGAATTGTGACAACTCCAGACAGAGTTTCACCGAAATGCTGGAAAAGTGGACTTCGTTGGACAGATTCAATGCGCTTCAGATCTCGTGACGCGCGTATGTAGAACATACCAGTAGCGAGATACATCAGACCAATGAAGAAGCCGGGGATCAGGAATCCTGGTGTGATAATCGAAATAAGAATGACAATCGACAGGACCGAAACCGCACTGTGTATCAGCCCAATAGCGACTGGGGCTACCTCTTGATCGACGGACTGGATATCCTTCGAGAAGCGGTTGGTCATCTGGCCTAACGGAGTAGAATCGAAAAAACGAAATTTGGCTCGCAGTATGCTTTCCAGCAGACGATCGTGTATCTTGCGAGAGGCGTCGAGTGAGCCGTAGAAAAGGACCAATTCTCTTGACAGGCAAATAGCGACGTATATTATACCGAGAAGGGCGTAGACTCCGAGATAGTAGCCGACGTCAACATCGTCGGCGGATGCAGTCACGTCTCTGGAAGCGCTGATGCCACCAGCGAATCTGGTCCCTTGCAGGCCGAGCGCGTGAGTCAAGCCATATGTCTTCAGATGAACGAAATTGTGAGCATACGCGATCTGTGCATTTGATGTGTGATATGCATTCGCCCATTGTCGGATCCATATGTCAGTTGCCATAGAGCCTAGCTGACTCGCAAGGAAGGCTGCCGCAGCAGGTATCCAATAATACCATGGTCCCATAGACGCCAGATACATTTGGATGGTCTTCGCTTTGACGCTGCCGACGGCCTTTGTCTCTATGCGCGTATCAACGAACTGCTTATCGGTCCGGCTGGCTTCCTCGACTCCATGGTCCAGGTGGTCTGCGTCTCCGTTCAGCTTCTGCGCGTCCTTGGCCAAGCGTGCCTTGAGGTCGCGATTGGATTGCATCCGTGACGGAGCCACCGAGGCTCCACGCGATCCTGGTCGAGATTTGAGATCATCTCCGAAAGCGCCGCTGGCTACGACGTCGACTGCGGTCCCTTTCGACGAGACCTTACCATTGTTGAGAACAACAACAAACGCAGCATCTGGGACCGTCAGAGCGACGTTGTGAGACACGAGGATACACGTGCGATCCAGCATCAGTACTCCCGAGAGCGCTTGTTCGAAGATATGCTTGGCGGTATGAGAGTCGACGGCGCTGAGACAGTCGTCTAGCAGCAAATGTTTGGAGTTGCTGTAGATGGCACGGGCAAGTGAGACTCGCTGCTTCTGTCCACCAGACAACGTGATGCCCTTCTCACCGACGAGTGTCTGGTCGCCAGCGTCGAGGATCTCAAGATCTCGCTCAAGTGCACATGCCGATATGACTGCCTTGTATCGCTGCTTGTCGAAAGGAGCTGAGAACAGAATGTTGTCCTTGATGGTGGCATTCACCAGCCACGGTTGTTGAGCACAGTAGGCCACAGACTCGGTTAGTCCTGTCTCGGGATCCGGTCGAAGATCCTGACGAACAGAACCGCCAGGTATATGGACGGTGCCTTCAAGCAATTTCATCTCTCCCAGCAGCGCCAGGAGTAGCGAGGTCTTGCCACTGCCTGTAGGTCCGGCAATAACGTTGAGTTTCCCAATCTGAAATTCAACATCAACGTCGATCAGCCTGAAAGCCTCCGTGGCACCTTTGCTGACGTTTGCAGCGGTCGAGCCCCATGTCAGGGTTGCATGCTTGAGTGCAATGTGCGTTTCTCCTTCACATTCTCGCCGGGTCTGGCGCAACTGTACATATTTCTCCGTCTCTTCCTCACCCAGAAATTCTTCTACACGGTCGACGGATACTTTTGATTCTTGTATGTGAGCCACCATATCGGCTAGCTGGTCCAAGGGTATCCGGAGCAAACCGAACATTGAGATGGCTGGAAAGGCAATGGAGGGTACCAATGCTTTCTTTTCGACCAGTGTGTAAATCAAGAAGGAAATGAAAGTGATGAGCACAGGAACGCCGCTCCAGATTGTAGCAGCAAATGACCACAGGATGTACTTCTTCCACAACGCCGACAGCTCGACAGCACGCTTCTCGTCCACGCTCGCCTTGAACCTCTGCTCCCACGCAAAGTATTTGATGATGCGGATGTTTTGGAGGACTTCGTTGGTCGCATGGATACGCTTGTCTGTAGCGGCCATGATGCGTTTCTGAGCACGTTGGAAGGATTTCGCAATCCACATGTTCAAGGGCAGTACGAGAGCCATCAAGACAACACCCACAATCGAGCTGTAGCCGAGTATGTTGTAGAGGAGAGCGACTGCCACTATGAGCTGGACCGGAACAGCTGCCCACAGGAAATGAAGGTAGGCGCAGATATCAGCCACTTTGAAGGAATCAATCGACATGAGGTTTATGATGGTGCCATTGCTGGCCATGGCGTCGGCAGGCTTCTTCTTGTCGGCATTTGGCCCAGCTGTCTGGTCCTGTTTCTTGATTCTGGCACCGAACCACTTGTGTGCGAGCTTCTTCCACAACCTGCTAGATGGGCTCTCGACCTCCTGCCCGAGCTCTGTCTCCGCTGTTGCTGCAGCCTTTCTTCGCAAAGTCTTCGAGTATATCTCCCCGACGATGATGGCTCTCAGTTGAATGGTTATCTTGCGGCCTATCCACAAGGCCTGCCCATCGCCAACCGCTTGAATGGCGCTGGTGACGAAGAGGAGTATGACGTAAAGCCAGGCAGCATTGGCTGGAATGGATTGGTCTTCCAGGTATTCCAGGATCGCTTTCAGCAACAATGTGGGTAGGAACATAAAAACACTGGACATAGCACACCAGGCACCTTGCAACAAGATTGGCCCCTTGAAGTGGCCTAGGAGGCGCAGAGCCAAATTGTGGGTCGTCTTGACTTGTCGGAATCGTGCAAGGACGATTTCAGCTTTGTCCTTGAGGGCGACATTCCAGACATCTTCGAGCTCCAACGGACGTTTGAAGCCTTGCCAAACAATGGCGTCAACCCAGCCAAAAGTAGCTGCAGAAAGAGGACTGGCAAGAGGCTCTCTGCTCGGCTCTATGTCGCCATCATACTCCAGCAAAACGCCTCGATTGCCGACTCGAGAACACAACGCAATTCCTAGAAGCAGAGAGTTGAGCGCAAAGTGAGCGATAGTAATGTTGCGATACGAGGTGGCGACCGAATGGATGAGAACTGTGCGAAAGACCCACACGTATAGCAACCACTGGGTTCCGTACAGAAGAGCGGTATGTGTCCAAAGTCGCGGAAAAGAAAGCGAGCGCCTTGTTGCCGAAGAGTAGAAGCGTATACCGCCCAGTATAGCAATGTACGACCACACTGCCAAATATGCTATTGCGACACGGGTCCGACGGCTTGACAGATGGTGTCGTGCAGATGACAGCTCGGCGGCAGAGAGACCGACCTGTGCCAACAGTGCCAGTAGCTCAACGCTTACAACGTATATTTCAGCCTTCGGGCGGTCCAGATCGACGATCGAATGTCGTGCTCGGCTCACAGTCTTCTGTAGAGTCAAATCCGACAGGCTGTCCGTCTCTTCATCGCTGTCGCCATCTTCGTCGAGATCGTCCCGCTGAGGCGCCTGCTGATACTGCGCCTTGCTCTTCCCATCTTGGCTTATTGCATGAACGAGCCATTGTATGGCAATGGCGACAAGCGAAACTGCGCATGCGAGCAATGGTATTGCTACTTCCAGATAGCTGCAGTTCGGTCAGTCTCGGTAGATCAGTGTCGGGTCACCAGCACTCACTCCGACAGGAAGCATTGGCTGAAGTCATCCTTGCGCCAGATGGGACCTCGACATCGCCCGAACATAATATTCCCTCCCGACTCTGCTATGGATTCACCGAGGCAATCATGCCTCGTCTCTGCTTCTCGTGGCCACACTTCGAGGTGTTGAAGTGTATGTGTATGCTGGAATGATAAGTTCCCAGCAGGTCGAGGGTTCGGGATAGTACGCGACGGGTTTCGCAGTACCGTTTGATGCTTGATGACACGAGAAAGTCTTAAGAATGTGTCTATGTCGTGCCGTTGACTCGAAGGCAAGCGCAGTCAAATTCCATTTCTCGATTCCCGTTTCTCCACCAGCAAACAATCACGCATTCGCATGGCACTGGCAGTTTCCCGACTGCAGTGATGACGTGCCTCTATTTCGTTACCTAAGCTAAGCTTTTGTTGGAGATCGCCCACAGTCTCGGGTGTCACTGCCTGTTTGCCACCCCTGGAAGCCATGACTGAGGGGTGGTCAGTGCAGGCGCCAGGCCTGGCTAAACGCCTATCAGATTGCGGCCAGGCCTGATTCATTCTGACGAGATAACAAGGCAAGTCCATGCTACCGGCCGCCTCACTGTCACGTCAACCGACATAATCACGAACCCGAACCTCAACCTTTCCAGCCACATCCAGACTTCTTGACTTGCTTCACGCCTTTCAGGCAGTTACGGCAATGTCACAGATAAAGAAGCGACTGCCCCAGCCCAGCTGACAATACAATAAGCCTTAAACCACCGCACCACGCTGCCTTCTCTACATCCGAGTACCTTCTAGTCAGAATACATAAATCACTCATACGCGCTCTGAAGAAACACTGGACCGATTGACCAGCTCTCATTCACTGAGCGGTCTCAGAGATTGACTCGCCTTGAATTCACGGCCTCTCCTAATCCCAACACCACCATCAATCTGCACTACCCTCGAACCGACTCCGATCCGACGAAGCTCGCATCAGAAGACCGACAACATGGCGCAAGCAATCTTGATGAAAGAGTACAAGGACTTGTCTAAGCAGAAGTGGCTATCAATAGAGGTAAGTGGCATCACCGTACAGACCGAACCTTCCGTAGCGACAGGTCCTGACAAAGCATACAGTTGGTCGAAGAGAATGTGTTCCTGTGGGACGTAGCCATACTCGTCACGAATCCGGACTCTCTCTACTATGGTGGATACTTCAAAGCACAGATGAAGTTCCCATCAGATTACCCGTACAAGCCACCCAGTAAGTCCAGATCCCTTCAGCATCCAGACAAGTACTGACAATCGCAGACTTCCGATTCACCCGACCACTATGGCACCCCAACATCTACCCCGACGGTCGTCTATGCATATCCATCTTGCATGCACCAGGCGAGGACGTCATGTCGGGAGAGTCCGCCGGCGAACGATGGTCACCAGTCCAGCGTGTTGAGACCGTTCTCATCTCCATTATCTCTCTTCTCGACTCTCCTGAGATTTCCTCACCCGCCAACGTCGACGCCAGCGTACAGTGTCGAGACCACCAGGACCAGTACAAGGAGCGCGTCAAGCAGGATGTCATCACCTCCAAGAAGGACATCCCCGAAGGTTTCGTCATGCCTACTCACGAGTCCACCAAGCCACCTATGGAGGAGAAGGTCGATGAGGACTTCTGGCAAGACAGTGATGCGGAGGAACTGGACTTCGACGACGACGACGATTTCGACTTTGACGACGATGCTGCCAATGGGTCCGAGTCAGATGCTGCGCTCAACAACGATTCCGAGGATGAGGATGATTTCGACGAAGATGCTCAGAATACCGGCAAAGGCAAATCGAAAGCCAAGGAGGATGCCGAGATGACGGACGCATAAGCAAGTCAGACAACGGGGGTTCGAGATCTCCACGGTTTACGACAAGGCGAGCATTTTCTGAATGGGCGTCTACGGGTTAATATATTACTTAGGGAGGACCCGGTTTTAGCGAAGGCGTTCCGGCATTGCAATATTAGCCACGGGTGATGGCATGCATACTTCCAGTTTCGGCAATAGAAAGACTGCGTATCTCGCTCTTAATATGGCCTCTACTGATTTATTCGGTATGCTCGCCTGCTCGGTTCCTGATCTCCTAATTTGACTACACGTCCTTGTTTCCGCAATGAACAGGCCTCTGTGCTGCAGAGCAGATATAGTCAGCTGCTTCGCATGCCAGTTCATGCCGCGCATCCATCCTCAACACGAATTATCCCCTACCAGATGACTACAGCTTCGCCGCTGCACCACTCTCCACCTCCTTCACCAACTCCAATATCTCCCTAACAGACTCCTCCGCCCGCTCCTGATTAACCCAATGCCCCGCCCCCTTCACCAACTTCGTTCCCCGATACCACCCCCTCCCCACGCTCCTCCCCTCAACCATACTCTCCACTGCCCCGGGCTCCTGGTACGTCCCCCAATCCTTATCCCCCGCCACAAACACCGTCGGCACGTTGACCTTTCCCCCATTACTCCACACCGCCACATCCCCCGCGATCTCCGGACTAGTCTGCAACCCATACCAATTCAACCCTCCCCTGAACGTCGTACGGCTATACTCCTCAACATAAACCGCCAATTCCTCATCCGGTAACCACCGATCCGCCAACCGCTTCACCTCCCCCGGATCCAAAGCCTTCATATCCCTTGCCACGTTCCCGCGCATATCCGCGTCGGCATCCATGATATAGTACCGCGGCATCACACTCAACGCCTCCCCCGTCCAGGCTTCCAGCGGATGGGGGTTGTTGACCGGCCAATCGGCGGATTTGAGGTGGAAATACCCCCGAAGAAACTCGTGCAGGGGTGCGCCTGTTGGGTAGGTCATTTCGGTGTTGGCGGGTGGGGTGCAGTAGTACCATTTGTAGTGTTTTCGTGGAGAGGGGAGGGAGAGGAGGGAGGTTTGGATGTCGAGTTTCTTTGGTGGTGGGGGTTTGTGGTGGGAGGTGGGGGGGCGGGGGGAGGTGCTGAAGGGGGATCGGTGGGGGTGCCTTTTGATGGGTGGGACATGAGGCACAGGGATTTGAAGAGGTCTGGGCGGGCCAGGGCGCAGAGGTAGGCGGTCATGGCGCCGAAGTCGTGGCCTACGACGGCGGAGACGGAGGTGTATCCCAGCGCGGAGACGAGGGCGACGGTGTCTTTGATCAGGTTGAGTGGGCGGAAGGAGTCCTTGGAGAGTGGGCTGGGGCTGTAGGTGCGGCCGTAGCCACGTTGGTCGAAGGCAACGGCGTGGTAGCCGGCAGCGGAGAGGAGTGGGAGGACATTGCGCCAGGAGAAGGCTAGTTCGGGGAAGCCGTGGATGCAGAGGATGAGTTTGGTGGATGGCGTCGGGTTTGCTGGGAGGGCTTCGATGATGTGGAAGATCAGGCTGTTGGGTGTGCAGTCGACGAAGCGTGAGGTCAGGCCGGAGGGAAGGGGGAGAGGAGGAATACTTTGAGGATTGATGGCGGAGGAGGTCGAGTCTTGGTGGGTGTATGCCATGGTAGTGGTTTGCTGAGGTCTCCTGTGCTATTGCCTCAGGGCTCTGTGGTACAGTGTGGTTGTACTTCGATGAAGACAGGTCTCACGTGGCGGTCTGCTCGGGACTCGTTGAAGTTTGGCTGCTGCTACTGTCCACGATTTAAGTACTTTATACCAAGACCCGCGAATTCCATTACCCGAGGAGGGAGCAGCGAAGTCGGCGAACCTCCGTGGCTATTCACATAGTCGTCAAGCCAGCATGGACAGATCGCGCGTATAGAGAAGTAGATTTGAAAGCACAACACTCACTGTCATATGTGCTCGGTTGCTAGTCAGAGCACAGAGACGTGTGTATACTGCCTCCCATAATGGTGGAGGTCAGCCCTAACGTTATGTTGCCGAGGTGTGGTTAGACAATAACGGGAGTGGCTGCACCAGACGTCGGCAAGTCGGAACGAAACACAGACTTGCAAAGCATCATATCAGACTGGGCCGGCTGCTCGACCTTTCTGGGCATGAGTTTGACTTGTAGACTCCTTTGAGTGGTGATCTGGAGGTATCATGCATACCCCATTGCTCCGACACTGGTTCAGCTGGACAGGGTAGCAGATCGCAAAAGCATCATTGCGTCGGACTTATTCGTCCTCCCGTCCATCATTGACGTGCTTAGAGACGCGTGTGGATGATCGATGCTCTGCTTTCAGCCCATGGAGGGGGAGCTCACGAGTGAAACTTGAGGTACAGTGTAAGCAGAGCATGGCAGATCTGCTTACCTCACAGAAAGGCGTCCATATCACATTCATTCCATTGTATGGAGCACATGGAAATGTTGGAAGTGCAGAAGAAATGACGTTGGGGTTGCTCAAGTGGCTTGTGCGTGGGGTGCTCTCCAGCTGGCATGGTGCCTTTTATTGGTGCGCCCGAAGATTGCAAAGAAGTTGTGGCGAGTGCGTTTGGGCTTTCAAGCCTGGAAGGTCGCGGATCGAGCATCATCGCATGCCGCATCGTGTCAGACAGTGCATCGCAGCAACAGCAGCTGGCTAGCTAACTTCACCTTGATCCCGGGCATCCCATACTTCGAAACTGCAGATCAACTCGTCTCATTTTTGACGACGCCGACACCGCATTTCCTTGCTTCACTTGCTTGATTGTCTTTTCCTTCGTCGACTTCTGCCCTTCTTTTCAAGACTCCCACTCCTTCCATGCTTCGCTTCCGCCCGGAAGACATGGGTTGAGTCCGTCATAGGGAAATCATTAAACGACCTCAAATTCTCCGCGCAACCCGGCATCTAATAGCAACTTCAGCACCTCGCCGGCGCGCCTCGACGGCTGATTCTGCACCGTCGCCATCATGCCGTCACTGTTCCATAAGCGGTCGCGGTCGCTGTCGACAGCGGTAAGTCTCTGCGCCCTCCTGCTAGAATATGGTGCTGACTTTGGGCTCTCAGCGACCGCAGACACCTGTCAGCAACTCTGCTCATCTGGCCGCCTCCCAGGCCTTCCTCGCGAACCGTGTATCGCAAGGCAACCTCTCAGCATCAGCCGCCGCCGCCGCGCTCCGAGCAATGTCGCCGCCCCCAACAGACGTCGCCGATGTTCAGACTAAGCGTATGCAAAGGAGGTCATCTAGTGTGGACTATGCCAACAATGGCGGCCATAGAGGCCGTGCTCGGGGCCCCGGTCTCGAAAGGAAATCGAGCTCTGGATCGATGACCGAGAGAACCTTCCGAACTCCTTCGCCGGGCGGTCGACCAGGATCATCAAGTGGTCCTGATGCGGCGCCTCCAGTGCCACAGCTGCCCAAGGATATCCCGCCTGTTCCGAGGCTTAAGGAACGTCATTCGAGACGTGCCATGAGCGAAGATACACGCACCACTGCGAAGGCACAGGCGGGACAGACACCTGTGCAGCCATCGCCAGCCCTTGCTGCAGCTACGCTTAGTGCACGTAGCAACGGAGGACAACAGTCATCGGCAGAGCTTGGAGAACGAATACAGCGGACAGACAGCAGGAATTCCGTCAACTTCTCACGGCCTCTTTCTCCGCCTCCACAGTCGCCCTTGGCCAGTTCGCCTACACAGCAGAAGCCGACGCGGAACGGCATCTCCCTAGTAGACGCTAGAAATGTCGAATACAATGTTAACGCCGCGGCACAACAACCGGTAAAGAAGAAAAAGAAGAAGGCAGCTCCGGGTGCTTCAGTAGGAAGTCATCTGAGTGCTGGAAGTATGGCGAGCAGACCGGTTGTGACGCCACTGGAGCCTGGTTCAGAACCCGCGCCACAACAGCAACAAACAGAGCCGGTCAGGAAAAAGAAGAAGAAGGTCGCACCAAGCGGAGAGAGCTCTCACTTCCCTCGGACGAGGCTGGTTCAGATCAGCCGGAGCTCACAGCGGAACAACAGCGACGTGCCCAAAGGGCTTCCGGCATGCTCATGAAGCAACCTTCTATCGTCAGGGAAGATTGGGAGGGCGAACAGGAAGAAAATAATACTGTCACGGAAGCTCAGCAAAGGGAGGCGCAGGGTCTGAGCCCGGTCGCCAGCCCGTCAAATGCGGTACAGAGCAAGAAACTGACCGCCGCCAACATGTCAAGGAAAATCGAAGACCCTACGTCTGTCTCACCTCCACCGAAACCCGAGCCCGAGGCCTACCATGCCGTTACCCAACCCAGCTCAGAGTCCGGGGATAATCATCTTGGCGTTGATCAGTCTCCATGGCGCGTCAGAATTCGACCAGTCCTCCAGAGCGACGAGGTTTTCGGATACCCTGGCGTCGGATCTTGCCACCGGTAGAAAACACGAACCACTGCCCCGCTCGGTCTCGCCTGTCAAATCCGCGCTCAAGCATCATTCGCCGTCTCCAATTGGGAGACTAGCTCGTGGTACCAGTCCCAGCGAAGCCTCCGACTCGGCATTGTCCGCAGACGGGTCGATCAGCCGAAGGAAGTCCGCCAGGGTCAGCTTTCAGGCCGAGCCCGTTATAGTCGGGACAGGTGCTGAAGCTGCTGAACCCGAGAGCCCTGCTGTGGCAAGTCCTCAGAACAAGGACGCAAAGAAGGGGGGCTTTTTCTCCTCGCTTGGCAGAAGCAGGCCTCCGCTGACAACAATCCCATCAGAGGAGGACCTGGACGACCACATGAAGCCTCGACCGCAGCTGCCTATGTTTGGCAGTGTTCGCGACAAAAACCGGCGGGTTGTTTCGTCGGATTCGACTGCCAGTACCAGTTCCACCCCCGAGACGCAACTGAGTTCAAATGCTACTCAAATTTCTTCAACTACGTCCGAGTCGTCGAGTCCGAGCATCCCAACTCAAGAGCAGGGTGCTTCAAGTGATCACGCGGTCGGAGCCATCTTCGCGCAGCACTCTGCTCAGAAATCGCAAGTCGAAGCCGCCCCTGCTCACGATCCTCACCTTCCATTGCCACCAGTCGTCACGTCCCGAGAAGGAGGCTACATCTCTGATAGCGAGAGTGCGTACAGCGATGACGACATGACACCGACACCTGCCCAGGAGTGGAAGGGTTTACAGCAAACTCCAGCTGCGCCGATCGAGACTCCGAAGACTGCGCATGAGGCAAGTGTGCTCAAGGATGTGGAAGCTGAACGGAACGTACAGAATACTCTACCAGAGAAAGTACCAGCGCTGGAGATCCAGCCACCGACACCTGGACATGACGAAGACCAGCCCAGCGACCAGTGGCTTGTGGCAGTTCCCGGTGGGTGGGCCGAGGGCTCTGAAAGCGACGCTTTCAAGCAGGCCGCGGCTACTGCAGGGGCAAAGAGGACGTTCGGGCCATCAGCTGCAGAGCTTGCTAAGCAAAAGGCAGTCGAGCTACCAACAACTGAGGATGATGTTTCTGACAACGACAGTATCTACAGCGATGCGGCTAGGAGCCTGAAGGAGACGGATTCGGATCTATCGATGCTATCGTTGGTAGCCCGACTGTGCCATCGCCAACATTGTCTCCTCCTCTCAGCCCTATTACGTCTAAGCCGGAGCAACGTCCAGCAGAAGCTGCTCGTACGACATCGTGGGATGAGACTCACGAACATTGGAGGGGTATCGCACAACAAAGCCGTCAAGTACAGACTACACCACCACAAAATGCCACAAGACAGCTCCAGGAAGTCACAGCTTCACCGACACCGGCGGGACCATCCAAGACCAAAGCGGCTGCAATCTCGACGGTGCCAGCGCCAGCGCCAGCGCCAGCAACCACTGCACCGGCCGCGAAGCCCAAGGCCAAGAAGAAGAAAAATTTAGCGCAGAGTGGTGCGGCTCTTGCAGCAATTCCTGCCTCGCAACGGCCACAGGCGGCTGACCCCAAGCCTCAGGTTACGATGAAGACATCCATGCGGCAAGGTGGACATGGTGACGCACATCATCCTGCTGGTGCCATGCGTACTTCCATGCGGCAACAAGGAGAATTGCCGCATGCGAAAAGCCTGCAGGCCTCGAAATGGGCGCACGAGGTACCGCGACCAAAGTCGGCTCAAGCAGTGGTGCCGCCGCCAGCCTCGCAGAGAGCTGCACTGCAGAAGAAGCACATCCCGCCGGCTGCAAGCGCCCCTGCACCAAGAGCTGCTCCTAGAGCTGCCCCCGTGGTGAATGGGAACGATAGCGACTCCGACAGCTCTTTCAAGAGAGCCCGCAAGAATCGGCGATCAGCAGGTGGCGGCTACAATATGCGCAGCAGCATGCGTGGAGCGGCTCCCGCCGCTTCAGTGCCGACACAGCCAGCTGGTCGCGGTGCCGTGAGGTCGTTGTCACCGCCTGTCCGTCGACCCTTCTCTCCTGCTCCGGGACAGCAGATGCGCACTTCCATGCGTGGTTCGATGGATGCATCAGCTCCGACCTTGCGACAGCCACCTCAGCAGAAGAGATCATCCTCACTGTTTGGCAGAAGGAAGAAGAGCCCAGAGAGATCGGCCCCGCTGCCGCTGACAGCAAAGCTACGAAGCAGGCTTGACGACTCGGACGATGAAGATGCGCCGAGACCGACAACTTTCAGATCTCGATTCGCAGATTCGAGTGATGACGAAGACGACGCTCCTGCGCTTCGTCCTGTACGTGGCATTCCGAAACGACGAGACGATGGCGACTCGACAGACTTGGAAGACAGTTCTGATGAAGACAAAAAGAAGAAGCGCCAGCTACAGCCTGCTCTAGCGATCAACACTGCTGCAGCGCAACAGGCTGGCACAGCCAGTGACGTTCCACTGTCACCCAACACGATGAAGAAGAAAGGCCTGTTCAGTCGCTTCCGAAGTAAGAACAAGAACGACAGTCCCAGGCCTCAACAAAATGGTCCATTCAGAGGAGCAGCGGCCGACTCGCCGACGCCAGCCAAGAAGGCTGTCGACGACGATGGAGACACACCCTTCGATGACAACATGGGTTTTGGCTCAAGCGCTGAAAGAGACGCTATGATCCGAGCGACCATGGCTAAGCTCGAAGCTGCCAAAGGACTGGAAGCTCCGGCACAAGCCGAGAACACAGCGCCAGCAACACCGCCCGCACAGACCGGACAATTGACCCCAACAAAACGGCCTCAATCTCCTCCAGCTGGTGGCAAGCTGCAACGGCGTCGGCCAGAGCGCATTATGAGCGACTCGTGGCCGCTGCCTGAGTCACCCGCATCTACGAACGAGGCTCGTCCTGCCACTGCTGGAGGCGTACCAGGTAAGGTCCAACTTAATGGCAAATCTACCATGCGTCCTCAGGCTGAGAGGCGACCGACGTCGGAGACTTTCACCACGGACGGCGGAAGTAGTGGGAGCCTGGGGGGTTTAGTTCGAAGGGAAAGAAGAAAAGATTCCCCATGCTGCGGAAAGCATTTGGGCTCAAGGACTAGGAGTTCTTGACCTTGATCTTTGGCGTGAGGGAACAGGACGTTGTTCGTGATGTGCTGCGGAAAGAGCGCACTGTTCAGCAGCAGCACGAGTTCCGCAAGCAGGGACTACAGGATGGTATTATGGGGAGAGCGATCTGTTTCTGAGATACCAAGTGTTGACTTCGAGAAAGCTTTGGGAAGGACAGAGGCGGTACACACGTATATATACCCGCCCGACTACTATATATAATAATCATAATCTTCTAGCCTCGCAAATGTTCTTACGACATGATCTTCTTTCTCGCTGATGTCTACACCTCGTGCGCCTCCGTGCAAATTCAAACAGTAATCGTCTCCTTCCCGAGTCAGTGAAGTGACTGTCTCGGCCTACTTCGGGCCTTCACTCCTTCGGCGAGGTCTAAGTAGTCGCGACACCCTCGACGTCTCCGTCTTCTCTGTACGGACGGGTTCGATGGACAGGCCATTGCCACGCCTTAGTAGCATCTACTGTTACCGTTGGGGCGAGCTTCTTCGACGATCCTTGTCTCGTGTAGTCGGAATCGAATTTCGACTCTACATGGTGGCGACTAGCGATGAGCCAGCTCAATGATCCGACTTCAGTCATCACCACGTTCAGTGTTCTTCAGAGTTCTGGTCAACCGGTCTTCTCAATCGGTCTTGTTAGCAGCAAAGTGTGAGTCATCCGGTCATGCGAATACCATTCACCAAGCGAAATCGTTCTCAAGTGATGTCAGTCTACGATGAACCGACGATCCAGCACGCAGGCAATGCAATGGTCTGCTGCTGAATAAGACTTCAGTCCGCATCGTAGTCAGCTTCTCCTCGGAAATGTACTGAGTAATGATATTCAGCTATCGGATTTCCTAAAAGAGCAATGCCCCTCTGAAAGCACAGTCACCAGTGTTGGCATGCTTCGGACGTGGAAGTCTTCTGAACAGGTCACAGGGGATGAAGGCAGATGTCCTACAGAGGCGTCCTTACCAGTCCAGTTGAGACTCGCCCTGTCCGATTATTTTGAGGACATATACTCCGGAGAATGGGTTGTGGAGAGACCGGCTATTGTGGTCTGAGCCATTTTCTGTAGAGCCAGAACATCATACGGCTTCTGAGGCCAGGTGGACTCGTGCTCCGCCGGGAGGCTGTCCAGGGCTGTTGCTGCGGGAGCATTAGCCGAAGGTGTTTCATGGCTAATAAAGCAAACGGGTATGCTAAGAGGAGTGGTAACGGAGACGTCGGTGGGCAGCGGCAAAAAAAAAGTGAAGGGAAAGAGCTGCCCCGCCATGACATGGCACTGATTGACCCTGCAGGTGCTTTCTTTCAAACAAAGCAAGTTCCATTGCGATTCTCAACAGTCTGCGATTTCGTAGTTTCTCACAACCTCACTGCCTTCGTATTTTCATACCTGAACACATAACAAATCGCAACCATGACGTCGTCACTCGATCAGCTCAAGGCCACTGGCACCGTATGCTTCCACTGACTCCGCTGCTCGCCAGAAGTGTGAACTGACATGTGGACAGACCGTTGTCTGTGACTCCGGTGACTTCAACAGTGAGCTATACTAGCCCGTTCATCTGCTCATGTGCTGACACGCAGCAGCAATCGAGAAGTACAAGCCTCAAGATGCGACCACAAACCCCTCATTGATCCTCGCCGCCTCGAAAAAGCCTGAGTATGCCAAGCTCATCGACGAGGCCGTTCAGTACGGAAAGAGCCATGTGAGTTGTTCGAATAGAGCGGCCGAACAACAGATACTAATGCTATGGATAGGGCGGTGACATCGATACCCAGGTCGACGCCACCCTCGACCGACTCTTAGTCGAATTCGGCAGACAGATCCTGCAAATTGTTCCTGGCAAGGTCTCAACAGAAGTTGATGCGCGCTTCTCATTTGATACTCAAGCTTCACTGGACAAGGCGCGGCACATCATCGATGTGAGCATGTTCCCATCTGAGCCAAAGTGTTCCACGCTGATTGTTGGCAGCTCTACAAGGAGGTTGGCATTGACAAGTCGCGTGTTCTCATCAAGCTCGCCTCTACATGGGAAGGTATCAAGGCGGCCGAGGTCCTGCAGAAGGAGGGCATCAACTGCAACCTGACTCTCATGTTCTCCCTCGTCCAGGCCATTGCAGCCGCCGAAGCCGGCGCCTTCCTCATCTCACCCTTTGTTGGCCGTATCCTTGACTGGTACAAGGCCGCCATGAAGAAGGACTTCCCTGCAACCGAGGACCCTGGTGTCAAGAGCGTTGGCGCGATCTACAACTACTACAAGAAGTACGGCTACAAGACCATCGTCATGGGTGCCTCCTTCCGCAACATTGGCGAGATCACCGAGCTGGCCGGCTGCGACTACCTTACCATCTCGCCCAACTTGCTCGAGGACCTCTACAACTCGACCGACAAGGTGCCCCAGAAGCTCGACGCGTCCCAGGCTTCGAGCCTCGATATCCAGAAGAAATCGTACATCAACGACGAGGCTCTCTTCCGCTTTGACTTCAACGAGGAGCAGATGGCGGTCGAGAAGCTCCGTGAGGGTATCTCCAAGTTTGCGGCCGATGCTATTACTCTCAAGGGTATTTTGAAGGAGAAGATTGAGAAGGCTTAGTTGGCTGATATATACCGTTTGGGTCCGATGACTATCTCCATGGACTACATGGTGGGCAACTGAGATCGTTGTCAGCTGTCCGCGTGTGTGCTCACCGTTCTCTAGCTCCAACAGAGAGCGCAATAAATTTCATACTTTCAAAGCTGCAGGTTGATCACGACGGGAGGCATTCCCGATGATATCTTTTCGTGACCCGCCTCGATCCGTGCGGGGCATTTCCGGACTCGGAATCGGAACCCCTCGAGCCCCTCATTCGCGCTTGCCCACCACACAATCGAGACGTGCAATGACAACATAGAACAGCACCGAGGGTCTACTTAGAACTGCGATTCCAATCCCGTCTGACTTTTGCTCTTGCTACAACGCACGTCTGACACTATTCGACCTTCCCATCACACGAACCTCAATACTTCTAGACCCATACAACCGCCAACATGGTCAAAGCTGGTATGCTCCGCCCCTCCCTCTCCCCGTCCTCGCCCTCCTCGATCCTCCGCCATCCTCTCGAATACATAGCTGACAAACTCGAACAGTCGCAGTCCTCCGCGGCGACTCCAAAGTCACCGGCCAAGTGACCTTTGAGCAGTCCTCTGAATCGGGTCCCACCACCATCACCTACGACCTACAGGGCCATGATCCCAACGCGGAGCGCGGGTTCCATATCCACCAGTTTGGGGACAATACCAATGGGTGTACTAGTGCTGGACCGCATTGTATGTTCACTTTCTCCTGTACTGGGTTCCTGTGGGACTCGGGATCTGCTGGCAGGTAGACGATCGCATGGCGCCGGAAACGCTCGGCGATGTCCAGTCACGCCTCGCTGGAACAGGGAGCCACTCTCAACTTCTATGAGCAGAGGGCCCTCCCACGGGTCCAGCTTTTCCCCACCGTCCCTGAACCATGAATCGCTCCAGAACTCCCCAAACTAACAATTCTGTCAGTCAACCCCTTCGGCAAACCCCACGGCTCCCCCTCCGACAGCGAGCGCCACGTCGGCGACCTCGGCAACATCAAGACCGACGGCCAGGGCAACGCCAAGGGCACCATTACCGACGAGCATGTCAAGTTGATTGGCGAGCATAGCGTTTTGGGCGTACGTTTATTTCCCCTTTCCTCCACTATCACCTCTCCCTTCTTGTCCCCTGTAGCGACAAACGTCACTCCTTCCCATTCACCAGAGGTCTTGTATCGGGAGTGCTTGATAAGGCTACAGCATATGCTGACTTCGAGTAAAGCGCACAGTCGTAACTCACGCCGGCACCGACGATCTCGGCAAGGGCGGCAACGACGAGTCCAAGAAGACGGGCAATGCGGGTCCGCGTCCTGCTTGTGGCGTTATCGGCATCGCCAACTAAAACCCCAACTCCTCTGAGCTGCCACAGTTGCGGTGGAATATCCATGGGTACTCATCTAAATCAGCCGGAATACATACATACTGTATAGATGAACATGTCTGATGGTCGATCACATGGCAGACTACTCTAGGAATGCACATATGGGCCTGAGCGATCACTGCACCTAGCACAGAAAACAAACATATATACATCGCAGTGTCCTTAAAAAAATTGCTTGCTCAACTTAACCGATGTTTTCACTTCCACTTGAGCTATATGAGGTTCATGGATAATGATCTACATAATCGTAATTCGTCTAGAACACGCACTCATCCCGCAGCCCACCCTTTCCCTGCGCCGTTCGCTCCTCCCCGTCCCTTAAGCCAATCCACAGCCCTTTCGCGCTTGAGAAGCCGCTTCCGCTTGCTGCTCCGGTAGTACCTGCACCGATCCCTGCTCCACCTTTCGTTCCATGCTCCCCCTGACCAGGGTCACCGTCAACACCCTTCGTCCAGCCCGGTAGTAGCGTTTTCTTACACTCAGGCCAGCGCTCAAAATCAAACAGCGTCCACGCCTCCGTGAATGTCCATGGCCCAGTAACGCCTTCGCCTTTGGGCTCTTCAGTCACAGGCTGGACGTTGAAGGCGGTGATGTGGGATGTCGTTGCGGCGGCGGAGTCGATCGGTTGGATTACTGGGTCGGAGAGGGTACGGCGGAGGGGCGCTGCGGCTTGATGATTTTGTTGCTGTCTGGGTGGTGCTGGGCGGAGAAGGGCTGCAGTGGGTGGAAACTCGGCATCAGGGAGGAGAGATGGGAATGGTTCCGTGTGCTGAATGGCTGTGATGGGTTCTGTGAAGGCATCGTTTTCGGAGAGCACGCGGCGGAATGATCTTTTAGAGCCGATGGACGAGACTTCCGAAGGTGGAAAAGTTGACTCTGTGTTACTTGCGGGGGCGGGGACACTAGGTCGTGGTGGAGGTGGCATTTTCTGCTGACTTGTCCGTTTCGCTGGGGACGAGGCCGTGTCATCTTGATCGACGTCTGATGCCCACAGCCCTCCTGGAATGCTGGACACCCCAAGCATTGGTTTTCCAGTCGCGTGTGTCGGTGGCTGGTTCAGGTCTGGCTCTGGACTGAGAGGTATGGGATAGTCGCTACTTTCGCCGCGTTGGACCGGCTTTGAGACCTGCAGCGACTGCACCTCAAGGACATCGTCGTCTTCCAAATGCTGGTCGGGAGATGGAGGCGACGGATCGGGTTGTGACATGAAAAGCGGGCTGGAATCGATGGCAATCGGCTCATCTGTTGGCCCTTCAGGGACACGCTCGGTCGTTGGATTTGGCTCCGCGGGAGCAGACCGCTGCGGGTCACTTTCTGCAACGGCAGGGCTGTCGTATACATCGGGCAGGACTCTGTCCATTGCACGATCCGGCGGCCTCGTGCTCCGTGCAGATGTGTCTTTGTTGGTGGTCATGGTTGCCACAGGGCTCCCGGGTTTGGTTCTGGTGGATGGTCCTTCTGACGCTGAGTCGGCGGGCAGGAGTGCTCGATACATCAGCTTTCTTCGTGGCTTCTCTCGTGACAGCTGTAGTTGTGAGGTACCTGGCGTGGGCATCCGTGGTGTGACTTTGGAGGGCTGTGCCGGTTCAGCGGGCAACCTTTTGTCGGGCACAGGCTGCTCCACAGGCTTCTGTACGATCTCTGTACTCTTTGCGATGATTCGAGCTGCAGGCTGATGTGTGGCACGAGAGACGGCAGGCTTCTTCGATTTGGGTACAGCTGGACGGGATTGCTTGAGATGCGTGCCGTCCCCAATAGCATCGTCGACCAGCTCATTGACCAAGTCCTCCGCGACGGCTTTCCGTTGGACAGCATTTCGCTGCTTGTGACACGAAGGTGATTGCCTCGCCATAATCGTCCGGGCGGGCTGGTCTCTGTCACTGTCGTCGTCGTCGGAGGACAGCTTATGAACCTCCTCAACACGACCGACAACGGCTTGCGTAGACCCAGGAGCCCATGACGTCCGGATCTGCCTCGGAGGGCTTCGCTGAGGTGCTCTCACAGACCTCGCCTTATTCTGAACAGGCGCTGGAGTATTCTCCTTCTCATCCACAATCTTCAATCTTTTGGCCGGTGGCTGATCTGGGTGCGAATCAGTCTCGATCTGTCGTTGCTCGAACGGCGTCTGTGAGGGTAGTCGGGCACGTCCGATGGGACCTTGACTCGCACCGAGGACATCTCGCAGTGATCTCGGCCGGCCCTGGGTAGCAGCGGCGACTCGTGGTAATCGAGGTGCAGTGGCTGCCCTCCTGTCTGGGCTGTTTCTCTGAAGCAGCACCTGATTAAGGTCTGTCTGAGTCTTGCCAGCAGGTTCAGCAACGTCGACGATGACGCTGCGATCGAAAGTCAGCCGCACGCCTTCCTCAACCTCGTCATCGTCTCTGTAATGGTGATTGGTGACGACGCGTCGCGTATCGTCATAGAGCACAATGACCTTGTTAAAGGTGTGATACGAGATGAAGCCATCGTGAAATTTCGGTTGCTTCTTGTAGCCCTCACGCGTGTATGTGCAGCGAAATTCGAGGACTGGGGCGGTGGCTTGTGTGCCGGGGGCTGAAGCATTAGTAGTGGACAATCGCGAGTGGAATGAGGCACCGCTGCTGATGACTGCGGCGGCCATGAGGAGATGTAAGACGCGTCTCGGGTGACATGATCAGTCAGGCCTGCAAAAAATATACAGACCTGTCTACGTAGTCGATCCGAACATTAAATTGTCAAGTGACGATGAAGAGCAACACCAGAGACACGTGGAGGCGGATGATCTGCTTGTAGTGCAGTGGTTCCCCGTGCTGATCGGCAAAAATGCGGTGGAAGCAGGAGCAGAAGCACCGCCAGAAGCAGGGCAACTGCAAAAGTTTGAGACACTGAAACACATGACAACGCGCGTCGTGGCTGCGGAAAGATGAGAGCCAAACTATTTTAATTTACTGGCTACTGGGCATGCGCATTGAACCTGGTCATTGAGCCTCAAAGTTGCTAACCTCGAGTTCTTGTGTTATTCCAAGCGTCTTCAGCGATCCTTCTCTGCTGTCAACAACATCCCGCCGCCCTTGATCCCTCCCTCACTGGCAGTTCCTCCCCTCGTTACTTCTTGTTGGGCTATCCCTGCCGGCCCCAGACCCTGAGCAGTACCTTGTTCCTACCGAACAAAATTACCAGCCAAGGAATCCTCAACCAACAACACGGGCTGTGAGCTCACCCGCCACCACGTTGTCGTCGGCAACAGTCACTTGCCAATATGCAGAGTGTGCAGCGGCATTTTGGCAGGTATATGAAACGCAGTGCAGACGAGAAACAAGTCTCAGTGCTGCTCAAGGACTTTGAAGAGGCCGACCACTTACTCACCCGCGTATGTGCCCCAAACCGTTCTAGTCGTAGGTCTGACCCGCCTCTAGATTGTCGAATCGTCCAAAGCCTGGAAGGAGGCCTGGATTGCTATTCTGACACATCAGTCACGCATCCTCGTCGAACTCGAGTCGCTCTATCACCCCATACTAGGCGCTGGTGCCGACTATCATGGCCACCAAGCAGTCGAAACAGATCCAGAGACCTTGGCGAGGACGGCACGCTACAAGGCGGAAAGCGAAGAGTTGAAGACAGACCTGGCCGAAGACTTGTCCCAGGTTGACAAGCGCATGATACAGGTGGCACAGTCCGCCAAAGACAGCCTACAGACCATGAAGAAGACGATCAAGAAGAGAGAAGACCGCAAACTCGACTACGAGAGATACTCATCACGGGTTGACAGCGGCTCCAAGAAATCAAAGCCTTCCGATCGCGAGCAGATAGCGCTCAACAAGAATCAGGCAGACCTTCATGCTGCCACCGAAGCGTACAGCAGTGCGGACGAGCATCTACGGCAAGTCCTGCCACCCATATTGGCCGCCGTCTTCTCCCTACTGCCGCATATCCTGGCCGCTCAGATCGAGATACAAAATACCCTACTGGGACACTACTACACCTCGATACACACCTACTGCACACAAGAAGGCTTCCCAAACCCTGCTCCAGCCATGGACGAAGTCGTACGGATATGGTCAGATGACTTCTTGCCAGTCCAGAAAGAGGTCGAGTCCCTAATGCTAATCGCCAGCGGCAAAGCCGTACGCATGCCAATGAACCAGGAGAAGCAAAATGGCTACACAAACGGCAACAGACGACCAAGCGCCCACTCTGCTCTGTCTGGCCGGAACCCATCACCCTCGCCCGCTCGAGCCCTACCTCCATCGCCAGACTTCGGCAACAAAGCCAAGATCTCCTCATCTCCCTCGCCTTCAAGCTACATGCTCTCGCCCGCAGAACAGCCACCACCGCCTATGCCTTCACCTGGTGCTGCGTCCGCATACCAGACACCCCTCTCCACGGGCGTCGCAACCTTCTCCCCAGCAGGGCCAAACATGGACTACTTCTCCCGCGACCGTCAGACCTCAACCACCTCCGCCGGCGGCCACACCCTCACAACCCCCTCCTCAATGTCGAGTCTGGCCTCAGCAACCTCGACCCTGCCCATCGGTAAGAAGAAGCCGCCCCCTCCTCCACCACGGATGCCAAGCACCAGCAACTGGATTTTCGTGACGGCACTGTATGACTTTAGTGGTCAGGGCGACGGTGACTTAGTGTTCAGGGAGGGTGATAAGATCAGGGTACTCAAGCAGACGGACAGCAAGGACGATTGGTGGCAAGGCGAATTGAAAGGAGTCAAGGGCGCGTTTCCGGCCAATTACTGTGAGTGATGGAATCGGGGGAACTTGGGTTCGCGGAATGAGAAATTGCGTGTGCCTTGCACGACGAAATGGAGTCAGAGATACCCAATGCTACATATTTGAGCGGAACAGCGAACATTTAGGAAGGTCTCTTGACCCAGGAGAAGATTCTACGGATATGACATTTGGACTCGGTTGAAATCTGATGAGTCCACCCACAAAAGCTTTACGCATGAGCAGACTTCTCAGGTCGCAGACACGTCTGTCCGCAGGACCTGGAATACATCAAGAGCGATAGCGAGCTAGACTATTGAGATGGACAGCATAATGATATTGCTCGACGCTACAAGTCAACTGCCTTCGGGTAGCGGCCAGTGACATCTAATAAATGGCCACGGGCTCAATGGAAGGGCACTGGACTATATGGACGAGCTACCGGAATTCCTTCACGTTGATGACTTTCCAGAGCCATCTGAAAAGCACAACGGCCAGGCAAGTGAGACGAGTGATGGTGTGAAATTTGGACCTTTCCACCACTTTTCTTCAGCGAATCTCGTGCTAACTGCAAAGCCTCTTGCACAATAAGTATCTCATCTTCCCATAATCATTAACCAGGTCTCCAGGTATCGCGAGAGCGCTATCACGACTGACATCGCTTCACAGCAAGCATGCCAGCCTCGGAGTGCATCAAAGTCGAGATTCTGGTCAACGGAGAGCCGCTCGAGGAGTATCCTGACACTGAGATCAGAGATCACCCAAGCAGCTACGTTCAAGCAGTGTCCGGTCAAGAGTATTCCATCAGAGTGACGCTGCTGAAAGGATTCAGCAGAGACGGTGCACAAAACATCTGCATCACACTCGCTGTCGATGGCTGGTCGTGCAACAACAAGCATTGGTTCAACAGTGTTGCGGCACTATCCTGCCCAGCTTCCGTTCTAGACACAGATGTGAAGTTCAAGGCCATTAAAAGCGTCCCAGGACTCGACAAAAGTACTGGACAATGGAAGGACTATGCATTTACGTTCAGCGATCTCCGCCAAAGTACGTCTATCCCAGCATCTAAACAGATGGGAGTCCTGACATTTGACAGATGACGACGGAAAGGTTCCCGATGGTTTCATCCGCGGCACACTTCAGCATCTTGGCTCCGTTGGAGTTACTGTCTTTCGCGTCGGCGTGCTCGAGAGGACCTCCTTGCCGGCGGATACTTGGGACCTGCCTAACACACTCGACTCGGTCCCGGAGAAGGTCTTGAAAGGCGCAGACATTCATACAACTACCAGGTATTCTCGAGCCTGGTGAGGGCATGGAGGATCCCCACTGACAGCGCTAGCTATACGCCCAAGGGAATCCGAGACGGCACCAACGGCCGGGCTGTCGAGGTGAGGATGACGAAGATGACGCCCTTGCCCGAAGGTCAAGGCCGCAAACACAACTTCACCTTCTTTTACCGCAGCAAAGCGTAAGTTGTTCCACCTTGACGGGCTGTTGGGGCTAAAGCAAGCTACAGTGCCCTCCAGCGTCTCGACATTCTTCCACCCGATGGCATGCCGCCCCCTGATCCAGTAGCAACAGCTCCGGCAGAGCGGGTCGGACCGACCATGGCACAGCCGGATGTCGACGACATCAAAGCCCAGATCGAACGGTTAGAGGTTCGTGTCCTAACCTTGAACATTCATCCACCCCGTCAGCTAACCGGTCGATTTAGGCACTCCTTCCAGACGTTGAAGATATCAAAGCCCAGGTCAAGCAGTTGAAGGTATGTCTCTCGAGTACGAAACCTTTAGTTTCTGTATGCACTGACCAAATCACACAGGCACGACTTCCAGGGGCGCGCATCAAGACTGAGGATCGAAAGCGACCTGGTCATGAGTACGATAGCGGAGACAATGGCACTGATGTCGAAGAGGTTGGGCCACCTGCCAAAAAGCGCGGTCCTACGATTGAGCTCAGTGATGACGATGCCTAGGCGATGACACTGTAGCACGTCCACAAGGTTGCTTGCAGGCACTTGTGACGATGAAATGTCGATTGGAGGTCCGAAGGGCTGACAACGAAGCGGGACGCTCGACGATACACATCAGATACTAGGTGCGACGGGAACGCGAAATGCTCAACGGTACACATAGGACAACAGGCGTGGATGCAGTCTCTGTGCCGCAGTGATTTACTCTGAAAGCATGGGATACTTCGGTAGCGATCTCGATCTAAGTCTATCAGGAATGCCCTCCCGTTGGACGCTATAAGAATGATATCCATGCTTCTATACACACGAGCAAACGCTCCGTGGTCTCGCCAGCTTCCTGAACGATGCTCTACCGCCATGCAAGCATGCAAGTAAACGCAAACGCCCTTTTCCACCAATGCATGCCGGCATAAAATAGATGCTGCTTTCCTGAAACGATGCTAGTATCCTGCACAACCAACAGCCAATGCCCTTCCATACAGATACATGTTGGCCGCAAATTACATGTTGCTGCTGCATCGCCGACTCTTATACAAATGCTGGTGACTCCTCCCTTCCCCTCTCATCACTGCTAAACACACGCGTGCGCCTCCTCTTCAGAAAGTCACTTACTATGCGCTTGCTGTTCCACAAGCCATGAAATGCACCCTTGTCTCCAGCTTCGTTGGTGGCCTGCTGGCTGAGAGCCATGTCTGGCAGAGCCGTGTCGTTCTCGCCATCGAAGGCATTTCCACCAAGTCCGCCATACCCTCCAGGACCACGCAGAGAGCTAGAGGCCGCAACACTCAGGCGATTGCCTGATGCAGAACTGTTCATCTCCCCTTTGCCGAGATACATGCTGTCGAACGGACGGTTGGACTCGGGGACATCCATGTTGAAAGGTCGACTGAGTCGTGCCGAGAGCGACACCTTGATTGTCGGGCTTTCGTTGTCGAAGTTGAGCTTCTTCTCTCGACCGGGTGTGATGGTGTTGGCACTGCTGTCCCGAACTCCAGATGCCACATCACTGGGTCGCTTCCGAAGTCTGCCGTTACCGCTGCGCATCTGAAGGCCAAGACGTCCAGGTGTGCTCATCGGCGGAGAGTCGCTGGACGTCGACGGCTTGTTCTCCTTTCCACTGTCATCGTCCTTGAGCAACATAAGCTGACTCTTGCGTTCTCGTAGCATGCGAGCGATATTGCCAGGACTAATTTTGCGCAGGTCACTGCTGACTTTGCGCAAACCACTGCTAGCCTTGCGGCTCTCGTCAGATTTGCCATCTTTCAGTGTGGTGACGCTGTTGCGCTTAGGCAGGCCACTTTGGGTCTTCGTCAGGCTAGAGCTACGCTTAGGCACAGGTGTGCTGCGCATCGGGCCGTCCTGGAGATCGAGAAGAGGATATCTCTTCATGTTGCCAGCTTTTGGTAGCGGACGTATTGTCTTGTCTGCATCAAGGCCCACATCATCGGGATCGATCTGGGCATGCTCACGGACATGCTTGGATGCCTTCGAATCGCTGCGCGTCAAATTATCCATCTGCCATGGATCCAGCCTCTCCACGATGGCTCACTGCTGCTGGCCGACGCCGGCAACTTGCTGGGCTCTTCGCCGTCAGTATCAGGAGCTGAGATGATCGTAGCCATGCCAGGACCGCTATATCGCAGGTCGTCTATGCTGCCGATGGGTGGCACGTAGTCCTCGTTCTCGCCACCGTTTGTGGTTACGGAGTACAGGCTCTCACTGCTCAGCGCCGCCCGTCTAGATGGCCGTGTGGTCTTGTCACGACCAGTCGGCACAACGACAGGCGCCCTCTCTTCGGCATCATCGATCGACCTGAGGCGATCCTGACTTTTTCGGTCATCTAGCATTTTTCTGAAAGGACTTGGGGTCGACCGCTTGTACTGACTGGAGAACGGAAAGAAGCTTTGCTGTTGCTGCTGCTCAACTAGCAATTCCCGTCTCCGCTCAACATTAGCTTGATGTTGGATGCCGGTACCACTACGATCACCAGGCAATAATGGCTCTCTGGCTCTATCATGATTGTCATTCTCGTCATTGTCCTCGTCCTGATCTGACGAGTGGTGTGTAGACTTGGACACTGCCCGTATTGTGGAGAAAGCCAGATCTGCTTCACTTCCATCGTAGCTGTTGGCTCTGTTCTGGTGTATCTCTTGCAGAGCTGCTCCGGTGTGCTCGATCTCTGCTTCTTCTTCACCAATGCGCTTCATGAGCGCAGAATAGATCCTCTGACTGTCGACCATAGGCAGCGGTCGGCCGTTCTCATCTGTCTCTGGTAGAGGGTCTTGGAATACGTTGATGCCGCCAATATGACGACCAGCCGAAGAAGAAGGTTGATGAGGGCCGGCGTCTTCTTTGATGATCGATAGGCGATTCTGCTGAAGGCCACCCTGTCGGGCCGTCGAGGCCGTGGTTGAAGTTGAGTTTGACCAGCTTGTTACTCGTGAGCGACTGTTCGAACGCAGGCTCTCACCGCTGTTCAACGCTTCCAGAGTCGACGAGAAATGATCAGGCTCATCGTCTAGTGGAGGAACGTAAAAGCTCTGGCGGCAGACATCGTCTTCATCAACATGATAGTCATCAAAGCTCAACGAATGTTCGAGGTCGTCGTGCTCCACACTGAAGTGGCGTCGAGTGGCATCGAGTTGCTGAGGAGGCATCGAGCTCTTCCTGCTGCTCGCAGACTTGTTGAATACCTTGAGGAACCGGTTCCGCAGGCTGCCAGAGAAGCCCCGCTTCGGAAGCGTTGCCTCTGAAAGCGCCACTTCAGAGTCAATGCTACCTGGCGGATCAGTGGAGGCATGAGAGCGTACAGCCCTCCGAAGATTCACACGTGGTAGGCGGAACTTCTCAGCGATCGTCGATGGCTTCCTCTCTGGAGTTGGCTGTGGCATACAGTGAAGGTAATGCCCACGGGGGAGAACAGTAGCATCACCGTATGACCCGGGCACAGTTTCTGCTCTCGCCGGAGTATCAATGCGGGAGCTTGGCCTAAGAAAATTGAACGACTTTCTGATCCGCAGACCAAAGCCTGGCTCAGATGCGCCATCAATGTCCATATGTGTGGTGCTCGTAGATTTCCGGAGTGTAGGGCCACGATTGCGAGGTATTTGAGGACTCGGTGGGGAGAAGAAGCGACGTCGTGGTGTGAGCAACGACTTCGTTCGGCGAATTCGACGGTATGACGACGGCTCAGCGCCATAGTTCTCAATGATGGGTTCAAACTCGGTCAGATCTGACTCAGTGTATGTGTACCCTAACCGTGGCTCTTGAGGTACTTGTAGTGCGGCAGCGAGGTGAGGTGCTTTGCTTTGTAGTACAGATCGCTGCTTCCGAAGCTGGGTCGCAGGTGAGAACTGGACACGCTGGCTAGTACCATTGCTGCGTCGACTCGCAGCGCTATCGGTGCGCTGAAGGGCAGTAGATGAGCGTGATCGGGTCCGGTCCATTGCCCGATGAGCGGCGATTAGGGCATGTGCTCGAGACGCATCTGGATCTTGGGGCGTTGCTTGCAGTGGGTTCTTTCGTCGTTCTTTGACTGATGTGGCGGACTTGGATCGATGTAGTTGTGCTTGATGAGAGGCCATACTGTCAGTATCCAAAATGCAGCCCTATACATAGCCTGAGGGCCATGGGATAAGGGATGCTACACATTTGGTGGGAGGAGAAAGCTGCTGAGCTGTCGCCGATCTCAAGTGATCATGAAGGAGTCGTGCCTGCCATCAGAGCGTGAGATGTTGCGAGAAGAGCAAAGTGAGGCACGACCCGCTACCATTGTAAAGGTAGGTACGATCGGCTACCGTGATGGTGCAGGCGCACCCTCCTCCTCATTTGCACTTGCCTCCAGTGTTTCCTCGGCCCTTTCTTCAACTGTCCTGTATCCCAGGAACAAGCCAAGCATTAGTACATCATAGAGTAATTTCAAGGATCCCGCCATGATGAAAGAGACCCAGAATAACGACCTTCCTGCCAAAGCTCCAGTCACAAGTGGACCGACACTCTGCGAAAGAGTCTTCACAACGTTGACCGTACCCATCACGGCAGTCCTCTCCTCAGGCTGCACAGCTGCAGCGAGAAAAGCTTGCCTAGGCGCTTGGTCCATGCTGTTGAGGCAGTAGCGAACAGCCAGTAGTCCAATCGCGAGTACCAGACTATTCGGCACCGGGATCAAAGCCAGAGCAATCGAAGCCGGTACGTGAGTGAACACCATTGTCTTGATCAAACCGATACGTCTAGCCAGAGGAGCGGCCGCAAAGTTCGAGAAGACAGAGAGAACGTTCGCCACAAAGAACAGAGTTCCGAGCTGGTCTTCTCGTAAACCAAATTTCTGCGAGAAGAAATAAGTCACCCAGGACGCGGGAGTGAGTCCGGATGCAATGGAGTCCATGGCGAAGAGCAAACACAACTTCCATAGTAGTGAAGCCGACTGCTGGGAAATATTAGGAGTCAGCTTCGAGAACAAGCTCTCTTTCGGCTCTTCATCAGAGTCCTCCAGGTGTGGTCTGTCATTTGGAATAGGGACCGCAACGTTCTCCTCCTGCCCCGCAAGCAGCGGCCGGCGTGCGTCACCGGACACGGTCTCCTTCCGTTCTGGCTCACACGCGTTGCTCAAGAGCAAGCACAAAGCAAACTTGGTCAGTCCAAGCACAGCATACGCCCAGAACACCAAGCGATAGCTGTCCAGCGCATCCCAGTCCTGCGTTTTCTGAACCAGCCTCAGCACCCAGCCTCCCACCAGCACTCCCAAGGAAGCGCCTGAATACCCGAACACGGTGTACCACGCGAGGATTCCTGTGCGCTCTTCGCGACCCGTGAGTGCAGAGATAGTGCTCTCTTCGACTGCTCGAAATGGGCCGATCTCGTTCCCACTAGGACTGATCACACCTAGTACAGCCGCGAGCAATAAGATCCAGTAGTTACTGCTCAGCGCAAAGACAACTCCAGACCCAGCCATCAGAAGCGCACCCATCGCAAGCGTCCGCCGCCGACCAAGCCCATCCGCAATCACCGTCAATATGAGCGATACGAAGACATCGCCGAACAGCGTCAACGTCATGAACAGGCCTATGCGTTCTTCTGAGATGTCGAGAGCGCGCAGAAAGAGAACCAGAATGAGCGTGGTAGAGCCATAGGCGAGGAAGCGGACGGTCCTTTGGAAGCAGAGTATCTTGACGTCGAGCGGGGAGTGAATGAGATGAAGCAAACCGATCTCATCGGCGATAGTCGTCAGCCATTTGCGTGGCTTGTCCATGGTCATTCTTGCTTTTGAGAATCGCGAATTGTGCAATGTCCGTGCGCAGGCTGACGGTATACACTCATGCACCTGGTGGCGTTTGAGATTCCGTTCGTAACACCTACGCACAACGATGTTGCGTTTTCATGGTGAAGTGAGAAAGGCCGATGCCGTGACTCACGTCGCACCCCCAAAAGCCGACATTGGGGGTTTTTCGCGTCGACATCGACGTGGATACGCGTCGCTTTGTCACTGAGCGCATCTCTGCTGCCTGGCGCTAAGGAATAACTTTTCGCTGACCCTGGGGAGAGGTTGACTTTTTCTCAATAAGGGCTTTTGGTCGAGTTGTCGACTTACAATAGACCGGATGACTGGGTCAATAACCTGAGGTCTTTCCACTCGCCGGATGACAAACGGCGCTTGTTGCCCTTAGATGGCGTCCTGTTACCTTTGTACTGGCTCCACCTCGTCCTTTCTTGCTTTGACTTCCACATAGATACCACTAAGACAAGTGGTCTTCCGGAATATCATGGCTGAGAATGAATGGCGTCTCGTCTCATAACCTGCCTGCAAGTGGTGGCGAGATACGCAGGTGAATATACTTGTGAGTTGGTGACAACCTATATCACCATCAACGACCAGACATTTAATGACGGTGCCAGTGTTTGCCAGTCTGATTAAGTAAGGTCTTCTATGTATCCCAAAATCAGAGTTCCGTCCTCACCACATCCGCACTCCCCTTCCCTTCCTCCACCTCCAGTCCTTGTCCTCCTACCCCACCATTCCCCTCCCGTTCAAGAGCACCCACATCAACTTCCAGCCCCATCGCCGCGCCCGAACCCCAAGGGCCCCCCATCTCCGCCGCGGCAATATACCCCAGCTCGCACCACGAAAACGCCCAGTCTTCCGTGGTGCTGTCGAACCAATTGTCCCAGAACGGATCTAGCGCCTCACGGAGGTTTCGGATTGCGTTAGGAGGATTAGCCGCGCCTGCCACGGGTTTGTCTGCGGGTCCAGTGGAGTTGATGGCCGGAGATGGAAATGATGGAGAGGTCGGGCATAATGGTGGGAAGGGAGAGCAATGCGGGTAAGGACAGAGGAACTCCCAGGGGTGCGTGCAGGCGCACCCTTTGCAGGTTTTGAGGAGGGCGAGGAGGGCGTTGAGGCGTTGGAGGAGGCGTTCGATGGGAACTTCGAGCGGAAGGTTGGACTTCGTTAGGGTGGTTGCTTGGGAGGAGAAGTATGTTGGCGGGGCATGTAGGTCGGCGGCGAGGGGGGATGGTGGGGTTTCGGTGTGGAAGTCTATGGTGTTGTTGCTGAGCGAGTCGTTGAGAAAGCTGCGTCGGCCGGTGATGTTGTTGTTGGTCATTGGCTGCATCGGTGGGTGGATGTTGTCGAGGGCGTATGGGTCCGCCTGTTCGAGGCAGATCAGTACGACAGGCTCTTTTCACTCAAGCGAAGATCAGTGCTTTCGACAATCGCAGAGCAGAGAAAGCCCGAGCAAAGGAGTCACACCAAGCCTAAGGAAAGAAGCACTCACAATCAAGTCATACAGCTCCCTCTCGCCCGAACACCACACGGTATACAGCAAATTATACCCTTGCCCAATCACCCTCAACGCCTTGTACGTATGGTTCATGAACAGGTCCGCCCCGTAATTGCCCTCACTCATGATCAGACCCCAGCTCTCTACATTGACATGCTCTTGCCTATAGCTACCCTCTGTCTCACCGTCGGTTGTCCTGCTAGCATCTTGCAACGCATCCTCCGTCAAGGCATAACCGCGCCATCAAGCCCAAACTTCTCCACCATCCCCACACGCTCCTCGCCCGCACCCGCCTCCCACCCAGCCAGCCTCAAAATCGTTGGCGCAATATCAACATGATTCGTCACCACCCCACCACCAGTGCTGACCCCCCTCGGAACCCCCGGCCCTCTCACAATGAACGGCACACTAACATCCTCCTCGAACGCGCACTGCTTCCCCGGCTGTAGCCTGTGCTGTCCGATATGGTACCCGTTGTCGGTCGTGTAGATTATATACGTGTTTTCCAATTGTCCCGCCGCCTCGAGTTTGGCAATGATGGAATCGATAAGCTCATCAACGGGCTGCAGCGCACGCAAGCGCGAACGGTAAAAGTGGTCGTTGAATGCTATGTTCGTTCCGTTCTGTAGGGGCAGGTTGGAAATCCAGGATGCCGAGCCGCGTTGGGGTTGGGATGGGTTGAAGTGTGGCGTGCGTGGGACGGTGATGTTTTCGAACAGGTGTGCGTGGCGGGCTGCGGGAATGGGTGGGGATTGTGTGACGGATTTGTTCGTGAAGGTCGAGTTGATCAGGGCGGAGTGGATGTGGACGTTGCTGTGCGGTGCCGTGGGGGCGATGGTGAGGAAGAATGGATGGTCTGGGCGCTGGGATACGGCGGCGGTGAGGAAGGCGAGGGATTTGTTGATCAGCACGTCGGTGGAGTAGGATCCTTCATGGCTGACTGGAGGGTCGGTGTTTTGTTGGAAGGTGGCGTTGAGGTATTCGTAGGTGTACGGGTCGAGCAAGAAGTCGGATTCATTCCAGCCGCGGGGAAACGGTTTGTTGTAGTTGACGACGGAGTGCGCGTTGAAGAGCTTGCCGGTGTAGTAGGTGGTGTAGCCGAGGTCTTGGAGCCAGAGGGGGAGGTAGTTGTCGTTGAAGCCCTGACTTACAAACTTTGGGTAGCCGCCATGGGGCGGATTGACGTCGGTGATGTTGGTGTTGTGGGCGGCCTTGCCAGTCCAGATTGAAGCGCGGGAGGGGCAGCACAGGGCGACTGTGCAGTAGTGGTGGCGGAAGAAGAGACCTTCATCGATCAGGTGTTTCTGCAGGTTTGGCATGTAGGATAGCGAGTCCATGTGCAGGTCCTGGTCATCGGTGAGGATGACAAGAATGTTCGGCTTGGCGGGCGGAGTGGCATGATGCTGTGGGAGCGGATGCTGCGTTGCTGCAACTGGGACGGCTAACGGCGCCAGCCATGCTGACAGTAGTAACAGACGTCGAATGCTTCGGACAACCAGCAGCACGAGAATGCTCATGGTTGTTGTTGCTTATATATGGAGACGTTGGACTTACAAAGCGATTGAGGTTAACGTATTGCCAAGGATTGGCATTGCGGCGAGCTTAGCGGATCCTTTTGAGCATACCATCAAGGCACGGAGGACTTGGGTAAGAGAATCGTGAAGTCGCTGGAAGGCATTATCTGCGTCAGGACATTACATCAGGGATGGCTTCGAGCCTGGCTCCGAATAGGCTGTGGAATGAAGAATGAGATGACCCTCTACATTATGCTTTACTGCACTGCATCGTTATTAAGGCAGTTAGACGTAATCCTCGACAGCTTATTGCACTACGAGGTCGGAAACTTGTCGCTCAAGTCTACAAGTTTACTGCCTCGGGAAGGTCGAGTTGGGCCAACTTTACCAGTCGGAAGTAGTGCGCCTTTCTTCGGCAGCTTTGGTGGCGTCCGCTTCTTTTGGGATTGTTTAATCGCTCCACCTGCGCCGCGCTCTTGCGTAGCCTGCGTGGCGGTTGTCTTGCTCCCGCCGTAGGAAGTGGATCAGAAGACTGGTAGGTGATTCTGAGCGACGAAGGTTTCGCTTGCTTTTTCATGGTTGATTGGCCATCAGCTTTGGCTGCAAATGACGTGCTTTTCGCTCCTGACTTGCCCGGACCTTGTGATGGCAGTATGTGGCCGTCCGCCGACGATTGCCCTGTTACTAGAACCGATCGATAGCTTATGTTCAAAGTGGACATTGCTTCAGGCGTCGGCTTGGATTTCGTCGTCACTGGTGACGACGCTCGTGCAGCGAATGATTCCGAACTCATCATGGTACTTGCGACACCCGCTTGTGAGTCCTTGTCGACCTGACTGAGTGCAGGCCTGTCGACTTTTCTGATCGCAGTGTGCTCAACTCTTCTGATTGCGGTGAACATCCGGCTCCTCTTACGACCTTGTCCGCGTCTGGCTGCTTGATCTGCCGCATGTGAGTCCTTGTCGGCTTTACTGGATGCGATGCTGTTGTACTTCCTGAACGTAAGGCTGGCGTATTTTTTGATCTTGATTGCAGTGAACACCCGGCTCTTCTTACGGCCCTGTCCGCGTCTGGCTCCTTGATCTGTTGATTCAAGAGCCGCGGCTTGTCTCGCCGTTCTCGAACTCGAGATCGTGGGGGGATACTTGATTCCTATCCCCTCTATGACTTTCGAACCTTGCCGATTGCTTTTCGGTGGCGATCCCAATTCCGGTCGCTTGGCTGATGCTGTCGAGGGACCCCATTTGACTGAACTCGATGCACCGTCCTGCCCGTCCCCGCCGGGGAGAGCTCGCATAGGTGTCCAACTGGCCGGCTCCTGAACTGTCTGCTTTTTTAGCGTTTTCTTCAATTTATTGGTAGCTCCGCGCAAAGCACGCTCCAAGCTAGGTCGCCTGGTTGCTTGGGTCGCACGCCTTTCCTGTTGGCTGCTCCATCGCACAAGAGGTCTCGCTCGCCCCTGCTCCCAGTTCCGTCTCCAAGTCTGGAGCTCGTAGGCCATGTCCCGCGCCACTACAATTTTACCACGTTGGAGGTCCCGTTGAGAATCGATTTGCGTGTACTCAGCGCCCTCCTCGAGGTCACTCATATATGCGGTAAAGGCTGGTATTTCGCTGACTGGTCTGTAAACGAGATCGTCTTCGTGCTCCGTCGGGTCCAAGCTTGCGGGAGACCACGCCGTCAAGCTGCCCAGTGCGTGTAGCTCGTGTTCGTGCACTTCATGGCCACCAACCTGGTGCTGTTGGGATTCGGCCGAGACTGGTGTGCTTCCGGCAGGTACTAAAGAGTCTTCGAATAATGCCTTGTGCCAATCATGGTACGGGAGTCCGTGCTTCCTCGCAGCTACGGCGACAATCTCAGGTGCGTTGGAAACGCCCGCGACACGACAAATTGTCTCACGGTCTTCGCCGAAAGTCGTAGCCATGTAGTAGGCCGCGAGAGACCGCCGAGCGTCCTGGTCAAGCTCTCCGCATGGTTCGAAGCGCTTCGTCATGTCAAGAGAGAATTTATACAACCAGTCGTCTCTACTGTACGCCTGCCGACCGCCGTGTGCGAGAGGCGTTCCGAATCCGAACTCACTCTCCGGATCAATGCAGACGGGACCGATCTCTGGCAGCTGTTTGCTGGCTTCGTCTGTGTATCGCATGAGGTGTTCGTGCTGCTCGCCCATATACCAGCACAACGGGGCACGCGCACGGTCGACTAGAGCGGATATGTTCTCGGGAAACCTGTTCGAGGGCTCCGGTAAGCTGATGTTTTCGTATGGTATGGATGACGACAACGGTCCGAGAACTATTCGAGAGCGTGTTGAAGTAAATTGATGGTCCAGGTGCTCTCTCGTCTTGTACAAGTTGTCAACTATCTTAACCGTAGATGTGTCTGACAAGAGTTCTGCGAGATCGTCCAGCATTTTGCCCTTGAAGGACCCGTCACGGCGCAGGACAACGTCTGGGCTGATCAGGTAAGCCCGCGTCGGAGTCGAGATGACGAGTATATCTAGTACACTACGCTCGGACGATCTGTCCCACGGCTTCTTGATGATGCGGGTGTGCGCGTACACGCCGATAGCTTCAGTCCTACGAAGTTCAGCAACAGCTTTGCTGATGCTGTATGGGCTGCACAAGAGGTATACCGGGAATTTGCGATCTGAGTGCTGTGGATACATGGCTGAACGAGGCGATGGCTGGAACTTAGAGATTCCCAGGGTTTGCTTAGGCTGGTCGATAGCCAGACCGTTCAACTCACGCTGCCAGAGAGGGCCGCGACCTTGAGCATACGAAGTATTGAGGAACGGCTGGAGATCGGTATTATTGCTGTTGTCCTCGATGTTCGAACGCCTCTTCAGACACTCGCTTGTGATGACCCAGTAGGCGTCCTCCAGCTCGATGATGATTTGTTTCATCGAAGTTCTGATAGAAAAGTAAATTTTCACGAGCTTGTCCAAGCGAGCAGACTCGCGAGATCTGGCCCGACTGCTGCGCCCACGGTGCAGGCTGAGATCGAGACGAATGCTTAAAAAGAAAATACATTCACCGTGCACTTGTTTATGCATTTCGTCCCAAAAGTTTGTGAAGAACCAAAACGGCCTGAAGGTCAACGTGAGAGAAGTCCGTAATGGCGAGGCTGAACTGGCGTATACAAATTCATTGCTGCAGAGACACCGAGCGAATGTGGACATTTCCTGGTTATCCCGCAGCAGTACGTGAAGCTGCTGGATAATGCCCCTGAGCTCGAGTTGCGCGTTTGTCTTCTTGGTCAGTAACAAGGACGACGCCCAGCGAATAATGTCGCGAATATCCTCGATGTTGCCATGTATATCGTCGATCATGTCGCTATAAGGTGTCCACGGGCGCAAAGCTACAATCTCCGGCCCAGCCTCTGCTTGCAAGCGTCTGTACCGGTGCCCTCGCAGTTTGTGAAACCAACGATCCAAATCCTTCTCCAGGTCGAATTGGAGAAGGGTTCCTAGTCGAATATGTTCCTTGTCGGCCTCGAGCCGGCTGATGTAGCCTTTTTCCGTCATCTCGTCAAACAATTCTCGCAGCAATGGATTCATGCCTTTGGCACTCTCGGAGAGGTTATCTATGAGGGTGTGCTGACGCCCTCTCAGGTACTCCGATCCTTTCTCCGAAGAAGATCCTTTCTCCGTTCTTCGGACGCCTCGTAGGCGACGGACTTGCAAGTCAATCTCTGCTTCTCGGTCTTTCTTGGATCGCAACCGTTGAGGTATAGAGTTGATGTGCCGCTGGCGTATGGCGGACAACTCTGCTTCGGCGTCTGCGTATTGTTCCTCGACCTCGCGGATTTGACGTTCGATAGGTTCGAGGAACTTGGCCGCGATCAATTTTCCTTTCTCTTCAAGCGTTGTGGACAACTCGCCAAGGTCGGTCCTTATCTGATAGACAATTATCGCGCTCTGCTCAAGCATATGATTTGTGATTGTAGCTCGAGCACCGGCGCGAGGCTTTCGATGTACTTGCATATCATGCGTAATGCCTTGCCTATAGACCTTGGTAAGCCTGGACTCGAGTCTCCTGAGAACAGACACCACATCCCTCTGGTAGAGCTTGTCGTGGTGTTGAAGTTCCATGTGGTAACGTTCGACTGCCTCAAATCCGTGCTCACATGCTACCAATTTATCACAAAAGTCGAGCAACCGCTGCCTCGTCATTAGCCAGAGATGGTCCTCAGGGATGTGCGCTTTCAAGGAAGAGAGTAAGAACCCGTGCGCCTCAGGATTGAAAGCGAACAGTGACCTTGTCCGTTCAGATGCAAGATCGTAATCAAAAGCAGCAAAGAGGTCGCCTTTGCGCGGTGTTCTGGACGATCCAGTGGGCCTGTAGGCGCGAAGTTCCCCGAGTCCCTTTCGTAATTGCCATATTGCCTCGTCCTGAGGAGACATCAATAGCACCTGGTTGTAGTTTTGGGCCAGATCCGGCTTTGCGGCCGGACCGGTGGCCGCAGCTTTGAGCAATGCTTCCTTAGGCGTCGGCAGTTTTGGGGCGTCTGGAGAGACTGGAATTTTGACGACCCTGCTCTGCGGAGCTCCTTCGTTGGGTTTCCGACGGTACCAATACTTGCCACCCGCGTTCGTCAACTCATACTTTCGTCTATTGTTCAGCGGAGTCGTGATCAAGGATATGATTCTCTGGTAGTTATCCCGGTAGACCCTCTCGCCCAGGGTCGCTTTGAGGTTCAGCTCCTCTTGAATGTAGTAGGTGATGTGCCCCATCTGCACATACTTGCCTTCGGAGTATGTTGTCATATACTGCTCAACAAGACGAGGGATTGCGTCGACGACATGTTCCGGCAGGCTAGTAGAGGGCTCTATCACCCGTCTGCCCTTCTTGTACTTCGGCTCGGGCACTTCCTTCTCCGGTGGTTTTGATACAGCACTGGAAATCCATCCCCACAGGCCAGATGCTTGCGCAGAAGACTGGAAGGACCTCCGGTCGTTCCTGAGCGAGCATTTCTGATCTTTCTGCAGGCCGGATGATGTAGACTCGGAGAATGGTTTGGGAGTGCCGCCAAAACCCCGTCGAGCTGTGTGTATATTCCTTCTCGTCTGAAGCACGTCGGCTGGTGGTTTCGTGCCTGGTGCGAAACCACGATACCGCTCGAGCTGGAGGAGTTGACTAATGGGAAGGGCACCTGGGCCAACATAGTGACAGACCTGGCTGCTGACTACGCTGCTCGTAGAAAGCATGTGAGACGGCCATACGTCGAGATGGCTTGACGATGCAACGACGCATATGGAAAGAGAAATACACGAGGCGCGGAAATCTACGCGAGGCGGAGAACAGGAGGGCTATCTCCGCGTGACTTCCGACCTAAAATTCACCTCTAATTCATGAATGTGAGAAGGTATCATGCTGCATTGCAATTGCTATCCTATAAATTTCGCATCGAGGCGATAATCGGATTGAAGTCCTCCATATCAACTTCAACTTCCTCGGCGAGCCACCATCGACCATCGGCCTGTTCGAACTCCCGCGCCTCAGGACGCGCTGCGAACATCTCTGAGACTCGAACTGGAGCCTGGTCGTCATTCTCCTGTTGTGGTTGCGGAGTGTTCCAATTCTGTGCAATCCACTGTCTGCGAGCTTCCGCATTGTCAAAATATCGTACAGCGAGATCCCAATCCCTGTTGTCGTCAGTATGTCTTCAAGATCGGAGTGTGCTTGGGGTTCACTTACCCGATATAATTCACCCAGGCACCTTCTCCCGCGTCGTGTCTGTGAATTGGCCAGGTACGTAAATGGTGGTGCAAAGGTAGTTGCAACCGTAGATCTTGGATGCGGCGATCAAGACCTCGCCAGACGGTGTCGTAATCGGCTCGTAGGCGGATAGTCTCCGTTCCTGGAATGCCTAATTCCTGGCGAATCGCCATCAGCAACCGGATTGTTGGAAACAGAGCTTGGTACAGGTCTCGCCGCATGCGAGAGTCTCTGGCCTCTATTCTGGAGCCCAAGACTGTCCATGTTCGAATTCGATTGTGGTCTGGTCGGGGACGTGGAGGCAAAGGTGCTGGAGCGGGAGCACTGCGTCCAGCCAGTGGTAAGGGATGTCGTTGTTGCTGGTTCTGAGGTCTCGGAACCCCAACAGGAGCGTCTTGACTATAACCCGGAACCACGTGGCCGAAGTTGGGAGGTCGAGTCTGTCGTTGGCCCCCAGCAGAGCCTCGGACTGGTTGAGCCATCCGAGGTGCGTATTTCATGTTGGATGCTCCACCCAACTGTCCTTGGTCGCTGTTCCGCCACCGCCCTCGTGAGGGCTGGCCCCCCTGGACTCCGGCCACCGGACTACTACCTGACGAAACACCTCCAGCCAGCATGAGAGAGCTTCGTGCTGGCCAGCCCTCGCTCATGGTGCGAGGTATCTTTGTCGGAGTGATTTGACCCGGCTCGTTGTCGACTAACGCAGCGCCTTCACCTCGATGAGTTGAAGCCTCATCTTCACGTCGTCTCTTCCCTGATCCGACAGTGGGAGTGGGTGCTTCTGCTTCCAGTACCCCAGACGTATTGATATCCTCTGAATCCGAATCAGAGATTGTGATGGGCTCCCCTTCGGTACCGGCACCACCAGCGGTACGATCAGCGGCGGCTGCAGCAGCAGCAGGAGCACCAGGAACTCCCTGCGCATTTTGAGCCATCAGGACATCCAAACCCCAATCACCAACATCATCAGGCCGAGGGTCGTTATCGACCTCGCGCTCAGCCCAGCCCGACTCGTAGTCGCCAGCAGGTATAGGAGTATTTGTCGCCAGCTCGAGGAACGCCTCGAAGTCGGGGTCCCCAACCCATGTGTCGATGGCTGCCAGCGTTTCTTCGAACAGAGGTAGGTCGTTGTTGCTTAGCTCGATTGGATGCTGTGCAACACGAGGTACGTCTGCAGTACCAGTGGAGGGAGGCGGCAGGCCAGGGGCGGCGGTCGAACTGGGTGTGTTTGCTAATGCAGGCACTTCAGGCAGTGCCGCACCACTATTGACTGGAGTGCTTGGCATCTCGACGGGCAATGCCTCGTGGAGAATTGCCGACTTGTTCTACTGCGACACTACTCCCGCTCTGAGCCCAAGGCGCCTTCGTATCTATATATGCTGTCACCAGCAGCGCACAGCGCTCACGGCTACAGCAAGGTAAACTACAACAGTAGGTTAGTCACCGACCCTTTTGTACTGAGTGCGCGGGCAGCGCCTACCTTTAATTGACAGTTTGAGTGGTTTTGCTTCGCAGGCAATTGTCTTTGCCGCAATGCTTGGTTGCGTTAGGAGGAGGTTGCCTTTGCTAGAGTGTGCTGGCTGCTTGCTTTCGTGCAGTATATTCTGGGTTGTTTTGCGTTGTCTTGAGCAAGAAAGAGGAAGATGCGGAGGGAGATTCTTTTGCACGCAGACAATATTGATCAAGTAGCACATTATTGCAGGCATTTCACAGCTTCACACAATTTCATGTTCACGGAGTTTAGAAAATTTGTAGCTCTTGACTACGCGAGCAGGGAAGCAAGTAACACTTGTGGTGTTGGTGTTGGTGGAGGCAGAGACAGAGCTGGTGTGGGGGTTTCACTTGATGGCGGCAGTCAGTCACCTGGGTTCAGTGTGCTGATCGTATTGCATTACAAGCGAGAACTGCCGAAGGAGACTCAAGATTGCAGTAGTTGTCAGTGACAGGAGTATCTGAAGGGCAGTGCAGATTGTAGAGAGGCACCGGCTAGGATTTACTTGAAGGTCACTACAGAGTTCAAAGAGACATAGGCCAGGAGTCCTGGATGACCTGCCAGGACATTAAAGACTGCAGAATTCACCCCAAAGTATCATGACACAGCACACACAGTACATCATACGTCGCAACGAACAGCACATGGTATACGTGTTTGCAAGAGCAAAGTTGTCATTGAATCTTCAGCAATATTGAACCCCTATCCTGCCTTGCGGCAACGCCAGGGTATCATGGTCCATCGAACATCGTCCCCGTTATGCAGCCGGACCCGTAGTGTTGGTGGTAACGCTGTTCCTACCCATAAATCGCAACAGTCATGTCGCAATCAGCAATCAGACTATATGCACCACGAACAGCCATTTTACTCGCCGTTCTCGACTTTCGCCTCGACCTTGGCCAGGATATCGAAGAACTGGTCCCATCGCCACATGACACCCGCAGCACCTTCCGCCTCGAAATCAGCAGCCAATTGCGCCTGCTGAGCCGGCATATTGATGCATCCCAAGTAGCCGATAGTGTCGATACCAGCACCGCTGGCAGCCAGCAATCCACCACGTGAATCCTCAACCGCAACCGCCTCCTCAGCCGTGATGCCCAACTTCTTGAGCGCGAACTCGTAGACATCGGACGCCGGCTTCGGGGTTGGGACTGGAAGGCTGGTATTGGCGGAAAAGATGTGCTCGTCCTTGAAGTATTGTCGCATGTTGACGCCGTCAAGACAGCCTAGCATGCGCTTCAGCGAGCTCGACGAGACGATCGCCAAGTTGTACACTCCATCCGCCAGCACCTTCTCGATGACAGCAATAGCTCCCTTGCACGGCTGGCCCTCCCTCGCAACCGCGGCAATGATCGCCTCTTCCTCCCATGCAGCCCACAACTTGCGATCTTCAGCAGTGATCTCGAAGTTGTGCTTTTCGCCCAACTTGGTGATCATGGCCTTGAAGGTCTGCCCGAACCATTGGCTCACGAGCTTCTCGACGGAGTAGGTCTCGATGATGCCTTTGGAAAGAAGGATGCGGTTCGCGACAGGAATGGCGGCTTCGAAGGCGAGGTGCTCGGTGTCGATTAGAGTGTTGTCGAGGTCGAGGAGGATCCATTTCTTTGTGTTGGGCTGGTGGGAGGGGTTGTCAATTTGGGGTGGGGAGGGGTGAGAGGGATGGCGTACGGGAGCGGTGGTTGTGGATGACTGAGTGTCGGATGGCTGTGTGCTGGATAGCTGGTTGCCGGATGACTGAGTGCTTGATGACTGGGTGCTCGATTGCGACTGTAGCGCAGCAGCGTCCTTATTGTGAGGCTCCTTCACTATATCCAGCATCGTGTTGCTTGGCTTCAGGATGTGAGTAAAGGCCGGCGCTAGCATTGCTGAACTCACGTGCTGATATATTTGATAGGAGGATGCTGGCAGTCTGGTAGGGATGGACTCAGGAACAGCTGATTGTAGCTGTGGCTGTCTCAAACCTGAAGTCAGACCCGGCATGGACCTCACAACTGTGGTTGGCAGCACTCACGGGTTGAAGTAGCTATCGCTAATGTGGTCGCGCACTTGTGAAAGGCTTGTTATGGTGTCCTTTGAGTCCGAGTCTTTGTTCTTTGTCTGTGTGTGCTCCTAGTTTTGTGTGGATGAAGAGTCTTTGTGTGGTCAAACAAGCATGCGACTAGATATTGTTGTCTTTGGTGAAGACGCGGGTGCGCTTCGGCTAAGTTGCCTGAAGGCGTAAGGCGTTCAAGGCAAATCAATGCTGCATTGCAGTGAAGTCTAAGAGCTTCTTCGACGAGCATCCGTATCATTCCATAACAATGGCATAGCAGCGAGCAAGGTGAAGATAGCTGTTCGACAGTCCCAGGTCAGACCGGTCGAGGTAATGTGTTGCTTGTGCAGTCCTGTCTGATCCGACCAAGCCCCTTCTGGTGTAGGTCAAGGATGAGATCTCGTCTTCAAGGGAATGGCGCAACGTCTTCAGGTCGCCCGGGCTCTTGTGGCAGGGGTACTTTCCGATCAAAAGGCTTTCCGTGGCCAACAAGCTTGTCCATCTGCCCCAGTATCGCTCCATCCTTTTCGCGACTTCGGGCTTGCTCCCAATCTCTGAATAGCTTCCACCACCAACTATGAGTCTCGCCATCCCGGCCAAGGTGTCCAGCGATTCCATCGTCACTCACTGGTCGCTCCCATGGCTTATCAACGATGTAATGGAGCACCACTAGCTCGTCATCGTCCCACATCTTTGGATGCCAGTATCTCATGGTCTTGAGAGCATTGTATTTCCACGACACAGGTTGCCACTTGTTCTCATAGAAGTCGCCCAGAAAGTCTTGGTCGGGAAATTGATACGACTTCACCTTGTCTGAGGTGTTGAAGAAATGCAGCAAGTCGTTCCACAGCTTCTCCGATGGATTGAACAGAAATGTACCACCATTCAGCAAGCGATACGTTGGACGACTGTTGCTGTTCGGTGTCGGCGCCACATCCTTCGGACCCTCGAGCGCAGTGTATGCGCAATTACCCTTGTGCCACTCCTCAGGAGCCCATTCGTCGTGGTCAAGATTGCAGACACAGGCATGATTTGCTCCAAGCCAATCCCGTCCAGGCATCTTCGTTTCGAAGATTATATCCGGGTTTCTGAAGACAGCCATATCGGCGTCAAGGAACACCGCGCGAGTGTAGCCTTGTTCGTAGACCTGGAAGGCTCGCAGTTTCGTGAAGGTGTCCTTGAATCTCTCCGCGACAATGGCAGTATTCTCTCGTCCGGGAGGCGGCAGCAGGAGCTCGACATACTGAGGCACAATCCGGCCGTGAGAAGCTTCTGCCTCCAGGGCAGAGGTTGCCTCGGCTCCCAGGGAGTTCGTATACTGGACTACGAGAGGGTATCGAGAACCATGCTTGTCGAGGGTGTGAGCAAGAATGACCACGCCTGGAAGATAAGACGGCTTCGTCAGCAATGTGACCCAGCATGATCGCTCTGCTTGTGCGCCATTCGCCATATTGTGGCGACAGCTACGGGTAAATTGACGATGGGTTTTGCAAGTGCTACTGTGTCTGTTGGCAGATTTGAGCGATGGCTCGAATGCTACTGGAAGCTATGAGACAGGGGTATCAGCAAAACGTGCAGGGCAGAATTTGTAGAGAGCAAGTCCGTGCCTTCCTATGCATATGACAACGCAGAGTCTTCGGTGGTGAAGTCACGATGGGCGAAGAAATAAGCGGGATCGAGTGTGGCTTGTACCACATCTTGAGGACGTCACCATTAGGTTCAGGCTGGAGTCAGCCAACGGCGAAACTTGACGCGACCTTAGGAGGACGCCCAACGCGTAATTCGCACGCCATGCTGTCCTCGCTTTGATCATACCAGTGATCACTCTCGAGAGACAACAGCTGGTTGATCAACATGCGATGCTTGCCAACGATCCCAGAATGATTCTCGAGAAATGATATCGTCAAGCGGTCGGATGTGCAGTGATCAAGGTCCAAGAAGTTGGAGTGAGGTCTCGGAAAGCTTGGCCGGTTGACCCACCAACGGCGCCTGTTTACGCGGCAGGGACCAGGCACATGGAAACTTGACTGCAGACCACCACAAGCAACCGCCAAATGATATAGAACAGCATCGCATCAATTCAACCAACTCTCGACACTCATCCAGTCACTAAAGCAGTACTTGCGCTTTGCTTGATATCCAATTAGGCAATTTCTTGGGTACATTCCGGAGGGCGCCAGATCGACTCAGCATAGGGGTTTCTCCGACACATGCGCAGCCATGGTGCTGCTCGAGAAGCAATGGGTTAATGTGCAAGAGAAGACTTTTACCAAATGGTGCGCATGCGACCGGTACCGTGTTGCACACCTGCTGACTCGCACAGGCTAAACAACAAAATCAAGAGCCGTGATGTGGCCGTCAAGTCTCTCATCACCGATCTCTCAGACGGCATTATCCTTATACACCTGCTCGAGGTTCTCAGCAACGAGTCTCTCGGTCGCTATGCCTCAAATCCGAAGTTGCGAGTCCAGAGGTTCGAGAACGTCAACAAGAGTCTGGACTACATCAGATCACGAGGCATTCAGATGACAAATATCGGCGCCGAGGATGTCGTGGATGGGAACCGGAAGATCATACTTGGGCTGATATGGACTCTCATCTTGCGCTTTACCATTTCCGACATCAACGAGGAGGGCATGACGGCCAAGGAGGGACTGCTGCTCTGGTGTCAACGGAAGACTGCTTGTTACGCAGGCGTGGAGGTTCGCGATTTCTCTGCTTCCTGGAACGACGGCCTGGCGTTCTGCGCATTGCTCGACATTCACCGGCCCGATCTGATCGACTTCGATACTTTAGACAAGTCAGACCATAGAGGTAACATGCAGCTGGCATTCGATATCGCGTCCAAGGAGATCGGCATCCCAGATCTGCTCGATGTGGAAGATGTGGCAGACGTCCCAAAACCTGACGAGCGCTCGCTGATGACATACATTGCCTACTGGTTCCACGCTTTCAGCCAAATGGAACGGGTAGAGAATGCAGGCAGAAGAGTCGAGAAGTTTGTCAGCAACATGCAAGGCGCCTGGGAAATGGAGAGTGCGTATGAGAAGCGTATGCGTGCACTGCTGCTACAAGTTCGACATCAGCGCGAATCGTGGCACAGTGCAAAGTTTGCAGGCACGTATGCCGACGCAAAGCAACAGGCCAAAGAGCTGTCCAACTACAAGCGCGACAAGAAGAGGAAATGGGTGGCAGAGAAGTCTGAGTTGTCAGCTCTGCTTGGTAATATCAAGACGAAGCTGGCAACGTACAGACTACGCCCATACAACCCTCCCGCAGACCTTCGGATCGAGGTGCTAGACCATGAGTGGATAGCTCTGACGACAGACGAGCAAGCTCGGAGCAAGCTGATCAACGAGAAAATTCGAGACATCAAGAACGCTCTTCGCAAAAGCTTCGCGGACAAAGCCAACGACTTTGCACTCACACTCAACACTCTCACTCTGGCCATCTCTGTATTGGAGGGAGACGTCGAGGACCAACTAGAGCACGCGCAGCGACTTTCGGCAAATCTGCAGCCACTAGAACAATATCTCGACGGCATAGCACTGCTCGACGAGCAATGCCAGGAAGCAAACATCGACGAAAACGATTACACGACTTACACATATGACGAGCTTGTATATGAATTGGGCCTGGTCAGGCACAGTGTACAGAAAAAGCTAACATTCCTGGAAAACCAGATGGTGGCTAGGAATATGACGAATTTGACGCCGATTCAACTCGAGGAGTTCGAGTCCGTCTTTAGGCATTTTGATCGCGATGGGTCGAACACACTGCAGGAACTGGAATTCAGTGCGGCGTTGGCATCCTTGGGCTTGGTGTACGATGAGGAAGAGATGCATGATAAATATCTGAACGTGTGTCACAGTGGACTGGACGGGAGGTCGTCTCCAATCTCACGGCGGCAGCGGGAGTCAAGAGGCGTTGGGTTCGAACAGTTCATCCATTTCATGGTGTCTGTCACAGAGGATCAGAACACGGCTGAGCAAGTGTTCCAGTCTTTCCAGGAGGTGGCGGACGGGAAGCCATATGTGACGGAGATGGACTTGCGGCATTCTCTTATACCGGACGAGCTCATCGACGATCTGCTTACCAGCATGCCAGAGCACCGCGGTCCGGATCTGGAGGTTGATCGCGATGTTCCCAAGTACGACTACATCAGCTTCATGCAGGGCATGATTGGCGAGTCGGACAAGGTGAATGGTAGCGAGAGCCCAGTGCGGCCTCGGTCGGTACAATTGAACGGGCACAGCTCGAGTCCAACTTCGCCGCGCAAGACATAATTGCCACGGTGCTTGCGCTGAAGGGATGGCCCGCTCGCTGAATACACGAGGCAAGGCAGGAGTACTCTGGATATACAATAGTAATTGTTGCTCACGCACCTTGCATCCGTACTTGTACTTTTCAAATCGGTCGCAATTTTTAGGTGACACAAGATATTCGTCGTAGGACCGTCTCTGCAGCCGGAGTATATCCTCATAGAAGCCTACATACTACCACGAACATTGGATGCTGGAATGCATGGGATGAGCACAGCCGGACGACGTGACTGGGATTCCAAGATCTCGGACTTCGCTCGCTGCTCGAGCACAGTACTGTGTAGTTGCCCACCGGCACCCAGGCTGTGACCGCAAATTGTGAGGGGCGATCGTGTGTGTGGGTATCTGTGTTGATGCTAGTCCTACCAGGAAATTGAGCCCCTGTGAGCCTTCAGAGTGGTCGCTTCAGTCGACGGGTGTCCGGGTCGGGGAGAATGCCAAAGGTCCAAGAATCTATATCTCATTCCGAGACGACCTTCGATTGAATGTGCACATGTTAGATAGATGCCTCAGAACTTTCTGGCCACGGAGGGCACTGAAGGTCTGAAATCTAGTTCGCTGGTTGAGCGGATGCTTTCGAATGAGCGTCACTTGACCGTCAGCCAGTACGGAAGACTTATGGCAGATTTTCGGGTAGGGAGGGCGCTGTCGTTGCAGCAGACAATGCTTTGGACTTCATGTTACAATTCGTCTCCCCCACAGAGCACCCCCGTGCCCCCATGAATCGGATCACGCCCGGGCGGTCGCTGCGGGTACAACCGACGCTATGAACGCGGATCGCGCCAAGACCGGGCAACTTTATTGCGGGCAATTACCTTGACTGCGCTTGCCTTGCGTGCTCAGTGACTCAAAAATGAGCAACCACGCTTCGCTCGCTACATGAAATTTCTGCAGCGCCAGCCTCGCGTGTTTTCTCCTCGTTACTGTTCCTATCTAGCTGGAGCCCGCCCTGGCGCGATGGCGCAACCCACCTGGCACAAGCCTGCTGGACAGACGCATGAGGCGGCCTCTGGCCTGAAGATCTACAATTCACTTACGCGCTCCGAGGTCGACTTCGTGCCCATCGAAAAAGGGCGAATAACATGGTACTCCTGCGTCCTACAGTCTACGACGACGCCCACCTAGGGCACGCCCGGAATTATGTTACTATCGATATCATACGCAGAATATTGCAGGACTATTTCGGCTACAAGGTCCATTTCGTCATGAACATCACAGACGTCGACGACAAGATCATCTTGCGAGGCCGACAGAGACATCTGTACGACGAGTACAAGAAAGCGCATTACTTCATCGACGACACGGTCCGACAAGACGCGAAGGCCGCCTGGCGCTACTATATAGGAAAGTATCTCCAGCGGTTTCCTACCCACCCTCCACCAGACTATGCGAACTTTGACGCCGAGATCGAGAAGTACTACGGCGATGTGGTGGCGGGCGGAAGTCTGTTTCCAGGACAGAAGGTTGGTGATACCGAGGCCAAGGTTAAGATGCACATCAACACAGTTCGGACAGCCGCGAAGGCATTATCGGAAGACCCAAAGAACCTGACACCACTCGAATTCTACCACCGAATGAACGATCCAATGTCGCTAGTATTGGATGAGAAGGGCAAATCGAGTATACGCGGCGATGACCACGGAGTGTTCACCAAACTCACAAGAGACTACGAGACTCGCTTCTTCAATGACATGGACGACCTCGACGTACTGCGGCCTGATGAGCTGGTCAGAGTAACGGAGTATGGAGCCGAGATCGCTACATTCGTCAAGCAGATCGTGGACAACAGGTTCGCATACAAGGCTGACGATGGGTCGGTCTATTTCGATATCAAGAATTTCAAACAATCAGGTTACCACTACGCACGGTTAAAACCCGAGTCGGTGGGTGACAAAGAGCTTCAGGAAGACGGGGAGGGCGCCCTGTCGAAGGGTACTGCTGGCAAAAAGGCTGATGCTGATTTCGCCCTCTGGAAGGCCTCCAAGGCAGGCGAACCCAGCTGGGCTAGCGAATGGGGTCCAGGAAGACCTGGATGGCATATCGAATGTTCTGCAATGGCTGCCGCAAAGCTCGGCAAGCAGATGGACATACACTCGGGCGGTATCGACCTTGCATTCCCACACCACGACAACGAGCTAGCACAAAGCGAGGCGTACTATAAAGCTGGGTCAGAGCATCAATGGGTCAACTACTTCCTTCACATGGGCCACTTGTCAATACAAGGCTCGAAAATGTCGAAGTCGTTAAAGAACTTCACAACAATCAACGAAGCACTCCGAGGCAGGAAAGAGTGGACGTCACGAAGTCTGAGAATTGTCTTCCTGCTGGGAGAATGGAGAAAGGGCATTGAGATTACAGACGACCTCGTCCTGGAAGGCCGGAGCTGGGAAGACCGTGTTGACAACTTCTTCTGGAATGCCCTCGGCAGTATGGAGTCCGCCCCCGAGGATTCGACGCAACCTACAATCATGAAGACAGCGATCGGAACGGCCGAGGCCACGATCCGAAGCGCGCTGCTGCGGTCGTTTGCCACAAAAGAAGCAATGCATGCATTGTCTACCCTCATAACCACTTACAACGCCGAAGACAAGAAGGCTCTGTCATATGGCGACCATTTCGCGACCGCGGCTCTGGTCACACGCATGGTCAACATCTTCGGGCTCAACGGCAATACTCCTGCCACATCCACAGAACTAGGCTGGAAAGGTCTGTCGCTGCCCGAAGAAGTCCAAATGTTCGTCCGCCCTCTGTCCACCGCACGCGATGCGCTCCGACAAGCCGCCATCGCCAAAACAATCACGCCCGAAAAGGTCAAAGAGATCATCTCCTCCATCCCCATTCCAGAAACAGCACTTAGCAACCGACCACAACGACCATCACCAGCACGCGCACTGTCCGATTTCCGCGGCACAGCCCTCGACCAGGCTGACAGAGCATCAAAGGCCGCCCCAGACACAAACGGCGACAGCAACGAAGCTGCCGATCTCAACAAAGACATCCTCCGCCTCTGCGACCGCGTTCGCGATGTCGACCTCTGGCAGCTCGATGTCTACCTCGAAGACCAGGAGAACGGCACCGCCAGAGCCCGCCCTGTCACTGAGGGTCTCCGCGCCGCGAGACACGCGCAAGAAGACAAGATTCGGCTGAAGGAGGAAGCGAAGCGGAAACGGGAACAGGAAGCACGAGACAAACTCATGAAGGGCAAATTATCTCCTAAGGAGATGTTCAGAGCCCCCAACAGCGATGAGTTCGGCGCGTGGGATGACCAAGGGGTGCCGACTAAGGACAAGGCGGGCGCTGAGCTGGCGCCGAGTCGCGTCAAGAAGCTGAAGAAGGAGTGGTTGATGCAGGAGAAGCTGCACGAGAAGTTTCAGGCCGCGGTCAAGGATGGCCAGATTAAGCTGTAGTGACCCATGGAGGCCGCCCTGTGGGTGAAAATGCATATCCTTAAGATGTAGCATTAGAGGTAGAAGTGACGCGCCTTTGAGGCCAATGGTCATGAGTTGATCGTCAGAACGAAATGACTTGATCGTCAGATCAGCGTGAGTTGAGCGTCAGAACAAAATGACCTGATCGTGAGATGAGTCTTGGTTGCGGTATGCCTGCAACACAAATTCGGTAGTACAGCGCCCTCCCTGGCGAGAATTGCTATTATGGATTGTTTTTTTGGACCTGACAGCTGGTGAAACTCGAGTGAGGCTCATCTCAACCCTGCCAATGGATTGACGACATATCTTAGGACCTGCAGAGCCCTCCCTGGCCGGAAAATCTACATCACCAGCCAAGCCAAAGTATTGAGCGCTTCAGCACCCTCCCTGGGGCGAGGGATTCACGAACAATCGCTGCTACAATCTGAATTGCCAGTAACGCTCAAGTGAGGCACGTTTCAAGCCTGCCAATCGATCAATCAAACAACCACAAACATCCAGCGCCCTCCCGGCTGTGCTTTTTGGGGATGCTTCGCTTTAGCCCTGCACACAACCAGCGGGACAATACATGAGCAGTCCGCGAAAGGAAAGTGCGGGTCAGATGAGGATACTGAGTGAAACAGCAGCCCGGATTCAGCGACTGAAGTCCTCAAAAGAGCTGGCCCGGAGCACGGGAGGAAAACGTCGTGCACTGTGTCCTGCCTATTCTGAAGCGATGGGCCGCACAACCTACGTCTCGTCACAGCTCGATCACGCAGTACAGTGACTCTCCAGCCAGGTGCCCGAACAAGGCGGAAAGATAAGACGCTCTTTGCATGCATCCATCTCACATGTCAACTTGGGCTCTTGAGGTTTACCTTCGTCGTTGATGACGATGACAACCGCCAAGAGCAGCCAGCGGCGGGACATGGCCCGAGATCCTGACTCCAAATCTTGTTCCGTAGACGACATTCGCGAAAACTGCTATACGCGTTGCGGAGCTTCTACGTGTGCTCCGTCGGCCTTGTTGCTATGACGCTCCATTCGATGCGGTCTTGTGTGCGTCTTGCCTGCGGCGCAAGGCAAGGTGATCGACTAGTGCCTGGACAAGCTCCGGGACATACCTAAGTACTTACTTAAGTAGTATCCAGGTGCGATTCTTGGCAAATGATCGTGGGAGTTTCAATGCGTTCTGTATCATGAACCTCACCTCTCGTTGAGATTGACTCTACTTGGACATCAACATTCTTTGGCCGACACAGATCACAACAGCGGCGCCTGCGCAGCGCATCTCCAGGCATGGTTGAATCTGCTCGCTCCACCAGTAGCAACAAGTGCTAACAAGGCATGGCAAGATGGCGGAATTGGTATAGGCGTCACCCATGACCAAAAAGAAGGAGAACGACGTGGGCAAGACACTTACTTATACCGCTCAACAGAAGTAAACATCCGACATGAACCGAAATGATCACGTTATCAACTGTTCACTGCTCTGCGCATGATTTAGATTGTCCCACGAGGTAGCAACGGGTGCTATCAAGGCATGACAATAGCAGAAGAGATTCAGAGTGGGAGACTCCGCTGTGCGGAAGGGGTAGAGGAGGAACATTGTGGGCATGACGCCTACTTATACTTCTCTACATAAGTGAAGATCCGATGCAAGCCGAAACGGCCGCTTCAGTGACTCGGCTGGAGAGAAGTCACTGCTGAGGGCATGGACCAGACCTGTTCGTCGACTGCTGAAATTCGCTTCAGAAGGGCATCTATTTAGCTGTGTAGTTCTGTCGTAGCAGAAAACTGGGACAGCACATTCTGCTGCAGTCGCCAGAGGTCATGCGTCCGGTATATGCAATTTGTGAGTAGAGCTCGTTAAGAAAGAGTCCTGCTCCGTCGCTGCACGAGAAGCGAAGCGAGCGCGTATGCGCGAAGCAGTACTGGGTCAGTCCGGATACGTTTTCCGCCGATGTAGGTAGTTTGAGGTCGTGTCCGCGTCCAGCTCGGCCGGCGAAACATGGCCCGAACTTCGGTATCAAGAACCCATAGTTTGATAAGCCCAACATATGGTTCTCTCGGAGTATTCTATACGCGCAGGCGGGATGGTGTGCCCATGGGACTGGGTCGAAAAGGTATAAAGCTATGGTCCCATCTCTGAGATTGAAGCCATCCACAGTCAGCAAATCTACAACCCATCCAAGCATACGTATTCCACAGCAGCATTAGAAGCAACAGATCCTCTGACAGCAAGCGAACACCTGATGCACCTTTCCAGCCTCGCACATCACAGCTCTTTCCAGCAACAGCAACGATCTCAACCCAAACCAACCCTTGACAAACACGAACCCACTACAAGAATCATGTCGACCGTCTCCGGCTTCTCCGTATCACAAGACCGTGAGGTCGCAGAGTACAACAGAGTTCGCGCCATTCTGCTAGCTCGTCAGGAGCAACGTCGCCAGGACCTGCGTCGACGCTTGGGTATGCCGGCGCGCATAGAGCCGTACAAGCAGGGGTGGTTGAAGGACTTCACTGGTTGGCGGAGTAAGGAGGAGAAGTATCTGGATGAAATTCTCGAGGAGGAGCGGAAGGAGAAGTTGAAGAGCAGCGGGGCGGAGGATGTGGAGGGGGAGATGGACATCAAAGAAGCGCTCGCGGTTGTGGTTGACGAGAAGGAGGTAGGGAAGGGAGTAGCGGAGAAGGAGGTAGAAAGGGAGGAGGCGCGGAAGGCGGTGATGAAGGGGATGCGGATGGGGTGGTGATCGGGCTGTCTGGTCGAAAGATGGTGATGATATATGTTTCCTGTGAGGCGTTCTGGTAGGCCCCAATTCTGCGGCTGGAGGGAGAGGCGTCTTCATACATTGGGTAATCAGAACTTTTGATATCAATGTGGCACCATGTCCCGCTCCTCAGTTTTGCTTTCGCTGGTGTGGTACTTACCTTAGAATGCCGTTTGTACTCACCATATCGTAGGACGTCGTCCTTAGTATAGCTTACGTTCTGACAGACCCTGGTTTGATCCCGAAAGCCATTATAGCAGACTTCTCGCGCCTTCTGCGCTTCCGTAGGTCGGATCTGAGCCAGATGTCAGGTTCTAAGTCCGTTCGAGATGAGAAAGCAAGTTGCATCCGAGATCTGAGTCCCGTAGTACCCTATGAACGGGGACATTCATGCAAGTCGTTATTGTGACTCCGTTGCTTATCAGAAGACGTGTTAGTCATTCAATAGTGCGATCTAGTATGTTTATATCTGGTGGTGGACTTCGTCCTGCAGGAGGCCAGAAGACTCTTAGAAGAAGCGTAGTAAATTCATTTCGATGCTGGGACACTCACATACTCACTAGACATGAATCGGTTGTCGCTGTCATAGAATTTTGGATGATGTCTGCGCGCTATGACTAGCAGTGTAATGAACACAAGGCTCACAGTCGCTCCTGCCATCACGAGCGGCATCCTCGCTTCGGCAATGCCAAGAGATGTCAGTGCTAAGTGGAGCCTAGACCTTCAGGGGTATCAGCGGCTAAGCGTGTCTCACGTTCAGACGGACTTGCGCAATTCGCCGACTTCTTTGAGGTTGGGTCGTTTCACAGTGGCTGTCCGCATGCCCTCAGTGGTTCGCCTTGTCGTTATTGACATCGTCCTGCCAGCAACGCAGAGTCGTGTCGTCAGCAGGGGTGCATCGCTATCTTTCAGCAGCCACAGAACAAAGAGACGACTGATCTGACTCGACCGTCCGTCTACCGCTGGCATCTGTACTTCTGTTGAGGCAGATCAGTGTTCGATCAGCGACTGAGCCGGCCATGTGCTGTCGGTGACGTGGTACTCGGACTCGTTCGATGCACCAGCACTTCCGACCGCTCTGAGCGTGGTCAGCGAGCGGCGACGCTCGTCTCAGCATGGCTCTCCTTTCGAGCAGGTCGGCGGCCCCAACTTCGGCGGGCTCTGCACCACAGATATCGAGCCGCAACGTCTCAAAGTCGTCACAAGGGACCGGCCCGCCCTCCGCTACCCTACAAGATGGCATCTTTACCTCCCCAACCGATTCGGAGTTCTCACAGAAGTCTGATGGGTTGGGCTCGATCCGCAGTTGGGACGAGAAACAAGTGGCGGACTGGTTACACACGATACGCTGCGGACAGTACGAGTCACTGTTCGTGGCCAACAATGTCACGGGAGAGAGCTTGCTCGAGTTCGACCAGAAAGTCCTCACCGAACTGGGCATCAAGAAAATTGGCGATCGAGTCAGAATCAACGTGGCCATCAAGCAATTGAGGAACAAGGCGACGACTGGACGTACTAGGAGGAAACGAGACTCGCTGGCTGCACTCGAAGGTTTCGCTGTTACCACACCGCCCTCCTCCGAATCGCCACGCACGCACGCATCCCGATCGCAAGCTGGCAGCAGCAAGCGCTTCTCTCGCCAGCTCGACCCGTCAATGCTGCAGAATTTCACGGCAAGTCAGGGTCTGAAGGTCAGCTCACGACCGAGCTCTCCTCTGGCAGATGTTCATAGTGCTGGACTGCGTGCGCATCGCTATGCCGCTGCCAGTCCGATGGACACGCGACGAGAGCCAGCCTCCGGATATTTCAGTCAGCCAAACTCAGCTAACTCGTCCTCCGGCCGTCGACCCGAAACTCCTCAGGTTGCTGTGGCATCGCGAAGTCATCATCTCCGACAGAACTCGAGCATCGATGGACTGACCCCGGGTGGCCTGCCATCGAATACACCAGTCATCAAGATCATTCATAATGGTGGTCAAACAAAAGTCGTCAACATCAAATTCTGCAAGAACGCTGACGATGTGACGGCCACCGTGCTCAGAAAAGTCCCGACTCTGAACGAAGCGCACTTCCGAAATTACTGCTTCTATATTCTGAATGGCATGGAACCAAAGGTATCGAATTGTCGCAGGGTGTCGGACAGCGAGCTTATGCAGATCTGCAATGATCCAAGCCGGTCAGAGCGTAATCGCTTGATCCTGAGAAAGATCAACGATGGCCTGCCTGACATGGACGAACTGCAGAAGGCGGCACGTCTCGCTGTTGATGAGTCTCAGGTCCTGCACTCAAATGCTCTGAGTAGCAACAATATGCGCAACCAGATCAAGCTGCAGAAGCTTACTGGAGAATCTTGGCACCAGATCCAGGCAGTGCCAATGTCGCCAGTGACCACCACAGATCGCAATCGCAACATCATGGCCACGGCAGACGAGACCGAAAGGCAAGAAGCGCAAAGGTTGCGACCTCTCGACTCGTTGCAGAACAGCAAGCTTCGGTCATTCTTCGGAGCACGACCGCCCAGTGAGATGATTGCGCAAGAGCTCACCTCATACTTCCCCAAGCATCAGCGAGAAGACATCGAAAAGACAATGCGGCTTTCGGTTCGACGCAGTCAGCGTATGAGTCGCGCGCAAAGCAGGCTGAGTGTCATGAGCAATGTCAGCTACGCCTCCAGCCTCAAGGACGCTCCGCCAGTCCCAAGCCTACCCAACATACCCAATGTAGCAGATGCATGGCTGGCACAGAGCGGACAGCTTGGCAAAGCATCTCAGTCACGACCACTCTCAGTATCCAGTCGATTTGGGCTCGGTAACATGAATTACCGAGACTCCATCGCTTCTTCAGCTCTGCAGCCACTGCAAGAGGAGTCATCAATGGAGCCAAACCGCAAATCATACGTCTCATTTGACAGTGGCTCCGATTCCGCGACCCCGAGCGACGCCCCTCGAATCAGCTTCATTGACGTCGACGAAGAAGAGAGCCTCACGAACGACATAAATAAACGTCTCTCCATGATCGTAGCCGAAGACGGCGAAGAAGACGACACCGCCCTCAACTCCTTCCTTGCGGGCAACAGCTTCGAAAAGGGCAACTGGATGAAAGGCGACCTGATCGGTGAAGGCTCCTTCGGCAGCGTCTACCTCGCCCTGCACGCCGTCACCGGCGAGCTCATGGCCGTCAAACAAGTCGAGCTGACCAATGTCACAAAGGGCACGGAGGACAAGAAGAAGAACCTCATGATCACCGCGCTCCGCCAAGAAATTGACCTCCTCCAGGGCCTGCACCACCCACATATCGTGCAATACTTGGGCACCTCTTCCGACGATGAACATCTGAACATCTTCCTCGAATACGTCCCCGGCGGCTCCATCGCGGGCATGCTCAAGCAGTACAATACCTTCCAGGAGCCCCTAGTGCGCAACTTCACGCGTCAGATCCTGGAGGGGTTATCGTACCTGCACTCCTGCAACATCATCCACCGAGACATTAAGGGCGCCAACATCCTTGTCGACAACCGCGGCGCCGTCAAGATTTCTGACTTCGGCGTAAGCAAGAAAACATCCTTCGCTGCAGCCAACGGCACGATCGCCTCCAGCGCCTCTGCCCCGGCCGGAACGCGAACCTCCCTCCAAGGTTCCGTCTTCTGGATGGCGCCCGAAGTCGTCCGCCAATCCGGACAGAGCATCAAATCAGACATCTGGAGCGTGGGGTGTCTTATCGTAGAGATGTTTACGGGTAGCAGGCCGTTCCCGAGCATGACGACGCTGCAAGCCCTCTTTGCGGTAGGGAGCAACAGTGAGTCTCCGGCTATTCCGGAAACGGCGAGTGAGGAGGCAAAACAGTTCTTGAGGAGGACGTTCGAGGCGGACTTCACCAAGAGGCCGGGGGCGGATGAGTTGTTGAAAGAGGCATTTTTGAGGACACCCATGGCTTGATTGGGGATGCAGATTTGATGGGGCTGGATGGCGTCTGGCAAATCGGTTCCTGCCCTTGAGACCTTAGAGATCGCGTTACTGGGACTGGAGAATTGATGTGTTCTGAAATCTTGGGGATCCTTAAAATGCCTATGTGTGATGCAGAATTTTGCAAGGGTTGAGAACCGTGCGATGTAGGTGAAACGCTTCCTTTGGAGCTTTTTTCGAGGGGAGGAAGGATGGAGGGAAGGAAGGATGGAAGGAAGCGATCTTCACGATCTCTCGAGCCATGTTCCTAATTGTTCTTAATAGCTCTTCCAGAGGCCATTGGGGAGAAGGTGTGACAGGTACTTCTCGGACTGGATTATCTATCTGTTGCTCACACGATCTAGGCAAGCTTAATGAGTGTTTACTACAGCCCTACTAGTGTGTGCTACACGCCATGAAGTACCTGCAGCGGCCTCCCTGGCAAGCAAATTGATGGAGATTGATGCTGCGATCTAAGGCTCAAGTGAGGCTCTTCCGAGTCTTGCTGCCATCATCTGCGAATCAACTGCAGCCCTCAGAGCCCGCCCTGGACCCGATCCTTGGAGAATTAACGGGCAAGTGCTAAAACCCCTCTTCACGTTTTTGTTTGAGCCATCGTGTCAATTCTGCCATTGCGGTCGACTCGAGTTCTGATTTCTGGGTGGTCCCTCTACGGTACAACTGTGATCTGTTGCAAGTATGATGAAAACGACGATACGAAATAGCGGAAAGACATCGCTGGCGTTAAAGCATCTTCGGCGCTTTACAAGCAAAGCACACTGAGCTGATCGGATAACGACGAAAGCAGTTCGGGATTTTCCGACGTGGTTATCACAAGTGCATAGCCCGACAAATCGGGATTTTGCGTCTGCAGATAGCCAGCCTGGCGTGCACTGGCACTCCTCCTGTCCCTATCCACGGCTCAGTGGCCAAAGACTGCTCGTTATCAGAAAGCTGTCTGTTGCGCGTCGTCGGCTTTGACCGATCCACATTGCCTGTGCCTTACCCCAGATATGGTAAACTCAATTGAACGGCATCATATCGTTGATCTCTAACGAGAAGGCTGTTGGATCTTCTATCAGAATTCGAGAGCATGCAGCACTATCAAGAGGCCGCGATATGCGGCTTCGGAGGATTGCTGTGGCGAGCAGAGAGGGAGAACAATCATGAAGATATAAAGATGTCCTGATCAGACTGCTCGGATTCGCGATGGTACAACTTCGAAAGCTCTGCACCTGATACCAGATCGGATTTGGTAAAGAAAGCCTGAGATCACTGGCTATTACTGCCATCGCTGCCTCGTTATCACCAATGACAATGTCTCTCAGTCACGACTTGGAGAAGAAGCTACCGGTGGACACCACCTCCGCTATCCTGCGCGACACAGATTCAGACAACGGAGCAACACAGCAGACCACCATCTATATCGACCCCGAGAAAGAAAAGGCTCTGTACAGAAAGCTCGACAGATATGTCTTGCCGGCCTCTTTCGTCTTCATGGTGCTGTGCGCCTTGGACAGGAACAACGTTCGTTCACTGAACCATATGCTCCCTTGGCGAACATGCTGACCCAGCTCGACAGCTAGGCAACGCTCGCGTCTTCGGCTTTGACGAGGACCTCGGCCTCCAAGGTCGCCAATTCGGCAACATCAACACCTTCTCCAGTCTCGCCACCATGCTCTTTGAAATTCCATGGGTGCTTGCCGTGCGCCGCTTTGGTGCCAACGCTGCTCTCGGCTCCGCTTTTGCCATCTGGAGCGCCGCCACTCTCGGCACGGCGTTCATCCAGAACTACGCTCAAGCAGTCATCTGTCGCATGCTCGTCAATGCTGCTGGCGGTGGTCTCGAGCAAGGCTTCGCATTTCTCTTCTCGACCATGTACCCACGCCACCTAGCCGGCCGCAGGATCATCACCAACAACTTGTCCATGTGTGTCTCCGGCGCCTTTGGCGGTCTCTTCGCCTGGGCCATCCAACAGATGGGAGACAAGGCCGGCCTGGCGGCATGGAGATGGTTGTTCATCATCGAGTTCCTCATCACCATCGTCGTCGGCGGAATCTGCTGGTGCTTCCTGCCCAAGACGGCAGAGACCGCATGGTTCCTCAACGCCGAGGAAAAAGAGACGATGTGTCTGCGTAAGCAGCGCGATATCATGTTCCGGGGTGAAGACAAAATGGACCGCAAGTGGATCCGCCCAGCACTTACAGAGCCGTTTGTTTACATGCTGGGCATCGCCTTCTTCACCAGCAGCGTGAGCGTCAACGGCTTCAACATCTTCCTGCCGACTATCCTGCTGGGCATGGGGTGAGTCATAGCCCATCCCCTCGCCCCCTTTCACCACATTGATTGCACAACTAACACGCAAAACCAGCTACGCGAACCTCCACGTCAACTACATGACAATCCCGGTCTACGTCGTCGGCGCCATCTCCCTCATCACCGTCGTCTTCCTCTCCGACCGATTCAAGCGCCGCGGCGCCTTCATCATCGGCTGCTGCATCTCTCCCGTGATCGGCTACCTCATCGCCGTCGGCACCCCCAACCAGCACGCCGGCTACGCAGCCATGTTCATCCTCGTCCTCGGCATCTACCCCATCTCCACCCTCGCCGTGACCTGGGCCGCCGGCACGCTCGCGCCCGACGACAAGCGCGCCATCGGCATGCCCCTCGCCAGCTCCATCGGCAACCTCTCCAACTTCGTCTCCTCCCAACTCTACCCGACCCAACAAGGGCCTAGGTATCGCCAGGGCAACGGCGTGTCCGCGGGGCTGGTCGTCGTGGCGGCGGGCCTGTACGGTAGCATTTGGTTCATGTTGCGACGCAGGAATTTGCAGAAGGAGAAGCTGATCAGCGAGGGGGCGACTGATAATGGGAAGATGGGTGATCAGGCGCTGGGACATGTTTATATCCTGTAAGACTGATTTTTGCTCATCGGAGGCGGTCTGTTCCGGCAGTGGCTTGACGCTGAAAAGCACGAGAGGCGGGAACGATGGTGCTCAGACGGTTACACGCGATGTATATGATGAAAACTAACGATTTGGGCTGCACTCATCAATTGGGGGTTTCTGGGTATAGGGCCGCAGAAACCTGCTCGCGAGACTTCCGGAAGTTGTTAAACAGTGCTTGAAACCGTGAAGGCCTCCTAGTGCCATCGCAGTCAGAGTTACGAGTCAAAACCAACCCACAATTCAAGATCTGCGGACTTCCTGGCTGGGGAGGGCGCTCAAGGTTCCAGACTGCTTCGCTAACCACATCGACCTGAACCTTACGCTCGACACTCAGACATGCATCACATCTTCAAATCACCAAATACTGGGCTTCTCCCGCTTTCCCTTGACTTCCCCCAGCCGCTCCCGCGAATAAGCAAAACACTCCGGCAAGCCCGTCGCCTCCCATCCCTCGCCCCTCATCAACTTGACCACCCCCGGCGCACAAGTCCAGATCCTCGCCATCCCATGGCCGTTGAAGCTGCGCAGATATACTGTCCTGGCAGCTCGGGGATTGCGCCGACTAGGGGCGTGTTGTCCGGCGTCATGCCGATGATGCCTGTCCAGGCGTGGGCGAGGGACTCGCCGTGGCGGTGTGTGGTGGGTTTGCTGGAGGGGGCTGGTGGAGGGAGCATTTTGTCGAATTGCCGCAATGCGTCCTCGACGATCTCTGAGTTGAATGCTGTGTCGTTGAAGGAGACGATTTCAGATTTGGTGGAGGCGCTGAGTTCGGGGTTGGAGCGGGAGACGCCAAGGATCATGGTCCCGTCGGATTGGCGCTGGATGAGAGAGTAAAAGTGGCGGATGCTGTAGCGGAGAGACATGGTTGAAGAGAGAGTGTTGGCGCCGGAGAAGGCGGAGTCGGGGATCAGGGCGTGCGCTTGAGCTTTGTTAGGGGTGAGGAAAGAGGAGAGTTGTGGGAGGAGGATGGAGGCGTAGGCATTGGTGCAGTGGATAATTTTGGGAGAGGTGATAGTGCCGCGGGGTGTGCGGGTTGCCCAGGAGCTGAGTTGGGGGGTCGCTGAGGTGGTCTCGATTGCTGGACAGTGGGTGTAGAGTTGGACGCCGCGGTTGATGGACTTGGATAGGAGCCACTGGGCGAGCTTGGCAGGGTGACTGCTACCGGCAGGCCATTCATATGCTGCTACAGCGCCGGAGACGCGTGTGCGCTGGCGAGCCTCTTCGCCTTCGAAGTACTTGATGTGGGAGACATCGCCACCGGCTCGGACGTACGCGTCGAAGCTGTCCTTCTCGTACTTGGCGAATTCTTCTGTCAAGCACACGTCGAATGTTGTCGTGGGGTGAAAGTCGCAAGGCACTTCGTGTTGCTTCACGAAAGCATCGATCTTCTCAAACACGAGCTTTTCATTGGCAATGATCTTTAGTGCTTGTTCGGCGCCGTGCAGGGCTTCATAGCCTTGGAAGCCTCGGAATGCATCTGGTCGAACATGGCCGGCATTGCGGCCTGATGCACCTGATACTGCTTCGCGTGCTTCGAGAATCACAATCTCATCACCTGGGACGTTGTAGTCGTGGACAAGAGTGTAAGCTGTGAGGGCGCCCGAGATGCCGCTGCCGATAATGAGGTACTTGGTTGATGATGGAACTGGTTTATCGTTGTTGGCATTCAGATATGGGAAAGCACGAGTTGTCTGGTGCCACCAAGAAAGGCATGGTTCCGATTGCGGCAGTGACGGTTCTATGAGCGGCTTTGCGCTGGTCGTTGACAGCGACGGTGGTGGCGGACTTGTGCTGTGTGGCGCCATTGTGACGATGTAGTCCTCAGGTCGTTCCTTCAAGTTCACTCTCGACGCGTCGTGCGACTGTAGGCTTTGGGGTCGCCGCTGCCATCACCACGAACGTGGCAGGCCTCCAGATCAGGTAACTCATCAAATCCTCCAACGAAAGCCACACGCGCGAATTCTCCCTCTGATGCCCTGCAGACCATTGTGCTATGGGAGATGTCCGTCGTGGTGGAAACGAGATAAGCAGTCCCCCCGCACAGATCGCCGAGCAACGTCCTTCTTTCTTCCTAGTGATTTCCGACGCAACATCAACAATGTCCAATGAAGGACTACCAAGCCTTTGAAGTCGCATCGAAGTCATTCGGTTTCGTGCCACCGAGTCGCCACTCGCCATGCTTGAGATGGCTTGGAACGGCTTGATGCTACAGCTTGGCGTGCTTTTTCCCCTGTTCGCAACGGCCTGCCTGCATATGGATATGACGAAAAGCGCGCTGCCTTATCGTGTTAGGACGACCTTGCAACCGACTCATTGTCCTGCGTCGGAAACTACTGCTGGACATCCACAACTGATGTGCTGCTAGAGGTTTTCGCCGGATCGTCGCAACGCCACTCTATCAAAAGTGGGAATGCAGATAGGCCTTCTATAGTGTCAGTCGCCGACAGCCGGTATCTATAGTGTGCCTTGTGCTTCGAGGCAGTTCTTGTCCTCTTTTACAAATCCTGGAAATCCAAATCCTGCGAGGGTGTTCCTGCTCATCTGACTACAGGCCTTGACTGTGCAAAGATGGGATTGCTTTCACGCCTCAAAGGCCGCACGCCGACGGCTTTGGCGCCCACACTGGAACATCGCACGGCCGACGAGAAGGCACTTGTTCGACGACTCGATACTTTCCTTATGGTATTTGGCTGTGTATCGCAAGTCATCAAGTATCTGGATCAGCAGAACATCAACAATGCCTAGTGAGTACCCTTGGAAGCTTGTATCGGGAACTGAGCGATGACATGAGCATTGGCTTGAGCACGCGCACAAAGTCCTCCCGAGCCATGACTGCCACCTCTCCTATGCAACCTTCCATTGCATGATCGTTTCCCGAGACAAAGCTGACGAAAGTTCTCCGAAACAGCGTCTCTGGCATGAAGGAAGACCTGCATCTCTACGGCAAGGAGCTCAACTACTTCACGACGTACTTCAATGTCGCATACTGCATAATGCTCATCCCGTCGCAAGTCATTCTCACATATGTCCGTCCATCGTTCTGGCTGAGTGGTCTGGAGGTCACTTGGGGGTAAGCCACCGCCTACACTTGCTCCAGGATCCGTTACTGACCACCTAACGCAGAGTCATCACTGGTCTTATGGCACTCGCCCAAAACGCGAAAACGGTCTACGTTCTGCGAGTCTTTCTCGGTCTTTGCGAAAGCTCAGCATGGCCTGGAATGATGACATTGTTCATGCACTGGTATACTCCCATGGAACTGGCTAAGCGAATGGGCTTCTACCATTCGTGTCAAGCCGTTGGCTATATGCTGTCTGGCGCCCTTCAAGCGGCAATCATGCGGACCATGAATGGCCACCATGGTCTGAAGGGGTGGCGGTGGTTATTCGTAATCAACGCAATCATTACCGTGGTTTGGGGCTGCCTAGGCTTCGTCATGCTCCCAGACTATCCAAACAATCCAAACCCACGCGCTTTTTGGTTCCGAAAAGTCGACGGCGAGCTCGCCATGGAGCGTCTTGCACGTCACAACCGCGCGGAGCCGCGGAAAGTGACCTGGGCAGGTGCGAAGCGTACCTTCAGCGGCTGGGTCGTTTACTTCATCGCCGTTCTCTACATCAGCACTGTGCTTGCCAGCTATGGTTACAATTACTTCGGGCTTTTCCTCAAGTCCTTGAAGAACGCCGACGGAACACCAGTCTGGACTGTCGAGGACGTCAACGTCATTCCTATCGGAGGCGGAAGTATCAACGTCGTCTTCGTGTGGATCTGGGCTCTGCTATCCGACTTTCTGCGAACACGGTGGACACTTATCGTGGCGCAAGCGCTCATTGGCCTCATCCCCTCTATCGCTATGTCGATCTGGACATCGCACCCACAGTCCATCGGTCTCTCGACAGCATACGCCAGCTACTTCATCAATTATCTCTGCTTAGGGACAGCACCACTGATCTTCTCCTGGCTGAGTGATCTCATACCACAAGATCCAGAGGCGCGAAGTTTGATCGTTGGTTGCGCCGTTGCCGGGTACTACGCCGTGAGCGCCTGGAGTCAGGTTTTGGTCTGGCCGGCCAACCAGGCGCCATACTACGACTACGGCTGGCAAACCTGCATTGCACTGTGGGTGTTGATTATTGGCATGACCTGTGCGCTGAGGTTCATTGATGTGCGGTATCTGATGCCAAAGAGGCAGAAATTCGCCGAGCAGCTGCATGGGGAGGCGGTGGAAAGGGTCAAGACCGCCGATCTTGTGGGCGATCTGGAAGGTGAGGGCAGCGATGCGTTGGCGGCAGCAAAGGCACGGGCTCTGCAGAAGGAGACTGAGCAGAATGTCAAGCGCGTTGAGACTAGGGCAGCGGCATGATCTATGGCAGGCGTCGCAAGGTGATCTGATCAGCTGTACAAACCTCTGCGTAATCCGCGAATCATCAGTGAATGCGGCATATCTCACGGGTTAAAATATACCAAAGTCTGGGAAAATACCGTCCAGACCCAGCTGTATTTGCACGACGAGGCTACCGCTGCCAAATGAATGTGCAATTCAGATAGGTGATCAGTCCAAGCGTTGTCATGGGTCGTGATATGCTTCGCTTGGGCCCTCGTTCCTGATGGTCGTTGAGCCTATGGCTGTGCCTTCGGGGTCTTTATCATGACACCATGCGGCACGAATCATTCCATCTTCATCCCTGCACCCTCCGTCGTGATCGTAATCTCGTGCTCCAAGTTCTTCAGATCGAGCTGCGTCTCGCCCTTTCGCACCTTCTCGATATCAGTGACAGAGCTGTGTACTTCACCGTCGAACAAGGCATCAATCTCCTCTAGAGATTTGCCCTTCGTCTCGACCCAGTACACCGCGATCAGCACAATGATAATGATGTCCCACGACCCATTGATCATGTACATCTTCCAGCCAATGTTGTTGATGCCGATGGGCATGACATACACCAGGAGGACGGCGAAGGCGTTGAGAGAGAAGCTGGAGAAGGCAACACCGTTGGCGCGGATGCTGTAGTTGAGGACTTCACTCGGGTAAAGATAGAGCAGCGGAGTCCATGCAATCGAGTAAAAGCCTTGAAACAAGAACATGACCGCCACGTTGCCGTAGATCAATGCTTGCGAAGCGCCATCTGGGTTGTCGGCGTATAGTTTCGCGAGCCCGCCGATGATGAAGAGGCAGATCACGAGAAGAGATTGTGTCAGGAGAGCAGTCGGCTTGCGGCCCCATCTTGCGATCAGGTGCGTGCCCACTAGCGAGCAGAGCAGGCACCAGACGTTCAGAACCACGTTAGCCTTGAGCTGGTCATCCGAATCGGTAATTCCTGCGGTGTCAAGTTCGTCGCCCAGATAGTAGGAGGCGATGATGTTTCCCACCACGCACGAGAACGGGCCAGCGGATGCTCCGATCAATAGACGTCGACGAGCGGTTCGGCTCTTGACGATCTCTTTCGGTGACATCGTCTTGCCCTCTTTCTTCTCCCAGTCAAGGGTGTCGACAATTTCCTTGTATACTGCCATCACCATAGGGTCAGAAAGGTCGCCGCTGGCATTGGTCTGCGCTACGACGATGCGTGCTTCGTCGTAGTACTCCTGTCTGCAGAGCCAACGCGGTGATTCTGGCGTGAAGACTAGGTCTCAGTTAGCTTGGATGAGACGTGAGGAGGAAGTAGAGCACTGGGTTGGGGCAAAAGATGGAATAGCAGTGCGAGCCAAAGGCGTCCGAAAACTTCAGCCTCCACTTCGTTCCTGGTCCAACTTTGGAAGGTAACTCACAAATGATAGAGATGCAAAGCACAGCCCAGATGCCTTGGAAGAGCGATGGCGCACGCCATGCCCATGTTGAGTCCCACGTGCTCGTTCCAAGAGTAATTCCTGCGGCGATGAGAGCGCCCACGTAGTAGAAGTCGTTCAGCAGACCCACTCCCCAGGCCCTCCAGCGGGCGGGAAAGGTTTCGCTGAGATATACACCGCCAGCGATGCCTTGGATCGCGGAGCCAAATCCCAGGATGATCCTGCCGATGACAAACATTGCGATGTTCTGTGCTGCCGTTTGCAGGGTGATGCCGATCAGGGTGATAACGGATCCGTAAAGGATCGCAGGCCGGCGTCCACATCTGTCTGTTATAATGCCAGACACCAGTGGCCCCAAGAATCCACCAATAAAGACAGAAGCTGTGTTCAGACCTGTTGTTGCGGGAGTCAAGTTGAAGTAGTCGGTATACACAGGCAGGATGTTAAGACCATTCTGACGGTATTGGTCAGTCTGAACCAGCAGCATGAGGGAATGGATGTCGTACAAGCATGCTGCCGTCGTACCCTCCTGTCGTTGACTGGACTATAGAGCACATCATAAGCAAGAATGACAGGATCAGTGTCGACTGTGGCACCCTGGCAGGCATCCAGGTGCCCGAAGGCGAATGTTGAAGCATGTTCGCAACAGATATCAATGTATGAGACTGCTTGTCAGATCAAGCTTGGAACTGCTCTTGAACTGGCTCGCTGTGCCAACATGCCCTCCAGAGGAAGATGTTGGCGGGTGATGAGCACCTTATCAATACTTCCAAAGCATACGCGGTCAAACGCCGCCCAACCTGAGTAGCGTTGCATTGTCTTATCAATGCTGGAGCTCATCGAGTGCCCCTCTGGAAAGGATCCGAGGACGGATATCGCCATTGAGTCCAATGGAGCCCCAAAAAGCTCTGTGGGCAGTCGCATGATTGGTGTAGAACAAGTGTACCGCAGTCGTAATCGCGGTGAGGAGAAGAGAAAACAAAGAAGCAGTAATGATTTACGGCCAGATAGTGCAAATAGGCACGCTAAGCTTTACCTAAGCTCAAGCAGTTGGGTGCTCTCCCGGTGGACTGTGGGAATCGCGGTGGGATACGAGACGTCCGAATGCCGAAGCCAGCTTTCGAACAAGCCACGCACGTTCCCTTCCATTCCTCAGTTGGGCGAATGAAAATCACCTCTCGTGTTCAAGATGCGCAAACCAGTCATCGCGATAGCAGGACTGGCATGCGAGAATTCCACCTTCACGCCGTCGAGGACAGACGCAGCCGCATTTCATCCCAAACGAGGGAAGGAGATTATCGAGAAATACGATTTCCTGCATCCAGGCACAACGCTTTCCAATGCAGCCACGTGGGTGGGTGCCTTGATCGGCCATGCTCTTCCCGGAGGTGTCGTGAAGCGAGACAGCTTTGAGCTCCTTGCTGGTGAGATAGTCTCTCGGCTTGAGAAAATCGTGGAAGCACGATGGATCGATGGCCTCTGGTTCGACATCCATGGTGCGATGCATGTTGAAGGCGTTGAAGACGTGGAAGCAGAGCTGCTTAGACGTATTCGCAAAGTCATAGGACCTCATGTGCTTGTGTCAGCCTCGATGGACCTGCATGGAAACGTGAGTCGGCAACTGGCGCATCAGACGGATTTGGTGACGTGCTATCGCACCGCACCGCACATAGACGTCCGGGAAACCAAGCAAAGAGCTTGTCAGAATCTCGTCGAGCTGATACAACAGCAGCCAGAGAGCTTGAAAAGGATGCGACCTCTCAAAGCATGGGTACCCCTGCCAGTACTCCTGCCAGGCGAGCAGACTTCTACCCGTGTGGAACCGGCGTCACACATTTATGCTGCAGTGCCGGGCGTTGCGGACGGGAACGATGTCATCGACGCGGCCATCTGGGTGGGCTATGCTTGGGCAGACGAGTGGAGGAACAGAGCAATCGTCATGGTCACTGGTTGGGAAGAGGCAACCGTAGTGAAAGGCGCTGAAAAGCTAGCAACCATCTTCTGGGCATCACATGCAGATTTCAAGTTTGTTGCACCGACTGGCTCATTCAAAGAGTGCTTGGACGCTGCTCTAGCTTCCTCTAAAAGACCATATTTCATCAGCGACAGTGGCGACAACCCGACGGCGGGCGGCTCAGGTGATATGACCTGGGGCCTCCACAAGCTACTTGCTCGTTCCGAATTCAAGGAAGAATCTGGACCGAAGGTGATCTATGCGAGTGTGCCGGGAAAGACTGCAGTTGCAGAAGCGGTCAAAGCTGGAGTGAACGCCACGGTGACTGTTACTGCTGGAGCAGAGGTCGACGATATCCATGCAGGACCGATCACCCTGACAGGTAGAGTGCACTCAATCAAGCATGGAGATGTCAATGCCGAGACAGAAGTCGTGCTACAGGTTGGAAGTGTGTTCGTGATTTTGACGAAACTTCGCAAGCCATATCACAAGGAGCACGACTTCACCGACCTGGACCTGAAGCCACGATCCGCTGCTATTGTCATTGTCAAGATAGGATATCTGGAGCCTGAGCTATACGACATGGCAGCAGATTGGATGATGGCATTGACTCCAGGCGGTGTTGATCAAGATCTGGAACGACTAGGCCACCACAAGATCCGGAGGCCGATGTGGCCATTCGACAAGAAGTGGGAGCACCCACCAGACCTGACGGCAAGACTGATTCCACCGTCGAACGAGCCACTGACTGGACCTGACGACTGAACACAGTCCGAGAACGTGCGATGTTGTCACTCCGAGTGAAGCCCTAAGGGCGCCCGATGGTCGTGGATCATTTCAGAGTCAGTTGTTCCATTGCATACGATTCACCAAACGGCTTCACTTGCGCAGACTGCCTCGCAAGAAGTGCCAAGTTGCCACTTCTCATCTGTGAGCCTCTGTTTTATTTCTTTTCTGGCGAGTCCCCTACAGCTTCGTACTCTCGCCACGACCTCAGCCATCGCGTTGCACTGATTGCAGGCGCATACCGTCAGGTATGAAGCCCAATTTGACTGTGTCTGCACAAGCGCTAACGGATCTCAGGTCAACACAGGCCCGCGTGAACTCCCCGCCTTGAAGCTTATAGCAATGGTGCAGCTCGATGAGGAGCAGACGGTAGATGTGCTGAAGACAGGGAAGTACTCGGACTTCACGATCAAATGTGGCGACAAAAGCTTCGCCGTGCACAAGGTCGTAATTGCTTCACATTCAGACTTCTTTCGAGCGGCCATTGAGAGTGGGTTCAAAGAGGCCACTGAGAACGAGATCATCATTCGAGAATCGACCTGTGTTGCGGTCGCCATGGTCATAACATTCCTGTATTTCCTAACCAACGACGACTACTCTGGTCTGCAAACCAACAGATACATGGCCCTCAGGAGACAGTTCTACAAGGCCTTCCGCGACAAGTTCAAGGAAAAGGAATGGAAAAAGAACACGGCCTTTGGAGATGCTTTGGACACCTACCTGTTGGCCGATCGATACATGCTTACAGAGCTCAAAGAGGCTGCAGACGAAGAGATTGGACACTGGCTTGAGTATCAGTGGCACAATCCGCTCACACTGCAAGCCTCAGTCGAGAAGATCTTCACAGCAACGTCAAGCACAGACAACCACGTTCGTCCAAATCTTACTGTCTGGATTATCAGTCACACCTGCATTGTTCAGCGAATTCTTGGCCTTCCAATATCACTCAAACCGCTTCAAAACTACGACAAGATATTGGGGCTTGGTGAAACCCACGACCCGGAGGGGATGCGAACGGGCATCCGGTTGCTCAAGCGGCTACACAGAAGCCAGCTTAGTTCGGCAGAAATGACTGAACCGACTATTACAGAGGAGGAGAATCGCTGGAGATAGCGGAAGATGGATACTTGCTTCATTCGCAGGCTTGCTGAAGCATGCGTCTTACTTAGGCGGCACGGTTGGGGCCTGCAGTCGAGTCGCTGAGGATGGCGTTAGGCAACTAGAACAGGTCAAGGCGTGCGATTGGATACTCGGACGGCTTGAAAGAAGGCGTTGTCAAAGGAGTTCTGATGCGTATGGGCAGACGTGAATGCCACCGCCGATAAGAGTTCTCCGGATGGCATTAGGATCGTAAGGGCATGGCTCGGGGGTGCAATTATTCACACTGTCAGCGCCAAATTGCATAATGTATGCGGCCTCGCTGCAGTTGTGGAATGCTATCGATTGGCGGCAATCTGATCAATCAGCATCGGTGTCCATCGCAACGTTCAGGAAGTACAACGTCAGACGTCCTTCGTCGCCATGCGGTGTGACGGTGGATGATAAGATTCACGGGCGGAATTGCAGCGTTCCTCGATGCCGAGGAGCTTGAAATGTCGATCACCACGCTATTCTATGCCGCCCGCCCCACAGCCATCCCTGCAGAACGCCACAAACCCTGGCGCTCCTCCAGGGGTTCTTTAGGTGACATCCACCTTCACTTAAGCGGTTGGCTCTCATTTATTGGGCTAACCAAGAACCTGCCCAGTGACGTCTGTGGTTGTTTGGCCCTCGTGGTCCGCTGTCACTGCAACTTTCTCTGTCTCTGGACTACAATACATTTGTATTTGTACCACGAGGCGACCCTCCCAAAGTTTCTTTCTCCCCACTATCATCATTGTGGATGATTGCCACCATAGCTTGATTGCAGACGACTTGACCTCGACCATTCTCGCAAGACATTGGACTGTCTATCGAGCATTTCTTGGAGGCCAATCCCTAACTCGTCTGTATCAACATGTCGACCAAGTCCAGCCTCGACGGCAGGACTCTTGACGGCGGGTCTCCCGAAAGGAAGACCGAGCACGTCGAAGGCAACGCTGAGCGTACGAAGATCGAGGAGATCTACAACCGCAGCGATGTTGCCCGTGACCTTCCAATAGAGCAGGCCCTCGAAGGGCACCTCGACCAAGACCCCAAAAGGCTTCGACGGATACGTCGGCGTCTCGATGTTCGATTGACTGCCATGTTGGCAATCTTGTACCTTTTCGCCTTCATTGACAGAGCTAATCTGGGCAATGTAAGGATACCTGCGCTCTGTTGACTGGATTGTGCTGACCGCGTTACAGGCCAACATCGCTGGCATGGGCAAGGATTTGAATCTCACAGTCGGCAGCCGGTATTCTATCGTCACGATGATCTTCTTTGTCGGTTATGCTGTCGTCGACATCCCCTCAACGCTGCTCATGAAAAAGCTCACTGCATCGCTCATGATTCCTTCAGTCTGCCTACTCTTCGGTGTCATCACCATCGGCCAAGGCTTCACGCACCACTGGGGTCAGCTCGCTGTGTGCCGCATTCTACTGGGTTTGTTCGAGGGCTTCTTCCTGCCTGGGACGATCTTCTTGCTCCAGGTCTGGTATACACGATTCGAATACCAGAAACGCATGGCTGGCTACTACGTCATTGGCATCGGCTCAAGCGGCCTCTCTGGTCTGCTTGCGTACGGTATCGAGAAAATGGACGGCACTTCCGGCCTGGCTGGATGGCGATGGATTTTCATTATTGAAGGTGTGGCGAGTTGTGCGTTCGCTTTGCTCGCTTATGCTGTTCTCATCGATCTGCCCGAGGATGCTACTCGCCGAAACCGCCTCGGACTCCCACCATTTCTTACCAAGGAAGATGCGGCTGTTCTCATTGCCCACATTGAGCGCGACCGCGGTGATGCGCAGACTGAAAAGTTCGGCTGGAGGGAGATGTGCCGTCACTTCAAGGACTGGATGTGCTGGGAGTTTGGACTCTATGTTCTGCTCAACAATGTCTCGCTTTACGCCTTCTCTTTCTTTCTTCCACTGATCCTGAAGAACGGATTCGGAGTAAGTACAAAACCGATTTCCAACATGCCGGGGTGACTAACACAAACCGCAGTACTCAACCGGCAAGGCCAACCTGTTCATGTTCCCGCCCTACGCCGTAGCCATGGTCTGGATGATGGCTTGCGCCTGGTTCAACGACAGATTCCAAACTCGAGGCCCGGTCATGATGTTCAACTGCTTTCTATTCGTCATTGGAATCGCCGTCATGGGATGGACCAAGAACCCAAACACCCGCTACGGCGGCGTCTTCCTTGGTGTCATGGGCATCTGCTCTAATGTCCCGAACCAGTTCGGCTACCAGCACGCGAACATGGTTGGCCAGGCGAAACGTGCTCTGACTCTGGGTATGATGGTCGTTGGAGGTGCCTTTGGTGGCATCATCAGCGGCAACATCTTCCAGCAAAAGGATGCACCGAATTACTACCCGGCGCTGTCGATATGCATGGCATTCCAGTGTATCACCATTTGTTTGATTGCGAAGAACTTCTGGTACTTTACAAAGTGCAACAGGAAGGCTGACCGTGGTGAGCTGGTCATTCAGGGCCAGCCTGGATTTAGGTATACTTTGTGATTGTGTGTCGAGTCTCCGCAGAGCGTGGCAAGGTGTTGGAAGGCGAACTTGGCTTGAATTACCTCACTTCGCGAGGGAAGCAGTGTACATCTCAGGAAAAGCTGGAAGACAGGTCTTGAGAATTATGTACTACCAGTCTCCTTGACTTGAAGTTATGTCTAATCTATGTGGTTGGATCTTCTGCTACCTCAAATCTCGTCTTCACCGAACTAAACGTTTGTTCATTACCCCTAAGCAAGTAGGCTCAAAGCCCCTCGAGCACAATGTTCCCTTCAGCGGCAGCACGCCATTGTCGGCATTGTCCACTTCAAGCGACACATGAGCATGTGAACCATAACACTCTGCTTACCGAACCACGAACCGTTGGTACTAAGAGTCCCCTGCAGCAGCCATCTCAAACAAAATGACGTCCCTGTTGATCTCATCGCGCATGTCTGACAACGTCGTAATTCGACTCGCTTAGGCGGCTGCGCTACCACTCCTTTCCCAGGCGAGACAGGTGCCCCCGGCTTTGGTCTTGGCGAGCCGCTGCAGGGATGGAGAGATCGCGGCGGGATTGCTGTGATCGATGGTGATTATTGGCTGTTTGTGAGCTACATGAGGCTCGACATAGAATGTTTGACTTGTGTGCGAATCGTCCACGAAGAATGCTTCGGCATACTCTGTGTATGGTTCTCCAGTGACAGTAGAGAAAGTTTGAGCATACACGGAGGCGTGAGAGGATTCGGCCTGAATCTAGGTTTTGTCACCCGGTCTTTCGAAATATATTAACTGCAGGTGGTCATCAAAGAATCTTGCTGTCGTTTCTCTCCATGGAGCAATATGTTAATGGACATAAGTATATGAACCACCATCTTTAACATTAAGGTGAACCGTTCTTCGGGTACGAGTCACAGGTTTGACAGAATCCCCGAGTGACAGTCTGTTCAAATCCGCCAACAGCCCTTCCGCTTCTTGATTTTCCATGACCAGTGTCTGCTTCTTAGAGGTATTCCGCTTCCAGGTAAGGTAGGCGCGGAGTTCCTTGTCCTTTGGCTTAACGATCGTCCACTCTGGTATGTCGACAGGGAACCCTGCTTGTCGATAGAGCTCATCTTTGCAGAAGATCCTCCAAGCATCACTAGCATATTGCCCGACTCCCGTCAAGTGAGCCACCTCCGATTCACAGGTGACCTCCTTTTTATAGCATTTGCGATGCACAACACCGGCTTTCGGCGGCTGCAATAACCAGGTATTTGCCAAGTCAATAACCCATTGTGCTCGGTGAGGCAATCCCAGGCTCTCGAAGAATACCACGGTCTCCTTGTATTCGGCTCGTGCGAGTCCGTCCGGATCTGGAAACTGTGAAAGGAAGCGTCGGGCTGCAGGTATGGCGTGCTTTCCACGAGTCTTATTCAGGAAAATACAAACGATTAGAAGTTGGAACTGCGACACTTGTCAACTATGGTTGCAGCACTGTTGGAGGTCTCCTACAGGATTGTCAGCGAATTCCTCTTCGATAAGCCCATACTGTTCTGTCGATGTTGGCATCGGTCTTGCCGACGGCGGTTGTACTGGAGCCATTTCAAATCAAACGCGCTTCTATCAGCACTCCGATACTGCCAGAATGATGTCTGAAATCCATCAGGACAGTACTTCCCCTCTTCAATCCCTGTGCAAGACGGCTCAGGTGCGGTTGGAATCTTCCAGCAAGCATGCACTGTACACGTGGGGTGAGGCCATTGGCGACTGACTGTTTGATCTTACTGGTCGATGTCTGAGATGTGCTCGTATTCCGAGGAGCGTCTTTGGAGTAGCACAGCCTGATGTAGCCATTACAGTTGCCCCATTGTCGCCTGCAAAAGTTCTTTGCAAGTACGACAGGATGAAAGAGCATACCATTCGCAACTTGAGAGTGTTGATAGTATCTCATCATCTTTCATCCACACAGTGGTGGGCCAAAAGGTGATCTCCACGACTACGCCGCTGCCTCGCTCCTTCACCACCAACTCAACCTCCACCCGTTCCCATTCCCACCGCCATTCGCCGGCATCAACCCACTCCTCTCAAAATCGAAGCTCCCGTGCCGTCCATGCCCACCCTCCATCACATCCGGCAGCGGCTTCTCCCCAGACCCGTGCCCACTCGCCACCCTCCGAGCAGCTCCCATCCGCGCTCCCTCGCCACCGTGCTCCAGGTAGATATTCTCAAAGTTCCCATCTGATGTTGCGACGGTGATGATTTCGTGTTTCGCTGGTGGTGAAGGCGGGAGGGGTTGTGACAGTGCTTGGGGGAGAGGCCAGTCTGCGCCGGTGTGCGTTGGACTTAGAGCTCCGTCTGGGTCTTCATTCTTCGCCTGGGAGGGTCGGGGTGATGAATGGTTGGAAATGTCGTTGCTGACGCGTCGACGGTGCACTGTGATCACCTCGACTGGTGTTGCGCCAGGAGGCAGACGGTAGGCGCTTCGCGCCGCGACTAGCGGAGGGGCTTTGCGTGCACGTTTGATGCTTGGGTGCGGCTGGAGTCTGGGGAGGGCATAGGTCTGGCCGGGAGCGGGACAGAGGTAGCGCGACTCAGCGTTCTGGCTGTTGTGGGTTGAAGCGGTGTCCCGGCGCTGAATCGAGCGGGCTGGATTAGATGCACGAGTAAAGATTGTGGTCCACCATGACGGACCGCGCCGAGGCGCGATTGTTGGTGATATAGGGGAGTTCGCTTGTTGGTGAGATGTGGATCGACCTGCCTCCGCGGCGGCTGCGGCTGCGTGGGTGGCGCGCGAGCGGTGGCGGAGGGAGACCCAGAGGGCTGTGGAGAGGATTGCAGCAAGTGCGAAGATGATTAAGAGGGCGGTGACTGCAGCATTTGCCATACTGGTGGTATGAAGCGGCGGAGGGCGCTTGTTGTAGCGACTTCTGGTCACAGTTCAGACAAGACCGCTGGACTCTGGAGAAATCTGCACAAGCTGGGCGCAAGCGAAACTCGATGTAAGTGAACGCGGAACATGAAGCTAGTCAGTTCTAATAATGGCATTCTACTGTGCGCTCCCGCATACAAAGAACCCAACCAGCCACGAAGATGCACGATCACGGTCTTCGTTGCTTCCGGCGAGATCGAAGGTCGTGTAGTGCGCTGCTTTGATGTCTTTGTCCTTCGACTGCCTTGTTCCGTTACAGCCTTTTTGTACCTGGTCCGTGCGCGAATTTCCAGTCCACTCATGCGAAGGCTGTCCAAGAAATGGCCGGCACACTTCGAGCGTATCCTGCTACTGTGGACCTGAATAGACCAAACTCCTCCCCCTCTGCGGCCGCGTTGGTGGTTTGTTCGGCAGCGCCGGGCCATCAATCAGCGGTTTCGCCATGACGCCGCCAAAGATCTTGTCGTTCTCCGCATCTCGCTGGCGTTTCAGGCGAGCGGCTCGCTTCGTACGATAGCTGTGTAGGCCCACGATCAACAAGACGACAGACAGAACGATTGCTGCGACTATGACGGCCCAGGCGTATTTCGAGATCTGACTCTGGCCTTGTTCGGGGTTGGTCATCTTGGGCGGCGAGATTGGTTGCGTGTAAGTTGAAGCTGCAGGATCCACGTCGAATTCGATCGACTTATAGCACAGCTTTGAGGGATTAGTGCAGCACAGTTCAGGACTGACTTACCTTCGGTGACTTTGAGCCATGGGCCTTTGTCTGCTGAACGACGTCCACGGACAAAGCGGCCAGGTAGACACAAATTGTCGTTGAGGTAGAGCAGATGCGCGAGTCGGAGCCAGGTCAAGCCCCTCTCGAAAGATTGAAGCATGCTCGAGACGGCACTCATTGCCCTCATTCAGCTCATATGCTGTGGGCTTGATATGAGCGTGGCAGGAGGGCATTCTGGTCAGGGCCTTCATCTGTATAAAAGACGTCCATTGCAGTTGGAATTATGGCTTGCCAACTCCAGATTGCTAGAACTGACAGCCGTGATCACGATTGCTCCTATAGATGATCAGTATACGATGCATGGATGTCAAGAAGAGGTCGCAAGGTGGAAGAGAGGAAGAGAAGATGAGCTCGGATGGCGAACGAGCAAAACCCCTCTACTTACTCAACTGAGCTAGTCCAAATTGAGCCAAAGCTGCAAACCACGCGACGCGACAACCAAAACCGCAGCGAAGGAGACTCGATAAAACCAACAGCCCTCACAAACCATCATATCCCCCCCTCATTTATCAGTGCAACCCATCCAACACACGCAACCACCCCTCACCACCCTCAGCCATCCCTCAGACCCAGTCCACACCGCAATGTCCTTCCTACAATCCACCCGGCGCATCGCCGCCTCCCCCTTCCAGCAACCCCTGGCCCGAGCGTTCTCAACTACGCGCGCCTCCCGCCTCGCGCGCATGACACTCGTGGGCCGTCTCGGCACGGACCCCGAACTGAACCAAGCCGCGTCGGGAAAAGAGTACATTAAATATGTGATCGGGACAGACAGCGGGCCGAAGGACAACCGGCAGACGAGTTGGTTCCGGATCACGAGCTTTGCGCAGGGGCCGAGTAAAGATTATGTGATGGGGCTGCAGAAGGGGTGAGTGGTTTTCGGGATGGCTATGGGGTGGTGTTGTGGCTGCCGGAATATGGCAACGCAAGTGGAATATTGGGAACAAGATTGCTAACGAACATGCTAGGACACTTGTGTATCTGGAAGGCGATGCGAAAATGGATGTCTACGAGAAGGACGGGCAGAACGTGAGCTCGTTGAGTCTGATCCAGACAAAGATCGACGTGTTAAAGCGGCCGGTGCCGAAGGCGGAGGAGGCGGAGGCTGCGTAGAAAGTGCTCGAAGGCGACGTCAAAGATATCTTGTTTGGACAGTGTTGCGAGCGCTGGAGGTCTAACGCTTGAGTCAAGCTTCGGGTGACGATGAACTCGAAGTGACGACGACTATGGCCTGGTTTCTGGTGTACAACTCTACTCTTAAGGTGCGAAAATAATGGCTTGGGCAACAGCGTGGACTGGTTCTACAGCAATCTGATTCTTTTGTAATCTGGGTTCCCAGTCTTGAGGTGTACTTCTTCCACTGCCTCAAATGTTGCTTATCGCCAATGTTGCAATACCGTCAGCGAACCGGACCAGGAAACTTTCTCGATGCGAACCTTTCGTGGGATCTACTGAAACCACGGTCAGCAAGCTCATTCAAGTGAGCATGCGAGGCAACTGCCTACGCCTGAATCATGCAACATATAGTAAAGCCCTTGCTCCGACGCAATGAAGTGATCGCTTCGGTTTGCCGCGGTCTTCACTTGGTTGAGGACGTATAAGTAGTCGTGTTGCCCTCGACTTCTCAGCTTTCCTCTTTTCCCAAGCATTGCACCAACTGCCACTTTCAGCACTTGTCATGTCAGGATAGCATCTACTGCTATTGATGGGGCAAGCATTTTCGCTAAGAAGCGTGTAGTCATGTAGTGAGTGGTGATGGTTGGTCTAAGCGATGTGATACAGTGTGATCAGCGCTCGAGCGCACTTGTAGGATATGAACTAAACGTGCTTAGAACGCGACTGGCTGAGGGTTGTGCCGCACCACGCCATGCAGACAGAGCTCGAGCGGAGAATCGTCTGAACTGTCATCTCTTGAGTCCTCTTCCTAATTGACGATCGTTGTTACGCCTCGTTGAACTCGGCCTTGCTCTGCGTGGTGCTCATCTCGCCCGGATGTGTGTTCGCGAAGTCCAATCTGGAAGGCCACACACCACCGCCAGACATCCGTGACTTGCTTATCGAGGCCCAAAATCCAGTAGGCAAGGTAGCTCATCACAATGTCAACGATGACTCGGACTATCTCATATTGCTGACCTTCCAAACTCCATCTCGCTGTTTGGCCAGGCAGATCGACCATCCCCTCAGGCAACGCAAAAGGAACGAATGGCTGATCAGTGAAACTGCTCAGTCTGAGCCCAATGGAAGTCATGTCGGCGAGAAAGCCTGCCACAGCTAGGAAGCAGAGACGAGTAAAGCGGCGCTTGCTGGCAGACGATGTCAGCACAAGGCTGTCCACTTGCAAGCGGTGTCGGAACAGACGCCATATGATAATGCCGAGAAATACCGCTGAGATAACAATGTCGATGCTCAGCACAACTGTAGTGACGAGCACTGTCTTCCATGCAACAGGTAACCGGGCGAGGCAGCCAATCACGGGTATGATGGTATACTGCGAGCTGATCGCCAGTTGGAGTATGGCTATGTTGATGACCGGAAGTGCCACACACAAGGCGATATCAAAAGCCCACAATGTGATCTTCTCGCATCTTGTCTTCGCCGCTCCAATCCGGTCGGTGCGCATGGCGGAAGAAAGCTGGCGGAAGATGCAAGCATTTGCACCGTGGATAGCAACATAGAGCGCGAACCGGGCTCTGATGTCGACTTGGCAGAGGGCTGGTGCATCCCACGTGTCCGAGCGGGTTCCGTAGAAAGCGAATGCATTGACAGCATGTCTGATGTCAAGAAGTGCTAGGCTAGCGACAAAGATTATGGTGGCGAAGTTTTTGGCTCGAATCTGGTTTATCAGAGGGGGAATCGCGAGGAGCAGGGCCAGGATGGCGCATGTTGGAATGGCTGGCTCCAGGATAGCTCTGTTGACCATACTTGACGGTTGTCCTCGAATCTTACATAGAACCTTGTGATCTCGACGCCTGTGTTGGGGTACTGGATGGCTGGCTGCTTATCGATCTGCGGGCACGACTCTGTGGCAACATGGCATGAGCACGCATACTGGGCTCCCATCGCTCACCTATCCAAGATCCGCACCTTTTTCACAGCCGATGGCACGATGCAAGACAACTTACCAGAAGCAGGTGTGAATAAGCCATCCCGGGTGGATCCTTTGCAATCAGCCATGGCGACGTCGCAGTACATCGCATAGGGTGCCATAACCTCGCCGTTGGAACCATCTTTCCCGTGTCTGGCCGCGTATTGCTGCTTGTCAACCTCAACCTTGTTGCGATCCGCGTGTTAGTGAAAACCCGCGCGCGTCGCGGATATGCATTGACCTAGGATTCTCTGCTCTGATGCCCCCTTTGCTTACGCGCTTCCACGGGTGGCCCTCGTATAGAGCGTAGGCATCGCAGCCACTTTCGGACACGTCAGTCGGAGGTTCGATGGCTTGAGGACCACAGAGATGAGGACATGCTCGGGGAACGAGGATCACATGCATGGAATGAAAGAAGAATCTTGGAATGGTATGAGGTGACTGGCGCGAGCTATTGGCTGTCGCGTCCTGCAGCCCCACCAACCTGATGTGGTTCTCTCCTTCCACACAATCAAGTTAAACTTGTTCCTTCCCCAAGTATACGGTACTTTCACGGCTTCTGGTCTGGAAGGGACGATCCTGAACTGTTTTCCCTCTGAACACAAACAGACCGCGCGACTACCACATTGTACAGTGCCTCAAGATCGATGACGCGGACAGAGCCATGATATAGTTCTGGTTTTCCGCCATCTTCAGCATACGGATCGTTTCCGTCTAAGTCGCGGCAGACTGGGTACATCACCCCAACGATGGCTTCACCAGACCGAGAACAAGCGATCTCTTTCGCCGAGCAGTCCTCACGTCACCTCAGCCCACCTCCACCTGGTCTACGGCATCGGCCTCTAGGACGCTCATCTACATTTGCAGAACCAAGTCTGACCCGACGACGAAGTTCGATATTCTCGGAGACACTCTCGGACACCAAGAGATCTCTCAAGACATCTGCAGATGAGCTGCTCATGCCCGGCCCGACTCACCCAACGAATCACGATAATGACGATGACTCTCACTGGCAGTCCTCGGCCATTGCTCTGGCTTTACTGCCCGCTTTAGGTGGAATGTTCTTCAAGGGAGGTGATGCGGTACTTGGCGACATCTCACTGATAATCCTGGCAGCAGTCTTCCTGAACTGGTCTGTCAGGATACCCTGGAAGTGGTACCGTTCCGCTCAATCAGTCACTGCCAGTGAGCCAAGGGTCACTGGACTGTCAACACCCATCATTGAGGAAGAAGACGAGAGCTTCATCGATCCCTCTGAAAGTGAGCCCTTGCATCCGGCAGAATCTCCCAAATCGACTGCTGGCACAAGCCCCAGGAAGAATGCTGATGCACAAGACTTGGAAGCCGCCAAAGCTGAGCTGCAAGCTCACGAGCTTATAGCGTTGTTCAGCTGCTTCATCTGTCCAGCATTCGCTGCCTGGCTACTGCATGCCATCCGATCACAGCTGTCTCGGTCTTCGGAAGGACTTGTCTCGAACTTCAATCTTACGCTCTTCATGATGGCCGCAGAAGTACGACCCCTCACACACTTGATGAGTATGGTACAGAATCGTACACTATTCTTACAACGCAAGATCAACGTGGAGCTGCTCCAATATCCGTCATCTACTCCCTCGGAAGCTCAGAACGAGCAGCTCATCAATCGCATCGAAGAGCTCGAGAAGCACATCGCCAACGGTATCGCAACGCGCGACCAGTCTCTGCCAGATGCTACCATAGATCAGTCCGCGGCAAAGGCTTCCGCTCTGGCCATTGCCGAACTCCGCAAATCACTACATCCTGAACTCGATGCCCTCAGCCGTGCTATGCGCCGGTATGAGAAGAAGTCTACTATCACTGCTCTGCAAAACGAAGGACGACTGCAGGATCTGGAGAATAAATATGAAGACGTGGTGGTATTGGCTGCGAGCGCTCAACGTAGTGTGCAGAGCCAGCCGAGGTTGTATTATATGGTGGTTCTCAACTGGATCTGTGCAGCGGTGGTTGTGCCGGTGGAGATGGTGCAGAGTTTGTCGCAGCTACCGAGGGCGATGTACAAGCAATTCATTACGTTGATCGCGAAAGTCATTCCTGGGCTGGGGAGGTCAAGGAAGGGCAAGGAGCCAGCTGGGAGAGGACAGAGGAAGACCGGCAAAGTAGTCGCCGAGCGGCGGGTTAGGAGCTCAGCTTCGTCGTAGACTCGCGAAGAGACACTGGTACGGTCAACTGGACCAGACATCGATGTTGCAGTCAGGTCGACTCATCAACTAAGAATCAGTCTTCAGCGCATGAAATACGAGCTGATTGTTACCTAGTAAACAAGAACACGACCAACAGGGTCACATATATTCGAGGAGTCCAATCAGAGGACAGACACGCTTCGCTGCAGCAACATTGGTAACGATGACGACAGGTATACCAATCACGTCAGGGAGCACAGCACCGTCAAAGAGTGGCTCATGAGCTATATAGGTAGAAATAACATTTATTATAAGCCATATGGATGCTCTTGTCTCTCTATGCTCTTAACACACATCACTCTATCACGCGAAGTCCTCCTCATCATACAGCACCACACTATCCAAACTACTGAAACCGGCCGCAACACCACCCTCATCACTCCCACTCGCCTTCGTCCGCATCAGATACCCTCCTTCCTCATTGTGCAGAATCTCCGGAAACACCCTCTTCCCCTCGCCACCTCCCTCCTCTCCCGCCTTCGCCTTCGTCGTCTTCCACAGCGCCGTCCCGAAGATCCCCAGCTCACTGATAACCTCCCCACTAACGACCTCCCCATCGCTCCTCAACACCGTGTTGTGCGCCGTCTTCGGCGGGTGGATCAGCTCCATTAGGATATACTGTTTGTACTGGTCTTTGGGGATGGAGGCGAGGAAGGGCGGGATGTTGTGCTTGTAGATGTTGTTGCCGCCGCCTTCGCGTTGGGGTTTGAGGACGTAGTTTTGGGAGGTTTTGGGGTCAGTCGCCAGGGCTAGCCCCGAAGCATCGTCGTCGGACATGGAGAACTGTGGTGAGAAGGTTGAGCGGAGGGAGTCGAGTGTGCTTTTTGAGGTGTTGGGGAGGAAGGAGGCGAGGATGTCGGCTGGGGTGGTGGAGGTGAGGATCTGTTGGACTTTTTTGCTGCCGCTGAGGTGGAGGAGGATGGAGGGGCACTTCGTGGCGCAGGAGCGTTCGAGATGGTGGCGGGCGGCCCAGATTGAGGGGGAGGTATATTCTGAGGGGGCGTAGAGGGCGCGGAAGTAGACGGTGGTGACTTCGTATTGCTGGGTGGGTGCGAATGGGGGTGTGTAGATTAGGGGTCGGGATGGGGTGTTGCCAATTTTGGTGGAGGTGAGGACTGAGGTTGTGGGTAGGCGGAAGGTGGGGATGGAGTGGTATTTGTGAATGTGGGTCGAGAGGGCGAGTTGGTCGAAGATGTTGCGTTCGTCGGGTTGGACGAGGAAGATGATGCAGAGTGGGAGTGGTGGGTCGGATTTGCTTGGGCCGTAGGCTTTGTGTGCGGTTGCTAGGCCGCGAGCTAGTGTTGGAACGGCCTTGTTAGGGGGTGGCAGTTGCTTTACGGACGCTTCGGTCTTGGGACTGAGAGACGGTAGGAGGGGCTTTTCTGCAGATGGAAAGCTGAGAAGCTCGGTGTGCAGTTCGGCCACACGGGACGACAGGCCACCGAAGGACGACGATATGGTGTTGAACTCGACTTGTTTGACAGTGTCGGTTGCAGCATCGAGCATGTAGTCGGAACGGAACAAGCCAAGGGTGTGCTCGTGGGCGTATCCTTCGGCTTTGACTTCGAGATGTATCTTCCATAGATTGGCCAGGAAATCATCGACTTCAATGAGCCTATAGGATCAGCATAAGTCGGTATCTGGGATAACATCTACTTGCTCTTTCATGATTGCTTCCAGGAAGGTTTCATCGCTAGCTATAGCAGCGTACAGCTCATTGTACACCGTTTGTAGCGACTGCGCTTGTTCGAACAATTTCCGAGGGAATGGACTTGGGAAGAGCGAAACCGGAGCATTAGTTGCCAAAACATTATTCGGATTGGCGTCTGCTGTGACCTGTTTGGCGGATGGGCGCACTAGAAGACCATGCTCGGCAGTCCAATTCTTGACATAAAGCGCGATCTGAGACGAAAGGTCCTCCGGTATTGGCGGAGGATATTGTGAATATATCTGCTCGGTCATTTTGCTCGGCTCCCACCACAAGCTGCTAATGATCGAATGGAGCTGCTGTTGACCCGGATAATTCCCTTTCTAGGTCTATAGAACGTCAATCTTGCTCGCCATGCCTCCCTCGTCCTCCCGCAAGTGTTTTCGTCTAGAGCCTGCATGCATGAGAGTACTTGACAAGACAGAGGGGCAAAGCCATGTCGCCATCCTGACAGCCTTGCAAAATCGTTGCCCGGGTTTAACTTGGTCCAACTCCGGCGCTAGCGCCAAAAGGTGCCAAAGTGGAACGCGCCCACCAAACGCGCTCTGATTTGAGCCCATTTAGGCGCCTCAAAAGGCAACCTCGACCTTGCCGCCTTCCTGTTGATCAACACCACAGACACACTACCTGCCTTCCTTCCTGTCTTCACTCGCACTGCAGTGGAGCAGTGGAAGGCTCGAAGCTTCTCGACAACTGCCTCTTACGCTCATTCACTATCAGCCTGCAGAAATTATGACACCGTTTCTGATCTTTGCGTTGCCATCATTGCTTTCGTTCACTTCCTGGCCGATCGTTCCTGAGCTCGACATCGATCTACTGAGTTGTCTTCCTGCTTCAAGAGACCTATCGGACTTCCAGAATAGTATCCCGTCAGTATCGGCAGACTTGCTTAGTCTCTGCAAAATTGCAGAGATCGACGCATCGACTGCCAAAGTCTCTCGACGATTTGCCAGAAGAAAGCTCGTCTTCTCATCATCTCGTGCCCGACTGATCAAGTCGCTGCAAGATGGACGATCAACAGCCACAAGACTGGTCCGTTGATCGAGTTGTCTACGAGATGTGCCACAACGACAACCCCGCCTGGGCAGTCCACGGTCTCAAGCCAATACCGAACAAAGAACAGCTCGAGTCAGTGTTCAGAGACAACGATGTCGACGGCAGCGTGCTGCTGGAGGACTTGACTCCCGAGACTTTGAAGGATGAGCTCAATCTCACGTCCCTCGGTCAGCGAAAGGCTCTCGAGAAGGTCATAAGATTTCTGCGTGGTGGTGTCTTGCCGTCACTCACACCAGCTCCACTGTCACTACGCGAAAAAATCTATCGCTACCAAAATAGCATGCCAACACCCGACCTGTCTCGAAGATCACCTTATCCACAGTCTGCTATGATGGAGAGTGTCTATGGTGGAACAGCGTTTGCACCTGGACAGCGTCCGCATGACAAGACACCCATTCCAGATTGGAAGCAACCTTTGTTCCGCGACAAGTCACAGCTGCCAGGTGGGCGCCTGGTGGAGTCGACAGCTCTAGACTGGCCAGCCGAGTTTCGGTCGCAAGCCAACGATCACCAGGACCTGCTTCGCGGTGGACAACAGCACAACTCCATGGCCGTGAATGCCGATACCCAGAACTTCATCGAAGATCACATGGCAGACGCCGCAACCGGAATTGATCTCCTCGACGGACTGGAGACTACCATCGACCAAAACCTTCGACCCACTGCTGCCATCGCGCAGGTGCGCCAGAAACAGCATGATGAGCCTGAGCCTGAAGAGCAAGAGTTGGAGATTGTGGAAGTTAAGCGAAAGCGACGTATTGCTCCGACCTTTGTCCGTCCGCTACAACCTAAGACTCCAGTCACACAGTCGTATCTCCAGCAAGTACCAATGAGCATGCAAGACACATTCTTCTCACACGAATCAGACGCCGACAGCGACGACAGCTTCGTGTACAGCAGTCCTCCGGCCACGCAGGTTACATCACTGGTCATTGCACGCCGGATTAAGCACTTCATGCAGCAACGCCCGCGCAAAGTCCCTGGCCTCCCATACAACGCCGTCTATCTGCTACCATACCACCCAAGACAATGTGCTGGTGCCATGTCGGAGCCATATCTTTATCTCTTCTCCCAGAACACGGACACACTGGTTCAGAAGCTACAAGACTGGCCCGAGATCATGAAAGATGCAGATCGTGCAAACGTTGCAGCCTCCAGACGTAAGGTCAAAAAGGACTCCATCGTCGCTGTCTTTGAGGCGGGACAATTCGCTGCACAGAGCCAACAGGGAACAGAGAACAGCCCGTCTCCGCCGTCAGACCTTGGCGACTATGCGTGGCTTCTTGATAACAACCCACCGATGACTGACGACGATGTTCTACCTCACTATGGCGACTCGGGCGACGAGAACGATTTTGATGAAGAGACATGGGAAGAGATCGAAGAGGAGCAACGTGAGCGCGAAGTCAAGTCGTCTGGTCTCAAATCCGCTCAAATCGCTCAGGCCATCGACGAAGCTACGACTGCGACCAAACAGAAATGGCAGACTCGGAAGCTTCCCAAGGTCAAGGCTAAGGCGTATCGTTTGTGGATGAGGGTCGCCAAGGCTAAGAAGCGGTCTGCTGAAGTCAATCGGTACTACGCCATTCGAAGCCACAAGAATGCCTCACTCCAAAAGATGCGCGAGTCCATCCTCAAAGATAAGTGGAGCTCTGTTGACGAGGTCAAAGTCATCTGTGGTTCTCTCGAAGAGACTCTGTTCCAGATCCTTGAAGCTGAACACATGCTGGATGTGCTACATCAGAACGACCCGCCTGAGAAGCCTCAGCCGCAGTCTGTGCAACGTCAGCCACGTTCAAAACCGGTGGACAAAGATGGCGAAGAGACCCTAGACTCCGAGTCTGACGATAATTTCGTCGCCTACGATGGCCTCGACGTAGCGAAAGAGGACCCGAGAGACGAAGACTTCAATCCGAATATTTCACACAGCTCTGCCAGACGTACCGCACCGAACTTGGCTGTTGTTGAGGATGTCGTGATGCCAGAAATCGATGAATTAGAGGATATGCCAGTCAATGATGACTCTGAGTCTGTCGCAGAACCTCAGACCGGACCAGAGCCCTCTGCAATGCTCATCGATGACAACAATGATGCAGATGTCGAAAGCGAATCTGATAATATCGGGAGCCTGCTCAATCGGACCAAGAGAAAGCATAGCTCTCAAGCACGTTTATCAATCACGAGCGAGGACTGGTCGTCGTCGCAGAAAGCCTCGCCTGAGGTCCCTCCATCAATTCCACGACAAATCCGCCGACAGACGAGGCAGGGGTCCGATCCTGAGAACTCTGATCTGGACGCTCAAGAAAGACTGCCCTCAAGCAAGTTCAAGAAGCTAGGCGGGACGAAGGAACAAGCTATCGAGCTACTTTCCTCAGATCCAGCACGTCCAGAGGACGACTCTTCCGGCGGGTTCGACTCTGTGACCACGCCACCTCTGAATCCCGACATCCAAGAGTCGGAGGACGAGCTCGTCCTTCCAAGTCGTTCAAGAAGACAAGCCTCCAACCGAGTCATGGCTGCAAAGAAAGAGCCAAGCAGTGAAAGCACTACGAAGAAGTTTGCCGACAACATTACCGCTTTGGAGAAAGCGCTCGGTACTCTGCACGCGGAAGAGTCTGAAGCGATCCAGCGCATCTCCCTAGCTTTGTCTGATCGGCCGCGGGTGTTCAAGCGAGACTGCTTAGGAGATCTGCTCAAGGAGGGTCTCGTCGCTATGACCACATTTGAACCATACAGCATCAAAGGACTGAGTGCGCAGTCTTCGCAAACTGTCCGCCAGATCACAGAATTATTCCTGAGCTTCATGTTCCAGGAAAATCTGGTCAAGAATCAGCCAAACAACTTGCAAGTCAACGAGGCGCATGCAAAGTATTTGGAACATGAACGAATCTTCGAAGAACAGTTGGCAAATTCTCTGACGTTCTACTCTCCTGGTCGCAAACCTGCCCTGTCCCAGAACAAAACGCAGCTGACAAAGGGATCCAAAGCAGCAAGCAAGCGCAAGTTTGCACAGGTCATATCAGATTCTGACAGAGCTCGTACACCTGACGACAGCGACTTAGATGGCTTGCTCTCTGGCGACGAAGATCTTCAGGAACACACTCCACACAAGAAGAGAAAGCGAGTTGTTGCACAGTCTCAAGAAGCCAAGACCGTGCAAAAGAACGACCAAGCTCGAGTGCTAGAGCAGGAGCGGCGCCGTAACGCACTGTCCCAAAAGATGCTATCTGTCGATGCTGATGCCTCTGCGAAAGTCATGGTCAACACCATTGAGCCCCTCATCATGCTGGATGACTACATTGCTTCCAGGGTGAAGCCCCATCAAATTCACGGCATCCAGTTTCTTTGGAGAGAGATCGTTGCCGATCCCCGTCGACAAGGCTGCTTGCTTGCTCATACCATGGGTCTCGGAAAGACCATGCAAGTCATTTCATTGCTGATCACCATCAGACAGGCGTCCATCAATCCAGATGCTGGCGTGTCAGAGCAAGTGCCACCCCATCTACATGAAAATAAGACTCTTGTTCTTTGCCCGTCGTCGCTCGTTGAGAACTGGTACGACGAGTTGCTCATGTGGACCCCACCAAACGACTATGACGTCTTGGGCGGCATCTTCAAGATCAGTGGGCGTGCACAGGCTGGCCAGATTGAGCAGTGGGCTGAAGACGGGGGTGTGTTGATAATAAGCTACGACACATTACGTTCTCTACTCAAACCTGCCGGGAAGGTAAAGCAACAAGAGCGCGATAAAGTGGAGTCATACGAAAAGTGGCTACTTCGAACACCAAGCATCGTCGTTGCAGATGAAGCTCACAAGCTCAAGAACCGTAAAACCAGCATTGCCGACCTGGCGGCAAAGTTCAAAACTAAAAGTCGCATAGCCCTGACCGGCTCACCACTCAACAATCACCTCGAAGAGTACCATACGATGATTGAGTGGATTGCCAAAAACTACCTTGGTGATATCAACCAGTTCAAGTCGAAGTATATCGAGCCGATCAACATGGGCCTCTACAAGGACAGCACACCCTACGAGCAACGCGTTTGTCTGAGGAAGTTGCATACGCTGAAGAAGGATATCGAGCCCAAGGTCAGCCGCGCAGACATCTCTGCAATCGAAGACGACATGCCACAGAAAACAGAGTACATCATGACAATTCCGCTCACGCCAGGACAGCATGATGCATATCTGATGTATGTCAATACTGTTCTGGGCCAACGGGCAGGCGGTGCGACCACTAAGTCCGGTGGTCTCTTCAAGTGGATCAGCGCCTTGCAAGTGCTGCTTGCTCATCCGAGCTGCTTCGTCGAGGTCTGCGAGAAGCACCGCGAGACAGCTCAAGCGTATGACAGCTCCACGGAAACCGACCATTCGTCCGATAGCGAAGCTAGAAATAAGCTAGTCGAGCTCACGAATGAGTACGACCCGATGACTGCTACAAAGGTATCAAATTCGGATCTCGCAGCCGAGGAAGCAGCAGTCGCAGTCTTCGACCACAACCAGGAGGTGGGAGACCTGTATGCAGAGGATCACTCGCATCGAACTTTGATCACCAAGAAGATCGTCGAGAAGGCCGTGGCTTGTGGCGACAAAACACTGGTCTTCAGTCATAGTATTCCAACACTAGACTACCTTGAAAAGATGCTCAAGAAGATTGATCCCCACTGCATGAGGATCGACGGTTCGACCAAAATCTCCGAACGACAGAAGATGACCAAGACCTTCAATGACTCTGGAGAAGGTCAGAGCAAGGTCTTCCTGCTTTCAACACAAGCTGCTGGACTTGGACTGAATCTTCAGGGTGCCAATCGTGTCATTCTCTTCGACTTCGGCTTCAACCAATGTGGGAGGAACAGGCCGTAGGCCGTGCGTATCGTTTTGGACAACGCAAAGATGTATTTGTGTACCGCTTCAAGACTGGTGGGACATTTGAGGAACCTATTCATCACAAGTCGCTCTTCAAGACACAGCTATTCCAACGCGTTGTGGACAAGAAAAATCCCACTAGAGCAGCTGCCAAGACGGTGTCGGAGTATATCTTCGCGCCGAAGTATGTGAAGCAGGAGGACCTCAGCGAGTACGAGGGCCGGGACCCGCTTGTCTTGGATCAAATTGTTCAAGAAGTGGACACGATTCGCAATCTTCAGTTGACAGAGACATTCGAGCGTGACGACGGTGAAGTATTAACAGCCGAGGAGCTCAAAGTCGCCAATGAGGAGCAAGAGCACGAACGTCTGCGCCGAGAGGACCCTGCGAAATGGGCTCAAGCTATCTATGGCAATCTTGCTCAGCGGACTACAACTGACGGTCAGCACTCTGGGCCCAAAGTTCCCACGCCACCAAAGATCAAGATGCAGCAGAGCAAGGCACTGTTTAGCAACATGGTGAATGATATGAGAACTGGAGATCTCGCCCAGCCGGTGGTCGGATCGGCCCATCTACCAGACCAGCAGTGGTCATTTGGTCCTCTTTCTCAGCTTCCCCACGGGCGACCGGCTCAGCTGAACAACAATAGGCCGACACAGGGTCAGATCGATGGCGCGATCCAGGTCGATAGCTCTGACAACGACTCAACACCTGACGCTTCGCGAGATTCGCAAGTCACCAAGGCGCGGGCGGCCGGCTGCAAGAACCAATAGGTACGGTCTGGGTCCGGACGGCGTCAATTGCAGTTCATAGAGGATGACACGATGTATGGTCAAGGACGGGGCAAGGAAGATGGGTTTCGCGGCGGAATGCCTGTTTGCAGACCGCATTAATGACCTCTAAGCGATACATATCGGCATTGAGGACCGTGCTGACGCGGGAAATAATGGACACGGACGTGGAAGACTTGAAGCAGGATGGACAGAGTATGGTTTTCAAGGCGCCATCGGGACGACGAGGAAGAAGCATGGACGGCGTTCTGATGAGATTCATTATTGCATGATACCCCCAGAAGTTATGAAGCATGGAGCATGGAGTTATGATCATGTTGTGGAGGGATTTCTGAGCATACTCAGAGCATGGCGAATGAACGCAGTGCTGAATGGAGCATCTCAGCCCACGAGTAGATGCTCTGAGAAGTTTCAAGAAGCCATCGAAGCTCGAGGTGGGCATGGACGGGTTCAATGTACTGCACATACAGTAGATAGCCGTTAGTGAGGAATCGAAAAGGGAACCCGTGCCATGGCATTCGTCTTAAGTCGTGTGCCCAGCAATGCCCAGACCAAAGTCGAACGGGGAGCACTCTGTGATCACCGTCCACGTCGTCCCAGTCGCCATTCTTAGATTTGCCGTTGCAGAGAGGACTCAGCCTATTCGCCAGGGGCATTCTCGTCAGGGAGGCCGCTGCAGGGTTGAAAAATCTTCGCCTGATCGATTAGTAGGCTTGAGATGAGCCTCACTTAAGTGTCAGTCAGTAGGAGTTGGTTCATCACGGAAAATTCGCCAGGGAGGCCGCTGCACTGATTCTCGAAGTAATGTATGGTACTATCTGTTCTCATTCTCAGTCTGGCCAACGAGGATGCCCAAACAAGTTGGACGGTACAAAAGCTTTTCAATATCTTGCTATTCTGCTCTTCTGTTACGAGCACCAACGTTGTGACATGAGGGAATGTTAGGGGAGAGGAGAGTGCTGGGTGTGGCTCGACGACGTTGCCGCGGCGCTACGCTGGCCGATCCCAGCCTATACCGCAGTTCTATTAGGGGCGAGGCTTGCCCAAAGCTTGGCTGTGACCGCAAACGAACAGCGCATGCCGACTTCAAGCGCAATAGTGTCCTGACCAAAGATCACTGTCATCTTTCTGGTGTATAGTGTATGGGCCGAGCCGGAAAGCGCGTGGACGTACACGGTCGTCAGACTCTGAGAGACACAATGACGTCGCAATAACACAACCGTCGCATACCTCACAATGTCGCGACTGGCCTTCACCGAAGTCCAGCGAGGGCCAGCACGCGACTCCCTCGAACTGGCCTCGTTGGCCGACTCGGACGAGCAAGACGATCTGCCGTCAGAGGCTTCCTCGTTGTCCGGCATCTCGTCTTCACGCCGGCTCTCCTTCGAGAACGAAGACCCACTTGACAATGCCAATCCCGCCGGCCGTGGTCGCATGCATCCCAGGTCATACTCAGTCTCCTCAGCATTCGACTTCACCCCAGCGCTGTTCCCACTCCAGTCAACGTCAGGAGGGTACACGGCTCTTGGAGCACCGTCACAGGTCTCACTGTCGCTAGAAAGAGGAGGCGCCCACGACAATCTCGAGAAACAGAAAACACTCACATTCTTGAATGGCCTGTCTCTGGTAGTCGGCCTAGTCATCGGCTCCGGTATCTTCTCCTCGCCAGCACAAGTCAACTCTCACACCGGCTCACCCGGCGCCGCCCTCATCGTCTGGGCCATCTCCGGCCTCCTAACCTGGACCGGCGCCGCGTCCTACGCCGAACTTGGCGGCGCCATCCCCCTTAACGGCGGCGCCCAAGTCTATCTAGCCAAGATCTTCGGCGAACTCGTCGGCTTCCTCTCACCTGGACCGCCATCCTCGTCCTCAAACCCGGCTCCGCCGCCATCATCGCCATCATCTTCGGCGAATACGTCATCCGCGCCGCCATCGGTGCCGACGTCGAAGAAATCAACCCTTGGATCAACAAAGCACCCGCCTTCCTTGCCCTCGCAGTGGTCACTTTCCTCAATTGCATCTCCACTCGCTTCGCCGCCCGTATCGGCGACCTCTTCATGTTCTTCAAGTTCATCGCCTTGATCGCTATCACAGTGATTGGGATCATCGTTGCGGCCACAGGCCTTTCATTCAACGGCCCCGCCAACACCGACTGGAAATCCCGCAACTGGTTCGACGGCACCACCACCGATATCAGCAGCTGGGCCGTCGCCATCTACGCCGGCCTGTGGGCGTTCGATGGCTGGGACAATACAAATTACGTGACCGGCGAGTTCAAGAATCCTAGCAAAGACCTCCCTCGGGTCATCCATACAGGCATGCCGACGGTCATAATATGCTACATCCTCGCCAACATCGCCTACATCTTCGTCCTGCCGCTCGCTACAATCAACAAATCCAATACCGTCGCCGTCCAGTTCGGCAATAAAGTCTTCGGCGCAACGGGATCCCTCATTCTCGCACTCATCGTCTCGGGCTCCTGCTTCGGAGCGCTCAATGCCACAACATTCACCTCCGGCCGCCTCGTCTACGCCGCGGGCCGCGAAGGCTACATCCCCGCCGTGTTCGGCACCGTCGGCTTCGGCCACCGCAACTCCCAGCTCCCAGCACCAGCCAAGTTTCGCAAACGAAGCTGGCTCACCAAGAAACTCCGCTCCATCTTCGGCGACGACGCCGGCTTCGGCGCAACTCCCATCAATGGGATGCTGCTCAACGCCTGCCTCACGGCAGCGTATGTCGCGGTAGGCGAGTTCAAATCCTTGATAACGTTCTACGGCGTCGCAGGGTATACCTTCTACTTCCTCACCGTCCTTGGCCTCATTGTCCTGCGGATCCGTGAGCCACATTTGGAGCGCCCGTACAGGACGTGGATCACGACGCCGATTATCTTTTGCTGTGTGAGTTTGTTCTTGGTGGTGAGGGCGGTAGTGAATGAGCCGGTGCAGACGTTGGTGGTTGTGGGTTTTGTGGTGGCTGGCGTGCCAGCTTATTACTGGCGGATACGAGGCAGAGATAGTGGTGGGCAGCGGGAGGGGGAGGGAAGATTCTGGAGGAGATGGGGCAGGGGGTTGAGGGGGCGATGAGGCTGTTCAATTGCTGTCGATGTACATGTATGACTCAATTGTCATGGTCCTTGGCTGAGCAAAGATATGGTGTAGGTACATAGCTCCGGAAACTGACTAAACCTTGACCTCCTCACGAATGCGACGGCTGGTCCTCTTCATCTCCCTCGTGAGCGCGGCGGCCTGCTCATATTTGCCTTGCTTCTGTAGGACATCGATGACCTTGAACTTTTCTTGGAACAAGGAATCTTCAGAGAGAATTTGAGCAGCTCTCGGAAGCATATGATGCACAAGCTCCAGCTCCGCCTTGTGATAGTCTTCAGTGGCATAGCATATACTATGTCGGTACCTCGACGCCCAGTATCGCCACTGAGCTCGGAAGACCACACTTGCCGCATCTGCGCGGCTCTCGGCTTGTTCGGCCCAGAAACAGGCCTGGACAAAATCATTGATGTTCATGGCTGCCCAATATAAGGTGGCCACACATTGAAAACTCACTTCATTGCCTTGACCTTGCTCCGTATCCAAGACCGTCAACAGCTGCTCTACCTTCCAAATTGAGTCCGGCGTATCATATCGGCGTACCTGTCTAGCCATGCGAAGCGCTTCGTAGTGCGACTGGCCCAGTAGTCTGCAGTACTCATCATAGACCAGATCATAAACCCTGTCGGTCGTGACTATCGATGCCGATGCATTGCAGGTGGTCATTAAGTATCTCGTTAAGCGCCTCAGCGGGTGGTCGTCATTGTGTAGTACTAGTGCCGTCAATTGCGAGACATATGACAGGACTCTGTGAGCCAGATCGATATTAGCGTGCACAAGAACGGCGGCTAGTCGAGTGAGATCTCGGACAAGTGAAGGGGTCTCGGCGAGTAAAAATGCCTTCATGTTGTGGCAAATGCGCGAAGCAAGGGCGAATGCGGCGTCAACATGCTGGTGGACGAATGCAGTCCCCATATCGAAGATGCTATTGCCAAGATCCCAGGTCTCATGTCCGGTGAGGACCTTTCCCGATATGAGGTGTGATCCAGGGCAATCGGAACGCCATAAGCCAGACGTGATGTTGCCTTCCATATACCCACGGATGGAACGAAGAACAATCTCAAACTCCTGATCGCTGCTCATGGTAGTGATGTACTGCGACATGATCTCTAGTGCTTCAGCCGGCGGGCTCCGTTGGACATCCGATTGTGATCGTGGCTGCTGTACTTCATGTGAGGAGGAGATCCTCCTTTTAGCATGTCGACGAGCACTTCTGATATTGATCCTTCGACCAGATTTGGCGATGACATAGCCAGACGACAGGGTCGCGCTTCCATTGTCCTGGCTTAAAACCTCCCGAATATCATCTTGGGTACTATATTTCCGAAAGCCCCACTTTCTAAAACGCTTTTTGTACTGCTGGACACTGTCCGAGTCAATACGGCTGGCCCGCGAGCATGCGTTGGAATAACAACGACATATGACTTACGTGCCAGTAAACCCATATTCCTCATGCAGCCTGGCAATGATGTAGCTGAGCTCTCTACCCTCCTGAACATACATGCGCTCGAGTACGGGCCGCATGAGTTCCCATCGAGCTGGATCTGTCTCAAAGCTTGGCCTCAGATGACCAGCAGGAGACCGGACCAGAGTCGCCAGTAGTAGCGCGCTTTCGTTGCGTACTGTCTGTGCTGCAAACAAGTTGTCGTAAGGTACGACATTTATCATCGTGCCGTCGGGTAAGATGTATTGTTACTGGACCTGGCCAGAGCGATACTCCGTGATGTACCAAGGAGCGCTCAGTGGAAGTGCCCGATGGCATGGCTTGGATCTGCTGCGGATCGAAAGACCTAATTATATGTCAGGTCGTTGAGGCTGCATTGGCACAAACATCGTGCTTCTCGTGATCGCGATGTGCCAAGCAGGCGTTGGACAAAGTTGCCTGCATGAAGGTGGCTGCATTCGGCAAATCAGAGCTGCGTCTGGCGTCACACAATTTACGAGGGTATTGCTGCTCAGAGTCCGGGATGATAAGGCTGCAATTGATGCCAGGCTGGTAGCTCAAGCATATATGGACTTGACGGTCGTCGCAAGGCAGATGTGGACAGCTTGCTGGGATTGTTAGTCGTGTTTGTCCCGCACCTGATGAAGGGCAAGGCAGCGAGCCCAAAGTTCCAAGGCTACTTCGATGGTGTGCTGAGAAGATAACAAGATGCAGACGGGCTCGAAGTGGCAGCAAGGTCAAGTCGTTGACAAAGTTCCTCAGAAGTAGCTGCAGATGATGTCCGAGATGGTCGTGAGAATCTCATTCTGCTCCTGCACTTTGCGAGGGTAGCACCTGCTCTTCAGGCGTGCCCAAAGTATACTCAGTCCTCGTCCTCCTCTCCGTACCCAGCCAAGTCGAACAACTCCGACAATCCAGTCATAATCCCATATCCCTCCGACAACTGCTCCAGCTCCTCCAGCTTCTCAACAAAATCCCCGGCCTCGAAAAACGCCTCTCTCTCCGCCATACTCATTCCCTCCATTACCGCCTTCATAGCACCCACAAGCTCAGTACAGCAATATCCATCCCGGACCTCACTGCCCAGCTGGTCACCGGCCAGGCAGATCGTCTTCCCGATCTTGCGAAGCGTCGTAAGAGCGTTCTCGCGAGTCCCCTTGTTGGCGCCGCTCTCTGTCGCTGTCTGACTTATGGAGCGAATCGCATCGCTGACGACGCCCTCGGCATCTCCGGCCGCCTCAAATTGCCAGCGAGAAGACTTCTTGGAGTGCGACAGGTTCAGCTCGCGCCACACGGATTTGCTGTGGTGGTCGAAGTCGACGACCGTGGCCGAGCGTTGAGCAATGATGCGTGTGTACTCGTTGCGAATGGCCTCAGCTAGGTCCGAAGTGGGCTCGAGGTTGATTTGGGCGGACACAAGTTGCCGCAGTGATGTGTCGGAGAGCGTTGCTAATGCCACGTTGAGATCCACGGCGGGCTTGGAGGCGGCTGCTGCTTGGCGTTTGGAGGGCTGGGTGTCGCTGACTGTGGGGGCGCGGGCGCGTTTGGTGGAGGCCTTTGGTGGCATGCTGCTATGCTGGCGGCTCCGGGAGTAGTGGTCGACAAACGAAGCACAACCCAGGACGAGTTGTGCGGATGGCAAGGAGCGACGTCGCGTCTCAAGATGGCATACGCGTTCCTACCTCATCGGGACAAGCCTGAGATCGATCTTGGCAATAAGGGGTATCTGTTGGATTTTCCTCTAGCTGGGTATTACCTCTTGGACCTGAATACGATGGGAAGCATCAATGCAAGAGCTTGTCTCGGTCTGCCAAGTGTCGAATTCCTCCTCTTAGTCAGAAGTACACAATACTTTGATATTCACCGGGTGTGTAGCAGAACTGCCAAGATGAAACGAACACATGCCCAGCATATCCCTTGAGGAACCCGTGTAGACAGTATCAAGAAAAGCCTAAAGGAGTCATGAATATGAGACAGTGGCCTCAATTGAATTTCTCATTGAACGTGATGTGTTCGGCACTCGAGCCGACGATGCCAAGATCTGACCTCACTCGATGTTCGGACACACTTAAGGTTCCGTTGACTTCATGTCTGCTTCAACGTTGCCCTCCGGCTCCGGCTCCGACCACCGTCAAGGAGTAGACCTGATGCTCTCCTCAAGGTTGGATGGACATCGCGATGCATTGGCTTGGCTTGGCTCGCATTCCAGACAGCGGACTTCGCCAACGTAGATTCATAGAATGACACATGGGCAGCCATTCTCATAGGTCTTGAACCTGTCGCCCCCAGATCTTCGCCGTCTCTCCCCCCAAGCTTCCTCAGTATGGTCGTACATTTTGGCTCACGATGAGAGTTTTGTCGAAGAACCTTATCCTAGGTCTGTCTGTAGGTTGAAGGCTTCGGTGCAGGTATTGAGAGAGATTTTGGATGGAGCTTAGATTGGAAGTGCGAGTTTGGTAAGTATCGTTCGGGTCCGAGGATGATTGCGAGTCTTCTGTGAGTTGGATGAGATTAGTCGACAGTCGTGCGGAGGTGTTGGGACCTTATATGCGTGCGGAGCAAGGTACGGGTTGTTTGGGAAGGTCTGAAGCCCTTGTTGCGCCTCAACAGCAGCCATGCCGTAATAGCGACTGCGGTACGGCTGGCTGCACACAGCCTTTGGTAAAATGACTGCGGCCCACCAGCAGCAACCGCTCGCACCCCCGGGAACTTCTGAAAGGACTTTGCAGAGGGTTTGATGTATGCCTGGGAGGTCTGACATCAGCAGTTACGCAATCTTGCTGTCTGTAGTGTAGGCTGAAGGATACATCTGGCAGCATTCTTGGATGGCAAACGATCAGGTGCACGACCGAAGAACCAGGATATCGTATTGGAGCTCAGCAGAAGAGCGCCTCCAGTGTGTGTCAGCCAGCGTCGTCCTTTCCCGTATCCAGCTCTTTGCTGCTGGTCCCTTTTGACTTCGAGAACTTCTTGAAGATGCGCCACCTCGATCTTGACGAGCCAGAATTACCTCTCAATTCGCCGTCCGATGCCCCGATCATGAGCGGCCGTGAGTCCTCGTTCACTGTTTGCCGGCGCACGTCTGCATCCTCCTCACGCGGCCGCCAAGTCTTGTACGTCGGTGCTGTTCGCTTCAAGTTCGGCGGCAACTCAGAGGTCGGCGATGTGTTCTGCGACGAACATGTGGTCGGAGAAGTGGCCGTAGATGCATATTCGGAGGCTGTGGTGTAGGATGAGGTAGGTCTGAACTCGCTGGAGGCTGGCGTACGTGTCGTGACACTTGATGAATATCTATCGTCATAGAAATCATCCTCGTCGTCCTCCCATATAATTGGCAACTTGTGGAAATCGTGCACATAGCACCCGAAGGCGTTGAATGGCATGGTGAGCAATGCCCGGGTTGAATGCGTGTTCAAAACTGGACTGGAAAGAGGGCTGCCCGTTCGGTATAGTCAATATTCCCAATATGGTTTCTGACATGAGGATGGTCCGAATTGGGAGTGCCAATGACTTTTTCGACGCAAGGCTGCAGTGACGTGACTGTAGCTCGATCATTGACGGGTTCCAGAAGCGGTCTTCGACCGTCGCAAACAAAGTGAGACTGTTGACTCAAGTGTCGAAGCGTTCGAGGCGCGTTCTGCAGCCACAACGAGTATATGCGCCTGTCAAACGACTGTTGCGGGTGACATTCTCCACCAAAGTTAATATTCCGCCTGTCAAGTTCTGGATGCAGATTTTCAGGTTCGCGATACCAAGATGGCCTGTAGCCAAGCATTCCGCTATAAGTGCCTCAAGACTGGAAGCGTGTCCCTCACCTGCCTGGACTGAGTGGTCTATTAAATCCGCCGACTCTGTTCATGTACTGCCTGTAGACCGTCTTCTTCTCCTTCCGAACGCCGTAGATCTGGTTGCCAGGCACCTTCTTGTTCTGCGTGGTCTTGAAGCTCGTGAATCCCATCATTCTTCGTAGAGCCGCATCTTCATCGTCCCCATCAACGTCCATCTTCGCATCGCCGTTGACTTTTGGCTTCTCCTCGGGGTCTTTCTTCACCTCCGGCTGCGGCTTGGGTGGCTCATCTCGCCTATCGTGATTCGTTCGAGGTCCTCTCGGTGGCGAGCTGCGCCGAGGGGTGCCGTTGCCGTTGCGTACTGGCGGCGAACGTGATCTCGGCCGTTCTGATCTATGTTTGTGATCTTTGTCTCGAACACGATCTCGATCGTAGTCCCGACGGTCCTTGTCATGTCTATCTGCGCTTCGTTCGCGGTCTCGTTGCTTGTAGCGATCTCTGTCTCTGTCTCTATCTCGATCTCGGTCCCGATCTCTTTCTCGGTCGCGTCTGTCGCGCGATCTGCTGCGTCTTCTCTCTGACTTCAAGTACTCCTTCGGTGACCTCGATCTGCGCTTCTCGTTGTAGCGTCGAGAGTCGCGATGTCTATCATCATCGTATCTGCACGTCCTCTGTCGTCCCTGCGGGAATCGCTGGGTCTGGGTGACTTTGGCGAGCCTGTTGCTTCTCGATCCCACATGGCGGAACTGTCCATGCGCCGAGCACGCTTCGTAGGTGGCTCGTCCATCGTACTGTGACTGTGTGTCAGGCGCTTGCGAGCCTTATGAGCCGCGAAATATAAGACACAGATCCCAAGTGCCACGTAGGAAGATCAACGAGCACGGAAATTTACACGTGACGCTCCGCTTTCCAGGCGACCGCGCCAAGCCTAACTTCGATAGCTTTTTGGAACAATATATATTAATGCTGTGTATAACAGGACACATTTCGACGGGCGCTGTGTGATGTTGAGGCTACTTGGAGATGGGAGTGGTCAACATCTGCGAATTCGAGCGTCTTGCATTCCACTCATGAGGCAGCGACGAAGCAGTCCCTGATATGAGGCAAGTGCCACTGCTAAATATTCCTCGACATGAACAACCTATCACATCGCCGCACACACAATCTGCTGCTAATCAGCAAGCTGCTGAACCAACGCGACCATGCTTCGCCATTCACTCTTGTCCTCGACAGCCTCGAACAGCCTGCGAAGCCCCTCCTTCGCGAGTATCTGAGACGAGCCAAGATAGGCAAGTCCTTCAGCATATACCTCGCCTTTGAGACCATTCGAAAACCAGGCGACGCTGACTTGTACGTTACTTGCTGGGACAAGACGCCCGTCCAAATCAGCAATGCCGTCAGTGCTGCCATGTCTTCTGCGGACGCAGGCGGACGAAGATGTCTCATTTTGATCGACTCCTGCACCGCCCTAGCAGCCCTTGCGACCGATCCGACAGCAGACTTCAACCTGACAAGCTTTCTGTCCTCGCTTCTGCAGCCGCCAGCGAAGACGACCAGCCCTCCTGCGGGAGTGTCGGTTGTGGCGGTCTACCATCAAGACGTCCCTCAGACAGCCACAGTATATTATGTCCCTTCGCCTCTAGAGCTGCTATCATACCTGGCCACCACGATGATACATGTCCATTCTTTGGCTATCTTAGTCACTGAGAAAGAAGCTCGAGAGCGCAGCGTAGTCGCTCCATCTTTCGGTCTGGACGAGAACGTCGAGGGTATCGTGATTGGGTTGAAGAAAGGTTCGAATTCGCTGAAGCCGGAGCATCGAGGCCTTGTCCTGGAACTAGAGCACCGTCGAAACAGCGGCAGAGGCGTTCATGAGTGGTACTTCTTGCCTCGGGTACTGCCCAAGATGACGGCTGCGACCTTCAAGGAGGTTGTGAGCATCCTCGACGACCACCCAGCGTTTCAGAAGGCCAGCCTCGACGTTGCCGATTCCAACGACGATCTGACAGACATGACGTTCTCTCTCGGCCTGACAGACCGACAACGGCAAGACCGCGAAGGCGTGGTCCTCCCATACTTTGACGCCCAGAATCCCAAACCTTCCAGCGGAGTTGACGGCGGTCGGATCCTGTACGATATGGGTGCCGAAGACGACTTCGATGACGAGGAAGACGAGATATAGATGTCCAATCCATGACATCCCCTTCTCCTTCAGAAGAATCTCCATATGATGAAAATCAATATGAATAGTCCCAACCCCGCAAACGGCCCATACTGCTTCAACAACAACTCCCAATTAATCCTCACCGCCGCCTTCCTGTACTTCTTACTATCCTCCCTCAACCTTCCACTCATCTCCCCCATCCTCTCCAAACTATCGCCCCTATACAACAAATCCTCAATATTCTTCGTCATCACCTTGGTCACATCCTTCAACTCATCATTCAACTTATCCAGATTCGCACTCGCTCTTGAATCCTGATACACCTTCTTCGTCCGCTGCATATACGTATCAAACTCCATGAACGCATACGGCCGCAACGTCTGACTCAAATATTGTCCAGACGGATATGTAGTGGTGAATTCCTGCGCAATGTCCGAGAGGTACGTGAAGGCGAGTTTGCGCGGGTAGGATTTGTCGCAGATGCAGAGGAAGCACACCGAGTCTTGGATTAGGTAGTGCAGGGTGTATGCGCCGGACTCGATCGAGGCTTGGGATTCCGAGTTGCGGTTGAGGCGGCGAAAGATCATTTTGGTTTGGGACTTTACTTCGCTGAGCTCGTTCTCGACCTGTGTGGGAAGGCGCGTCAGCATCTGCTTCTACGCGCCGCACGTAAGGCGTCTTATTTCGAGACAGCGTACCTGCTCGTCGTCGGAGCTGGCGGCCAGCATGAGGCCTACGGAACTGATCAGTATCACATTCGCTGCCGTGGTCTCGAGTCCTTACCGTCCAGCCGCGCTATTTGTGTTGATTTGACCATTTTGACGTTCGTATCTGCTCGATCAACCCTTGGATGTTGTTCGCGTGAGCAATGAGAGGTATGGTAGCCGTGCCTGACTAGGCAATCGAGTTCAGCAGGGAGATAGGCGCGGTTTGCAACAAAGGCCACAGTATGCTTCAACGCCCAAACTGCGGCAGATCACAGAAATTCGGGGTTCAAACAATAGTGGTCCATGAGTTCTTCCCCGATTGGTCTTTCGGGCAGGGAGTTGTGCCGAAGCTACCCTGAAGCAGCGCTTACGGTGCACCGCCGGGTACCCGAGATCACAAAAAACTTTGCTCCGAAAACGAGGCGTCCAGCGTGTGCTTCTTTGGCCATCCTTGTGCATTGGATTATTGGATCGCAAGCAGCTGCAGTGCTTGACTGCGAGCGCTACACGTGATTCCGTCAACGCTTGTGATCTAAACCCAAGCGACAGAACACTACTGCTCGCCCCACCTGATAGCAATGAATGCTACCAAAGCATGGCAATGTCTGTAGGTTCTGAAAGGAGCCTCGATGATGAGAGAAGAGCAGGAAGATGTCGAGGGCAAGGAGACTATTTATACCCCTTCGACAAAGTGAACCTCCGAGACAGGCCGGAATTGTCACTTCACTGAGTTGGCAGCACGCATTCACTGTCCGCTGCATGGTTCAAGATCATTTACTGCATGGTGTCATTCACTTCGATTGTCGATAGGAAACCTGGTTCTCCATCATCCTGAATTGACTCTACAGGGTTCCCGGCCGCCCAAGCCTAAGTCAAGGTAGGGTACTTCTGGAGGCGCCGCTTGGCGTTTGGTGAAACGTAAGAATGAGTCCGATGGTGTTCGACCAGATGTTCCAGTCCCTGGACGCCGAAGCGAACACAGCCAGACCACTGAATGGAAATCGTAAGTGACAATGAGTAGAGACCGTCGAAAAGGGGTGCCATTCGCGAGCTTCGCGGTCTTACAAGAAGCGATACCAGCAGGAGCACCAACTCTACGAGATGAGTACCTTAGCCTCACTACTATGCCGAGACTCTTGTGTTTGCGGTTGATTGGCAGGTGAATACCTTTTGGTGAGTACCTTCGATAGGAAGGCCACTACTATATTACGGAAACTCTTTCTACCCCCTTGTCCTCACTTAACCAAATGTCAAAATCAACCACCACGAAGTTCTCAGCACCAAGCGACAGACGAAATCGCCCTCATCAGTCTACGTCTACCTCCAGACCACCAATCCGCAGCAATGCCTTCCTCAGACTGGAGCCCACCCCGATCACCAACTCCACACCGTCTCTCCAGCCTCGATCGAAGACGTCTCAGTGACCCTACAATCAGGAGGATATTCGAGATTTCTTTGCGGCACCAGCAATGGCCGAAAGGTCAAATGGTGCGTCAACACCGAGGGCTCAAGGCGTACACTTCCTAGATCAACCTCCTGTCATTATCGGGGAAGGCGGTGACGGAGCTAACGCGGCACCGATTGAGCTCAGGACGAGCACGGGCCAGATGTATAGAGCCATGTTAGAGTCGGAAGCGTATCAGAATACCTGGCTTCGAGTTGCTGGGAGTCGAGTACCAGAAGAGGACCGTGGGTCTCGCTTACAGCAGCTATCTACTGCTCAAAACCCGATGTCGCCTCAACGGATAACACAACAACACATGCCTCAAACACCACGTAAAAGGCCATGCGACGACAGCGACACGGAGAGAGAACCGCCACGCTATGAGCGAGTCCAGCTACATCAGTCGAAGAAAGTACGCCAGCTTCACATTCCAAAGCAGCGGTCTGGTTGGCGGCAACGGAGGTCCAGCAAGCGTGAGCGCGAAGTTGAACGAGTAGAAAGACTGCGTTCCTGGCAATGTGGAATGGATAAAGCGATGATAGATGGGCTCGGCCACTTCGAGACCAGTGATGGAGATGACGATGACGAGAGCTGGGACGATGAGCCAAGTCGGTGGGGATGGCCAGGCTGGCAGTATCCGAGAGCCGCTGCAAGACTTATAGAAGTGGGAAACAGCTGAAGACCCTGGTGATGGGATTCAAGAACGCCCTAAGGAGGCTTCCGTCAAAGCCATGTCCAATACTCGGATGTGAGATAGTCATTCTTTGTCTATGGAATGTTCGATTCTCATCGAACAACTAAACGCCTTGCAAATTTGTTTTCAGGGACAATTCTCAGAAGAGCTTCACTCTTGCCCTCGCATCATGATCTTCATAGCAGGCCCGAGCACTTCGTAACCTGCTTTCGCTAGACTCCTGCCACCGGCCGCCCAACCTGACCGTCTGTCATCCTACCGGGAGTGCGCTGACGAGGCGCGGTGCCGCTTGCCACTTTCGCAGAGCGACGGCCTGGAGCTTGAGACCACGCCTATCAAGGCCACTTGGCGGCGCGTTCCTCACCACCTCAGCACTTTCTGCGGAAAGAACTCATCAATCAACTCCAAGTAATACTCCTTAAGCTCCTCCACCACCGGCTTCTCATCACTCTTCGAATACAGATCATAAGGATTGAACGCCTTGACCGCCTTCAACATCTCATGATCCTTCTCGTCCATCATCCACCGATACGCTCCCTGCTGGTGCCACGGTAGAAGCTATGATACCGAATCATCGCCAACGCCTCATCTGGCAGCTTGCTCTGATCCTTGACGACATGGTACAGATACTCATCGTGGCCCCAGCCGAGCATGACGTTATCGAGGCCGCAGCCTGGGGTGTAGATGCCGTGTTCTGAGCTGTAGATTGAGTCGTTGTAGTCTGGGTTCGCGTCGAAGGATTTGTTTCCGTAGACACATTTATCGTCAAAGCGGCAGCCAACGGGGAAAGTGTCGCCTACCACGGCCCACTGACCTGGCGCGCCGAAGATCACGAGAAGCTTGCCGAGATCATGGATCAGGCCTGTGACTTGCATCCAGCGCGGCTTGCCGTCGCGGCGCATGGCTTCGGCGGATTGGATGAGGTGTTCGATCTGGGAGAGGTCGGTGTCGGGATCGGAGTCGTCGATGATGCTGTTGAGTTTCTCCATCGCTTCCCAAATCGTCATCTCCGCGCGGACTCGGGTCTTGAAGTCGTTGCGGGCTTTGAGGTTGTAGGCTACTGTCTGCTTGGTATGCTGCTCGCGGTAGAAGTCTTTGACGTGTTGGGGTGCCTCTTCGTACTGGCGGAACTGGGTTTTGTCTTTTTCGGTGTCGAACTGGGAGGCTGTGTAGATATCGTCTGTGGGTTGTTGCTGCTTGAGAGCCTGGTCTCTCTTGATGTTGAGTTCTTCGATGTCGTCGACTAGCCGCTCCATAGCTTGCCCGTCAATCTTTGTTGGCATTGTGTCGCTCTTGGGTTCTTGGACCAGTATTCCAGGCATCTTGATGGGATTTCAGACAGTGCGTTGACAATGCCGCGGTGGGTGTAGTGAATGTGGTGAGTGTAGTGGATCTGGTGGGTTGGAGGTGTCAACAGTGGATTTATTGTGTTCAGGTGCGTTGCCGTGGTGTTATATAGAAATCTAGGGGTATAAGCGGCGTTAAGCAGTTCCAGGTAGCGATCAGATAGAATGAGTGAAGCAGGTTCGAGGTCTCTTATCCTTTGCTGCACAGGAGAAATCGTGCTCTTCGCTTACTCTGGTTCCACTTGCTGGAGGAGTACGCGGTGAGTGATCCATCAAAGCAGGTTATCCAGGGACCATGCTCAGAGCTCGCAATCTGGAAAACCCCTCCAACAACGTGCTTCGACATCACCACTAGTCGCGATATCAGACGAGCGGCGAAGTCTATGCATGCCCCAAGTAGTCGGGCCGCTCGATCGTTCGCCGTTGTATATCCTCATTGAGTTCACAAGCCCCGTCGGACCTTTTAGCCTTGGAGCTATGTATGGCCCAAGACCCACTGTCGTATGCATGGATCGTGATGGCTCATTGCCGTGGAAGTTGTTCTTACTGCTGAGCATTGAGATCAGCTGCAAGCAACGCAAAGTCGGTGAGCATGGCCGACGCGCATCTCCTGGACACGTGCAAGGCTGCTCGATGAATCGACTGCTGAGTTGTCAAGGCACAGCCGTGCCACTGGTGTTCATCAGGCGGGGATGGACCGTGCAGCTCATGTTACACAGAAGGGTCAGGGATCGCTGCGCAGTACTTGGAGTTGCGTCTTGGAATCCCACCAAAAATTTTCGAATAAGTTTTCCCTCAGCTATCGACGTACCTCGCGAGATTCCTGCTTCTGTTGCACATAAGATCCCATGATATGGTCAGTATGGGGTTGGAGCAAACTCTGCCGGTGGGAATTGCTGCTTTTGTTTCAAACAGGCAAGAGGCAAAAGAGTTGGTGGAACCTTGAGGTTGGCGGTGGATTCATGAAAGCCTTTTCGGCGTTCATCGACCCTGGCAGGCAAAAATGTGATATCACATTTGTCGGGACAGAGAAAGTCCAGCGGCAGACGTCAAGCGTGAGATCCTACCGGTGATCATGCACGATGGTCTTTCGAGACGCACTGTCAAGCCGCTAGATGCGTTGTAAGATCCAGCCCGAGCTGTCTGCTTTCCCGTCAGTCAGCTAACTGCCGGGGATGGGTCGGGCGAGAAAATAAGCTGGTACAACCTGCCATTTTGGAATTTGCCAGGGATGGTCCTTATGAACGTTGAATCGCAGCCACATCAGTCGTGATCGGAATTTCCAGAAGCCTGCCATGCAGTGCCCGGGTTGTGATGTATTTCCGGCAACGCGTGTTCGTCGGGGTGATAGCCGACCCCGCGAGGTGGGGGCTCTGCGACACGGAATATGATACCTATTCCGAAAAGACGGACAGCCGACGGCTCAAACGCCGACATCGCGATTGTGTGCCGGCGGCTGAAGTCGACGTCAAAAGTCGCCGTCGTCTGCTCTGGGCCTGTCGCGTGTCTTGTGCACAGCTCGTAACGAAAGGAACATCAATATGGCCGATACCAAGTTCAAGTTGAACACTGGCGCTGAGATTCCTGCACTTGGCCTGGGCACGTGGCAATCCCCAAAAGGAGAGGTGCAGAAAGCTGTGGCACACGCAATCAAGTCAGGATACCGGCATATCGACTGTGCGTATGCTTATGGCAACGAAGATGAGGTTGGAGCAGGCATCAAGGAGGGGCTGAAAGCTGCTGGAATTAGCAGGAGCGATCTGTTCGTCACTACCAAGCTATGGTGCACATATCACACCCGAGTCGAGCAAAATCTGGACTCGAGTCTGAAGGCACTCGATCTGGACTATGTTGATTTGTACTTGATGCACTGGCCGGTCGCGATGAATCCCAATGGCAACGACGAGAAATTCCCGAAGTTGCCTGATGGTAGTCGAGATTTAGTGCTGGAAAGGAAACACTGGGACACCTACAAGGACATGGAGAAGCTCTTGTCAACCGGGAAAGTGAAGGCCATAGGCGTGTCAAACTACTCGGTGAAGTTTTTGAAGGATCTACTGGCTCGAGTCGAGACTGTGCCCGCAGCAAACCAAGTCGAGAACCATCCTTTGTGTCCGCAGCAAGATCTTGTGGATTTCTGCAAGGAAAAGGGAATCCTCATCGAGCGTACTCTCCTCTAGGGTCTACAGGCAGCCCATTGATGCAGGATGAGCATGTGACGAAGCTGGCGAAGGAGAAGGGTGTCTCGCCCGGTTGTATTCTACTGAGCTACCACGGTAAGTCAGGTTTCCTGACCTGGACTTGGATGTGCTAACAGTGCATAGTTGCAAGAGGAATTGCACCCCTACCCAAGTCTGTGACACCTTCCAGGATCGACGAGAATCGGCAGATTGTCAAGTTGTCACCCGAGGATGTACAAACGCTGAGCGACCTGTCCAAGAACGGTGTGCACCGCTTCGTATACCCTGCATTTGGAGTCGACTTTGGCTTTCCCGACAAGCAATAAGTACACAGAGCGGACCACGGTGGAAAGCCGTGGTCCACTTCGCATCCACTGGCAGATCTTTCGCGCGGTGCTTTCGACGCACGTGATACATGCGCGATGCGTCATGAAGAGCGCTGTGCGTCACTTTGCAGGCTTCTGTGGCATCAGACAGTTGGACTCTGAAGGCCTACCGATGGTTTGCGTGCTGCTGCTGGCTCGATGGGCCATGCAAGCCACGTGATCACCTGGTGGTTGTATGTAACGAGAGGCCGAGTTCCCGCACGTGTTGGAGCCGAACACCCCAACCTAGATCAGTCACTATGCTTCTCACGCATCTCAGCACTATTTGCCAAGGGTCTGGGAGGTATGAGAGCCGGCTGAGACAAGTTGATTGAATCAACATTTGTACTGTGTAAACGAGCAGCTACCACAACTTGGGACATGACGTCACTTCTCTTCGACCCAACTCAAAGGGGTCACTGCAGTGCTTCTTCTTATTCTATCATCCTGGACGTGACACGCCTGGTTTACGTACTTTACCTCACCACATACGCTAGCAAGAAGCTGGCCCTACAAGGCGACCTTCGTCCCGTCCATTTCGGCTCACTGATAGGCGGGGTATGAGGTCAACCGTCCGACGCATTCTGCCCGATGGATTCTACTTCGATGGCCTGTGGACGCCTTGTACAATATTTCCGTCTTAGTCACCCAGCATATCTGTTTCTGGCTTCTTCAGCAGGCACAAAGGGAAGTCCTGATCATCGACCGAATGAGATTCACGGATTGCCACGTAACAGCCCTGAAATATCCCGCCACTGATCTACGCCTCGTCGAAGGAATACAGTCATTCTCGCGACCTCGCGGAAAACGAGCTTTGTTCTAACAGGTAGGTCGACCACATCATACGCAAACAGAAGGAGGTGACGTCTCCTTACTTGTCCAACCGTGCAAGTCCCTGCATCGCTGCCCTCGTGAGATTGGCAGGCTCAACGTCTGATACCAGGATCACGCATGAGCGTACGGCGACTGCGCTCTCGAGGCCCTTCGGAGATCCTTCCAGGTACGTCGTCAGATCATACTCTACGACAACGCCTGTAGCCGCATTGATGGTATAAATGTAGCACCTTCTACCAGCCCAAGTGCCTTCACCGTGCCTACACAACAAAGCGGGAACACCAGCAACACACAGCAATATGACATCGAGGCAAGCCTACCACTTTCAGACTCCGGCTGTTCTGCAGAGCGTGCTCAGTCCGTTCTTACGCTTCAGTCAGGCAAGCAGAACCACATCGCCGCCAATACCCAGTGGCTGGCTTTGCCACAATTGTATCTACCTGCTACCGCCTGCGTCTGCAACCACCAGCTTCAACGATGTCAAGTGTCATGGATGCGACCACGAGAGATGCGGAAAATGCGATGTCATCTATACCTATCCCTCAGCAGATACGCTGTCAGAGTTCAGCAACGCTACATCTTCATAGGACATCTCTCCCGTACGATTGCTTGCTTCAGGCACTCAACATTGATGATCCAGCACGGGACAATTCTTTCGGGACAACTTTGGAAGCATTCCATGACTCACCTCAACGTCAATGCTGCCTGTGCCATCCATAAGAATTCGATAGGCAAATAACTTGGAATTCTTCGTACAAGCATTCCTCTCTCCTCTATCCTTAGCCGTGTGCACAGTGCATGCAGTGATAAGCGCGTCGTAGTCAAAGACTTTGAGTGAGGCGCCACCTTCCTGATTGGTGCGATAGCTTGATCTCGACAGACAAACTGAGTGTGAAGTCGCTCCCTTTGTTCGAGCCTCGTGTCCGATGTCACCAAGCATTCGCCAAGGTGCATGGGCCTTTGGCGAGGCGTCCGCATGTACCCGGTCGCCTCGGAACTTTGGTTTGCGTGACGGCTTCACCTGCTTCGAGCTACTTGTAGGTCTCAGGCGGTTGGTGCCTTAGTTGCGGCCTGTCAGGAAGATGAGGAGCTTTGTGTCATTCAAGAGATATTCAGGCGCGAATGCCTAGTGACAGCCTTAGGCAGTAGCGCGTTTTGTGCTAGACGGTCGCGCCTACTACAGTACCAACGCCTTCAGATGCATATATTTATTTCGATATTCCACCGGGTCAGTCAATGACGATTGACGTTCTCTCGCACAGTGTCCGACAACGTTTGGCCCTTTCTCTCCCCCTCCAGATCTCACGACGATATTGCATTCGCACCAGGCGCCCTCTGCGATCTTACACGACTACTTCCGACGCCAACAAGATGTCAACAGGAACCTTTGCGTGGAACTTCCCGAATGTCGAGATCAAGCTACCGGAAGGCCTCCCTGGCAAGCAGTTGCTCGACTTTAGGCCGTTTGACCAATGGTGGAGGACTCTGTCCGAATCGCTTCGAGGTCAGGACAACCCAACACATCCATTTCACGCTTCGCCATACCGACTTGAGGCCATTGAGATTCAAAGCGTCGATCACTTCGGATCCCGCATCGGCTTCATCAAACTCAAAGCCACAATGCGCAACGGCGATGGCGAAATAATACCAGGCGCTGTCTTCATGCGAGGCGGCAGTGTGGCTATGCTTATCATCGTCTCAGAGGACGCATCCGAAGCAGACGCCGAGTCGCATGTCATCCTCACAGTCCAGCCCCGCATCCCAGCCGGTAGCCTCAGCTTCGTCGAGTTACCAGCCGGCATGATTGACGACTCAGGCACCTTCAGCGGCGCTGCAGCAAAGGAGATCAAGGAAGAGACTGGTCTCGACATTAAGGAAGACGAACTCATCGACATGACCCAACTAGCAATCAAGCAACAGTCCGAAGAAGACAAGGACGGCGGTTGTGAAGTCCATCTACAGGAAGGATCATATCCCTCACCAGGCGGTTCCGACGAATTCATACCTCTCTTCGTCGTGCGCAAACAGATGCCGAAGCAAGAGATCGAGGCTCTGAGAGGCAAGCTGACGGGACTTCGTGAGCATGGCGAGAAGATCACGCTCAAGCTGGTACGGCTTGAGGATGTGTGGAAGGTAGCGGCGAGAGATGGGAAGACTCTTGCAGCTATTGCATTGTACGAGGCTCTCAATCGTGAGGGCTTACTGTGATTTGCTCCAGGGGCAAAGCTACAATGTTTGTCACGAGAGCCTGACACAGTCCAAGCTGGGCGGCTCCAGGGTTCACAAGCGGAAAGTGCTACTGAGGGTGGAGCGGACCCAGGAACCAAAGTCTATTTTTCGGATGCAATACAGGAGACTGCTCAGGAAGGCCAACATATCACCATAACACTGCGGGCCTTGACAGCAAGGGCCGGAGCAAGCATACACAGGGAGACGGGGCATGCGTCAAGTTGCCCTAAGGTGGCCCATGGTCCACTGGCAGGCGGGCGGGCAGGCGAGAAGGGGCACCTTTATGCCAAGCATCAGTACCAGACTTGACCAAAACGCTCTTGGTATTTGGCTCGAACCAAAACGTGCTCGCGGAACATGACACCTAAGCCTCCAGGAAGCCGCCAGCCGAGAGGTAAAGGTACTCGCCGGTGCTTATAATATAGGCAGCCCGTAAAGCAGCGACATGAATACATGCATTGAACTCCTCAACACAAACTATACTTGTTCCTTCGTGAGCGTATTCGTCCCAAAGCGTCCTCCTGAAGCAGATCACGGCAGCAATTCGACAGCAGCGCTCCCCACACCTGGTGCTTCTCCTGTTCTTCATCCACATCGTCACCAAGCAAGAACGCCCCCGTCCAGCGTCACGCTCAAAGCACTAGCTATCACCAACAACGACGCCGTTGTTCCCTACCCTTGTCCTCGTCCGAGTACGATACTACACGGCTTTGTCCTCGAAACAATGCTTCGACACCAGAAACCCGCCCAGGATGGCCCTATGGGTAGAGGGTCACCCATCCTCGCGACATTGCTTCGTCGTATCCGTCTCTCGCTTTCCCGCTCCAGGACCATGACCAAGACAATGAGCAACAGGAAACAGAGCGAAAGCAGCACCACCACAGTGCATCAATCAAAACTAGAGCCAGAACTCCTCCCACTGACCTTCGGAATCGAAATCGAAACACACCTCGCCCACCCAACCCTCCCGCCCACCAACTTCGAACCTCCTGACGGCACCTGGCCCATAGAACGCCTTCACACCCTCCTCCAGTCCCACTTTGCCCGCCACAACCTTGTGCTTCAGCCCGACCAAACCACCAACAAGACTGCCGACGCGTATAAGCAGTGGAGGGTGGTGGCCGACTCCTCTCTCGCCGCTTCTCCTTGCGGCTCGAGGACGGCGACCGAGTATTTGTTAGAACAATGGCCGGAGCTGAAGGACGTTCTGTCGGAAGTGGAACTGGAGGAGCTTGAAGAAGACAAGCTCAAGTGGACCTACTCATCCGCCGAGATCGTCAGCCGCCCCATGCCAGTCCCAACCCTCGCCTCCACCGCACCAGAACAGCCTGAATGGGCAGAAGCCAAAACGTACTACGACGCATTGACTTCCAGCGTGAAACAACTCACCGACGGCACCACCAAAAAGCAGAACAGCAACAAAATGCCCCTGCTCCCCTATATGACCCCAACAGCATCCCTACACATCCACATCGGCCTGCAGAACAACTCCTCCCTCCCTCTCGGCCTCCTCAAACATCTCGCAGTGCTGATACTGCACTACGAGGACATCTTCTCGGAACTGCACCCTCCCCATCGGACAGGGAATACTTACGCTTCCAGCAATCGTTGGGGTGTTCGAAAAGGGTTGCACAGCTGTCAGGACGCGGTGGAATGTTCTCTCAATACCATCAGGGAGATGGTTGAGGCATGCGCAAGTATAGGGGACTTGGCTAGGCTAGTGTGCATGGGCGGTCCGAAGCCCGAGACTGTTGTATATGAAGGAATCGACCCAGCAGACTGGAACGGAAAGGACGCCGGGAACGGAAAGGACGCCGGGAACAGTGGATGGGACACCACAGCAGCTGGAGCAGCAGAGCTGAATCCAGGGCCCCAACCATGGGACCCCAACGCGCACTCACACCTTCCTGATGGCCGCTCCTGGACCGATGTCTGCAATGAGTTGCCTGGTATGGACTTCGAACGCGGATCATGGGAACATGTCCCCACTTCATCCTCTTCCTCAGCTGGCGGTGCTCGAATTGAAAACGAAAACGAGGACATAGTCCAGACCGAGGAAAAGCAGCAGCAACAGCAACAAGAAGAGAACGCGGAGACGAGAAGAGAAAACAGACCTGCCTCCAACTCCGTTTCCACCACCCTCGCCAACGAAACTTTCTTCAACTCCGACTCCGTCACACTCGCTTCCGACCACAGCCCAGCGCCCTTTGCTGACTGGAACGCCGGCACGACCCTTGACCCAGCCTATGATCAGCAGGGCCACGGTAGCAAATACACCCTCGTGCGTTTCCAACTGCTCGCTGCCAACGCCCACCCTTCCAGCACCGGCGGGAGAACGATCGAGTTCCGGCAGCCGGCTGGGACGTTGGATCAGTGGGAGGCAGCGTATACGGTGCAGTTGTATACGGCGCTCATGCGTGTGGCGGAACGGCGGTGGCGACGCGATTTGCGACGGGAGCAGAAGGAGGAAGGGTGGGAGGTCGTCGACAACGCAGAATCAGCAGAAGAAGCAGAAGAAGAAGAGGAGGACGAGGAAACTCCGTCCCTCCCATTCCTCCTCCTGAACATCCTCGGCTTGCCGCCAGATGCAATCGCGTACTGGCTCGCTCGCCACGAGGAGATGAAGGTGTTGCAGCAGCAAGCGGAGAAAGAGTCGGGAATCCCGTATAACCAGTGTGCGGGCTGTGCACAGGAGCAGGCTGGTGATCTCTGGGGTCCGGGACCGCAGCCTGATGTGAGCCGATGGGAGACACTGGAAGAAGGCAGAGGCGAAGCCGGCGACGTGGAGAGCACAGAGACGAACGAGGCGGAATCGACTGCAGATTGGGCAGGCGATGACGATGACTTTGATGAGATTCAGGCCCGCTTCGAACGCACGAGTGCGCTTGGACTGGGGACTTTTGAAGCTCAGGAGGTCCGAAGGCGACCGGCGGCAGCGATGCAGCGAAAATTGATGAGATGGTATCAGTGAGATCAGATTGATGAGTCAATTAGCGTGGATTCAGACAGCTCTGAGATACAAGCGAGCGGAAGACCTACTTTGCTCCGAGTGTTCCTCCCTACCCTGCAAATCTCGACTTCAAGACCACAGGCTTCAGATCGTGGGATTGTTGGTCTCCGGCGGTCAGATGAATCATAGGACGTCGATGGAAACTGGAAGTGTATTAACAGGTTCGTTGCCTCTGATTTACGTAGCAGAAGTCCACGGCCAAAGAAAAGGCTGTCTTGTGAAGTTTTTGTGGCTCGCCATCAAGGCGGCACTCGTCTCAAACGCTAATATGGACCGGATACGTGATTGATTACAATAAGGTCGATACCTGGTGTCCTGGCATAGATTCCTACTCGCGGTCGACGGCTCCACCGTTGAGCTCTTCTGCGTGACTCTGCTCTCGCTGCATACGAGCCTCGATTTCTCGAAGCTGACTCTCGCGGGCCAGTAATTCTTGTCGCTTCTCGTTGATTTCGCGCTGGACCTTGACTTCGATCTCACGCAGCTTCTCCTCTTCGCGGCGGAGTTGCTCTTCCTTGAGACGGACGGACTGGTTGGCCAAGTCCTCAGGGTTGATGGATTGATCTTGGGCACTATATGACTCGTTAGCATTACTGGCGGTGTGTGACATGTGGTAAACGTACTTGACAGTGCCGCCGGCAACACTCTTGGATAAGGCCTCCGTTCGGTAGTTCTCGTACAAGAAGTCGTGGGTGATTTCTTTGAGATCTGCCAGATGCGAGTGGAGCAGAGCGCTGCGAATGGCGAGAAAATCTGAGTGTCTTGGATTCTCAACTTCAACCACACCCCACGGATACTGTCTCGCGCGGACTCGGCGACCGTTGATCTCCATGACGTCGTCCGATCCAACGATGGCAAACGGCATCAGACCACGCAGCTCAGCGTTCTCTTCAACGGTGTCTTCATCGTCCTCTTCAATGTCGTAGGGAAAGTTGTAGACGGGGATCTTGTAGTGCTCGATGTCCTCCATAACCAACTTCTTCGATTCGGCGAGCTCGGCGGGTGTCAAGGAGTCGGCCTTGCCAATGACTGGGATGACGTTAACGCGAGGCGAGAGACGCTTCATGAGCTCGATATCGAGTTCTCGCAGGCCGTGACCGGTGGGTGTGATGAAGTAGAGCAGAGCATGGACACGGTTGTCCCGGAATCGAGGTCGACGCTTAATTCTTGATTCCTCGGCCAAAATGTCATCGTACTGTCGCTCAAGATAGCCAACAATCTCGCCGAATGCAGACTCGTTGTCGATCTGGTCGCCGAAGCCGGGAGTATCGACGATGGTCAGCGAGACTCGTGTGCCTTCCTCGTCCAGCTCGAGCTCTGATTCGTGTTAGCTGGTGCGGTGGTCGTGTGAATCCTGTGTCCGTACCGACTGTGTATGGCTTGATTCTCACGCCTTCCTCCAGATGCGCATTCGCAGCATCATCTGACTCTTTCGACTTGAGGACCTGCTGGCCGCAGAGTGTGTTTACGAAGGTTGTGCGACCTGGGACCGTCAGTACAGTCCGTCAGTTGTCGCTTGCGATGAGCTTACCGGTACCACTGGCACCACACACCATGAGGGAGAAGAGCACTACTTTCTTGACATTCTTCTTCCTGCGTCTCTGTATGATGGGAGAGCCACTGTCAGCTACCGGAGAATCCATGACGGCTAGAGTCGGAAGAGTCCACGATTGCCAGCGACGGTGAGGTGCTGGGAAGAGATATCTAGGACAGGAGACGTACCGCATTCATTGGGGACGACATGGTGAAGGGCTGAGAATGTGTCCCTGAAAATTCCCGAAACTCTGATTGAAAGCGATGTTCAATGGCACTTCGCTGCAACGCAAGGCACTATCTCGCCTGGCTGTATCAACACGAGGCAGTCGGCAAGTAAGGAGTCGTTGGCGGCGACGAGCAGGAGCAAGTCGCACTTGATATGATTTCTGGGAGCAGGAGAGGCACGGTGAACACCAAAGATCAATTAGGGGTGACGACTCCACCTGCCCCGGAGCTAGACCTTAAAGAGCTTAGACGCTCGATGATCTGCTCAACCAATAAGATAAGAGGTCGTGCATCGCGAGGACAGTGAGTGAGCAACGACTGAGAGAGTTGTACAGCGACTGAAGGTCAATACATCGGACTTGTCACTGCATCGCAACTGCTCACACGTAGTAACATCGTTCGCACTTGCCGAGCCTGTCATCAATAATGTATCCATTCAGGTAGGTCCGGACAAGCATCTGCCTGCTGAACCGTGCCTTCTCCTCCAGTTCCACCCTACCTTAATTCTGCTACGACCACCTCCACGTTCCGTTCCGGTCTCGACCATGTCGCATCAGAGAAGACCTGGTGGTCATAGCCGCCGCAATCCTTCCGTCGATATGCCTAAATACACCCCACTGTCTATGGACGCAGACGCTCAAGCTGCTCACGAACGACAACGCGCCCTCGCCCAAATATCCGACTACGACTCAGCATATAATTCAGACATGCCTACGCATGACCCTCCGCCACAGCGCACTCAAGACGAGCTGAATCTCAAGGTCCTCAAGATACACAACCCAGATGTCGTCGATGTCCTTTCAATCATCAAATACGCCACCATGTACGAGTTCAAGTTCGAGGACCCATCGAATCCTGGCTGGGTAAAGCTGAACATTGAGGGCTCGCTGTTCATGTGTCAGCTCACACCTGGTCAGTATGGCGAGGATCAATATTCAGTCATTCTGCTGAATCGGAAGGACATCGACAACTTCACAGCACCCTTGCTCGAAGTATCAAACGGTGGCGTCAAAATACAAGATCCATACATCATCATAAGTTTCGCAGATCAGGCTGGCCAGCAGAAAATATACGGCGTTCATGTCTTCTCGGACAAAGCTGAAGAAGCTGCCGAACTCCTCCATCAGCATGGCAATCTTATGGTCGCCCTGGCAGCCCACGCTGGAGTCAGTCGCAAGAATGCAGAATATGAGGCAGGTGTGGGATCGGCAGAGGATGCTGAGGAAGCCTCACAAGAGACACAAATCGTACAGCAGCCTGGTGGTCAAGATCACAGTGCTGAGGAAGGCTTCCCAGGGTCTAAGAGTTACCCAGCAGTAGTCGATTCGCAACCTCGACAACCAGTACCAGAACCTTCGCAACAAGGAGTCGATCTGATGGCCTTGTTCCGCGGTGCGGCGCCCCAGCAGTCTGCCCAAGTGCCCCGACAACAGCAGCCACAGTATCACAACAATAACAACCATGCACCACAACAGCGATCTCAGATGCCAGTACAACCACAGGCAAATGCCTTACTCAATCTCTTTCAAAATTCAGGACCACAGCAGCAAGCTCCGATACCAGTCCAGCCACAGGCCAACGCATTGCTCAATCTTTTCCAAAGTTCTGGCCTTCAACCGCGGTGATATAGGCGAACGCGCGCCCAAGCTTGACTAAGTCGTGTAAGCAAGGCCACCGATCGCTGGAAATTAGACAACGTGGTGTCTACAGGGAGGAAGCATGGTTCAACAATCGTCATTGTCTTCGAGCGATATCCTCCAGCCACGGCTTGACATAATCAACAACAGCCTGGTTCTGCTCCAAGCACCAGGCGTGCTTCAGACCATGCTTTTCGTCCACGACGAAAGCACCATGACCATCGTGTCGAGCCCGCCCTCTCAGTATCGTGTCTCTCGTGCTATCTGCGATCCAGTGATCGGTCTGAGCAAACAGGAAGAACAGCTTCGGACTCTGCGTCTGCTCTAGGCCTCCCATCTGCAGAGCCGGACCAGTACCCCAGACTTCCGGACCCCAGTCGTCCTTGGATATACTGACCAATTCCTGCTTGGCAAGCTCCAACGACTGCCTGACCGCACTTGGGCTTTGGAGGAATCGTGCTGTTGTCGCAACACCCGGGTTGTTTGGACTCAGGCCCAGGAAGCGGGCGACGATCCATTCTATCATCTCACGCCGGGAAGCCCACGTCAGCCCACTGGCAAGAGACTGCAATAGCCAGGGCAGGAAAGTGAAAGTCGCCAGCAGCGGCGCCACTTTGACACCAGAGGAGGATTTAGCGAGCTCTATGATAGTTGGCGCAAGAGCAACACAAGCCTCTGCCTCCCAGTCTGTGCCCGTAGAGCCGGTCCTTTTCCTCTTTCCTCCTGCCTTGCCAACGCCTAGTACCCCTGTGGAGTCCTCCGTAGGCTCGTCGTCCTCGTCTGCTTCCCCGCTACCATCGTCCTCACGCTCATTTCCCCCTCTTTGCTGTCGTTGTCGCTCACTAACCCGCCGCACAACCTCCAAACTCAACCATGTCCCCAACGAATGCCCCATCAACGTCACCCTGACCTTCCTTCCCCGTAACCCAGCCTGTAACCGCCTTACAACCTCATCGATCCTCGCAGTAGTGACCTCCACAACCTCCTCAAGCCCCCACCACCCTTTCTCCCCACCATCACCCCTCCGCTTCGCACTCCGCTTGGTAGCTATCTCATCCGGAAACAAAATGTCCTCGTCGTTCCAGTCCAGGTCGTCTGGTGCGGATTCGAAACCCGGGAGTGACATGCCTACTATTGCGAATTGCGCTGCTGCGGGGGAGGACTGGGTAAGGAGGGTGAGGAAGGTGTGGTAGTAGGAGCAGAGGCCGGGGTTTCCGGGGAGGAGGTAGATTAGGTGGGTGTCGGAGGAGCCATTGGGCGTGGTGTTGGTGTGGAGGTGGATGAAGACGTCGGGTGAGATGCGGTTTTGGAGGGTCGGTGGCATTTCGACTCGTTAGGAGTGGAGTGGCTGTCCGAGGGAGTCGTGATGTAGGCACGATACCTTCGACTTTATCTCATGGTGGGTTCAAAGGCGTGGTCAGTTTCGACGAGGCAACCGCCGTTGCTTTCGAGGTAGGAAAGATCCACTCGAGGGCTTGGCGCAAAATAATCACGTCGGTGGGAGGCATTACCCTCCATCATACCGCCCTTGTTCCTTCCGCCATTATTCTACGATCTTCACAAGTGAAGGTAAACCTCCTAAAGGCAGTGAATATCAGTCATCAGATCTGGTCCTCGGCCGTTGTCATGGAAGGAAGCACATAACGTCTGAAACATACATACTTAAGTAGGTATCACACTCCCTCAATTGCTTGGCACCTCTCGACCGGATGAGTCGATCGTCTTTAGACGAACGGCTTCCTCGACGCGTTCATGATGAGTACTCAAAGAAATGAGGCTATGGCTGGCGTGGCACATCGCCCTGCTGCTCGCGTCCAAAGTCCCCGTATTCATGCAAAAGTCCCCAAGATCTCCTCATTGGTCAAAAGATTGAGACTCATCTTGTCGTCGCGCGGGCGTACAACCTCAAGCTTGCCAGCGCTACCTATGGAGCCCACTTCATGCGCCCTTTTCGCAGGCATGCTAATCTATCAGAGACGTCAAGCAATGAGATTCATCTGACGTAAAGTAGCGACTCGTCTCAACTGATGATGCGACTCATCTTACGCAAACAGGGACTCATCTAAGGTGCCCAAGCGACGCCTCCGACGCAAGACCGCGACTGAGTCAACGTCAGCCTATATTTGGTATGGCAGCTAACACAAGCACAGAACAGTCGGCTACGCTGCGACAAATAGCTCAAGATGCGCCTGACTACAAGGGATATCTACCACTAGACGAAAACCGCCAGGAGATACGTGTTCTATATCTGGAGGACAACTCGACTTGCACGATTCGACATGTCAGCCTTCTTGATAGTCCAGTCTACTACGCGTTATCGTACTGCTGGGGCCCTCCAACAACCAGCAGAGAACTGACCATCAAGTCTGCTGAGCACAGTGTCGCGTCTCAGGTGGTTCCTGTTCGCACTCTGGTTGCGGAATTCTTGAAGTCACTCTACAAGCAGTACGGCTCAATAACAATCTGGCTCGATGTCATCTGTATCAATCAGCGCTCGTTCGAAGAGCAAAATGCGCAAGTTGCGCTGATGGGCGGCATCTACAAACGCGCCAAAGCCGTCTACGCGTGGATGGGGGCCATTCCGCATCCGCATCCGTACCTCGACTGGCTCAGTAAACTCAGATTCTACAATCCATCAGAGGACTCGCAGAAAATGAAAGCCGCTTTCGAAACTTTATTCAATCGCGAGTACTGGTCGAGGTTAGTGTCAAACGTACAAAAGTCGGACCGGAGTCCCCTAGGCGCTGACTCGAAGTTACAGAGTCTGGATTATACAAGAGTGTGCCCTGAACAGAGAGCTCTTCCTTATATGCGATAGTCTTTCATTGGATTGGGGGCAGATCCAGCGTGCTGGCAATTGCTATCCACTCGACCGGGACCCCACATCCACCGAATATCAGTATTTCCAGCGTTTTAACAACATTCGAGATGTGCGGGATGACGTTCAAAAGGGTAAGTTGCCTAGTCTCGTCGGCCTAGTCCTGCAATTCGAGCACTCGCGCTGCGGCGATCCCCTTGACAAAGTCTACGGAATTCGTGCACTGGCCCGTGACGGCCACAGTATACCAATCGATTATAAGCGCAGTCTGTACGATCTTTTTTTCACCCTTGTCTCCATGAGGACCAGAAATTGGAGCGAGAAATTTGAAGATGGCGGAGGTGAACTCTCAAGATTGCTGGATCTTGGGCGTGCATTGGTATACTGCTTGTTCGATAAATCGAAAGATGATGGGGCGAACGACAATGAAGCGGAGAACTATGGAGCGGGAGATCATCAAGCGCGAGACGATGAGGCGCAAGTCGTGTTGAACGCTTTACAAGACCAGCGGACAGACTGTCTCATGTTTCCAGTCAGCACATTTGGCAACGAAGCGCTCTTCCGAAGTCGGACTTTGCCAGCACCATGGAAGGACCTACAGGACACACTCACCGCTAAGATATTTTGGACTGGGAGGGACACGCATTCACGTCGTTCACGAGTAGCGGCCGACTTACTCATCAGCAATTCCGGCCATATTCTGGATATATTCCTACTAGGACGAAACTCTCAAACCGACTTTGACCTTCAGTGGAAGTTGGTTGACGGCCTGAAACAGCATGTCTGGGTATGCAATATCAATCAGGCCGTGCATTTTTCGAGACGGCTGTACGCCTTGTTGCTTGTGACCCTGGGAAGGACCAAGCTCGGCACGTCCTGGGATCGGATTCTCAAGGATCCGGCGGGACTGGCGCGGTCACTTCCTACAAGAGATCCAACACTTGACTGCGGATGCGAGCCTACTGTGCTCACAGTCGAACCATCTCCCTGGCCCTATCTTGGTAGAGAACAGGCATCGCACGCGCCCGCATTCGAGCCTGTGCCTTGGGAAGGCCCCCCTTGGGACCACCTCGTCCCACCCTGAGAAGACAAAGGGAGGAAGAGGCATAGGTGGACAGTCTCGACACAGGCGGAGCCGACGACGCAGGGCCGGTAAAACAGGGTCGTGAGAAAGAACATCAATCCCACGGCGAGCGACTTAATGGGATGTTCTGACTTGGACTCTCTGGACGGTCTCAGCGACTTCATGTTGGGAGCATCGGCACGCGAAGATGCGGCTTTTAATCTTCCGATCGAGTTCAGAGCCTCAGACAGGCCCTCTGCTCCTGGCGCAACATATGTCCAGGTGAAGCTGTGCGTTGATGTTCGCCTGCCTAATGGAGCGTACTCTGTAAAGGCATACCTTACTTGTGCTACGTGACAGGAAGATGCCTCGGCACTGCAACTGCAAAAGGCATCTCATAAACAGACATCTCATAAACAGAGACAAGATAAACAAGCCTCTCGTTCGGCTTCTCGACCAATAAAGCCAGTTTCTTGCACCTGCTCTTCCAATTCTGTATTCATGCGAGGAAGTCCCGAAAAGGGTACCGCGGTTGAGCGAGTCAAGAGCGGGGAAGCCTACTGTGGTGTTCTAGGATGTGAACTGCGAGATACGTACAAATACAAAACGTGCTACGATTATAGCATATGCACATGAACTTCCGAGGAGCACATTGGAGCCCTGTGCCCCGTCACCTGGCCATCTTACGCCTGGATCACGTTGTGAGTTGTCCAAATAGTCCCAGGTCATCCTCTTGGAGTCTGTCCCAGCCAGCTTTTGATGCCATGCTGGTCACTGGCACCCGCACGAGCGCTCTTGTCTGGCGTCGAGGTCCAGAGCACTGACTTCTACACGCCGTCACAGACATGACCAAGACCTCCCAGTCCAGAGCTTATAAAAGAGTCCATTCCCTCGCGAACCAAATCACGGTTACAATGGCCATAAATGGCAACACAACGCCCAATGTCGCCCTCATCACCGGAGGAGCATCTGGCATGGGCCTCTCAGTTGCAGAGCGCCTCATCGAGCGCGGCTGGAACGTCATGATTGCCGACATCAACGATGCCGCCGGTGAGAAAGCAGCACAGCGGCTGGGCGAACATGCCGCGTTCGTGAAAGTCGACACAACCGACTACGAGTCCCAGGCTGCCGCTTTCGTGAAGACGTGGAAGAAGTGGTCAAGACTGGACTTTGTATATGCGAATGCTGTATGCCCTGCTGCTGACTCCCAGCGTGGCATGCTGATCAGAACGGTAGGGCTTTGGCGATCGTATGAACCTCTACGAGCCTGCCGAAGTGCGAGAGGATGGATCGCCACCGAAGCCAGATGAGACGGTCGTGAACGTCTGCTTGAATGGCGTTATATACTCAGCCTATCTTGCGCTGCACTATTTCCGGAAGAATTCGAGCAAGTCGGGGAAGTTCGTCTCGACCTCCAGCATGGCTGGATTGTATGCTGCCGAAGGCATTCCGCTGTACTCAGCTGCCAAGCATGGTGTAAGTGCTAAAATTCCAACATGAGCATTATGGCTTGCTGATCTGGAATAGGTCGTTGGTCTGACAGTATCGATGGCAAGAAAGCTGCAAATGCTCAACGAACCTATCACTGTCAATTGTATCTGTCCAGGTAAGTAGCCCTCGCTTGATATCCCAATACTGGAGGAAGCACACAAGCTGACAGTGATCTTCCAATCCACAGGTTTAGTAGACACAGGCCTCACACACGACCAGCTGATGCCCTTTGCGAGAAAGGGATTCGAGACGCCTCACAGCACAATTGTTCGTGCAGTCGAGAGCTTCATCGACGATGACAGCAAAAATGGCCTTGCGGCTGAGTGTTCAACAACCAACATATACTATCGTACTCAACGAGAGTGGTCTGATGATGAGGCTAGGCAGGTGATGACTGGTGGGGCATTCAGTTTTCCTGGTCAGAAGTAGTCGAGATTCGATAGAAGCCGACAGGAGACTTTGCTCGAAATATCGTGTACTCTGAGAGCCGTTGATCCGCTGCAAGTGAACGGAGGGCCTCTGCTCAATACCTGCACCTTCTCAAGATTGTAGTACGATGGACGCTTCGCTATTGCTCTTGCTCAGGTGCATACTTGCTCACCTTGGGTAGCTTCCTTTGTCGTAGCTTCCATCGTTATGTTGTTGATCAGTAGTAGCAGGCATAGCAACCCGTTGGGACGAGAAGTTATAAAATCACCTGCTCTTCAATGATTCATTCTCGCGAACAGAGATGCTGTCGTCTGAGTGCCGCTCATCGCAAAGATGAAGAGCACACTCATCTCCAAGCACCATGATGTCGTCCATTCTCCGGCAGTGAAAGTGCCGAAGTTTGCCCGACCCCATATGTCGATCACCATTGCTCTTTGTTCAAGGATTCTTGCAGCGTAACGACGATAGGCAGCCAGCTCCTCCGGGCGTACCTTATCTTCCTCTACCGCAGGTCATGCTGCCGAGATGTGCACTCACTTCATCTCGACATGCCTGCCGGGTGCTTGCGTTCCCAGCAACACCGCGGCTGGCGCTCTGCAGAGCGAGCACGCTGGCCGACATTCGTGCGCCCCCAGCAGCCTTCCATCGGCCTCGGAAACGATTCACCAAAGAGGAGGCCGAAGAGAAATACTATATGCGAGTTGAGCTGCTGAAATTGCAAAGGGACCAAGCTCGTATAGACGCCCAAGAAAATGGCGACCTGGCTGCACAGTCCAAGATCGCCAGGCAGTTCGCCGAGTTGCAGAAGGAAGCAGAGGCGGAACTGGCGGAGGACCTGCGTACCGGCCATGGCTCTGATGATGCGAGAGCAGAAGCCGCAGCCAAACTCGCGGCAGCGAAACGCCAGACGAGGATCACATATCGCACCATAGTACGAGCATTCCTCGTGCTGCTCGCCCTCGAGATCGGTATCGAACTGTTCGCGCCAGACGACTACAAGCCGCGAAACTGGTGGGGGACCTTCTCGACCTTCGTCACGAGCAGGTTCAGACAATTCACCATCATAGAGAGAAAAGACATCTCCTCTACCGCAAGCATATACACCCTCGACTCATTCGAGGGAACACCTTTCTGGACTGCCTGTAGAGAGGCTCAGCAGAAGGGCATATGGCACCTCGATCTGAAGCAGCCTCAAATCCAAGTCGTGCGAGCATACACCCCCTTGCCCAATATGGACGTGAACGAGCGCCTTCTGCGCTTCTTGATCCGACACGAGGAAAAGGCGAGGTCTCCGCCTGGCTCAAACGCCTTCCCATCTCCACCAAACTCGAACTGCGTGGTCCTATCGTCGAGTATGAGATCCCCGACGACACTGACCGCATCGTCTTCCTCGCTGGCGGCACTGGCATTGCGTCCGCACTGCAAGCCGCCCACTCACTACTCTTCCGAAGTGCCATCGACGCCAGCGGCATAAGACACTCCAACAGGAAGATCAGCATCCTCTGGGCATGTCGAAAGCGCGAAGACTGCGCTGTGCCCTCGCACGACAGGGATTCGGTCTCCCTCTTCACAACACCCCCCAATAAGATCGCTGCCATAATAAATGACCTTCAAAGGAAATTTCCTGGGCAGATCGAGATCAACTACTTTGTCGATGAAGAGAAGACATTCATCAGCAAGAAGGTCCTCACCCACGCCATCCTGCCTGAGCTCACCCCATCGCCGGGTGATTCGCCTGACGGTGCCACACCACGACCAGCATCCTACGAGCATAGCTCGTGGTGGGGCTTCATTCGCGGCCATGCCTTGCCGCTGCAGCCTCCACAGCAAGCACCAGCAGCCTCTTCACCAGTCCAACTGGATTCCCCTTCGTCTTCAACCACTGCCTCCCCGGGCAACCAACCGCACCTCGACCCCAAAACAAAAGTCCTCATCTCCGGCCCAGAAGGCTTCATCGCCGCCCTCGCCGGCCCCAAAGTCTGGGGCGGCAACGGCGAAGAGCAAGGCCCGCTAGGTGGAATACTGGACGCCATGTGTCGGGACACCCCGGCGATTCGAGAGAGGGTGATTGATGGGCGGATTGGGGTTTGGAAGATCTGATGCCGCTGTGCAAGAGGACATGGGTGCGGTGGGTGGCAGCGAGGAAGGGATCATAATGTATGTACAATACAAGTAAGATGGCTTCATGCAGCATCACAAAAAGACGAAGAGCCATATTTGACATATCTATCCTGTTCATTCTGAATCTCTAATCTATGCTATCATATCAACTCAACCGCCACTCGTGGGAGGCTCTGGGGGTATCTCGTCATCGGCTCATAGCAGTCATCATGGTCGCGATCAATCCTTCTCGCGTTGTTGTACATTCTTCTGCCCAGTACAAAGTCTGAGCGCTCATCCCACGCAATCAGGTTCAACGCTGAATCTCAACGTTCCCTGCTGCTACCTTTGGTTTTGTGTATTGTTGTGTTGTACAGCTCTTTGGTGTTGGTACAGTCGTTTGCCCAGTATGAGCAGTCGTCGCGATCAATCCTTCTGGCGTTGTTTGTTGTGCATTGTTTGTTTTTGTTTTCGCCACAGTATGATGTACTGGACGCTCATTCCTCCACTGATCAGGCCAGCGCATGACTGCCAACACTTTGGTTCGCAATGTGTGTCATGACATTCTCTCTCCTGATCCCACCTTCATACGGGTCTGTTCCGTCGCCCATATGCCGACTTCTGTTGTTCGCGTTTTGTTGTTCGTCGCATATCGTTCGTCGCATATTGTTGAGACACACTGTCGTATCATGTTTGTTGTACAGTTCTTTGGTGTTGGTACAAGCCGTATGCCCAGTGTTGTGTCTGAGCTTGCAATCCTGCAATGGGAGACTGCGTTGGCGTATAGCATGCCTCGAGTCGACTCCCCTTCGGTCTTTTTTCTCGTGTTTTGTGTTTTCGTTGTGTTTTTGTGGTTTTTTCCCATCTTTCATATCCCCTCCTTCGCCGAACACTCTCCTCATCCACTCTCCTCATGTCCTCTCCTCTCCTGCTCTCCTCATCCACTTCCCTCTTCACTCCGCTCATCCTCATTCCTCCTCACTCTCCTCATCACTCTCATACTCCGGAGGAAGCCCCGCCTGCTTCGTCTCCTCCATCAACTTCCGCTGCGTGTCCGCATCAGCTGCAGCCGCCGCCCGCGCTACCTTAGACTTGCCCTTCGGAATCTTGATATTTCTTCTCGCCATCGTCGCTGCATCGGCTCGCTCCATCTGGCCTTCGCCACCCTCATCCTGATACATCGAACCAGTGACCAGGGGATCATGCTCTGCGGCGACTCTGGTGGCCTCGCGCTTGCGCTGAGCTTCACTAATGCCTCAGCGGGAATGATGTGCTCGGGATCAGCGCCCGTGGCGGCCAAGTCGTCAGCACTCCGGGATTTATCGTAGGCCGCCAGCATCCCACGGCGTTTGAGTTCATCCACGTAATCGGCGGCGCTGTAGCTCTGAGTTGAGGTGGAGGTGGACGGATCAGCACTGCAGGCCCATAGCCAACATCAATGGGGTTCGCTGGAGCGGGCAGCTCCGAGTCAGGCAGGAACTCGTTCCTATGCAGCTCCCCAGATTGATCCAAGTAGAACCCGACCGGCACAGGAATAGCCAAGCCGACAGATCTGTCATAGTAGTACCCATTCGGAACTTCGCATTCCGCGAGACCGTCCCAGTAGGATCCGTCGGCAGTGAGGTGCCCCCATGCGTTGTCGATGTGGAAGCCTTCAGGGATGGGCTCGGTTCTGCCGGTCAGGTTGTTGTAGTAGGTGCCTCGAGGGGTAGTGCCGGTCGGCGCTGGGGCTGGTGCTGGCTGGTTGGTGGCAATACCGTCGTGGATGAGGTCGTTGGTGTCCATAGGCATAGAGTCCTGAGCATCATAGACGTTGGAGAATGAGTCGCTCGCCTGATATGACTGACCAGGGCCCTGAGCACTTGCGCCCTGCCCATGAGTGTGCGAATAAGGATCACCAATTTCGGGCTTCTTCCCAGCAGCAGTATCCGAAGGACCACCGCCACTACCTGCACCACCAGAAGATCCCAGATCAGGACCAGAACTAGGTGGGTTATCGTCACTCCCAATATAACGAGGAGGTCGTCCCTGCTCCCCCGAGTGCTCAACATTCCGCTCCCTCGCACTCGCAGCATACCACAGCGCGTCATCGGCAACTGAGTCGCACACCACGAACACGAGGGCATCAGTCACCCCATCCTCGTTCTTAGGAGGTTTCGTATCAAAGTAGTTTGCCGAAAACCCGTTGTTGCTCACATACACAATTCTCGGCCGATTCATGGAACGCGGCCATCTCCATCTGAGCAGGAACATAAGAGCATCTTCGAGCATGCCACCGAATCGTCTCAGCTGACCACCGTCGGGACCGGTGGTGCTCCATCCAGGCGGCAAGTTTCTCGGGTCCTTAGCAAACCCATTGCCAAGCTCGTTATTCTCCCACACGCCAAGGAAGTCGACGTAGTCGAGCGGCATGCCGTTACGGTGGCCGTGCTGGTTGTTCCAACTCTCCACGATCGCGCCCATCAAGGAGAAGGTGAAGTCGCCGGGTTCCTGATACAGCAAGTAGGTGCCGTTGGTGCCTCCGAACAGCACCATGGCTGCGTTCGCAATGGCGGCGTCATGCCAGGACTGTGGGGTCAAGATGAGCGGTCTAGGCACCATCGAGCCTTGGGCGGTACGGACGGCGTTGACGGCACGTTGAGGTACCTGGATCGAGGTTGGGGGAACAAGGGGGGGTGCTTGGGTGGCGCCGCGTACTGGTGCTGTGCTGGGTCCGGACTGTGGATCATGCACATCTTTCGACTTCTTCGGGTTCTGAATCGGGGAAGCTGGTGGCAAATGAGCGGTTGTGCTAGTAGCCGGGGGAATAGAGTCGGTGTCCATAGCTGTACCAGTACGATTAGGAATAGCAGCACTCGTACCAGAGCCCAAGGTGTTTGAGCTGGCGCGACTCCCACCAGGCCGATTGGCGAGTACCAAGTCGTCGTTGGTGTTCTGAGTAGGAGCATTGCTGGTGCTCTGAGCAGGCCTGCTGACCGCACTTGGTCCGGCAGTCGACGTGGGCTGAACGCTCGACGGAAAGACTGGCTTGGTCTTCTTCTTAGCGAACATAGCGTTAGGATCCGCTTTTGGCTTCTTGACGAGCATCGGCTTCCCGTTATTGAGCCCCTGCTTGATATATGTCGCTGATGGAGCAACAGAAAAAGCGGCTGCACCAGATGGATCAGAATTCGTCGGCGCAGGAGTGACATTTTCAAGTCCAGGCCGCACAGTAGTAGAGGGAGCACCGGTCGTGCTGTTTGCAGAAGCGATGGAGTTCCCGATCTCGGACAGTGTGCTTGTAGGAGCTGGCGCAGAAATCGTCTGGGTCTCAGGTACAAGGCTTGGGGGCGGTGGCGCAAGTACTGCAGATTGAGGTAGCGGCGAAATCGTTCCGTCGTCAGCATCCATCTGAGCACCAGGAGTATCGCTGGTAGCAGCATTGGCCGTGCTGAATTCTGGATCGGACAAGTAAACCAGCCCAGGCAGCGTAACTGTGGAAGTTGGTGCAGAAGCCACCTGGACTTCTGGTACAAGACTAGAAGGTGGTACCGCCAGTCGAGCAGACTCGGGCATTGGTGAGATCAATTCATCGTCAGCACCCATCTCAACCTCAGGCGCGTTGCTTGGAGGTGGCGGAGGTGGCGGCTGAACCATAGGTGCCGACGGCGGAGGAGGAGGAGGTGGCGCTGCTGCAACCGGAGGCGCATCCATGACCTCGACATCATCACCAGCACTGCTGTGATCCGCCACAGAGGTGGTCGTACTCTGATGAGCTGAGGAGGCAAGCGCAGGACCTGTCACATTGGCACTATCAAAGTCCAAGACGCCGAGGTCGGGCACCTGCATGGGTTGCGAGCTCGAAGCCGATGATTTTGCACGGTTCAGCATTCTCGCCCGTTCGGCTCGACCCCACGGCAGACTTGAGCGAGTGGCCGGTTGGCTCTGCGGAGTGCCAGACGTGCCTGGCTGAGAAGATGGAACAGACGTTGAAGCAGAGTTGTTCCATTGAGCCGTTGGTAGAGGAGCGGCCTGTGGAGCCATGCTACCGAAAGTCGTGCTTTGCGAAATTCCAGGTGCTGTCGCTGAGCTCAGTGTGCCGACGCCAGAGGGGCTGAATGTGGGTGCTGGCTGAGCAGGTTGGGTTTCAGTAGGCGACGGCTTGTCAGCCTTTGGTGTGGTAGCGAACCATGTCGTCCTAGGCGTCAGCCCGAATTTGAACGCAGCAGATGACGGTGGCTCTGGCTGCGAGGCAGTCTGGGACTGCGTAGCGCCACCAAAAGTCGATAGCTGCGAACTTCCAGATGATGTTGCACTAGTGTGCCCACCGAAACCGCCGAATCCAGTACCAGGAGCAGATGGAAAAGAAAATGCCGGCTGAGTAGCAGGAGACTGCACTGTGCTAGCCGCGGCATTCGAAGTGCCACCCCCGAAGAAGGTCATCCTGGCGAAGTTCTCACCGGAGAAGCCCGTACCAGGACCCGGTTGAGCCGCCGTAGGAGGAGCAGCAATGACAGGCTTGATTGGAGAATCCGTGTCAAAGTCGTCGGTCATGTCAACTTGGGGAGCCGTGGAAGGAGCAGCGATCTCAGGTCCAGGAGGAGAACTCGAGATTGAATCGTCCGAGTCGACCTCCATCGTCTCTGAAGGAGCAGCGATAGCCAAAGCAGGAGCGGACTCATCCCTACCCTTGCCCTTGTCAATCGAAAGGATCTCTGGCTGAGCTGGAGCGTTGCTTGGGGCAGTGGGAGTGGAAGGTACGACCGCATCAACTACCATCGCATCTGGAGCAGCATCGTCGCTACCGGTCAGGTCGATCGGGTCCTGCTGCGTAGAACCGACGTTGCTTTCGGTGGCAAGAGAAACGGCTGCAGGCATTGGCGCAGGGAACGAATCAGCCTTTGGGCTCATGGCAATAGCCTCCATTGCAGATTCCAGCGCATAAAGATCGGCATCATAAGTCAGTCGCTGCTCCTCAGCTTCATGACGCTGCTGGACCTGCTCCTCCAACTCGGCCTTGGACAAGTAGAGCCATGGTGGTGGTGAAGAGCGCGGAGGAAACTGACGCCACGAGACGTGCTTGCTGTCAGCAAGCGTCTTGTGAGGAAGAGCGATCCGAAGGGCATCCACCGCAGGCTCCGATTCCTTAACTGTGGTAGATGGAGTGTAACCGTTGGCTTGTGTACTGCTGCTGGCGGCCTCACAAACGACTTCCTGCGCCCCTGATGGAGAAGCCTCAGCAACGTTGCCTGGCGCCGTGGGAGCATCTGATTCGGGAACCGAAGCAGCCTCGCTCGGAGATGTGGCAGTGTTCGACTGAGTGTTCTGCTCAACTTCATTCGAGACTGGGAAAATAGCCGGCTGAGAGCTCTCGACGGCCTGACCTGCAGCTTTGACAGTAGTCGGCTGAGACGTCTGCGCAGCTTGACTTGTGACTTGAGGTGCAGCTGGCTTCGGTGTCGATGACATATCAGACATCGACTTGGACTCAACTGTACGAGGCTCCACGGCTGCAACCTTGGTGGCAAGTGGCTGAGACGGTGCCGTCTCCTTTGTAGCAGCTGGCTGAGAAGGTGCTGTCTTGTCTGTGACAGGCTTCTGAGAAGACTTTGTCGTCTTTGGACCAGCTGACTTTGAAGAGAATGCAGCGACTCTGGCAAGCCGCTGACGGGGTAGATCGTTCCGTGTATTGCGCCGCTGGGAGGGGACTACCTTACCAGCAATAGGCACCTCAGACGGCGCATCATCGCCTGTCACTGCTGGCTGAGAAGATACTGGCTTCGGCTTCTTTGTATCAGCTCGCTGAGAAGGTCCAGCCGTCGAAGTTCCATGACCAACAGCTTGCAGGCTTTGGAAGCTGGGCTTTGTGAAGACTAGAGCATGTGAGACTGCTCCGCTGACAACGCTTGCGCTGCCTTGTGTAGCCACCTCAGCAGCAGCAGGAGCCACAAACTTCGTCTTGGCGGGAGAAACGAAGGTGGAAGATTTGCCATCAATTTGCGTAATAACTGGCTTTGACGCTTTCGCATCGCGCAGCTCCTTCTCAAGCTGCTCGACGCGACCGATTTTCTTCACAGCCTCCGAGTCCTGGTCTCGGATCCTGGAGTTGAGGTTCTTCATACCACGCTGCATGGTGTTGATCTGCGCGTCCTTCTCCTTGATCTGCGCATCCTTCTCCTTGAGCTCTTCGTCCTTCTGCGTAAGCTGGGCCTCGCAATCATCGGTGTCCCAGCGGAGCTTATTCATCATGTCGTCGCCCTTTTTGATAGACGCCTTGAGATCCGCAACCTCCTTCTTGTGATCGGTCTTGAGATCTGCAAGCTTCTTCTTGTGAGCCGTCTTCAGATCCGCAAAATCGATCTCGAGCTGGTCGAGTTTGGCCTTGATCTGGAGCTTTGCGGTTTCCTCCTTGGCGACTTTGATGTTTGCGAGCTCTTCAAATTTCTTTACGAGCTCTTTGACTTTCTTTTCGATGGTCTGCCGACGATCGTCCCAGATCTCAAGTAACGCCCTGAAGACTACCTTAACGGCTGTGAGTGTGCCCCATGCTAGGTTGCCGCATAACCAGATAAAGCCATGGAAGAGTGGCATCAGCATCCAGGATGCTGACGCGAAGAGCCAGATAACTCCGCGCTTCATGAGGCTGAAGAGTGCTAGGATGTTGTCTTTCGATGGCAAGTATGACCCCACGACGACAGCAACAGACTCCAGCAAACCGACCACGGCGACAGCGGTGGCGGCAGCGGCGGCGACAGCGATGTTTCGACAGCCGCGAGCAAGTCTCAGGCAAGCTCGTACGGAGCGGCCAGGTAGTGACCAGAGCCACAGAGCAATATCGCGCGCCAAACGCAGCGGTGCAAAGAAGCCGTAGTGCAACAAAGTGCCCAAGAAGACGTTCCAGATCCATGATCCAATAGCGCCAAACTTGAGTCGCAGAAAAGCCAGGAAGCTCGGACCGTTACCGGCTTGTCCTTGTCCTTGATTGCCGTAGATACTTTGCAAGCAGATGTAGATGGCAGGGGTGGCCGCACAGCACCAGATGGTCGTGTCGTAACGCAACTTCCACAATTGGCGTCCCATCTTGCTGCCATTCTCGTGCGCGGATCTGATGCTGGTGATGGCGAATGGGAAGCCGCCTTCGAATGGCGTACGGGACAAGAATCTGAGCCGTTCAACCAATTTGTACCGCTTGGCCGGCGGCAGTGTGTTGCCCTCAGTGGCATTAGCCGGCTTGAACTCATCAAGCTCACAAGTTGGCCATGCGATGTCTTTCTCGGACGATGGGAGGCAGGAAATCTTGGCCAGAAGCGCGTCATCGCTGGCGCAAATGGCCTCAACTGTAATGATTGGTGTAGAAGGAGGGTACATGTAGTTGGCGGGGTTGAGGTCGACATTGCTGACGCTGTCGAAGGCGAGACGTGGCCATTGTCGAGCAGGCGGATATACTGCAGCGACAGCGCCGTAGAAGCCGGCGCAGCCGAGGGCGTTGATCGCAACCTCTTTCCATGTGAGCGCGTCAACGGCGACAATGTTGAGAAGCGCAAGAAGCGCGGTCAGCAGGATCGCGAACTTCATGATGACGTCGCTGCCCCTGCTGGGTCGAAATTGTAGGTCTTCTCAGTATTCTCGTCGATTTGTGGTATTTTGAGTGTGAGATGGCGTTTGGAAAGTAATCTCACTGCGAAAGGGTGTTTCGATTGCGCGAAACCAATCTCGCTCGTTCTCAAACTATCATGCGCAGTCGATATCTGATCGATGATCGGGTGCTAGTAGTGTTTGCGAACGTGTCGTGCGAAGACTGTATGAAGGTAAGAAGAAAGAATTCTGGAAAAGTGGGCGGCCGGGGTGTAGGCTGATTGAATCGCGACCTTCGCCAAGCAATGAAGCCGTGAAACCGCGTCGAAGCGGGGCAATTTGGTGTTGTTGCCTGGATTTGCCTCGGAAAAGGAGGAGGTTGGAGATTGCAGGTCAGGTGAAGTCGGGCAATAGTTGACGGGGTGACGAAGTTAAAGGCAGACATGGATGAGCGATGAGGTCCGGCAGGTGAAGCGGGTGACAGCTTGACGAGAACAAGTTTCGATGGCCAGGCGAGTAAGGTGTTCGAGCAACTTTCAAGTCGGCGCGAGTATCGTTGAAGATCATTGTGAGGGTGACTCCTTCCGTTGCAGGCGGTTCAATCAGGAAGTCGCATACAGCTCCGCAACCACATCCTTGCGGTCGTCGATAATCCTTTCCAGCAAACACAACTTCGAAGTCCACGCCTGTCGCAGTTCCGAGGTCTCAGCATGTAGCAAGTATTGCATTGATGGTAACCAGACCAGACACACTCACAAGCATACCCCTGTAGCATCAGCTCGAACAATGGTTCGTCAGTACAAAGGAGGACCGCACTATGATACATGAGCGTCACACAAAGGCCTACATTACCACAGGCTGGATCCGAGATAGAGTCCCATGTTGAACTCGACCGTAGTAGACTGCTTTCATTTCCTATGAATACCCCGTCGAGCCGTGTGGCAAGACTGACGGCAGCATCGTGGCTGCTGGTGGCCACAGTTGATAGGTTTCTATCATCCAGTGCTTCGACTTACCATCGTTCAAACGACGGCCCTTTGTCGCTGCACGCGTTACTGATGCTGTCCCTGAGGCGGACTCCAGCCCGATCCCAGATGTGATGTTGCCAGAAAGGCGGCCGGTTGCCTTGCCAAGCTTAGTCACGTGATATTTCAGTCCTGCGCTCGTCGGCGTAGGTGAGCAGACCGATATCAATATGTCGGCTCTTAGTGGGACGAGTAAGGCGGCGGAGGGTCTGACTCCGACCGAACGTGGTCCTGCGAGCTGCGGGGAAGCAAGCGCGTATTGTGTTGCAGTCTCCTGGTCTGAAACCCCACTGGTCCTTCGACTGGGGCGGAGAAGGTGGTCACAGACGGCTATTCCGTGACCTCCTTAACCATCTTCCACTCTCCCTTCAGATCCTCCTTCCACAACGTCACCTTGTTGTCGCCTCCACTCACAGCCAAAATATTCCCGCTCAGACTCCAGCTCACTCGCCAGAGGACTGCATCCAATGTCAAGGTCTTGCTGAGCGTCCACGACGTCGGATCCGCGGGATTGACGCTAGTCCATATCCTCACCGTCTTGTCCTGGCTGGCGCTTGCAATGTAGCTCTTGGTGAGTAGTGTTGGACTCCAGGCCACATCCCGTACCCAATCTGAGTGGCCGTTGGGTAGTGTACCGACGTTTTCGTACTTTCCCTGCTGCGTATCGAACTCCCAGAGCTTGACCTGATTGTCGCTGCCGCCTGTGACGAACCTCCGTACTGGAGTCTGTTGTTGCTGTGCTGCTCCGCCATTCTTTCGCATGGTCGCGCCAGGGACGCCACTTGGAGCCCAGGAGACAGCGTTGACACCTACGCCGTGAGCGAGGAAGTTTGTCTCTGTCCACTGGCTGTCTCTGAACTCTACGACTGACACATGTCCGTCTGAACTTGCGCAGGCCAGAGTGCAGCCGGCTTCTGGAGGTGCCCAGGCCACCATATTTACGGAGGCGCTGTGGATTCTTGACGTGAAGACTTGTGACCATACTGCTGGCTGTGAGGGTGTCTGGCCTGGAGATTCGCGCCAGACGTGTACTTGGCCATCGTACGAAGACGATGCCAGTAGAGTTCCGAACTTGGGATGTGCCTGCGGATTGTCAGCCAGACTCGAGATAATGTGCTCGGTCGGTACATACCCAGCTCACACACCATACAGCGCCATTGTGTCTGTCAGTGCCGGTCAGCAAGCCGCACTCGCCCTCCCAGAGCTGGAGGATATTGCTCACCCCTTCAATGTTTCTTGCAGTCTATGTTGATCACCATCCACTTCGAAGATCTTGATAGTCTTGTCGCTCGAGCATGTCGCCAGTCGTCGGCCGTAGTAGTCGAGAACGGCGTCGTGCTATAGGCCCAGAACGTTAGTCGTAGGGAGCAGGGTTTCATCTGGAAGCCATCCAGGGATCCGGGCGAACAGGTGTCACTTACAATCATGTCATCGTGCCCAGAGTCCCTTATTGTTTGTGACTGCGCGAGATAGATTGTCAGTCCAGGCTCTGTCGATGGCGCGTTCCATCTAAAGACAGGGAGGCCATTGTTGCTGTCCTCATGTCTCGCCCTTGGACCTGGTGGGGGAGACTGACCATTGTGAATGTGTTTGGAGCGTTCGAGGACCTCAAGAAGATACAAGAGAGCCTGGACCTACCGCATGCTCAAGTCAAAGATCTGTGAGATAAGTATTCTGTTGCCTGGGTCGTATGATATGTAAAGTTGTCCTCTTTCAACTTGTGTGTTTGCGGAGTTCGAAGTGGGGTTGGGGCCGGTCGTCGTTTCCCCAGACCGGACGATTGACAGACCGGTTGACTGGAAATGTGTAATGATTGCGAAGCACTACTTTCTTGCCCTCCTGGCGCAACGCGTACTCTTTGCCTATGGCTTTAAGGCATGGCTATGGCAGGGCAGGAAGTTTCGTGACACAGGATTCGATCGTCCAGATTGTTCACGGACGGCAAGCGCTTCTCAAGTGTGCTGTTGAGAAAATGTCAATCTATGCCGAGGAATATATGTGCAGCACCGTGGTAGCTCCCTGCTCTTAAGCATTCGGAAATGGGTTCTTGGTCGGCATACATGAGACCGGATGACGGACTGCTCGCACGCGGCCCGAGAGAAACAATTGGCATTGTATAAGTAGGTGATCTTAAAAGCTAGCCGCTCGGTCACCACCTTCTACTCTATGAACTAGACGCAACCGCAGCCGTGCTGAAGGCACTCACGCTGATTTCTGCGTAGTTCGACGCATGTTGCAGCCCGAACCAAAACGCTCCAGTGTTGTACATTCCTCGACTACCACAGAGATGCCACTGATAGTAGATCATCCGCTCTATTAACCGTCTCTCCTGCGCCATGCTGTTCGACCGGTTCTCTTCACTACATAACACAAGTTCGAAGATATTATGACGGTGCAGCTCCAAAGTGTTGCTCCTTGCAGGCTCCCAACGCGGTGCAAATGATCAACCTTTCCGCCGATGCAGTCCTTCTGACCAGACCGGCAGCTTTTGATCTCGTTCGTACAGTAATCCGCAGTTGTTGCACAATGTCTGCATAGTGTTAGCACTTGGCTTCATCATAGCATCGGTACAAACTTACTCTGGGACCTGCTGGTCCATCTCGAACTGCCCAAACCGCACTGGCAGGCATATGGCAGTGCGTACATCGCCAGCTCCGCTTTTCGTCCTCCGTCAACTTGCTGCCCTCGCCACCCCACGCCGCTCCAGCCGAGTTCGCTGCGTCTGGGGTGCCAGCCTTTGCCAATGGACTAAGTGACCTAAACCGGCGCTTCTTCTTTGCACGCTCGCCACGGCCCATCATTGGTGTCTCGTCACCACCCATGCCTAGGCCAGGCATATCAAAGTAGCTGCCACGTATCTGCGCCTCTTGCTCACGGGCTGACGGAAGCATGCCGGCGTTTGAGGTAAGTTTCGCGGCGTCTCTCCGCAGTCTTCGTAGCTGTCGTTCTCGATCACCTTCCTTCTTCTCGATTTCTTCTTTAGTGAGCTCCTCAAATTTCGGCTCCCATTCCGCACCGAAGTCGTCTACATCGTAGCGCCAACCGGCGTTTTCTTCCGGACGGACTGCCTGGTTGTCGATCTCGCCTGCGAGCAGGATCTGGCCCTCGCAGGCTTCTTTCTTGAGCCGGAGGACAGCCTCGTAGATGGCATGCGTGATGGCTAGGACCCACTCTCCACCAAGTCCCATGTCGGCACATGTCTGCCTTGCAAAAGCTTCTGCTGCGCCTGGAGGATGTAATAACGACCATTCGAACTTGTCCTGGTAAAGTTTTGATGCCAGGTAGACGGACAGTGTGACTATACACCGGTATGTGTCGTCCGGGTTGAGTGATGGGTCAATGTCTGGTTTCGGCGGCTCGATTGGCATCAGATCTGCCGTAGCCTCTACTGAGGCACCATTTGGCAGTGGCTGTGGTAGCGGTGTTTCTGGACCAGGTGTACTTGGCGCTGGAATGGCCGAGTTCGGTCGCGAGATAGATGCAGCAAGCATTCTTGGGGTTCCAATTGATGGTGTACCGACTTGCGAGTCTCCATTCGTAATTTGAGGCTGCGCTGCTGTGCCGTTCGTGACAGGCGCTCGTTGAATGGCTGGTTGGGTGTAGAAGAGTGGGTGAAGCGCTATCCCGGCATAATCTTCCAACTGTCCGCGGATCTGCTTTGCAATATCGTCGACATAGCGTCTCTGGTCAAAAGGGCTGAGATCAAGCTCGCGCACAAATATCGTCGCGAATTCTTCCGGCGTGATGAGATTCTCGTGTAGATTCCACAAGAAGACATCTCGAATCTTGTATGCTGGCACGAGCTCTGATTTCTTGTACATCGCTGCGCCAAATTGTAGTTCGTCTGGTATTGCGCGGGCGGTAGCGGATATGGCGAGTCGGGCTGCCACGCTGTACGTCCAGGTCGATTCGTATGGGAATGAGGGTGGTGGGCAACTGGGCCTGGATGTGCATCTCCCGCTCCGTCGATGGCTTCACGGTCCTTCTCACCATCCAATCTCGGTATATGGGTTGCAAGTCGACAGGTGCCGAGATCTCCTTGCCATACTTTTCATGCTGTGGCTCTTTCTTCTCGAGATCCTCCCTTCGTATCGACCGGAGGCCCGTTGGCCGTCGAGGGCCATCACTGTCTTCGAAATCGTCATCGTCGTAGGCGTCGTCGGCGTAGTTGATAACTGTGGTGCCTCTCTTCGTGGTTCTGCCTCCAGGTAATATGCTTTGGGTTTGCGCGACAGGTTGTATGAGAGTATTGCCATATTGTCGCAATCGGGGCGCATATGAACTCACGAACGCTGCGCAGGCGCCATCATCAATGCGAATAGCTATATCATCGTACTGCGGTTCTACAGGGTTGTGAAATTGTTGTGACACAGCGCGCGTACGGTGAATCTGGAGTCTGATGTTTCTGGATCTTAGAATTCTACGAAATCGCGTGGAGATGGAAAGCAGCGCGTTCCGCTCCTTCTCCGCAAAACGCCAAGACTCTCACTTTGAAGTCATCTCAAGGTACCTAACACCTGGACAGATAGGTACTCAAGAGCTGGAGGATGATTCAGACCTTTGGTCGAAGACTTGACTACCTAAACACTGGTGACTATATAGATATGTTCTAGACACTGCCCATGAGTGCTCCAATAGCCAATGCACACGCTCACAGACGCTTTTCCCACCGATACAAATAGCCTGTTCGCCGACTTAGGGCGCGGACACCTTCCAATCAAGAGCTCGCTGAAGCCACCCGGCTCAACCCGACCTCTTCGACCAGGTCCATGCATATACATGCTGGATATCCCCAACGAAGCCATCCACATCTGCAAGCATGACTGGATCCGAGGGACTATCGCAGTCCAATAACGCTCTGTACAAGGTCAGCTTTCGTTCACAGGCTCGACGGGTCATCTTACCATCTCCAGCGTCCACACTCTCCGGATCCAGACCTTCAGAGTGCCCTCGACGCCCTTAACATCAGTCAAGTCAACTCCCTCCCACCAGCAACGCCTGGCAGGTTTTCGCCAGAAGAGAAGTAGCTTTTGTGCCATGCCAACAACGTTGTTCGCAGCCATGTCACCTTTAATGTCCGTTCGCAATCGAGCAAGGGCCAGACTGCAGATGACTGCCTTGTTTGGCTCGCCTGCACGATGTCCCCACCGATCGTCATGATCGAAGCCACTGTCGTTGTCAGCATGGTAATCGTAATGCCAGATGCGGACTACTCACCCCGCGGTCAGCATTTCGATTAGGTGTTGCTCCGTTGTACCAGTCTCCTCGCTTCTTTTGAGGCCAGAAAAAATGCCATCCTGCTTGAGTAACGACTTTGCAGCAGCGCGCTTGACCTCGAGCATCTCGGCTTGCTGGATATCTTGCCGAGGCGGGATGACGTAGAAGTCGAGGTCTTCTCGCAGGACAATGATGCCAGCTCGATCTTGTAGCATGTCGCGAGCAGAGCCCTGCAATGGCTCAATTGAGATTGGGTCGGGCTCGGGTGATCCAGTTGGCGACGGCGAAGCAGAAGGAATGGACTGGGCCACACCCCGGAAGAAGTCGAGCATGTATTGTAGTGACGCAGGGTCATACTGTGAAACGATTGTGAGATCTCCGAGGTAGACATTGGGGTTCCCAAGAACAAGTATGGGGTGGGGATTGGTAAAACATACATCGACTGGGTAGACATCGCCTTCGTGGAAGGTGTTCATGTGACCGTCGGGCAGGAGTCCATTGGGAAATAACGATAACAACACAAATTCCGGCAGGGTCAGGAGCTCGTCTCTGGATAGTGTAAAGCGGGTGCCTCTGGTCTTTGGTCAACCTCGTATTCAGCCAGTTGTTTCAAGTCCCTACCTTAGGTCGAGCGTGAGGTTCTCATCGCTCGCAGCATCCGACACTGTCAAATCGTTATGCTCTGGTCCCAAGCCTCTGGAGCGTGCTTACCTCCTAGCGCATTGATTGGCGGTCCGGGCGATTGTTGTACTTGTGTGATGATACTAGCTGGTCCTCCAGCTGAAGCCATGATGTAGTTGAACGAGTCGAGCGGACTAGAGCCCTCTGTATACGGAGGTGGCGGTTCTCCCTCCTCAACGCCTTTGCCCGAAGACTCTGGCTTGCCGTCTGTGTCCTTATCTTTGGCCTGCTCAGCCTCGTCCTCGGCGAGAGCTCCTCAAAGGAGGGTGCCGGCGCGGTGGAAAGGAGCGATCCAGGCGGCGCTTCGGTGACAGCTAGCTTGAAGCGATCGAATTCGGCGTCGGTGGGGAAGTAAAGCGAGGAGAAAGGCGGTGGACGCGGTGAGGGCGGACTCGATGATGATGCGTCGGAGAGAGGTGGTGCGGGATAGATGCGGTCGTCTTGAGTTGGGACACTGGGTTGGTTTGACAACGCCGTGTTGGGCAAATCTGTGAGGATATGTTGTACAGAGTATGTGAGATCGTGCTCCCTGTCGCAGCCCTGGCTACAAGCGATGGAGCACTATAGTTGCGGAGGTAACTTGTTGATGATGACGGTGGACGAGACGCGCTGTTGTAAGCATGAGCTGCCTCTGAATGCTTCCAACGGCATGCGACGTTGCTGGGAATAGGTGAAAACAAGCTTGATGCGCGTGTAGATCTTATTGCGATGCTGTTGATTAGTCGAGATCCTCTTGTACAGCAACAGCGTGGTAGTGCAGTGGCGTCTAATTAGAACTAGCGGAGATGGCTTGCCGTTGGCGCCCTGAATTCTTGGTCACCAGCCACACCTCCCAGTATTTCCTCTGTTCGCTCCTCATCTCCGCTCTTGCTTTGCTACGATTTACCTACTCTCCGTAGGACCTGAGGCTACGTGGACATGATGGCGAACGTCAAGTGGTTCAGTTGGCATCGAGAAAGATCACTCGCATGAGAATTTGCAGCTGGATGAGTTGCCCAAGCTCTCGATGAGACTGTGCAGAGAGCTATGACGAGCCTTTGGCGTCCCTAAATGCTTCCACAAGATATCCGCCTTCGATGCCTGGTTGCCGCGTTGCATACACGGCCATTTCCAATCACTTTCCTCCCTCCAGAATCAGGCATCCTTCCCAACAGTGCCCGTTCCTTGCGAGGGCTTCAACGCCGAGCCACCACTACCAGGCACAGCACTATCGCTTGAGCCTTCCGCCATGCCTCCAACGGTGGACTCTTCCTTGGGAGCGTTTTGACCTGGAGCACTCGCGCCTGACCCTCCAGATTCTGCTCCAGTTGGATGTCCAGCACCTCCCAGAACTCCTTGTCCCTCCTTTGGCGGGTCTTGAGTTTTTCCGACCTTTGACGCTATGCCTGACTCATCCTGGCCCTTCAAGCCGAACAGCTCTGAGTGAGATCCCTCGTGCGATGTCATGTTGTGCGGTGAGTAGTGGATTGATTGTTGCGCTGGATGAATGCTTGATATACCTTGGCTTGCTGGAATTGTCTTGTGAGTAAAGATGGTTCCTGTCTTTCAGCATTATGAGCACGAGGTACAATTACTATGACTTCATCTGAACGCGAGCACTGCGCGATGACGCAGCCTGCGTACACCATTGCGTATGATCAGCCTTTTTGGGAGATATCACGCTGTGCAGTAACAAAAGGAACCTTTGACGTCGTACCACATTCATTGTCGGAGAAAGAATGCCGGCCCAATGGCAGCCAAGCCGTGAGAACATGGAAAAGACGAAATCATCGACGAAATACTGGTGTGAATTTATCATACACATACATGTCCCAGCTTAGGCTCCTAAGTCTTCGATAGCTTTGCTGCTACGAAGGTAGCCGGCTCAATTGTAAGCAGCGAAGCCTCTCGAGCAGACATGTCACGAATTTCGTACTGCGCCCTCCCTAGCCAGAGAATACATGACTCGCAGACCAGATACAGACCATTTTGCCGCACTCACGACTGTGACCAGCGCTGCTGAGGAATATAGAACCACTCGCCTCTCAGCTTGTACTCCAACCTCTTCCCGCGAACATAAATGCGGAAATCCTGGAGGAAGTTAGCTCCACGAACGGATAAGAATGGCGTTACTTACCCCGTCACCGTTGCCGTAATCATATTTGGCGAGCGGCGTCTGTTCGATGATGAGTATTGCTTCAGTACTCATCGAACCTTTCATCTTCGCAGAGAGCTGCTCGATCATGCGGATCTTATCTTCCCTCATCCATAGAAAGTGATGACTAGTGTCAGCACCAACGAAGCTAGCGTCCGACATGAGGTTCCGCAGCTCTGACCGACGAAGTGCCTCTGATTCATAGAGCTTGTTTGGACGGACGCTGGACTCAAACTCATCAGACCGCAAACTGTTTTTCATGGAACAATGGACTTCTCGCAACGTAGGTGACCGGACAACCCAGTCTGCTAGGATCAAAATCGCGTCCCGCCCTAGGAGGTGAGGGCTGCTCTTGATCTTCACCTGTTCGAACTTGTTTGCATTGAGGAACCCACAGTGCTCCCCACTGAGTCTCTTCACCGCGGAGAAGGCCTTTACCTCGCCTTCGAACCACACTGTCTTGTGAAACACAGGCATTGCTTCCGCTCGCAGTTGTCGGCAGACGCTTAGGATCCTGGTGATATTGTCGTCGCGGTACTGGAACGAGGACTCATGGGAGAGTCTCAGGTAGATGGGTCTCAGGTAGATGGTATTGCCCTTGAAGAGTTTTGTGTAGATCTTGAGTCGAATCTCGGTGGGAAGTTCGAGGAAGCGAAATTTGTGGGCCTGCTGTTGCATGGCCATTTTCTGCGCATTGATCGCCTGTTGACATTGCTGACGCTGTTGGATGTCGGCAAGGAAGATGCGAGCCGTGAGGAACTCGGGATCGGTCTCGGATACATTTTGTGCCTTCATGAGCTGATATTTCTGGGTAATCGGCAGTGCCGCCGCTGTGCCCGGCAGGAGACCACCTGAGCTGGCCAGCTTTCTTCGCGTGTAGATGCGTCCATTGGTGTCCTTGAGATACTTCTGTGTATACCCTCTCCACTCCTGAAGACCTTCAACAGGAATCCGAGCCTCAAACTCTTCTGGGGTTGGCAAAGGGTCAACACATGTATCCAAGTTGCGATACCGCGGACTAGGTGAGCCGGTGTAGGATCTTGGGGGTGAATAGTGGTATTTGAACTGCCGGGACTTTCGAGCTTGAGGTTGAGCATGAATCTGGTCACGTCAGACACCGCGCCTCTATCGGTGTTAGATCCACCTCCACGTCGCATGCCATCAGTAGCCATGGGTCGCGATTCACCAGGATTGTCCGCCGAGAGATCAGAGTGGTCCGCCATTGGTGTGGTATGCGTGCTAGTCTTATCGACTATGGTGACAGCGGTAGCCTCAAGAAAGGTAATGGTAGCGAGAATAGTGGTAGAAGAGAGGCATGGCGATTTGAGAAAGAGAGCCTTTCTCTGCCAGTGGTTCCGAGCTGCCTGGACATAAATCCAATACCTTCAAGTGACTGTATCCAATTGCACGTGTATTGCTCGTCCGACTCCAAGACCACTTTTCTGCATTTCACCGATGGTTCACGGTGCCACTTACTGAATTGACCGCAGCAGCTGCCCGAGTATGCGTATACGTTCGCCATGACAACCAGGTTCTGTAGAGTGCTTCTTGTAAGCCAGTTTCAGAAGTACCTAGGTACCTTCACGTGCCACATTGGCCGTGACGTCCTCAAGCATGCCACATTCAAGTCTCCTCGAAACATGGCAGCGACCTGGATTGTCGACTACAGCACTTTAAGGAAAGCTATATGAAGCAAGCATCGACGGTCACCGTCAGGAGACCATGATAGTCATGTCGCAAAGACGTCAGAAGTTCCAAGGTACTATGCGACCATAGAGTTAAAATTTATGGGGTAGATGGGATCGGCCGACTTGGCATCTACAGGCGGCAGGAACCTTTTTTGGGAGCACCGCCAGGAACGAACAACGTCCACTGACAGGACGGTGGCCTCGAGAACTGCTCTGCCTAGATCTGTGAACACGTATACTGATTTGTTGGCCATCGACCTCGAACCTCACCTGCCCTCCCGTCACCAAAACCCTCCACGATGCAACGACAACCATTCGCGCCGCCAGCGCAATCACCAGAATTATTCCATCCTCGACCACAACACATCTCACAAGTCCCTCATCTACGATCACCGCCTCCACCCGTCCCTCTTCAATCCCAGCCACAGATGAACGCCTATGGAAACCCGTACGGCTCGCAGTCGCCGCCTGCGGGCAACATGAACAGCCCACCGAACGGGAACATGATGGGCGGCTTCAACACAAACCAGTTCACCGGCTTCATAAACGACCCTACCGCCCAGATGGGCATGCAGATGGGTCAGCATGCCGTCGCCGCCGGCCAGAAGTACATCGATCAGAGCCTCAACAGATACATCTCCGTGCCTGCATTGAAGCACTACTTCAACGTGTCCAACAGCTACGTCGTGCGGAAACTCCTCCTCGTGCTGTTCCCATTCATGCACAGACCCTGGACAAGAACAACTGCACGAGGCGGGGACCCAGCCGGCAATCAGATGAACAGTGCAACGCCCCAAAGCTATTCGCCCCCACGGGACGACATCAACTCGCCCGATATGTACATCCCGATAATGGCATTCATCACATACATTCTCCTCTCAACAGTATTAGCCGGCATAAGGGGGTCCTTCAACCCGGCCCTCTTCGGCGAGACAACCTCGACCGCCCTCGGCGTCGTGCTTTTTGAGATCGTCGTCTTGAAGATGGCTATGTACCTTCTCTCAATCAACAACGACTCCCAACTGCTCGACCTGGTGGCATACAGCGGCTACAAATTCGTTGGGGTAATCGTCACGCTCGTGCTCGCGGAGATCATTACCGGAGGCCAGGGCACGAACAATATGTTTGGCTGGATCTTCTTCCTGTATACTTACGGCGCTAATGCTTTCTTCTTGGTAAGTCCATGCCAGCCGTAGACTATTAAGCCCCAACCTACCGATGTCTCGCTCTTTGCGTGCCTCCAACCACCCACTGACAGCTTTGGCCCCTCCAGATGCGCTCTCTAAAATATGTCCTCCTTCCCGACAGTTCCAACGAGCACAGCATGCGCGCCGGCGCAGGCTATACGATGGCGCGCGCTCAGAAGCAGCGAAGAACGTACTTCTTGTTCATCTACGCATTCATCATCCAGATGCTGTTCATGTGGATCCTGAGTCGGGAGAAGAGCGCGTACAGCACGTTGGTTGCTAAGAGTCCGGTGGGATCAAGGAGGGGAACGGGGTTGAGTTGATGAGGTACGATGACGACCGCGATGACAGCGGCTCTGGCAGATGCCCGATTGCATCCATCACAGCCTGAATTTCTATCCAGCCGGACTTCTGGTGATAGTTCACAGCAGCTTCGATGTCCCCATTCAGACAAATTTACTGATTCTGTCGTCTCCCGTCACCTCTGCACTGAATCGCTCTGAGGACCCCCAAAACCCTGCACATGGCTGCGACTATGCATATGACAGCAACATCCCTGCCATGTGGGAGGCGCGTAACGACATCGTGCCGGGCCCAAATGGCACACATGACATGTCTGAAATGACATTTCACCACCCGAAATACCGTCTCATACCGTCCAGCACCTCCTGTCATCTTGACCTCACCGGGCAAAACATCTCCCATCTTCCTCCAAGTTCTACACACCGCATGCCCCAGCAAGCCTTCGAGGCCGTGACCAACACGCGACTCCATCTTCACGACCCACGAACAGGCATCCCCCTCCAAGCGAGCAAAAGTTCTACTCCCCTCCGGCAAATCCACGCTCCCACACGCCACACGCGCAAAAGCTTCGGCAAAGCTTGAACAAACACCCAAGCGGCAGCCAACGGTAGAGCGAGTTGTGCGTCGGCGGCCGGGGTGAAATAGATGGTTCATCCGTTCAAGGGATTCCGAGAACCGAACGAGCTGAGGTTAGTCAGTGTGAGTCCAACATCGGGGAACGGCGGTGCCGGGGCACTTGCCCAGCTGGTCGACGTGAGCCATGGGACTCTCGGGGTGGGTGACGGTTGTAGCTGGATGTGTGGGCAGATCGGTGTCCTAGGTGAGAGGAGAGAAGGCGGTCGACATACGGCGTTATACGAGACCGGATGGCCTGATGCCGAGAGGACGTATCTGTCGCCGGATGACAAGGGTCAAATTTTACTCGTCAGCCGGTCTGACCAGTGCTTAGCATGAGACCGGATGACAAAGGTGTCCCTCTTACTCGCGACTGCCTTTTCAATGCTTCAGGCAAGCAAGCAGCGACAGCAGGAGCAGCCATCGATCGCTCTTTCTCCTCATCTTTTGCTGACAACACCACGAGCGGCAGGTGCCTTGCCCAGCGCCTTCTACGATTATCTGCCTTGTCAACCGGCTCAGGTGTGGCTCAAATGAGACCGGATGACGGAGGTCTTTGACTAGCCGAGTACATGTCTACACGCCGCATGACTTGGACGAGGCAGGCCATGGAGAAGGACGGCGACACTCGAACGCACGCAGCAGCATCCTGGGAAATGTAGAAGATCACCTTGCTCTACAGGACACATTCAACGTTTTTATTCCAATGAATATAGTTCCAACATAGCAAAGCTTCGTCATGTCCTAAGGATCAGAGCAAGCCACGATCTTCCCTTGGACAAATGAACCCCTGCGGCATTTGCACTTGAGATGACCGAAGCATTCCCGTATCACGATAAAGCAAGCCTTGTCAGGGTATCGAAGAACGTGCATATGTTCCAATGCCATGAAACTACGTTTTCCGGTTTGTGACTTACTGACTGAGCCAACACATACTCACTCAGCGTCGCTTATTGTACAGCATTGATGCCTACCTTTCAGCAGCCAGGGAGGCTGTCCTTCCGGCGTTAAAGGTTCTTCAAACTTAATGAGTCAGCAGGAAATGTCGGGACAGGGTCCGATCTGTGAAACTATTCTGCTAGCTCCAAACATCGTTCTCGCCAGAGCCATGCTTGGCTGGTCCGGGAGGTGCAGATCTTGAAGAGGACCGAACACCAGGCGGCGCTGGCGAGATATTAGTCAATTCGATGCAGTGCATGAGGGCAAACCTCGACCAATTTTTCGGTTTGCTGAACCATGCTCGCATTGTGCGTGAGGGCCGGTGTCCTCGTATATGCCGCCACGTGCCGGAAAGCGACGCGGCAAGCATAGACCAGGGTTCAGAGGTACATATCCCTGTCCATGTGCCTCTAGAGGGTCTCTGGACTCATCGAAGATGGGGAGAAATTGCCCAGCCAGAGAGTAGCTCTGATGCGTACTGAGCAGATGCAAGGCCAGAGCTAGTCCAGTCGGATCGAAAACCTCGTACACAGCATGCAGGCTCCTCATAGTGGAAGTGTCGTTCATAGCATGTGCGCAGCTTGACACATAGGAAGGCGATCAACTGGGATGCGCGAGCAGAAATCTCCCCAGCCTCCAGCCATAAACGGAGGGACTGGATTCGATATCCGCCGGGATTGAATGGCCTGTCGTTTGGCATCGACGGGCCCGATAGCGTGCCACATACCAGCAGACACAATCGCATCGACCGGCCGAGAACGCTCGCGGAACAACGGAGACAGTGCTGCATGACATGTACCGATCTGGTGGATAGGTATCCGCCTTTGACATTTGGTGTTCTGAACTTGCTGTTGCGAGGACTGTGATGCTATGATGGCAGCTGCAGTGGCCGAGATCCACCCTGATGGTTCGGTGATACAGTTTGGTCCTGATGCCGTGTGATGCATCCGAAGTACACCGCGGCTGCCAGCCTCAGGTGGACGTGCGTAGGTGGCCGAGCGTCCACATATGACACATTGCAGAATCACGAGACAGCCCCTGAGTCGACCACAAACAGTATGATTTGATGAACTGTGGTATGTCGTATTGCTTCGGAGTGGATTATCTACAGCGAGGTCCACCATGGTGGAGTACGATTCGTCAGTGCTTGTCCGAGATTGCGTGCAAGTTGTTGCGAGCATGGTGAATCGTTCTCGAAAGCCACCGTCCAGCGCGGCGAAACGCCTGACCTACCTTGACGTTGATAGCATGCGCTCTCATCGACTGCTCGCTACAGAGAATGCTGAATCGCAGCGTCTGACATGTTTCGGCCTCCTTCCAGGCGCCGTATGCGACGCTGTGACGTGATTAATTGTGTTCAGAAGGTAAAATGCTACCGTTGGGTGGCTGAAACCAGGTTTTGTACCACCGGTTGTGGTAAGTATCGAATTGGGAAGTGGGGGCGGAAGCTGCCATTCGACGGAACGCTCCTCGAGCGGCATATTCTCGATCAGTTGGATGACTGGTCCAGATCGGAACTTAGGTAAGTTGGGGCGGCAGAAGTACAGTGTACCGTCTATTCTTCGACCGGGAAGCTTCGAGCAGGGCACCTGCTCTTGGTCGGAATTGCCGACCACGCTGGCGGCGTTCCGTAGTAACGTGTATTCAGACCTCGTGAGGATGACTCTTAGCGACGAGCTACGAGCTGAAAACCACTTGTTGCTGACAGTCCTCGGAACACATCGGCCGAAGTCGAGTGCCAAGTTGCGGAGGTGAACGAAAACAGACGGGCCCAAGGATGTGCTGCACACCATTGAAAAGCAAACGTCATTAGACATAGCAGTTCAATCCTGGTCTTACCTAGTTACTGCTTGGGACCGTGGAGTGAGCGACATGTCACTTACCTTGAACTCGAGGTCGCTCAACTCGACGGGGCAGTATTTGATATTGCATAGGTACGGAAGTCACCGTTTGCGCGGAAGATAGAGGACTGATCCTATTGGGTGCTGAGTTTGACGATATTCTCCAGAGGCATGCTGATCTGATCTCCCATGTGCAAGCAACTTGCGTGTGATATGCGACGATTTCCCCCCAGAGAAAGCACTTTTGCGACGCCGGGACTTATACTTAACCAGTATGGTGCTTGCTGAAATGACGTCTTCTCATTGGAAGTGTCAGGAATCGGCAAGGTCTGCGAGTGACCCTTCGACCTCAGAAGAGGTACTTCATGGTAGCGATTCAGGTTGGTGGAGACTGGCATGAGACCAGTAACGGACGTGCCCACCGTTGTCTGGAAGTGGTGAGGTTTACGAGGCTTGGAACACCTTCGATCCCTTGCTCAGCTGCGGCCTTGTTGTTATGCTGCGATTTGGAGTGTGACGCCTGCTACGTGCAAGGCGTGAGGGCAGCCCAGGTCATGCGGTTTGATTCGGCAGGGTCAATCGTGCTGGTTAGACATGGCTCAGCCACCGTCTTGCCGATGAGCTTGAGGATGCCCGACAGCGATAGATTCAGGACTTCGGGACTGATGATCAGGAGCTCCGGAGGCTCTTAGCATCAAATGGGAATTCCCCGATTGAGCGGGGATTCTCAGATACAGACACGGCAGATGTGCTGCTCAATGTCCCTTCCGGAGAGGAACCTGTGCTTCTGAGTTCGTTTGGGCACGGTCGATGATCGTGGTGGCGCGAGACGCGGAGGCTGTATTGAGACAGTATATCGACCTGTCTGACGGTATGTATGGATCGTGGAATTCAACGCATTCATCTGCACTGCATCTCAAGTTTTTTAAATATAGCCGAAGCATGGAACCTCAGTGAGAATCGGTGAAATACGGCTTCGATGCCTGCTCATTCGTTCGGAGGCTCGTCGGAGGATGAAGTGATGGACAATGGCGCAGCCGCAACAGGATTGCACAAAGCTTGTATCTCATTGACTCAGCGTTCTCGAAGTCTTATCGAATGTCTTGCACGTGCTTCCATGCATCTTCTCTCACACCGGGTGGGGGATCAACGGCGGATTTGACCACAACTTGGTTATTGGATCCAGGTAAGAGCCCAGGACAGTCGCCGTCCCAACATCATTCCATTGATAGGTATTTCCTGCATTGAACGGCGTGGAGGTCAGTCCATTGTTCAGGATGGCTGGAACACCATAGACCGCATGGGTGTGAATAACGACGGAGACGCGCAGGAAATCGGAAGCAATCGAGCGAGATTCGCACCGCCCGCATCGACTTAGGCTTTCGATGAGTGATCAACAAAAAGTAGTCCAGATGAGTAGCCTGAGCGCTGGCCGTGATTGAGAAACGTGCTCGAAGATGGGTCGATCCGCCGGTTAATACTTTCGCATGACTCAAATCCGACGTGGACGACGAGATTGGAGATCTGTGTCGCTGTTGCTGAGTCAAAAGACTGGTGAGTTTCAGGATCTATTCGTCAGCACGGCGCAAGGGTTGAGTAATGAAGAGGAGCCCGCGGAAAGTTGGAACTGGAGCTTCAGTCAACAAATCAGAACTCGACAGACCTGAGACGTATCTGTGATGGGGACGATCCGTGGTTGAACGACGCGCAGTCGAGCAATCGAGGACTTCGGACCCGGGGCTGTGGTAGTGTAGAACTCCGTGATTACCTCATGCTTCCTACGACATGGGTGTCGTTGTGGTGAGGTAGGCCAAGGTCAAAAGAGCATGACGTTCAAGGGGCACCTTGATCCTCCTCGACCGACACGTCTGCGTCAGTGTGAGCCGTGTCGCGAACCTCGACGGCTTCCCTTGAAGTCTATCGTATCAGTCTGGGGCCAATACCGGTGACCTGGTGTCGAATAGGAGCAGACCTCGCAACAGTGGTGAATACATGAGCCGGGTCAAGACCGTCAGGTCATCGAACTATGGCACTCTCGCTTGCGGCTGCGGCGGTACAGTCACTTCCACGATTGTAACGACTAATGGTGATACAATTCGCAGCGTCGCTGTCTGTCGACGTCATGCGAACCTCCTCCCGGCGACTTCCAAGTACCCAGGTGTCCGATGAGACGAGATCGTCAAAAGAGATATTTGCTATAACAACACTGGGCAACGCATGACCGGCCGACATGGATATACAGTCAGCCACGTCAGCGGACGCTGGAGTCTTGTTGCGTGCGTACCCTCAGTTTGGAGATGCGCAATCGACCTGTCTTTGCGGATTGCATATGAACGTGACAGACTAAGATCCGAGCGTATTCCGTCCTTTCAAGTAAGCGGCGGCCGTCAGGCATGATAGGCATACTTCGGCCTTTCATGCTGGTAACAAAATATGTCGCGGAGTGGCGGCACCTTACAGCCCTTCATGGACGAGTAATGCAAGACCTGACCATTTCACGAGAAGCTGGCTACCAGTATACGACATCTGGAGCCAGCAAACCCATCACCTTTGGAGCTTGGAAGGCGACGAGGTTTCATTGACCCACAAATTTCTCATGGCTTCACCGCATACAGCACGATGGCAAAGGTGTATCTCCTTAGGCCACAATGCAGATGACGGTGCCTGTATCGACATGGTACTCCATGATGGTGGTATCAAAAGTCCTACACAAGCGGATGTGTATCGCTGAACCACCGCTGATTGGTTGGCTCTCGGGAGCGCACGTCCAAAGGCTTGTGACTCGGGGCGGTGGCTCTACAGCCGCATGTTGCCTCGGCGCCAAACCCAGGGAGACATTGCGATCGAGCGGAGGGGGCCACGGACGCAGGGGCTAAAAATCGATGAGCGGAATCCAAGGAAGGCGGTGTAGCTGTGTTGCGCCGACATGGTTTGGCGAGAAGTGGTCACTAAGCGAAAGGACGGAGCCCACTGCTGAGTTGGGAGCGGCAACAATTGACTGGCCGCCGACTAATCGTGCCAGATACTCGAGCTCGAAGGGGTATACTGAAAGAGAAGCCTGCATCCGCACTCGCATTGCCCCGGAATTTGGTTTCAGCGGCGAGTCTGCCGAACGAATCGCCTGCTCTGCCGGAAATCGATGCATCATGACATGACCGCCAATGTTGGTGTCGCAGAGTTAATGACCAGCCTGCGAATTCTGGTGTCAAGACGCGAATCCCATGCGCTCTGCTGCAACGGCAAGAAAGCGCTTCAGAAACACAACTTGCGTTACGGCGACGAGGAATGTCGTTTAGGCCCCCACGGTATTGTCATCATGCAGCCGAGGCAGCGATGTGGCTGTTACCATTCGTTCAGTATGGTCACATCCACGACTCGATTACCAAAGGCGATCCACCGCCGCGATAGCGGGATTGGCCACGTGTTAGTGACAGTCTATCCTTTGCCTCTCTGTGGGATACTTCTCGAAGTGGACGCCGAGATGCTGGCTGATTACAGTACTAGGTGTTGCCTGATCGGAGGCAATGATCGACCCGAATTGTAATCCCACGAGGGCCGTTGGGGAAGGTACACTCAGTTTGCTGTCAGGTACCAGTCTCCGGATCTTCCAGGACCATGCTTGGGAGCATGCGAGTCGCACAGCTTCGATCTGATGCGTCCGTGAGAGATTTGAAGGCATGCGCATGCCTGTCTGAGCAAGAGCTTAAACACACCACCATCTCTCAGTGTGACTTCTTCAAGGAATGCTCATCGCAAACTCATTGCCTTCAGTGAACGTTTGTCAGGCTGTTGCAGACGGAATCTTCGACTGCCCGATGACGCCGTACTGTATACCAAATCGAGAAAGATGAACGGCTTGGGGACGAATTGGACTGAGAACGGAGAAGGTGCAATCGGGCAGGAGAGGGCGGCCCGTTAGGCTCGTACTGCAAGGTTGAAGCGAGGAAGGCACGAAAACGGTGGTGACGTCGATCTTGCCCTGTTCTCGGCCTTAGGCGATCACGACTGCCCTACGTACCTAATGATTGTCAATTATTCCCGCAACCTCGTCTTGTTTACTTGCTGCTTTCTTCAAGCTTGACGGTCTCTCGGCCGACGGTGTTGCCATTCCGCGGTCGTCATCATAGCAGTCGTTCTCTTGCCAAGCTGACAGCGCGACAAAAAACATCGCTCGACCAAAGTCCGGGCTCGGCGACTTAGTAATTCCGTCATTTTAAAGCGCGCACTACACAGCCTTGCGGTATTACGCCCCTGATCACAATATCGACGGCCGATGAAGCGTTCCTAGCTTGATAACCAGCCTGCACTCCTGCGTGAAGCCGGCAAGCTCGATGTGGCAACATTCACGAAGCTTCTGCAAGGCACGTCGGCCTTTGGAAAGCTGAGCTGTAAGTCGTATCATAGAACCCGAAGCGGTGCCCTGCGGGACCGGCACAACGACCAGCAGGGCCGGTTCCACGGAGCTTCTGGTGGCGACATGCTCTTAGCTATCGACACTATCCGGCGAAAGGGCCTGAACAGCCCAGGCAACATCGCTGATATGTCAGCGACCCAAGGACATGGAGCCGAACACACCCTGTACATTGCTTCAAGCTGACATAAACAACAATGGTAGGTACATGAAACGTGACGGCAACGTCGAGAGGTCGACTCTCGACTGGTCAAAAGTGTAAGGTTATACAGAATTTGCCCCCTCTAACGTGGCCCAGCCGTATCGCCTATCTTTCAACGTGTCGGGCTCTGCTCGATCTTCAGTGCTCAGTCTTGAGCTCACCGATCACAGCGGCCCGCGCTCTGCAAAAGAACCGCAGAAACATTCCAGACCACTTGCCGATTCGATCAGCAGAAGGCTTCCAATGTCCCCGTCCCAGGGTCCTCGATGGTTTCGCTAGAGGATAATGCGAAACGCATGGCAGCCTGGCAGTGGCGACACACCGCCTGGCAGGCCATACGCGCACGTAAGGAAATGAAGGAAAGACAACGCTTCCTCCTTTCGTCCAAGTCGAAGTCTCCTCACCGGCATTTGGGATCCAGCAAAGCTTGATGAAACGCGACGGACCATTGTTGCTCAACGACCAGTGGTGCTAGGCGGTCTGCCGTCCCAGTGTTTAAGCATCTGACGAAGCGCCTGCGTCCACTCGACAGTCGTCGCGTCCACAAGCTTGTCGAAGTCAGCCTTGGTAGGCTTCCGTCCTCCCCATGTTGACTGCTTTGAGGCTAGTACTCGTGCATGTTTTGCCACAAGACCCCTTTCGTTTGGACACCACGGTTAGCAAAGGATAGCCCAGAGCATAGTATGCATGAGTGGTGAGTGTCAAGGAGTTTCGACGGAATCATTTGCTGCCAAAGGGAAAAGCCCCGATCGGCTCGAAAATTCCCAATGGACATGCATCATCGACAGGGATTGGATAGGGCCACTCACTCTTTCTCCATCTTTATCAACACGAGCCAACAATAATTCCAGCTGCGCACACTGCTTGGGTCTCTGACCACAAGCTGTTTTGCCTCGTCCAGGCACTCAGAGCTAAATGGGATTCTCTTTGTCAAACCCCTAAGCTCGTTCAACAAGTTGTTGGAGTTCACGTAGTGTCGCCAGGCGCTGGTCATTGGCTCGGTGACCTCCGCGGAATCCAGGTATGCAAAGATCTTTTCGATCCGTCGCAACTCTGTGATGGTATTGACACGGTGTGTTCGCAAAGACTGGATCAGCTGGTCCTTGTTGTTCTGTTCGATGTTACGTTAGCCTGCATTTCCCTCCCACAACGAAACGAGTGCGCGAGAACTTTGGCCCTGGGATCTGGGCAGAGGCGAATAGGAGAAGGGACATCACATAATCATAGCCGTCAATACGACGTCGACACGCAATACAGTAGGAAAGACATAGGAGAGGGCAGCAGGGGCGGGCTGGAAGTAAACGCAACACGCTGGACTCAAGGAAAAGTTACAAAAATAAATCCGGGACTGACTTGGCTCATGGCCCGAGGATCGGTCGATGGCGTCGCTGGCGATACAAGCTGGTAACGCGATGCTGAGCCCGACGAAGATGGACTGTCGGAGTGTCTGTCCGAATGTCTGTCGGAGTACCGAGACATAATGGGTGGTGGTTGTCGCTGCTGTTGTCGCGGCTGCTGCTGCTGCTGCTGCTGTGGTGGTGGTGATCGTCTCAAGGGGCTGGTGTGTCGGTCACCGGTGCCGCTTCCACTGCCTTCGACGGCGGTGACTGCGCGGCCTTTGCCTTTGTCACGCTGCTGCGATGAGGACGGTGATCCTCTGTGTCGGTCGGCAGGTGGAGGCTGATCAGGGTCAGGGTCAGGCTCTGTATCTGCTGAGCCCACGGAGCTACCAGTGCTTGCGTGTCTTTGCCTATGGCGCTGCTGCTGCTGCTTGCCTGTCAAAAGAAAGAGTTGACACTTGCGTTAGCGACGGGTGTGTCCGAGAGCGAACTGATATAATCAGGCCAGCAAGAGGAGGACAAGCATTCAAGCATACCTGATGACATGGTCCTGAATGATTCAGACCGCAACCACCCTTGCCCCTTGGTTCGTCTAACCTGGCACCCACACACACTGTGGCAGTTCTATATCCCACACCCACACTTGACTGTCTGTAGAAACGACCGAGCCGATGGGGCAGATGTGACAAGGGGATGTGACTGGGCTGGGCTATCCTTCTGGCGGCCTCGTGTTCGCTCGTCTCGGATGTGTGTCAGTGAGTGTGTGTATGTAAGTGAGCGGGTGCGGGTGCGTATGTGTGTTGTGTATAGGGAATGTAGTATAGTGTGTATATGAAATGGCCGTATGACTTGTCACGTAGGCCCCCAAAAAGAATTGCTCGTGTACGAGTATGTAATGTCCGGGATGAGCTAAGATAATAGGCGACTTTCTTTTCTGGTTTCTCCCTCCTCCAAGGCAGACGAAAGGCTGGGCGGAGAACAATGGAGGGACTGCAGGTCAAGTAAACGGTATTGGTTAGCGAGAGAAAAAAACCCAGATCCGGACCTGTTTAGTCGCTTAGTGGTATTAGGGTTCTATGGGTCTGGGCAACTGTCGTGATTATCTTCCGTTTGGGTGGGCGTGTTGAAGTGTGTAAGGGAAAGGACCTTAGTCAGGTTGCATACGGGCAAGATGAGATGGGCAGAGGAGGATTGGACGGGTCGTGAATAGTCGCAGATCGTGATGTGTGTATTTGTGGCCGTGGGTCCGGAGAAGTGGTTGACTTGCGTGCGTTTTGTAGATCGGGTCAAGATTGGGGATTGATTAGGAAGATAGTAGGCAGGTGCTTCCGTGCAGGAAAGCCCATCTATGGACAACCGAGTTCCTGGGTCGGTCAAGCAGGCGGAGGGTGTATATGTAATAGGAAGGAGTACTAAGACCAGGAAGGTTCAGACATTCAATGCTGCGGCATGGTAAAGGCGATCGATTTCACTTTGGCAGTCGGTAATCTGGCTATGCTATGCTTCTGCTGGTGCCAAGGCTCCAAAGTGAGAAGTCGAATTTGTTGACTGGGGAAGTCGGTTGTACTGAGCAATGACTAGTGTGCTGATCGGACCTGATGGTCTTCTCCGGAAGATCTTGACAAGAGTACATGCCAATATGGGCAGTTGGCCGTTGACCAGTCGGGAAACAGATCTGCCGCATGTTAATAACGACGGAATTTTTGCTTTTGGCTCGCGTGGCCCCGTTCCATCGATCTGGAGTCAGATTCTAATCGCAGCGGGTTCCCCGAGAGTCGTCTTCGCCACGAGCGCATGCCCGGGGACATGGTCTTCCCGAACTCTCGGGAAGACAAAGTTCTCTGACTACGACGAGGAAGCGCATGGCAAAGTTTCGCAACAGAGGCCCCACCTTTGGTATAGTCATCATGATAACACCAATGTGGCTGAGATACGAGCTCGAGGGCGAGTTGAAAGGAGGTGTGGATCCCGGAACCGCGTGCGCGCCGGGGCCCGGAGTATTGCACTCAGCCTTATGAGGCGCCCGTGTACTAAGCACTGGCACGAGTGGCTGATGATCTCACAGTCAGGACAATGATCGAAGGTATGGCCGTGATGGGAAGGCATAGTACATGAGATCGGGATCGTTTTGACTTCAAACAGGTAAGAAGCTTAATCCATACAGCGGATGCGGTATTAGAATATCAGTAGGTAGTAGAGTTGGGATGATACGATCACGTCATAAGCGATGCTGGGAGCTCTGATCTCGAGTCATTACGGCGATTTTCTAGCAGCAGGACTTTGAAAGAATCACGACATCATACCTTCAAAGGCCTCGGTATGGTTGAAGCAACAGGTCACCGGCGAATTGGCATCGGGTTACTAACCAGACACCAGAACTCAGATTGATTCGACTACTAGACGAAACAGGATAATGACCCCAGGCTGAGGAACACAGAATTGACGAGCTGTCCAATCACAGGCAAGAGACTGTCTCTTGGGGCTAAATCAGTTCCTAATCCGAGCTGGGGCTTACCCACAGCCTCTCGGCTCGCTCTCATACCGCCAGTTCGAGCACACTGTGTGCGGAAAGCTCAGCCTTTTTACACGCCACGGGTGCGGTGTGGCACTATAGATCTAGCGCTGAGTCCGTTAGCCACAGCTTCACACGTTAGAATTGGGTAACCAGATTCCCGGCCTGGGACGACCCGATCGCAGATTCGAAGCCTAAGCGCTGGAAACATGATCTTCCGGGGACTGCGGCCCCCAAGGAAGCAGCCACAGCGACATCAGCTCTAGCAGTCCGTTGATCTCCCGACAGGTTTGTTACCCACCAGTAGCTTGCTGGCTGACCGCTATTACCAAGGTACGTATCAATATCGAAGTATTGAACGGTAACGTCTTGGTACAGTATCTCTCTTAGACAGAAACCGGTGCCTTCTCTTGGCCGACCCATACCTGAGACAGAGCTGTGTTGTCTACTGCGCTCCGCTGACTGTGCGAAGTAGTAGTTAGCACTCATGACGATGTGTTTCTCAGCCGCAAACGTTTCCGGAGACACTCGGGCGGTAAATAGGTGTCCCAGATTCGATGATCTTGTCGCGTTTGTAAGATGCTGCAGATTGTGTTGACGTGATTGTGTTGACAACGACCGACTTCCTATCGCGGTCCTCTCGGACCAGAGGGCAGCCCACCTGGGCGTGCACGCGAAGGTCGTGAATCAGCATAAGGATTGCCTGTTGGTTGGTCGTAAGGATTTCCACCCGAACTCGACCAGGGTTCCGACGCAGAAACATATGGCGATCCCCCACTGCCACCGCCTGACTCGAAGCTGAAAGCCGAGCCGCTATAGGATTGCTGGCCCTGGGGAGCCGGTGAACTTCGCCCACTCCCTCCACCCTGCAGCTTTGCACGTAACCGATCACGAGAACCCAAGGCAGGTGACGCTGCAGCAGTGTTCTGGAAGCTACCAGCGCGCTGACTAGGTAAAGGTCGAGCAGAACCTGATTGCTGGGAATACGATGGTGCTAAGTGACTTGACGAGTTCTCGTGGGGCCGAAGCGACTGTGGTGTTGGCCTTGGTGCTCGAAGGCTTTGCGATTGCGGTTGAGGTTGAGGATTAGGTGACGAATCCCAGAGATCCGACAAACCACCCTGTTGCACGGAAGATTGTCTGCTGGAATCAGACTGGCTGCCGTACTGCGAGCCGTATCCTGCTCCATACTGATTATACATATTTTGAGGTGGTGGAGGTGGTGCTGGCGCAGGTTTCTTCGGATCTGGTGGGAGCCATTCGGGAAACGTCCGTCCTTTCTCCATGTAGTATGCTCGAAGTACGTTCGAGACATGCGAGCAATCTTCATGATCTGGGTCGTCCTCCTCGGAGTCCTTCGTCAGGGCTTTCCGCAGTGTTGATATGCGCGACGAGAAGGCACTAGACCATGTGGAGGTGGAGGAGTTATTCGACGCATTGTGCTGCCCGTACTGGTTTGCTTGACCTGAAACGGTTCCGGATGTGAAGTACGAGAGATAAGACGCCATCCCAGGCAGTCTGTGGGCACTACGTCCACCAGGCTGGGGGTTACACTTTCAAGCACGTGGTAGGTAGAGGGGCAGTGAGAGAGTTGACGACGCGGCTAACTCATCCGAAACTCGGGGCTCAAGCTTGGCGCCTGCCGCCAATTACATTACATAGTCACGTGCATCTGCTTCACGGGCCCCGTCGTGGTTGCCTTGTGGCCTTGTTTGACTCACGATGTGGTACAGCACCTGGGTAAGTACTACCTGGCATGCGAGACGGTTCACTCTTCTGTTCTACAAGCAGTTCTGGGACGTCCAATCTTGTATACCCAGGCACTTCTCACCAGTTGATCACATATGGAAATTGGCGTGAATGGGAGACAGACCGAGTAAGGCCAAAGTCTGGTCGTTCCCCTGGTCATGAGGGCAAGGAAGATAAGGAACTATTCGCCCACGCTGTCCGAGCAGCATGTGCGTTTTGCAGGTCCTGCGACGTACTGAGGCTCGAAGGCGTAATGTTCTATTCCCATTTCCACGTAAACTTGTGTTCAATTGCCGTTTCTATAGATAGCTTGCTGCTGTTATTGTTCTCTGTTCGACCGACTGTCAAACGCGTTGCCGGCAGGACCTGTGTGACGAAATTAGCTCGTCCACTCGTTGGCGAATTAATACTCTGTCGCGACTCTTCGCCGTCCGATGTACTTCTTTCCGGCGGATAAAGCCCTCAGAGAGAATAGGTAATCGGTCGTCGTCGCGAGGAAATTCAGGCCAGGCATTTCTGTGATCTTCGATATTGAACACCTCCCTTCTGCTGCAACTCAATTGGGCAGTATGTTTGTGATATGCTTGATAGCCTAGCAGGTCGTCCGATCAAGCTGCCAACCGACGACAGGAAAGCTATCGCTTTCCGCAAAACCATGTAGCAACTCTATTGCACAGAATGCTGCTTCGCCGCAGACCACTAGTACCATGTGCGCAATTTGAAGGCCCCGGATACCGATACCTGCTGCTGGTCAAGTTCTCGAGAGTGTTGCGGGTCGAAGCTTTCGAAGCTGCATGGCTCGGGCGTGCGTTCTGGACCGTAGTATCGCCGTCTTCCCGTGGTACTTGCCGCTGCTGCGCAGGTTTTCGTTCGCGAATCGTAGACGCTGAGTTCTTCTCAAGATCGTAACGCATGACTCGAGCACTGAAGCCATCATCAGGCCTAGCCATTCTTGGTGCATTCCAGGTATGTACTTTCTGGACACACGCAGCAGCACAGTGTTTTCCGTCGCATAGAAGGGTCTGACTCCGCTATGGGTGTCACACCAGCTAGCACAAGCCAGGCTGAATCCAAGCCGGCTGAACGCCAAATTCTGGGCGACCGTTGATCCAGGATCACGTCAGCAACATGTCAGCTGCAGTATCTCCCCAACGCTTGCTCATGCGAGGTTCTTCCGGATGCTCAAGCCGGAGCAAGCAGGTGAGTCGCCGTAGGTGTCGATGCCAGTAAAACCCTGGACGAGACAGGTGGCGTTGCAATTGCCCACATTCAACAAGTGTCTCAAGTCCGTACCCTCTGGCTGAGCGGACTGTCTGCGCTAAGACTGGGGCTCGCATCGGTAGGTGTCTGCGGCAGTCGGCCGTCACTATCAGTCCCTGTCATATCTTGAGCACTGACATTGCTGTCGTCGTCGTTCCAGATGTCTCTGCTCTCCCTTTCTACACGCCTCATTGCGCTTGCCACGTCATCCAATCGTTTGACGACCTCAAGAACGCCTTGATTGACCTGCTGGAAATACTTATCATTCGCTTCACGTCGTTTGCGAGCAAGTCTGAGATCTCGCTCAGTCTCTTGTTCGAGTGACCGATCTTGATTGATACTCGATGCTCTACTCCCGCGCTTGCTGTTTTTGGCATCCGGGAGTCCCACTGGTGAACCGACTTCCGCATCCAGACCATCGTGTTCAGTAATCTCATCGGCCTCGCTCTTCGCCCACGCCTGTGCCAAAGACAATTGAGCGGTCCGCAGATCCTCCAGGGCCTTAGCGTGCTCTGCACCGAAAACATGAGAAGGATTCATGGCCGATAGTTCGACATCTGCCAAAGTCTTCTGCATCTCTGCCCAGTGACTCTCAGCTCGAAACTCATCTGCCTGTATCGATTTGTTGCGAAACGATGCGCCAGAAAAGGACATGGCTGGTGGTATCCGGGACGGCCTGGGAACGCCGATCCTGCCTGTGTCGAGCTCCTTCCTCTGATTCTCATCAGGCAGAGCGAGTGATATGTGCGAGGCATTTTTGGATGGTGGGCCCTTGAACAATGTCGGTGGTGGCAGACGGGCAGTGTTTGTAGGCATTCTGGCGTGTCCCAACCTTGGTCTCGTAGTGGTAGGCGAAGCTGATGGCTCCAGCCGAACATTCTGAGAAGAGCTTGCCATCTTGTATCCTCACTTCGGCCGGGAGGTCACCACCGGAACACGGTCTATTACATTATCAGATTCAACGATTACTTGCAGTAAGTGGAGTTCCGAGACGAGAGACAGGGCTTAGGGCTTGCTCAGTGAGGTCAATGAATCGATAGCGCTCGTATCGGCAAACGTAGCTTCACGCTCAAGGCCACCGTAATAAGCCAAGATTTTCGAATGCTTGGCACACTATTTCGACCCTGAACCGCAGTCTTGCTATCTCGACGACAACGACAACACCTTGCAGTCAATTCAACCGTCTCCCAAACGTCGCCAGTAAGCCTCTCACCTCGCATTGTGCATGTCGCCGTCAAGCACCTCTCTTTTCCAGCCAAGGCAACCCGTTCCGGCTATGCCTACCATCACCGCCCATGAAGAAACTTCTCCCACTTCAATCAACCAGAAAACAACGAGAAACAAAGCTAACGCACAACTTTTGCAGACATGACGAACCGAGGCAAACCCAGAGGTCTCAACGCCGCCCGCAAGCTCGTGCAAGCGCGCAAAGACGGTCGATGGGCCGATCTGCACTACAAGAAGCGCCTGCTCGGAACCGCCTACAAATCCTCCCCATTCGGTGCTCATCGCACGCCAAGGGCATTGTGCTTGAAAAGGTCGGCGTCGAGGCCAAGCAGCCCAACTCGGCCATTCGAAAGTGTGTCAGAGTGCAGTTGATCAAGAACGGAAAGAAGGTCACAGCTTTCGGTAGGTAGTACCGATTTCCAGCCAGACTTGTGGCATGATGTGGACTGCGTGAAGGACTATGCGCTAACAAGATCTCTACAGTGCCAAATGACGGTTGCCTGAACTTCGTCGACGAGAACGATGAAGTCCTCCTCGCTGGTTTCGGTCGCAAGGGCAAGGCCAAGGGTGATATTCCCGGTGTGCGGTTCAAGGTCGTCAAGGTTTCCGGTGTCGGTCTGAGTGCTTTGTGGAAGGAGAAGAAGGAGAAGCCTCGGTCATAAAGCAGTAAACATTCGCCAAGCGAAGACTCTCAAATTCATGATGCACGTCAGGGCAAGGAGTAGGGTGCGATGCATGGTCTACCGATCTCTCTACGCTCAAAGATGCACGAGAATGCTCGCTACGGACGCAAGCCGAGGGTGAGCAAGCGACTGCTACTCGGAAAAGGCCGCTATGCGCCTCAGTCCTCAGTGGGTTCCTTTTCTTCAGCATTGTCAAAGTGATCCGACAGAAGAAACAGGGCGAGTATCTCGGGTCAAGGACTGCTGGAGGTAAGAAGAATACAATACCAATGACACCCTAACCAAGAAATCGCTGTGCTTCGGAGACATATTGAACTATATTGCGCTTGCTGGTCTGTTCGCTTACCCTCATCCTGCTGCCGGGATTCTTCTTCGCTTGCCCACTCACCACCACCTATGCCCGTTCGTACCCTGAAGTCATCATGGGTCTGAGACCAGCTACCAGCAAACGAGTGATTCGTCCACACAGCCCTCATGCAGCCCAGGAAGCTCGCCCCATTAAGTAGCAGCGACTGCTATCTTAACATGACAATCAGCCAGCTGACTCTCCTTGATTGCTGTCGGGTAGGAGAGAGGAAGAACTCGATGGCAGGACAGACTACTTATAGCTCGTCGAGGAGGTGAAGATCAGGGCCAGGCACGGTTACCTTCGCTCATTTGAGTCGTTGGACACGTATGCACTGTCCTGCATGAATCAGACTTGCGCTGCTGCCTGGTGTGTGCACTTGGATGGGCTCGTCCGTGAAGACAGAGTGCAAGTAATGTAGCTGAGACCACGGCATCTTCGACTCTTTGTCACTTCAACCTCGTTTCACCTCAAATTACGCTCGGCCCTCGAACTACGTCGAAGGACACGGCATTTCCCTTGGATGATAGCGAAAACACGTATAGAACGCAGTTGGACGGTTGGTAAGTCGAATGAAGCAGATACCAAGACGCAATGAGGAGCTGCCGGCCAGCCTAGGCATACAGACACCACGATCTGAGCTTCATGTATCGAATGGGAGGTGACATCCCGTGCTGGCCTTGCAACTCCAGTGCATTGCAGTTTATCCACCAAACACCCCTTCGAGTACACTGGTGGTTATTATGCCTGGTATCCATGATAACAATATCTTTCTAGCACCGGCCGGGGTCCGCTCCTTGATTGAATTACCGCTTTTGCTCGAAGATCAATCGAAGTCTGTAATCCAGTCTTCGCCGCTGATCCAATATGCCTTGTGGACGCTCTGTGAATGCTGCCCACGATCTGGTCTCATCCCGACTGGAATTTTGCTGCAATTGCCTCATTGCGTCCCTGCACGGGAAGGATCCCTCCCCATAGCTTTCACATAGCGAGCACACATCCAGCCATCACCAAAACTTTGTCTCCGTAACCCACCCCAAGAACCCACCATGATCAGGCCGTTCCTACCGACCATAATAATGCGCCATCTCCAATCCCGCCCGCTTAAACCCACACTTGACATAAAACCCTTCATTCGCCTCACTACAATCCAAAATACACTTATAGCACCCGACCTTCTCCGCCACGTAATCCAACGCTTGAATAATCCTCAGACCCAGCTTCTTCCCCTGCTGGTTCTTCGCGACAGCGATGTCCTCGATGTGCCCGACCAGGCCCATATTGTGAATGAATTTGCGTTCGACGAGGACGGAGCCGGTGCCGACTATGCTGGAGGTGGGGGGGAGGGAGGGGTCGAGGATGACGAGGGTGTGGTAGCTGGGCCGGGGGTTGTGAGCATGTTCTTGAAGTGTGTGGAGAAATGATCGTAGGTGGGTTCGCCGACTGTGGTCAGGACACGCAGGGTGTCGAGGAAGCCTGTGGGAAGGGAAGTTAGTCGAGGGTCTGATGGGTGTGATGGGGAAGGGTTGTTTGGGTGTTGGGCGAGGTGGGCCAGAATAGGGACTTGCCTTTGTGGTAGTCGCTTCGTCGAAGCGGGCGGATAATGTAGCCTTCTGGCAGGAGGGAGGCGACTTCGGGAGAGATCAGATCTGGTGAGAAGAGCGGTGTCTCTTCGTCGTCCGCCTCGGCCTTGACCTCCTTTGCTGGGTCCGCAGTCTCTACCTGCTCTTCGGGCTCTGTGGTCTGCTCAATCCCGTTTGTTCCATTGGGCTCGCCAGCCAAGGCCTGTAGGGGCACCGGCGCGGCATCGTCTACAGTGGACTGTTGTGTTGTGCCGTTGATCTCTTCTGCGGTGGTAACCACCAGGCCTTCTGTCGCGGCGTCGGCGGCCGTGTTGATCTCCTCTGCTGTCACTACTGGTAGATTGTCATCGTTGTTTGGGGGTGTGCTGTTGTCGGCAGGCTCCGCTGCGGTGGTGTTGCCATTAGTCTCGTCTATCGACGCTGGTGTCCTCGTCTCGGTCTCCGCAGGTGTTGAGGCTTTGCTGATGTGTCCTCTTATTTGTGCGATTTCGGATGAGGAAAGTGACTGCTCTGGTACGGCGTCTGGTACAGGCATCTTCTCAGCCGGGCTCTCAGGCTGGACAATCGGACGTAGTGATGCTGCTAGCATGCGATGGGCCGTCGCAGAGATCTGGGGCCGCAGATCGTAATGTATAGGTATTTGGTTGTGCAATCTAGGAAACGAAAACGAGTGCTTTTGCTACGGCTGTAGGACTAGGAACGTTATGAGGAAAGGAGTGACGTGTGTTGTTCAAGCAAAATTCCAACACGGACCAGGTTTGTGTCGGTGCTTTTGTTTCAAGATGCTGAGACAACGTGCCCAAAAAGTTCGGTAAGCGAACAGAAATAGACGTCGCCATGGCTGAACTCTTGCTTGGGATTGGCTGTTTCAGGCGTGAGTTCAGCGATTTTCAGGGGTACAGAAACTCGCTTCCGCCCGGAGGTTTGGCACTCGGGTTTGTAGGGCGGGGCTGTATCTCAGACCGGATGACAAGGGTTGACTCGAGGGAAGGGCACAGGACTCCGTAGGTGCGCCATGGAGGGTCTGACTCGTATTAAAGATGGCATGAGAAGATAGCACGGATCATAGCTGGCGACCGGCGCTTGATGAAGGAGAGCACGCTATAAAGACCAACAGGTAGTTGATGCACCTTCTGACCATTGAGTAATATATTTGGAGCTTGGCCTCTCATTAGCATGCTAGCAAGGGCCTCTTCAGTAGGTGGAATACTTCAGTCTCCCTTACAGGACGAGCCTGTTCTGGCGATCTGCCCTCATCGTCGGCCCCTCGCCCTTGCTCCCTGACTGACCTTGACAAACTCGATTGGGAATTTTAGCTTCGCGAACTTGACCTTGGTGGCGACCTTACTGTCCCCCTTTCTCAACCTCTCTAAGCCCCACATCGCGATTTCCGTGTCACTCAGCGGCTTGTTCTGGCACCCCAATTCTCGATACAGCTTCAGCATCTCATCAATGTCCTTGCCCAGGTCGCGAGCGATGTCGGTCGGCTCGGTCACGAGGACTTGTGTATCTGGTACACGGCCTGCTGGAGGAATGTGTAGCGTAAAGGCCAGAATCGTTGATCTCAACAACGTCATCGCTGGTGCCGTAGGCATATTGTCGGGAAAGAAGTGTGAAAAGTGATTGAGCAGAGATGCAAAGGGAAGTATGGCGCACATGTCCTGGATATTTGCAGCGTCTCGATCAAGGCGGTCAAGTTGTCGTCGAGGTTTGGCGGCTGCGAGGAATTTGTGAAGATAGAGAAGAAACTCGATGTATCGAAGGAGACGAATATGCGTCTTGACAAGCGGGAGAAAGCGGTTCGGAGACTCGCCCGTTTCGAGAAGTTGTGCTTGTCGTTGTAGGAGAGGTCCCGCGCGGTTGGCGACGAAGTGAAACGCTGAAACAATCGGCTTTGGCGGCGTACGCGAGGCATAGGATTCCCACTTGGCGACGGATATGTCGTCGAGTGTTGCTTGACCTCTGGGCCGGACCAGTCTGCTGATAGCATAGACTTCACGAATGTCTGTGGTGGTGAGGTTGGCTGGTGGAAGAGGTTTGTTCGATTGTGCAGCGGCCTCCTGTGAAGCGCCGAAATCCGGGTCGGCGAGAACATCCTCCTGTTTCACACTTGAGCGAATGGCCTCGGAGAGACTGTCGTTGCCGCTGCCTCGAGCCAGAAGGCGATTCTCAGCAGCGCCTTGCAAAGCCTTGCGGGACTTCTTGGTACCAAATGCTTCGACGAGCGCGGCGCGAGATGCTCTTTGGGAGGGCGTTGGATGTTCATTCTCGCTGTCCGAGTCCGCTTTGTCCTGCTCTACCTGTCGCACCGTTGAGCGTGCCGCTAGCTTTTTGGCCTCTGTGACCGTGAGTTGTTTCGTGGCAGGGTCGAATATTGCAACGTAGTGCTTCGTGTGTGCTTCTGAAGTGGTGGTAGTGCGTGTCTCTCGGGCGGTGAAGTCGATTGTGTCATGGTCGGAAGAGTACAAGAGCAATTCCGGATCTTTGGACCTGGTCGCGTGTGCTTGAAAAGTGGTGTTGGCAGCCAAGACTGTCCCAGGAGATGTTACAATTGCTGGCTTTGCAATACTGTTGCTGGAGAGGTGCTTGACGGAAACCGTGCCCTGTAGAGCTGGTCTTTTCGGATTAGGTCCTCCTTGGTCCGATGACTTGCGCTTCTTGTCTGACATCCTCGACCAAGAGTGCCAATTGACTCCCTCTGCTGTTCTTCTACTTGCCTGCTCGTCAATCGAGACACGAGACAAATTTAGTGATTTGGAGAAATTTAAATGACGACGATCTACGGCGAAGCATACAGCTCTGGATCGTAATTTTGCACTTCCGTCCGCCTCGAACCCAAGACGGAACATAAGACACAGTGCTGCGTATCATGATCGGAGGATGTGGGAAGCGGCCATGGAGGGCGACGTGTGGAAAGGCTCGAGTGGCTCCCAAGGGAGGTCATCGATGGCGCAGGAGTGCATGAATGGTCTAGAACTTAAGGTATCGGAATTCAGTTGAGCACGCGAGCAATGTTTGCGACGGTTGAAATGGAAAGGCATGTCAAGAGCTCAGTACACATGGGGTCACGATAGAGAACAAGGAGGAACATTGTTTTGTGGTCACAGAATGACCTTTTCTTGGCTTTCATTGGTATGGTACTGGATGTCAATCCGGCAGCAATTTTAATAGTCGGCTCATGGTCGGTTCGTAGTGAGCGCTCGGTGCTGGCCAGAGACCGTAAGCAATCCATCGATCAGCTTCATGATATGTTGACCACCTTCCCTCCTCCCTGTACGTAGCTACAGCTAGCTGTGCCATGCGGTGGGGCCGGATCTCAAATCGTGTTCTCAGTGGTTGCAGAACAGATACAGTCGGACAGTGTTGCTTAGTTTGCCTCGAGTCAAGGCTCTCGGTGCTCAGTCGGGGCATATGACTGCATTGTGTGTTTGAGTTGTTGACGTTGGTCGAGAGTTCGGGTGTGATGAAGCAGCTGGATGCGATTACTTGCTGCGGGCTGTTCTCCTATATTAGTCTTGCTACTTGCAGCAACAGCGCAGGAGACTCACCTCGGGTCTTTCTTCTCTTACGCTTGAGTCTTCTGACTCGCTTCTTTCTCCACTTAGCTCTCATCTTTGCGGTGGGCGAAGATGAGGTTGGGCGATGGAAGTGGTAAGAAGAACAACAGGTTGGACTCGTGCGGGGGAGGTTTTCAATGGCACACAATTTCAGTCCTTGGCGGGACTTTTGACCTAGTTCGAATGCGGTTAGACCAATGTGCCCGTGACGTTCGACTGCCAGCGAGGTCGCTCCTTCCGACTTTGTTGCGAATTACGCAGTGAGAATCCTATCTGGATCGTCACTGCCGTACAGAACATGTTGCTCGATATCAGGACCGTTTCGAGTTCATGTCAAGGTGCTGAGACCAACAACGGTAAGCTGGCAGACAGCTGCACGTCGCTGCGTGCAAGGTGATCTAGGTGCAGCATCGCTTTGTCTCCTTCCTGCATGCTTCAGTCGTTTCTTCTGTTCCAGCTCAGCGTGCTCGCCAACGTGTAACCATGCCGCCATCGAAGTTCATCCACCCAGCAGCGATGCTGCCACCACCTGCAGTCAATCGCTCGAAGACCAAGCGATCCATTGCTCCGCCAAGTTCATCGCCAGCCAGTTCTTCTCAGCCACGCAGCGTTGGTATGTTGCAGCAGCTCAATCGCGAAGGAGTCGTTGTGGCCGGTAAGTTCTACCTCTCTTTGCAGAGGCCTCTGTCAATACTAGTCCTTACAGTGAGACATATTGTGCCCGGTAAAGAGCTTCTTGTTGGCAGAGATCGCCAGAGATGGTAAGTCCGGGGCTTCGAAGCCTTTCATCGGCACTCACCCATGCAGCCAACTGTACATCGACGATCCTCATGTTTCTGCCCGTCACTTACGCATCTACACGATCACTTACGACAGTGATGATCCTACGGAGATCGGTACACTGGTCTACGCGGAGGACTTGTCCCGGAACGGTACCTTCTGGCATGGCTCCTTGATAGGTAAAGGAAGAGGCGGCTTCCTTTTGAGCGAAGACGATATCTTGAAGCTCTCTGCCGAGGTCAGCTTTCGATTCAAGATGCCATATCCGCGTGAGCAAAAGTCGTACTTTGACGAAGTCCTCGACGAAGAAATGGAAGTGAGTGCGTTACCGTAGTTGCACTGCTGCAGACTCACATGATGACACAGAAATTCAAACAATCGTACACAGTCACAGATCGCTTGCTGGGCTCGGGCTCGTTCGGCAAAGTCTTCATGGCTGTTGAGCAGAAAAGCCGTGTACAACTTGCATGCAAGATCGTGGATCTAAGACCGCTACAGCGCAGAATGCGTTTTGGAAAACCTGAAGAGCCCCTACCTGCGGAGGATGTCAACCTCAAAACCCAGGTGCGCAAGGTCAAAGTTTGGAGCGAAAGACAGAAACCGGAGAACCAGCTGGATCCGAAGCTCAGAACATACTATCGAGAGTTCGAAATCCTGTCAAGCATCCGCCACCCCAACATCATTGGGCTGGAAAAGGTCTTCGTGACTGACAACACAATGTAGGTGCTAATTGTACCAAACTCTCAGCCTACTGATCTCGTCGCAGCTTCATTTTCCAGGATCTGATCACCGGCGGGGACCTCTTCTCGTACGTCGAGTCCAAGAACGGCAGACTTACAGAAGTCGAGGCCGCTGTCATCACCCGCCAAATCACACTCGCCGTGGCCTTTCTCCATGGCAATAATATTGTCCACAGAGACCTGAAGCCAGACAACATCCTCATGACCGAGCTGTCTACAGGATGTCGCGTTGTCTTGACGGACTTTGGTGCGGCCAGAAAAATAAGTTCTCCTTTGAGTCGGATGGTCTCGATTGCAGGGACAGTGGAATATGCTGCGCCGTGAGTGTTTTCGCTTTCGAAACCGCTAGACTAACGACCTTCGCAGTGAGGCTGAGCAAGACTTGCAGGGATCGTCTCCTGGCTACACCAAAGCTGTTGACATGTGGTCGCTTGGCTGCATTACAGCTATTCTGTTGACGGGAGCATCAGCCTTTGCCGATCCTGCGACAAGAATCTTTTCCGAGACTCTTGCCAGACAGGCTAATCTTGACGCTCTTCACACGTCACGGGAATGGCTTGCAGTACGTGAGCGTCCGAAAGACTTTGTGGACAAACTCCTCCTACTCGAGGAGCACAAGCGGATGACTGCTCAGCAAGCTTTGAAGCACGAATGGTTTTCGAATGATTTTCACAGAGCAGACTTCGAAGAGCTGTACAAGCGAACTATCAAGCACTGGGTAGCCAGACCTACAAGAACTGACCTCATCAAATTTATGGGAGCTGGTAGGCTACGACGCATTGCTGAGTCTGAGGGTGTGTTCGAGGGGAAGCGTGCAGGCACTTTCTCTGGGGCCGCCAAAGCGGGCAAGGCAATCGAAGCGCATATGCAGCCTTTTCCAAGACAGATGCATTCCGCTCTATGGCCACCAAAGAGACCACATCCAGGTTACATATCGCCTACGACAAAAGCGATAATCCAAGAAAGCTGGCCGTCACCACACAGTCTCGATGCACGTTCCGACGAGGACCCGCAGCCCAAGTCAAAGCGCCGGAGGACAAGTTCTCCTTCTGTCGAGGTCTCACCAACCAAGACCATGCAGAAAACTCCTGGGCTCAAATCGAAGCTACTTCCAAAGAGTCCGGTCTTACCGTGTACACCGCGCAGGATCGGCAAAACGCTGAGCAACACTTCTATGCCTCTGAGACCTGCAGCTGCAGAGACACAACGCAATGTGCGAAGAGCTGACACGACTGCGCCCTGGATGGCTGCCTCCGTTGCGAAGAACGTGTCCATCCCCCAAACATCGGCTGCAAGTGATCTGGAAAGCCCATCGAAATCGGGCAGTGAATCCAGATCAGCTCCTGGGCTTAAACGGATGTCCAGCTTCCGTGACGTCTCGCTTGAGCTAGAAAGTCCAAGCAAACCGCCGAACAGCAGCCTCAAACGACGTCCATTGTCGACGCTTTAGGGGTTTCACTCGCCTCACTCGCACACGGACACCCCGTCACGCACGCGTCGAGGTTCTTCAATCTTTGAACTTTTCGATGATGACACGAGAGACTCTCCGATGCAGTCCGCCGAAGCAGGGCCCTCTACCCCTCGTGCTGGTCGGCATGTTGACGACGATGAAGATCTCACCGAGGCGCATCACGCGTCTGCTTTACCAGAAGAGATGAATACTACTACTGGCTTGTAGCTCTGAAGGACTCCTGGTGGTACAATAACGGTGGAGTGCCTCGTACGCGCGGAGCAGGCGCGTGTTGTGCGTAGCATACATAGTCATGACTTCGTAGTGGCTGTCGTCCCAAGGAACGTACAGTAAAGTAGTGATCATATTGCCACCCTGTCTCATTACTGCCTACCCTTGAGGGTGTGGCTAAAGCCCGCCTCAACCAAGAACACCAAGCCCAACGCCGATATGGATGTATTTATGGGCGGCAGTGAAAATATGTCTGCTGATCGAGCGCCGGGGCGTGCTCAACACCTAGTAGTATTTAGGAAATGGGAAGAGGCAATATTTGGATGCCAAGATTCAGGCAACTTCGGGTTTACGACGATTCATGTGTCTTCGATTGCAACTGTACCTAGTTGGCAGCTTTCTCGGGTCAACAAAGTCCTACACGCATACAGACCTTGCTGCACGGTCTCAAAGCCCTTGATAACAATTCACGAATCCCAAGAGAATCGAGACAAAGTCCGCCCTGGGGCAACCCCTCAAGATGGCTGCACACCTCGAAAACCCAGACACCCTCTTCCACGAAGTCTTCTCGCACCTCTCACAACTCCAGCAGACGCCATCATCACGTCTAAATGATGACCTACTACGCCGCGCCGGTCACGCCGTCGACACAAGTACACCACATGCGACCCTCTGGCAGCTGCTGCAAATCGGAGAAGCCCTCCTCAGCACCATTACCGGCGATCCTCAACCCTTGACTCGACTTCTACAACGCGTGGTTGAGAGCATTCCATTCGACGAACTAAGCTCAAGTCTGACCCCAGACAAATTGATCGACGGTCTGAAAGCGCCCAGCAATGCGATTCAGTTGTTGTGTATAGCATATTTGACTCGGGCGGCCTCCAGGCCTAGTGGGGCGGCGTGGGTGGCCAGTAGCTCGGCATTAAGCAACAACTTCTGACGACATGGCTGAGTAGCGAAAGCGCCGAGGTTGCTGAAAGAGCACAGGAAGGAATTGTGGCGTTGCTGGAGGTGGATTCCCCGGAGTCGACGACGTTCGCGAGTTCGATACAGAGCAGTGGCTCATCCCAGGCGGCCTCCCGGGTAGCGAGCTCTGGCAATGCTGCACAAGGACAGGGGTTGTTTTCGCGCCGGATTTTCCATGACCAGGCATGCTATGTGGTTTTCTACCGCTGGACAACCCTGGAGGCCGCCTCGAACCATGATCTTTCAACAAAGAAGGGCCGTTCTCAGGTCTCAATATCCCAGGCTAGACTTCTCGATTTCCTGCCGAAGGTCGCCCTGTTCGACGTTCCGTCAATCTCGACCTCTACTCTGCCAGAAATCGAACGGCCGTTCCTACGCCGGGAAAATGCAGGCACCCACGCCCCGGGGAGCCCGTATGGGGGCCTCCTGAAGTATGCTGCGAGGTACATGATCGACAAGGACGATTTTCTGATGGTGGTACTGTGGAAAGAGTTCTTCGAGAAGTTGTTTGCGGCGATTCAGGAGAGCGGCACAAGGCGCGTGCCTTCAAAGATGCTCGAAGCCATCGCGCATGATGCTGACGGCGGAAGGGAGGCAGGTAATGATCATCCGAATGGCGACGGTATCCATTTGTGAGCACGAGCCGATTAGCAGACGCCAGCCCGGTACACGATTGATCGCAGCCTCAACAAAGGCCGCCCTGAAGCGCTGCCAGAGGATTTGTGGGGACAACTATTGCTAGGAACAATAATGTGGCATGGGTCCGACGACTGCTTTCAGACGCCCTTCCTCGCCACCACGCATACATAATTTCCCGTCTTCGACCTGGTCCCAGCATCCATAGCCGCCAATTCCTTCTCCATCGCCTGACCCAGCTTCTCCTTCTTCTCTCCCTCCGGCAACGCTTCAACAAATTCGGCAAGCCCTCGCTGAAGTTCCACCGGATCAGCACATTTTCGTACGTCAATTGATCTCGCTTCCACGGTACATGTTCCAGCTTCGCCTCGGCGTACCCGTTGTCCAAACAGAACTTATCCATCGACGCTGTCCAGCGCGAGTTCGTCTGCACAGGCACGATTGAATCGAGCAGGCTATGGAACTCGTTTAGTCCTTCTGAGATGCTGGCGTTCCCTTGGTCGTCGAAAGTCACATCCGCGATCGCGGGCACGCGCGGCTCTGTCCACTGTAGCCAGCCGTTGGGTTTGAGCATGGCGGTGAAGTTTCTGATGGCTGTGACGCGGAAGTCAGGTTTCGGCCAGAGCACGGGGTTGATGAAGCGGATGTGGATTATGTCGAATTTGGAGAGGTATTCGGTGGGTGGTGGCTGGAAGAAGTCGTAGGTTGCGAAGGTGACGTTTGGGGGAAGGGATAGGGGGTTGGGGAACATCTCGGAAGAGATATCGAGGCCTGTTATGTGCACTGGACGGCTGTTGGGTGTGTTTGCGAGTGAAGAGGCGAGGCGCATAGCCCAGATGCCGTTGCCAGTTCCCAGGTCAAGGATTTGGAGTGGTTCAGTGGGAGCGACATTGGCTGTGGACGAGCTGGTGGTGAGACCGGTGGCCTCGGCGATGCCTGGGTTTAAGAGGTAGCCGACGCGGTCGATGATGAGGTCATGTTGGCATGTCAGTCGGGCGGAGGCGAGGAAGTTGCGATTGAGCCAGTAGTCCGGTTTGTCGTCTGTGACGCCGACCGTCCCAGCATTTTCCTGCTTAGCCATAGTCTTCACCGGCGGTCGAGTCGGTTCTAATCAAGACGAAGATGTCGTAGATTTCATGATGCATGACCAACGGCCCTGCTGCCTGCCTTTTGTAGCCTGCTCGGAGCATAAAGCTATACTCGATACCGAGCAATGGGACGCCTGGGCAGAGGACAAACGAGTAGCCCCATATTGCTAAGTTAAGCCGCTTTTGCGAAGGGCTCGGATTGCCGGCATTCCCATTGGCCGTCAGGTCTGATCCGGGTGGCCGTGGTGCAGCAATGGCATACTGGGTATCCCCATGTGTTGGAGCATCGTCACGCCTTTACAATACTGCCTCGAAAGAGCGGGCTTCTGCACACGTCGTGCGTTTGTTGGGACAATGATTTCGATGAGCTCAGTGAATATTGAGGGCACATGTACTCTGTACAAGAAATTCAACTTGACCCGTTACCAAGCCCCGTAGGCTTCAACAAAGCGAGACCCATTATACCACTCTGCTCTTGCGTACATAACGACATGCCTTCGCTTGCTCAAGTGCGCCACAGCTCAGATAAAGATATGACCAACACCATATCCAAAGCACTCTTTCATCGACCAACATGGTCGCCTCAGATCTTGCTATTGCGATAGTTGGGTGGAGTCCTGTCCTTCCGACCACGAACAACCTGGAACACCGCAACGAGCATAGCAACAAGCATGGCCGCAACGGCACCCCAGCTCATCCCTAGGAATTGCGTTCCCCTTGTCGCGTGAATGCCAATCGGCTCGCCGTACTTGTTGATCGAGTTGACAGCCTTGACCGAGACCGCCGTCGCCATCGCTGCTGCGATACCTAGTGAGAAGAAAGCAAACTGCAGCGACTGTCAGCATCTGCCTTTCCAAGTAGCATCCCACTTTCGAGCACGTACCACAGACAACAAGAACACTCCACAAGCAATCAATCTCCCACCCGTGAACAGTGTCAGCGCCGCTGTGATGAGGTTAAACCCGCAAATCCAATCCCAATACACCAGAACGCAAACATGGCCACACTCAACACCCTCAACCCCCGACTCGCATCATCAATCTCGCTCGGCCACTGCAGATCCTGCAGTGTAATCCCATCCGGCAAATGCTCCTGAATAGTCTCACCAGGGTCAAACCTCGCCGCCGCGTTCCGCTTGGAACACTCCGTCACATTGCGTTTCGCGCCTTTCACCGTGCCGTTCGGCTCAAACATTCCCTGGCAGTAATTCATAACATGCACAACATAGAAGTCAGAAATGTTCAGTCGGTGAGTGAGTTCCTCGGCAGCATCGCCAATAAGATCGTTGACTTCGTCCTGCGCGGCGTTGACAAGGTCGTCGAGGAAGTTGTCGTCGGCGTCGGACGTGGTGTTGAAGACATCTGCCTGGCCGATCTGGGAGATGTTGAGCGTCATGATGTCGGCGGATTGGAGGAAGGTTCTGGTGCTGCCGGCGAAGAGGCAGAGGAGGGAAAGAATCAGGGCCGCCAGGGAGGCGGCGATGGTGAGGAGGGCCGACCACCTCATTTCGCCCGGTCGTGGCTTACTGTCTCAGTGAGGAGCGGGGGTAATAATTGTGTACTGTGGTGCGGGAAAAGACGAATCCAGCGCAGAACGCTCAGCGCAATGCCGCCGTGGCAGAAAAGCACGCGAGGAATTTGTTGTACAGATATGACACGGTATTGATATGACAGTGGAAGGGAGGACAGGGAGAGTGTCAGAAAAGGCGACAACAGTGCTTATAGATTTTAAAGTCCCAGCGCAACGTCGTTGGTTGAAACAACTCGTTGAACTTCGCGTATCAACCAATGATAAGGCATGATGCAACAGTATAACTTGTTATACTTCCTTGCCAGTAGCCCAGTAGTCTCCCCGTTGGCTCGTGTTTGGTACCCAGCAGACAATCTGAGCCACGCGACGATCCAGGTGTCAGAACATTGCTCGAGCAAAGTCATACGTCATTTTCAATATTTGCTGCCCTGGAATCTTGCCGAAAGTAGCTTAGACGGGGCTGGGCTGGATAGTCCGTGCCCCTAGTCGCGCCAGGAAGCGCCCACTCGAGGCGGCTAACCGAGCCCAAGTTTCCCAGTTTTTCAACGTCACTGACGCCCAATCATTCCAGCAATTAGGTTGAGGTGGTGCTGCGTTGGCGATGACTTGCATGCCAGTGATGTTGTCCAAGATCTGGCGACTTCAGGCACCGTGAAACATCCAGGGCGTTGGTGCTTCGACATACTATTGCTGTTGCTGCATACTTACTGATCACGTGGGTAGTCGGAACGCTCAGGTGCAGCGCCCAAACGAGACTGATCAAGGAGAGATCTTTCCAGAGGAATGCAGCAGCCCGCTGCCCATCATAGGCAACTTGATATTTGCCAACATCAATGTTTCGGATCTGCATCCTTGTAGAGTGCAAGCAATGATTCCTAGTCCGAGACACCACTCTCAGCAGCCTGTTGACCGCCGCCGGAGCCTTGCAGCCTCGCGCTCTCGTCTCGCAGTTGATTGATTGCGTTCTATGCAATTGATCAGTGCCCATTCCACGTCGCCGGCGAACAGCAACAGCGTGTAACAGACGATTTACTCACGGCTAGCGCCTCTGGATTGACACCGTTCTCCATGAGCGAGACACACAGGGAAAGTTGCGTGCGGTCGAGCTGAGTGTTCAGGATGACCGAAATCTCTTCCAGAATGTCGATGACTTCACGCGCTTTCTCCTTCTTGGACTCTTTCGGCGACATTGTGTGCGAAATGCGCGGTCGAAGCACTACGCCAGAAACTGCTCTTGGTGTCCGTCGACCTGTCGCATACCGATATGTGAAGGGAAAGGGCGATGGGGACTTCGCATCGGAAGGTGGGGTAGACGCGCCAAGGCCAGAAAGCGCGTTTGGCGCTACCAATTTTCTGGCAGCTGTGATATTCGTGCAACTAATCGGAAGGAATTGTGTAAATCATGAATTCGTCAAATATTGCATGAACCGCTACAACAAGTAGTATCTATTACCTCTTCTAGATGAACATCAAGCTGCCCTTCTGGCTCTTTTCCCGCCCTCCCCAAGCGAATCTGCCTGGGCCAGAACTCCCACCAGCTGGACTTGAACCATCACCCGTGTTTCCAGAAATGTTTCTCCGTCCTCTTTCACTCTCATCCACATCTTGATCTTTTCCATCAACGCTGATTATTCTTTTGCGCTTATCCACCAGTCTAAGGCCCCTCGATCTTCCGCTGCCGAGCTGACTTGCCCTCCTCAGCGCCTTCTGAATGGCCATACCAATCTCTCTGTCTTCTGTCTCACCGCTGGGTCGCCCATTATCGAAGGGCAAGCGTGGGGACTGATTTGCGGGTCCTGCTCTAGACGGCGACGAGACCGATGAGCTGGCTGTTGATTTCCATTCTTTTGTTCTACTGCTTGGCGTAGTCCCACCCTTGCGGGCGCGCGCCACTGTAAGCTCATTCAGCATGTCGTTTGTTGCTGATTCGGCGTTGCTAACGGATCGGATACGTCCGCCAAGGACATCGGGGCTCATGCCACCTCGGTATGGGGAGTGAGCGTCTGGTATCTCGTCTTCCCACTGTGAACCATCAGAGGACAAGGCGCTGGAGAACTGCCCAGAGGAGATTGATATTGGCCGAGCTGCAGATTGACCATACCCGAAGCCGCCGAACGGAACTGGAGTTCCGTTGTTTCGGCGCGTTGGTGGGCGCTGAGCTACCGGCGCCAAAATATGCGAATTCGTCTGATGGGTGAGTGGAACTGCAGGACTCTTGCCCAAGGGATCAAGTTTGCGCCAGTTTGTTACCGTTCCGGTCGGATAGGTGCTGACTAGTTCTGGGGACGATGATTCTTCTTCAACGATGGGAAACGTGCTGCTGGGTGTCCGCACTGTTTGGTTTGGTGACAACATGCGGGAGAGGGACGGCGTTCGAGATCGTGAGCTGGGATTTGAGAACAGCATAGAGTTTCCTTCAAGCCTGTGCTTAGCCCGAGTTCGATAGTACTCTTCTCGGCGCGACGAGAAATCCTCAGCGTCGATCTGGCTGGTCGAATTCGAGGGTGAAGCAGTCACAAGTCTCAAAGAGGGCTTGGTCGGTGCCGTTGCGAGCCCGGCCAGCGACGGTTTCGTATCGCTTAGGCCTGCTAAGGAACCAGAAGAGCGGCGGTTCGAGGCAGGGGCAGGGAACGGGAAGTTCTCCAGGTCTGACGGGCCAGCACTTGCATGCTTGTTCTCCTTGCCAGCGGCTGTCGAGGCGAATGTTGTCGCCCAGGACGATCGCGTAGGCGGCGGCTTGGAATTGCGATATGGATTGCCTGAGTTAAGGGAAGGTGTAAGAATACCCGAGCCGTGACCCAGGCCTGCGTTCGAGTAGCGGTTGGGAAGACCAGACCGCCTGTTGGTGACGTTTGATAGCACGCCAGAAGCTCTCTGATCAACACTTCGCCGACTGTTCGACCTTTTCGTTATCTTCGAGCTCGCAAGAGACTGCTTACGCTTTGGAGAGTATGCCGGAATAGGTGGCGGCGCCGGAGGGAATGGCACGGCCATTGGCTCGTTCTGGTCATTCGGACTCGGTGATTCGCTTCGCGTTGAGCGAGTTGACACCAGTCCTCCCCAATTCGAATCAAAAGATTCATGACCTTTTGCAGGACGCTTCTTCTGCAGACGCGATCTCGTCTTCTTGAGTGAATCTGGCGCCCATGGCAACTCGACTTGGGGCACCTTGCTGGGCGTCTGCACCATTTCCTGTCTACTCGTCCGGCGCGACGAGCCCGTCATTGCTGGTACATTGACCAAGGCCTCGCCGATGGAGACCTCGGATATGCCGGACGCCCCGTCAAGGTCAGCATCAACTTGATCGTCGCCCGGGACCTCCTTGTCTCTCTGTTTTCTTTGCTTCCTTCTGCGATACCACAAACAGAATAGGATTATAGCGAGGACTGCAAGACTCACCAGGATAACCGTCAATATGATAGCCAAGACATGAGTTGGCTTGCCCTCTGCATTCTGGTCTGCGGCCTTTGTAGCTGTAGCGATGCCACTACTCGCAGAAGTTGCCGCCGACACAGTTGAGCTGCTGCTGCTTGATGCGATTGAATCCGCTGCAGCGATTGACAGCTTGATTGGGTAGGTTGTGTTCTCCCCATCTCTAGTCACGCTGAGTGCCAGGTTCTCACTCGAAGCTCCGATATCGTCTGGCACCTGGCCGTAAAGTGACATGTTGGTCTCGGAGAATGAAAGCCAGCTAGCTGTACTGCCTAGGTCTATTGAGACGGCATCGCCGACTCCAATGATTGAAGGGTCGAACTTGAAATTCAGATACTTTCCGGCCTGCGCCTTTAGATTCAAAGTGTCACCGGTCGTCGCATTTGCAGACGCAGCCGTGGACCCCGATTGGAGCATTACAGTCAGATTCGCTACATCGCCTGATTCATCGTGAGCTGTGATGGTAACCATCTGAGCGGTGAAGTCTGCCGGTGGCGTTCCACTCAGACTTATTGTTGTAGCGTCGAGACTGAGCCATTCAGGAAGAACTGCTTGAACTGTGCCCAGATCACCTGCACTGATCGGCGAGCCATCTAAGTATAGTGCGTCTCGATATGATGGTGACACAAATTGCTCGTCTTTGGTGACATTCAACGTCGTTGTCGCAGACTGAAAATAGAACAGTCTATTAGCCACCGCGATCGTGAAAGCGGCAGCACTTTCTGAGAAACCGACGATGTCCGTGGCAACAATTTTTACGCCGTATGTCTGTTGCTGTTCGATGGACGAGAGGGTCGGCGGCGTCGAGCCCGCAACGCGTAATTGTTGTGGATCGAACTGGATCCATGGTGGCAGAGGCGAATTATTTGCGGACACTGCATAATATGTCGAGGACAGACTGGTGCCTGAAAAGATCTGCGGAGAAAGAGGTATTGAGAATGGTGTAAGCGGCCTCAGAAAGAGTGTGGATGGGCCCTGGACCGAGCCGACTTTGCTTAAGGAAGGAAGCACTGGCTCGCCAGCCCCAATGCTTTGCGAGCGAGCTACCACAAGTGTTACAGTGACTGTAGTGGTGCCGGTCGTGTCGGTAGCACTGAGATCGAATGTGAGCGCCCCGACATCCCCCTCATCTGGCATACCACGCAATGTGCGCGAGTCCGACACTATCGATAGCCATTGAGGACCGTTGCTGATGGCATACTCAATTGGTTGGACTTCGGAACTGAAGGTAGTGTCTGCAAATGTGAAGCTGTACAGCTTAGAAGCATATGCGACAGGTGGTAGCTGCGAATTGATCGGAAAGGCGACTTGCGGGGCGCATCTGACCGGTCTCGTAAGTAGGATGAAGCTGGCCAACGAGGCTGCCCAGGTCTTGTGCCGGCGCATTCACGCTGTGATTGTGGCATCGACTTCGCAGGAGTTGGCATTATCCAGTGGTCACTATGTCAGCAGTTGGCAGTGGACGATAGAACGGGGATTCCTGCGCAGATGACTGCGCATTGCCTCAATTACCGCCTCCTCGGCGCGGATAGCGAGGGATGGCTGGTGTCAGCGAGACGCGCTGCAAGGGATAATTCCACACTTTGGCCACCGCGCACGCGATGAGAATGCTTAAGCTTTCGCGAGAAACGCATGACGAAGCTTCCCCATCAGACTAGAAGGGGGAAGCTCAGAGACATTGGAATACCTGATGAGTTGTCGCAATGCTCGAAGAGATTACTTAGCTGAGCCCTGTCACGGTGACCAGGTCGCCCGCGGTAGCTTGCGCCTCATTGTATCGTGCTAAGGGTCCTCGTCGAACATCAAGAGATTGAGCTCATGATATCGATGAAACTTGTCCTTGCTCATTTGGTCGTGCGACCATCTGCTGTTGTTCAAGATGCATTTGTGGAAGGGAGCAGAGTCAATAGAGCTCTCTGGAATAATCGCCTTGGCGTTTCTGGAGGACTTCCAAGGCTTTCTGCAGAAAGGCCACACTGTGACGATTTTTGTCGCCGTTGCTACCTGATTTTCGCTACAACAACTTTGCTGTGTTGATCCCGCCGCGATATAGCTGATAGCACGTTGACCACAATGTTGATGCGATCATTTGTGTATCAGAAATGCCAGGAGCATGGGAATAAGGCCAGGCGCGAATTGCGAGAATCGGTTAACTGAACGTCGAATTGCTCCGTGGCCTATCCCTCTGCCTACACCACACGCAGCGGACACCTCACTCTCCATCAACAGCATGACGAAGCTATAGTCGGCCGTGTCTCATGCAACTCTGAAGCAATGGCGATCACGTTGTCGCACTGATGACCGCTTCTGCGGGTACCCACCTTCTAAGCTTGAACCCATAGTGCGTGCTAAATGGAAAAATATGACTCAACAATATGGTTAGCGAGTATCGACAACTCTGACAATCTGATACACGCGTTCACTAATGACAGAAGTATATCATGTAGTGCCGGGTCTGAGAGTCCTTCAGATCAGCTGAAGCCTGTCTGCGGCTGGTCAAATAAGTTATCACCACAATATCACGACGTGAAGCTTTTCGACCATGACAGAACCATACACCTTGCAAGGAGCTGCGCAGAGACAGCAAACTTACGAGATAGTGCTCCGTCCGCTCACCACCAAAAATGACATCCAGCGTCTGACAGACATCAACCGTGATGCCATGGCTCCGGATCTGCTGTCTAAGTGGATGGAGATGTACACTCCACGAAGCGAGGCCGAAGGTGCAAGGCTAGCTCTAGAGGAAGCGATGAAAGACAGCGACAATGGTGAGAAAGTATCAGATGGAAATTACGGTACTGTGACGGCCGTTGTACGATCTATCGCAGACGACGAGGACCAAGAAGTTATCGCTGGATTCGTCTACTGGGAGGAAGGTTACATAAACGTCGGGTCTCTTCAGGCGAGTGCTGCGGCGGATGCAACTCCTGTCCTGTCAAACCCTGCAAACGACGTGGAGCGTGCCAGACAAGCACGTCTCGCACTGGGTACCGAGATCTATGCGCACTCACGGCAGCATTATATTAAGACGATACAATGGCGGCGGCACGTCTTCGTACGGCGCTTGATGGTTGACCCGTCGTATCAGCGAATGGGCATTGGCTCTCTCCTCTTGCGGCATGTTACATCGCACGCAGACCAGAACGCCATGCCTTGTTGGCTGTATTCACGACCTGCCGGTGTGAAATTGTATGAGCAAGAAGGCTTTCGGGCGGTCGGAACAACAGAGCTGTCGACCGCAGAGCTTCCTGGAGTAGGCATCAGCCTCGGAATGGTCAGGTGGGAGCAAGGTCCTGGGGTGGGAGACTGGTGAGAGGGAGGATGGAAGAGTTTCCCAGCCAATGCGTACGTCAACGCCGAGACACCACCAGCTAGAGTCTGTACTAGGAAGAAGAGGCATCCTTATCGTGGATAAGTAGTATGCCTTCAGCAGAAACGACATCTCAAATGGTTCTCCTATATCCTGCCTCTGCAACATGAGTCTAATCTACCTCGTATTTGGGCGGAAGGCTTTTCATAATTGTGATCGTCTTAGTCGCCACCTTCTCCCGGTCGAAGTCTTTCAACATCCTCACCTACACATCCGATAATTAGCATTTGACATCGAGCTCCATACACCTAGACAACGCACATCGGAGTACTCACATTGACCGCCAGTCTTGCCTCTGCTTCCGGTCCTTCCATTCTCTTCATAGTCTCCGCCAGGTCCGTGTACAGGAAGCAGCCGCACTTGCCGCAGTTATAGTGCGGATTCTGCTTTCCTGCACTCCGATACTCCACTATATGCTCCTTCCCTCTGGTAACGGTGAAGTATTTTGTTTGAGGATGCACGTTGATAGCGCCGACCCGATCACAGTGTGAGCAGTCGCATTCGACGGCGGTCCAGCGTTCCTTGCCCTGTGCGTGCTCGACATACAAAGGTGGTGATAGCTCCATGCTGTACTTCACCGCTCCACAATGGCAGTGTAAATCGTAGTTGGCTGAAATCCCGTTCCCAGAGGCAGGCCATGGAGGACCCGGACGCGCCATTGTTTGATGGAGTATGAGTACCACGGGCGTGGAGTGTAGAATGGCAGAAAAGGGAGAGTTAAGAGCATTTCAAGTACACACGTTCATATATACTTGGTCTAAGAGCGTCCACTTACCTTAGCTTCGGCATCGAAGGATCTTGATCAGGCACCAAGGAGATCCAAAGTCGGTCTAAACCCCGACGAGACTCGCAAGCGCAGATTTTGCGCGAAACTGTTCCGCTGTGGCTATGGTCAGAGCTGCATCAGCGCGCGTATCCGTAAGGCGACCCTCTTGCTGTCGAAAACGATGTCTTGTACGACGGCACATCTAGCAGCCGGTCCGTTGTGTGTCGTGCGGCTTGGCGCCAATGCTCCTTCCGAGCTTGCCAATAAGAAGCCAGAAATTTCTTAGAGCATACGGACCAGCAACACGCACGAAACGCGTCCAGTCCGACGGGGTTCACCACATAGTCTGGGGCAAAGGCCACGAGAGTCGCCGTCATTCAGCGTATTCGTTCGAGCCGCTTGAATAATCGAGGTACGTGACGTCATCGAGAAATGTTGAGCCGTTCGGAGAGCACTGCTTTGCATTTTGCGAGAATTCGCCAAAATTGTTCTGTTTCACCAATAATGAGCCCGGCGTGCAAAGTCGCCCAGTGCTCAAAGCAGAGTTCTCGTTTGCAAAGGCAATAGAGCACTCACACCGCGGAATTCTCGCCGCCCGAGAGTATTGGAGTTCACATTAGACACTGCCACGGTCTTCGGGAACCAGCAGCATCGAAGGACAACGAAAGCTGCAGCTCACTGATAGGACTGTCGATGCGCCGAGGAACTTTGCGACGCAATCTTTCTCACCTAGCATGGCCGCCTTGCCGCAGCTCTTCGACCAGATCGCCGTCCATGCCGGTGATGAGCAGATGTGCACACGCTGTCATGACTTTGTGTCCTCGTTCGCAGTCGACACATCTGTCGTGCTCGGCTCTTCCGTATACACATCATATCTATATTTCGCGCCGATGTGATCATCGCGCACGCCCTTCTGTCCAGGACCATATACCTTCTCGCGCGCGGTGAGAGGCTCGCTATTATTCCTGGCTTCCGGATAAATTCCTCTCTTGCGCAATTCAGGAATGAGAAGATTGACCACATCTTCAAATGTGCCTGGTCTCCCGTTAGCAGGAACGGGTATTGGGGAGACCGGAGCTGGAGACCAATGCCTCGCACGATTCAGTTTGATAGGGGCTTGCTTACCCGGTGTGGTCACGTATGCTAAATTAAAGCCGTCGAGATCTGCCTCCTCAACCCAATGCTCTAGAGCGTCTGCGACCTTGGATGCCGTGCCTACTCCGACTGGACCAAGTCCGCCGATAGCAGCTTTCTCGGCAACAACCCGAGGCGTCCATTGCGGCACATCAGGGCTGGTGGTCGTGAAAGCATCGAGCATACTCCTGACCTTATGTGCCTCCTTCGAATCCGCAGCTGTGATATCCTGGTCAAGAGGGATCTTGGAGATATCAATTCCTGTCCAACCGGAGAATAAGACTAGGCCGCCAATTGTCGAGGCGTACTTCTTCGCCTCTTCATACTTCTCCTGGGCCTCAGCCTCGGTACGCCCGATAATCGGAGTGAAGGTACCGAAGAACTTGACCGATTGAGGGTCTCTACCCTTCTGTGCGGCAAGTTCACGAATGTTGTCGATCTTGGGCCTCAGAACTTTCGGACTGTGTGAGGACACAAAAATTGCCTCGGCGTGAGTTGCAGCAAATTCTGACCCTGCGGACGAAGTTCCTGCTTGAAAGAGGAAGGGTGTACGCTGAGGAGATGGGTCTGTTATGTGTCGTGAATCTAGGTTGAAATACTTTCCGTGATGGTGAATGGTACGTATCAGGTCCGGGTTGAAGTACTCGTCTTTCTCTGCATCTGCAACAATGGCTTTATCTGACCAGGATCCTTCCCACAATCTGTTCGGCGGGTCAATCATGTCGTCCACACCTTGGATCACTCCACTTACTTATACAAGACCTGGAGATATTCGTGGGCCTGAGCATATCGTTCGTCATGCTCAATCGGGCTGTCGACGCTATCGCTTTGAATGCTGCCTTCTTCCACGAAGTAACGATGTTCCAGGCAATCCGTCCATTGGTCAGGTGATCAAGCGTCGAGAAGCGCTTGGCAAGAAGGAAAGGCGGCTCGAACGAAGTCGACGCGGTGATCCCAAAAGAGAGGTGTTTAGTGACTGCTGCCATTGCTGAGATCGGCTGCACGGCTCGTCAGCTAGGGCTCAGCTATTGCTACGCAAATCACTCACAATCGATGGATCGGTCATGGGCCACTGAGCTGCTCGACGAATGCAGTCGTCCAGGCTGTCGTTGTAAGTGTCGTATCCGCCATAGGTGTCTGCGAGGAAGAGAGCGTTGATGCCGCCACTCTCTAAGAGCTTTGCCAAGTTGATCCAGTAATCCAGCGATCTCTTGGTCGTCGACTTGTCCTTTGGGTTCTACTGACCGTTTAGTCTGGGACTGTAATATGTTAGGACCATTTACCTTCCATTGTCCGGGTGAAAGGTGCCCGATGGTGGACATGTCAAAGGCATTGAGAAGTAGTTGCTTCTTGCCATTGTGGCCGTTCAGGCTCAGCTCTTCTACGTTGACAGATCCCATGGTTGCGTAGACTTGAGGATTTAGCACAAACGGTAAGACATGGTCAGAGGCACGCAGAAAATTAGGTGTGAGTTCTCAGACCTCATCGGTAACCGATGAACACGCGATTTATCGGTCTCCCAACGAATAGCAGTTCTCGTCCATTGCGAATCCCGGACATTGACCGTGAAGCATGGTATTGGCGTTACGATATATTACCAGAAGGCGTCCGCGCACATCTCCACCAAAGTTCATCCCACGACCGAACCCACTTTGGTATGTCGTGCCTACAGGGATGTTATTCGTGCTCAGGCACAGACACCCTCACATGTCTGCTTACGCTCATCGAGCCCGGGACGTCTCCGTACGTGTTGCGGTCCCCTGCACTTACCATCAATTGTCTTGGCACATATTGGGTGTACTAGTACTTGCTCACGACGACAGCGATAGATAATAAGTTGCCATAAGACAAGACCAGCAATGGCGGCATACGTGCAGGCTGTCGATGAGCCGCTAGCAAAGACAACCGATGACCACCCACTCATCGCTACCGATCCCAACACCAAACATGTTTTGATACCTACGGACAGTTCAATAGCATCTTCGTCTGAGCATGATGTCGACACTCAGTCAGACACGAGCGTTGAAGAAGAGTCAAAGCCATCTGCCAGGCTTAATGACCTCTATCCGGTGTCTGGCCTTGACCTGCCTGACCACCACATCGACGACGTGAGAAGTCTGAGGGTAGCAGTCATTGGGGCTGGCCTCTCAGGCGTTACAGCGGGTGTCCTGCTTCCCGCGAAGGTGCCAAAGATTCAATTGACGATCTTTGATAAGAATGAGGATGTCAGCGGCACCTGGTTGGAGAACGTATATCCCGGCGTGCGGTGTGATATACCAGCGCACGTCTATCAGTCAACCTTCGAAGCCAACACTCAATGGTCGCAACAATTTGCGCCCGGTCACGAAATCCGAGACTACTGGCAAAGTGTGGCGCGGAAGCACGACGTATACAAGTACGTCAAATTCGGCCACAGGGTCCAGGATGTAAGCTGGGATGACAGTACGGCTGAATGGACCATTAGCGGTCGCGATCTCAAGTCAGGCAGTACCTTTGAACACAAGGCCGATTTCGTACTCACAGCGATTGGCCGTTTCAATGATTGGAAGCTACCGAACTACCCCGGTGTGTCCGAATACAAAGGCCATATCCGACATACGTCGAATTGGGATCCTTCATTTGACGCAACGGGCAAGACAGTGGCCGTCATCGGCAATGGGGCTTCTGGCATTCAGGTCGTGCCCAATATACAGCGTATCGCTAAGCATGTCGACCACTACGCCCGAAACAAGACCTGGATAGCCGGATCGTGGGCCGGCGACGAGCGCACATTCGATCCGCAATGGTACTCAGAAGAGAAGAAGGCCGAATTGAAAGACCCCGAAGCCTATCTCGCTTTCCGCAAAGAGATCGAGTCAAAATACTGGCGCCGCTTTCCCTCTACATTCCGAGGCGCAACACAAAACGTCGGCATGCGCGACAATTTCATCAAGATCATGACCCAACGCACCGCCGCAGATCCTTCCCTAATATCGCGCATAATTCCAGACTTCAACCCCAATTGCCGCCGCCTGACCCCTGGACCAGGCTACCTCGAAGCCCTCACCGAACCCAACGTAACATTCATCCAAGACCCCATTTCCCATTTCACCGAAGCCGGCATCGTCACAACCACCGGCGAGCATCGTCTCGTCGACGCCGTCCTCTGCGCCACCGGCGCCGCCATCGACTTTATTCCACCCTTCAGCATCCGTGCCCGCGGCATCAATCTACAAGACGTCTGGAAACCCGACACAGCCCACTCTAAACGCGATCCCATCCACTACGGCTGGCCATACACGTACCTTGGCCTCGCCGTCCCCAACGTGCCCAATCTGCTTTTCATCGCCGGCCCACACGGCACCGGCCCATCCGGCACCGTGCCGCACAGCGTTGAGGTCCAACTCACCTACTACGCTAAACTCCTCCGCAAGGTCTCTTCCCAAGGCATCAAATCCGTCTCGCCCTCCCGCGCCGCAGCAGACGACTTCGTCGCGTACGCCGACGCTTTCTTTCCCAAGACGGTCCTCACGGACAATTGCTCCAGCTGGGCGAACGGCGGGAAAGCGGGGCAGAGGATTCATGGTATTTGGCCGGGGAGTGCAGGCCATGTCACGCTGGTGAGGAAGGAGCCGAGATGGGAGGACTGGGAGTGGGAGTATTGGCACGAGAGCAAGAATCGGTTCGTGGGCTGGTTGGGGAATGGGTGGACGAGGAAGGAGAGGGATGAGGAGAGCGATATAGTGCCGTATTTGAAGAAGCAGGGAGAGGTGGACCTGCGGAGTGTGCATGAGGAGTGGTGGGAGTGGCCTTAGATCTGTGTAGCTTGTCGTGATCAACGTGCATTTTAGGAGCTGGATGTACTCTGCCAAACTCCGTCTATTTCGAAAGGCAGCAAAAGTCCTGCATCCTTGCCCAGAATCTATGTACGCCACTGAAGACCGGATCTTGTCCCTGGTCTGACTCACGAGTATATATGCTCATGTGCAGATAGACATATTTTCCAAATCTTGACCTTCAACTCAACGGCCCTATACCCTCACAACTGCCCTCCCACCGGATATCTCCCCTTTCCTCATCCGATCCAGCACACCGTTCACGCTCTCCAGCCCCTCTTCCACAGCCAATATCCTTGGGGACTTGAGTAGTCCCTCCGCCAGCAGCCTCTCGAGCCATGCCATTAGAGCTTCACCCACTTCTGGCACCTCGTGGAAGAGTTTGATGGGCACTGTGTGGAACTTTGTGGTTGTGTCGTTGGTGGAGTCTCGTTTTGGGAGGCCGGTGAGGCCGACGAGATGTGTGGATCTGGCCTCTGATGATGATGTTGATGTCGTTGTTGCTAGAGATGATGATTGCTGCTCGCCCGCTGGTTCAGTGGGCGCTGGAGTCATGCACTTCAACAGCTCAGCAGCAGTTGTCTTTCCAACCGTGTCGATCCCGAACCTGAGCCGGCCACTAGGGTCCGACGCACCAACGGCTCGCACGATCTCCACCGCTCGTGCAGGATCATGGCTGTCTACAACGACATCTGCTTTCTGGAATTCCGAATCGTCCCCATAGATCCAGTCGCTGTGTTTCCGCACGTCTAGGACACTTATGGTCTTTACACCCACCAGTCGCGCCAGTTGGTAGATCATGTACGCACTCGTACTCGAGCCGCCCCACACAGCCACCCAGTCACCCTTGCTTAAGCGGTCTTTCAGGTCGATCCCGGTCAAGCACTCTTCCCTGATATCCTCTGGAAGCAGAGCTGGCCCAGCATCGCGTACCAGCTTCAGCAGGTCTGGCCCATCACAGACGGAGCTGAAGTCCAGGCCGGTGCAGATGCCTAGTGACAGCGCTGCCGCAACGAAAGCGACGCCTATGCTGGCAGCTGCCTCGCCGGAAAGTGATGGCGGAATGCGCGCAACATTGTGCGCATTGGCGATCGGGAACTGTTGGTAAGCGGCTTTTCGGAGGTCTCGATAGTCTGTTGCAATCGCTAGGACGTGGTCACCTGGCAGAGCGTTCTCCTGCCGGCTGATGACTTGTTGGAGGCATGGTTTGTAGGAGGTGGTGTGACGATATAGCCTGATAATTCACGACCAGATATATACGGTAGCTCTGGAACGCCAAAGTTGTAATCGGGAGCCTTCCAGTCTATTGGGTTGATGCCAATGACAGAAGTCCGGACCAGTAATTCATGGGGAGCATCACGTCGTACTTTAGGAACTGTTTGATCGCTGTGTAATTGATATGGTTGCCGAATGCCGTGCAGTAACAATGCTTGTTGCGTCTCTGGAAGTTTCAACGTGTCTGTCTGAGTCCGCGAAGGTTGGTGGTGCTTCTCGTCGAATTCTGTGCTCGAGGAACTTGAGTCCACCGCTTTAGATGCTGGAGTGCGACGGGTTGAGAGTCGTAGACAGCCCAGAAGCTTTGACAGTGGTGCAGGCATTGCTGAAGACCTCCAAAGTTTCACTGGATCGTGTCTTGGGTTGATTGAGTATCTAAGCAGGCCTGAAGTTCGTGATGATCAATACGTTTGCTTGGCAAGGGCAATGAGCGATTAGCGAGTGCAAGCACCGCCAGAGACAAGACCCGAGAATGTCTCAACACAGAGTCACGTCTCCGAGAATTCAAGCTGGTTGTATGGAAAGTCTCCGTTTTCGGGTTGTCTTCTGTGCCGACACATGCTGCTTCGGTATGCTGGCCGATATTGTTGCGAGTTGGTCCCAAGCGGCAATCAATCTATCAACGAAAATTCAGAGAAAATTGTTCTCTCTGAGAGTGCGAGTCCTCGCGTACCCAGTCTCCATGCTATCGTGCCGTGAAGAAAGGATTCTCCATGTACGTGGGCATTCAACGGAGAAATGCGTTTGGAGGCTTTGCAATCAAGGCCATAGAGAGCACCCTGTGGATTAATGATCGAAAGGCACCGTGACTCCCCGAAAACTGTACACACGCGCGAGACATGCCATAGGAGAGCATCGTGGCTTGGAGATGCCTACGGGCCCTCGATGGTAACAATACAGCCTGATACGACTGGTCAGAATATCCACATTGGGCTGACTCAAATTGCGTGCTTTTCGCCTGGATTGCGTCGTTGGACACATCTGACGGTATCGTTGTAAGATCTCGTAACGAAAGGACTCAAGTGGCATCGGCTTGGCTCAAGCATATTGCTAGTATCGAAGCCGCTCTCGACCGTTCGACTATCGCATCATCACCAGCATACAACTTGAACAGTCACCGTCAAACAGCTGCAAGTATGTCATCAGGCGAACAAGGCGCAAGGCAACCAGGCGCCGAGCCCAATGGCTTGGCACCTAATGGCAACCAACCAATCAAGAAGAAACTCATCCTCAATGCCTTTGCCATGAACACGCCCGGTCACTTGTCTCCTGGCCTCTGGGCTCATCCCACGAATAGGACCGCGGAATACAAGAAATTGGGCTTCTGGACCGACCTTGCACAGCTGCTCGACAAGGCAGGCTTTCACTCCCTCTTCCTCGCTGATGTGCTGGGATGCTATGATGTATACAAAGGTCCCGCGAACCATGGTCCTGCTCTCGGTTCCGGCGCGCAGTTCCCCATCAACGACCCGCTCTATCTCGTGCCCGCTATGGCAGCCGTGACGAAGAATCTTACCTTTGGCGTCACAGCGAGTACGACGTATGAGCATCCGTATGCTCTGGCTCGCCGGTATTCGACTGTTGATCATTACAGTGAAGGACGTGTGGCATGGAACATCGTCACGTCTTACCTTGACAGTGCAGCGCGAAACTTCGGCCTCGACACCCAAGTACCGCATGACACCAGGTACGAAATTGCCGAGGAGTACATGACTGTTTTGTACAAGTTGTGGGAGGGCAGCTGGCGAGATGATGCGGTACTGGAGGACAAGGCATCTGGCGTGTATGCAGACGGCAGTCGCGTCAGACAGATCAACCACAAAGGCAAGCACTACAACGTGCCTGGTCCACATATATGTGAGCCTTCACCACAAAGGACACCGATGCTCTTCCAGGCAGGCACATCCAAGGCGGGACGTGCATTTGGTGGCAAGCATGCGGAGGTGGTCTTTGCCGGCGCACAACTGCCAGAAAAGCTGCGACCTTCCGTGGACGCACTCCGGCAGCTGGCGCAAGAACAGGGCCGGGATCCTCAGCATATCAAGGTGATCGCAAGTATGTGCATCATCGTGGCCGCAACAGATGAAGAAGCACAGGCCAAGCATGCGGAACTGCTATCATGGGGAAACAAAGAGGGCGCCCTTGCGCTCTTCGGCGGCTGGACGGGGATCGACCTGTCGACCTACACTGACGACGAGGACTTCAGATTCGTCAAGCTCCCAGCCATACAGTCGATCATTCATGGCTGGGCAGACAACGTGCCTGGAAGCCAGGACCTGAAGTGGAACAAGGCTCGCATCGCAGAGTATCTCATTCTGGGCGGAATGAACGCCAAGATTGTCGGAAGCCCAAAGACTGTCGCAGACGAGCTTGAGCGGTGGGTTGAGATAGCAGACATTGATGGGTTCAACTGCAGCCATGCGACCAACCCTGGGGTACGTATTCCCGTTCTTCCCAGTAGTTGTTCATGCTAACAGCTGCGATAGACCTTTGAGGACATCATCGAGTTCGTCCTGCCTGAGTTGAAGAGACGTGGGATCTTCCGAGAGTCCATCAAGGAAGGTGCAACTGCAAGGGAGCAGTTCTTTGGCCAGTCGAGATTGCTGGACGATCATCCTGGTACGAAGTTCAGGTGGAATATCGGCGAGGAGACTCCGAAGTATGACCAGAACGGTACTCATACTTCGGAAGTCAACGGTGCTTAGTGAAAGTCATGCCCATTATCCGACAGAATCCAGATCCCTTAGGCTTTCCTCCAGTTGTAGTGAGTCCTAACGAAATCCTCGTTCATCAATTTTTCGTGGATTCTACTGTAGCACTTCAGTAGAAAGTGGGGCCATATGTTGGTACCACAGATCGTAAAATACCGTACCTAAATGCAAGGAAACTAAGATAGTCCAGCATCTGTCGAGCTCCACACCGGCATAGCAGCCGGTTAGTATGTTTGGGTATACTCCTGCGACTTTGCTGTAGCCTCAACGAGTATGTCGATCAAGCACGCCATAGATTCCTTATCGCTGCGGAGTGCAAAGGACCCAATGTCTGGATACACGTGCTAATATTTGGTTTTTGTGGTCGCTGATCTCTGCCGACGATCCGGGAAACATTTTCCATCCCACGTCGAAGCAGCCATGTAGTCATCACGCAATTCTGGAGATGAAGCAGGCAATTGCGCGACCCCGAATGCGCCAAAAGCCTGGAACGGTACAGCGCCGACTGACTTCCGTGACGTGGCAAGCTACTAGGACGCCAGGGGCTTGGGAGATGTCTGCCAAGTGGGACGAACTTCTGTGGCCGCATAAAGCATTCGAGTAGACAGCTCTTCGTTGCTTGTACGCCGTTCCTTCAGTCGGGCAGAGCTTCTTCGCAGACAGTGAACAAGAGGAAACATCCAGCATGGCATCCTTACCAGCAGACCTCGACGTCGAGGCAAAAGGTTTTGCACATGACGTGAAGGTCACCGCCAACGATGCCGCATCATCCTCTTCGTCCGACCGCGCAGAAACGGAAGCCTTCCTTTCGACATTTACCGCCGAGGAGCACAACGCCGTCATGAAGAAGGTCGATCGACGGTTCCTCTTGCTCATCGGTCTCATGTACATGCTCAAAAACATCGACTACATGAACGCTGCTGTTGTCAAGGTCCTGCAAGTCGGCCAGCCACGCAACATCCTGAAGGAGTTGAACATGACTGCTGATGAGTACAACTGGTTCAGTCCATCTACTTCATCTCGTATATCGTCTTCGAAGTTCCTAGCAATCTGATGCTTAAGAAGATGAGTCCACGTGTCTGGCAGGCAAGGATCATTTTCTCGTGGGGACTGGTCCTCGCCTGCCATGCAGCAGTCAGAAATAAGGAGGGCCTGTACGCTTGTCGTTTCTTTTTAGGAATGATGGAAGCTGGACTTTTCCCAGGACTAGCAGCGCAGTTATGCAGCTGGTACCGCTCGGACGAGATGGGAAAGCCCATCATGTGGATGTTCGGGTGGCAGAACTGCGCAGGTATCGTTGGCAGCGTCATCGCTTACGGCCTCTCTTACCTCAACGGCAGAGGAAATCTGTCTGGATGGCAATGGGTGTATCTTCTCGAAGGTCTCTTCACCGTGCTGTTCGCTGGCATCGTCTGGTGGCGCCTGCCAGACTACCCAAAATCAAAGAGCTCCAACAGCTGGCTCACGGAACGGGAGCAGGAGTACCTCGAAGTTCGTTTAGCCGCTAACGCGCCCAGGACTGGCGACTCAGCGTTTTCCAAGTCCGAGATCATTGCGTCGCTGAAGAATCCGAGGACATACTCATTCTGCGTCATGCAGGTATTCATGAACCTTGGTGGCTATGGGTTACAATGGCAACTGCCCACGGTAACAACGAGCCTCGGCTTTGCGGGTCTCCCAAGGAATCAGTTGCTCAACATTGCACCAGCAGCCGCATCTGTGCTGGCGATCATCTTTGCAGGCTGGTTCCTCGGCCGAGCATACTTGACGCGCCCGCAAATCGCCATGTTCATCTGCGCAGGGGCATTGTCTTTCTTCCTCGTCCTTCTATTTGATGTCAGCAATATTGCCACTTACATGGCCTGCATTTTCGGAACCATGTTCTACTCGGTTTATTTCATCCCTTTCTGGGCATGTAAGTCATCCAGCCCCGGACAAAACTAACTGCCCAATACTGATAACTCTCCAGGGCGCTCGGCAACGCTGGTAGGTACAACTGGGACAGCCTTCACACTGGCATTCCAGTCCTGTATTGGGCAAGTTGGAGGTGTGGTAGCCCCACAGCTGTTCCGCTCCAAGTATGCATACAACGGCTACAAAACGTCGTTCGGAATTTGCGCTGGAGCCATTGGTATTAGCTGGATTGCTAACCTGTGGACTTGGTATTTGACTGCCAAGAACGAGAATGACATTCGAAGGGTCAAGAGGCTCAGAATCAAGGCCCACAAGGAAGGCCGTGTCTGGGCTGGTGAGGATGTAAAGCTCTGAACGAGGCAAGGCTTTGAAGTTGAGGCGGCGTTAGTCTCTGAGCTTGCACCAGCGATTCTTTGCACCGGGAAGAGGTCCTTCGGAGGATGTCGTCTCAGGTAGACTGCCAAATCCACCGCGCGTGCCTACTCAATCGACCAACTTATGCGCGATGCCTAGATAGACAAGTTTCGCAGATGCGTCTGTTGTCCGTCGGAAGACACTTTTCGATTTTCTGGCCAGATATTCCGTCTGGCCACCAATTGCGTGCTTTAAAGTATGTTGTTTGCTATTGCCGTATGCGGAAGGCATTGCGGAGAGTGCGAATTCAAGGGTACAATGGTGCAATTGTGCCCACGCATGAGACCATTCTCAACGAAATGAATGCATCTTCTGTAAAATCTTTGCAGGAGGCGTCTCGCGGCCACTGCTGACTGCAGGTCGTGGATCTAGAGCCGTACTGCCACGTTCTGTGATTCTTCGTGTTCATCGGCACATGTCTGACGAAGTGGACCATCAAGCCTTGCACGGCATCCGGCGAACGCATTGATGGTGCAGTTGCCGAACAAAATTTCGTGAAGGTACAGGCAAGCTTAAATAGTGCCAGAAGTTGCTGACCTCGCTCGGTCCAGCACTTCAGATCCAGTACAAGCAAACACAGAGCGCGAACATGAGCGAGTTCAAGACATCTCCAAAGCACCCTGAGCTGCAAGATGTGCGAGAAACAGCGGTCACCAAGCATCCAGGTAAGTCCACCGGGGATTCGTCTGACTCACACACTGACGATGAGCACAGTGCGCTGGTATCGAAGCACCTGGTACAATGCAACAATTCTTGGTCTCTGCAACTTCGCTGCTCCGGGCATCTGGGGTGCGATGAACAGCTTGGGCGCTGGCGGAGCACAGAAGCCATATTTGGTTAACACGGCCAATGCTCTGACATTCTGTCTGATGGTTGTGTCTTGCTTCTTCTCATCTGTCCTGACCAAGTACATCGGCATAAAAGGAGCCTGATCTTTGGCACGCTCGGCTACGCACCATATGCCGCCGGTCTTTACACCAACAATCGTTTCGGGACCGAGTGGCTGGTCCTTCTGGGTGCCGCGCTTTGCGGAATAAGTGCAGGTGTATTCTGGGCGGCAGAGGCTGCGATCGCGCTTGCGTACCCGGAGCCTTACAACAGAGGAAAAGTCCTAGGATACTGGCTCACCTATCGGCTTGGCGGCCAGATTCTTGGTGGTGCTATCAACCTTGGTCTTAACGCAGATCGAGACCAGGCCGGGAAAGTGTCGTACACAGTGTACCTGATCTTTATCGCCATCCAAGCTGTCGGACCAGCAGTGGCATTGCTTCTGAACAGGCCACACAAGGTGGAAAGAACCGATGGACTGAAGGTCGACCTGAGTATCTTCAACAATCCCTTGAAGGAGTTGAAGATTGTGACCAGGACATTTTTCAGCAAGAAGTACCTGCTGCTGGTTTTGTTCATTGGACAAGCGGTGTATGCCGAAGCAGTGTTCTTCACTTACTTGTCCCTCTGGTTTTCGGTTCGCGCTCGAGCGCTTGGCTCCTTCCTGTCAGGCATTATCGCTGTCACCTGTGGCAATGCTCTAGGTTTCTGGCTTGATAGAACATCGGTCAAGCTTGCAACAAGGTCCCGGGTCGCATTCGGCGTCATCGTCACCCTCCAAGGCGCCTGGTGGTTGTGGGCAACAGTTCTTGTCACCAAGTTCAGAGACTCGCAACCAACATACGACTGGACGAGCAGCGGATTCGGCCATGCGTTTGTGCCTTACTTGTTCTTGACGGCAGGTTTCCAGATCAACTACTTGTTCTGTTACTTCCTTGTCGGGCAGCTCGCCAAGGATCCAGCAGAGGTCATCCGTTACGCGGCTCTTCTCCGAGGGACTGAGTCGGCATGGCAGGCCGTTAGCTATGGGCTGAACTCGATCCCAATCATCGCCTCGGTCGGCGGAGTGTACATCAATTTTGGGCTATGGGCAGTCGCCATCTTCCCGACATGGCTGGTGGTCAGACACTTCGGAAACGACAATGTCGCTGCTGCTGCTGCGCTTGCTCAGGAGAACTCGGGAGCCGTCCAAGAAATTGCTGGGTCTGATGCTTCTTCTGAGAGCCGATCGCAGACCGGTAAGCTCGCATGAGATGCTTCACATCTTGGCTAGAACTGGGCAAACGTTGCCGCATTTCGATCACCTGGTGCTCATAACTTTCCTGCCGGAGTCCATGACATTACCATCGGTTGAGCTAGATCATAGACGAGGCGCCATAGATATTGTTAGAGCTGTATACGAGATCCAAGCCGGTCTCATATCGAACGCAACAGAAGATCTATGTCCAGCCATGTTCATAATTGCTATGCATGCTCTGGGCGCCCAACATCGGTGTGAATTTTGATGTCCATGTGAGGTGTCCTGAGCGGACGTCACTCACTCCTGCTGAGTGATTTTAGCTTGGCAGACTTTTGCACATCGTGCGGCATGCGCGCCACCGTAGCATCTGCCTCACAACCGAAGTGCGAGTAGAGAGATTGGATGTCTGCAGCCCTCGTCATTCCGATTTTATCACCAAACATATCGTGGTCTCGACAGCTGCGGTTGCACTGAAAACACGACGACATTCACACCTCAACCTCTCATAACTCGCGATCAAAGACAAACCAACTTGTCGTCTTTGTTTGACACCATCGAGCCCATCGACCCCACGTACCAGTCTGTAGCCTCCAAGTGTCCCGCGTCGTTGTACCTATCTCGTGCCCTCCTCTCCACATCTTCGACCGCGAATCCGAAAGTATACAGAGGCAGCCTTGGTATATGACACACTGCTGTATACCTTCAACAACAAGTGACAGCTAGTCACGATGGGTCAGACTCTGTCAGAACCCGTGGTCGACAAGGTAAATATCCTCATACTCTGCTTGCAAAGCCTGCGTTGGCGGCTTACATCACCGCCCAAGATCTGTTCAGATCTGCTCGCTTTGCGTCGGGCCGGGCAGTGTGGTTGAAATATTTACACCAGCACATATAAGAGTATGACTGATATTCGTATAGAATTCCCACTACGGTTCCGACGATGCTGTCCTCTACGGCCTCTCGGCCATGCAAGGGTGGCGCATAAGTATGGAAGACGCGCATGCCGCCATTTTGGACCTGCAAACAGAGACCGAGGGCAAGGAACAGCAGCCTGCACCCCCTGAGAAGCGACTGGCATTTTTCGGGGTCTACGACGGCCATGGTGGAGAGAAGGTTGCCCAATTTGCTGGAGAGAACGTGCACAAGATTGTTGCGAAGCAAGAAGCATTCTCGAAAGGCAACATCGAGCAGGCGCTGAAGGATGGCTTCCTGGCCACTGATCGAGCTATCCTGAACGGTAAGCGCGCGAGTCCTCCGTTGTTGGTGAGCCCGTCCTGACTGCTGGCAGATTCACGGTACGAAGACGAGGTCTCCGGCTGCACTGCAACTGTGGGCATAATATCGAAAGAAAAGATCTGGGTGGTATGTTTCATAGCTCTTGTTAGCACAGACAAATCGCTGATTCCGACAGGCAAATGCTGGCGACTCGAGGACTGTACTCGGTGTAAAGGGCAGGGCCAAGCCTCTGTCGTTCGATCACAAACCACAGAACGAAGGTAGCTCTCACTGACCCAATTGACAGGACGTGTACTGACGGGAAGCAGGCGAAAAAGCACGCATCAGCGCAGCCGGTGGCTTCGTCGACTTTGGCCGGGTCAACGGCAACCTGGCTCTATCACGTGCCATTGGCGATTTCGAGTTCAAGAAGAGTGCCGACCTCTCACCAGAACAACAGATCGTTACAGCCTACCCAGACGTGATCGCCCATGACTTGTCAGGGGATGATGAGTTCCTGGTACTTGCTTGCGACGGTATGATTGTCCCTCCCATGGCATGAACCTAGCTAACATAATCAGGTATCTGGGATTGCCAGTCATCTCAAGCTGTGGTAGAATTTGTGCGAAGAGGGATCGCCGCCAAGCAAGAGCTCCAATTGATCTGCGAGAACATGATGGATAATTGCCTTGCCTCGAACAGCGAGACAGGTGGTGTTGGTTGCGATAACATGACCATGACCGTGGTTGCACTTCTCCAGGGTAAGACCAAGGAGGAGTGGTACGATCTAGTCGCCAAGCGAGTCGCCGATGGGGATGGGCCATGTGCACCTCCCGAGTACGGCAAGTTAGTCCGATATCCTTCGTCGGTTGATCGAGCTAATTTCCCCCAGCTGAATTCCGTGGCCCCGGTGTCCGACATCAGTATGACCACGACAGCCCAGACGAGTACGAGCTCGATCTGGATCAGCGAGCCCGAGGAACTGGAAATCGCGGACGAATCATCCTGCTAGGCGATGGCACTGAAGTTCTGACCGATTCCGATGACGCTGATATGTTCGACCACCGTGATGAGGACAACGATACCGAAAACCAGATCAAGAAAGCGACGCCGGACACTTCTGATGTTGATTCGACCCGAAGCGAAAGAGAGGGAACCCCAGGCCCTCAGGAATTGCCGAAGTCAAAATCGGATGGAGAGGATCCCATGCAAGTCAAGCCTGCGATTGACGGACTGAACAAGGAGTAAGAGACACAGTTGGCTGAGCTCACGCTTTGGTCTATGTTCAAGCATACTCTCATGAAAGACCTGAGATACCCCCCAACATCATCATTGTAACGACTTTGTTTGGAGGCCGACTTCACGAATGACCCAGTGGGCTGTCTGCATGAATTGTCAGGGCGACGTCGTTTGTGTTTCCATCAAGATGGATGTCCAATACACATGCATTTTGATGGCTCTCATGATCGATGCATACTCTCCCGAGTTGGTAGATCAAGACACCTGCTTTAGACACGGTAACATGCCTTCCATATGCCCTGCCAAGAGTCCGCTGTGATTGATCTGCCCGCAATTGGAACTCATTTTGCTGCATTCTACAGCCAGATCTTCAGCCATGCGGTGGAGTTGCTCCAGACCCCTACACCTATATTCTCAGCCCGACGCGGTCTCGATCGTGATGTCCCATTCTCAAAATCCCATATCTAGAAAGCGGTCTATTCCGCCGGGCCAGATCTCTTGGATCAGCATGTGCTCGACTTCTGGATTCTTGATAGCATGCTGCAAGATGACGTGGGCCAGTATTCTCGAGGCATTCGGAAATGGCATCCTCAGGATCAGCCCGATCACCAAACCTTTCTGTGACGTCCAGCAACGGGTATGCCTTGCTTTGTGAATGATTCCACCTTTTTCTGAGCTCAGCTCACATGTGCTTCCTCATGATATAATATTGCAGTATCGCAACGATCATCACTTCATTGCACAACCTCGCCAACTTCCAGTATTATAGCAGTCGAAAACTTGGCAGACACGCATGTGTGAAGCTGGGCTCCGTGTCGCGTAGATTTGGAGGCCCCTTCGCTAAATAAAAAGTTGCGAGTCGATCTGACGAACTCCTGACCCGTGAGACGACGAACCGAGATCTCTTATACAGCCGCAATCATGTCTTCGCCATCATCCTCCGGCTCAGCGAAACGGAAACGGACCACCGCCTCTGATCTCGCGAAGTCATCCACCACGGACATGCTGCAGCCCTCCTCCCGCGACGCCTCCGGCGAAGAGCTAGCTGATTCGCCCTCGCATAATACGCGACGCAAGCACGCAGCCAGCAGCTCGATCGACAACAGCAGTTCACCTAACAAGCGAGCACGAACGCGGTCTAATGCCTCCAACACTGCGCCTGCCAACGGCCACGACGAAGAGATCGCACAGCTGGACCCTGGCGAGCCCAGCGAAAGTACACAGGACAGCCAGGACATCGAGAGCAAGAGCCGCAGTCGACAGAAGAGCAACAACAATGCGAGCAACAAGGACCTCATGGAGCCCATAGCTGACGATCAGCGAGCTATGAAGGAGACACCCAAGGAGCTCATTCATCCTGCAGGCTACCGCACCAACGATCCGCCCACTGGACGACCTGTTCGTGTCTACGCTGACGGCGTCTTTGATCTCTTCCATCTCGGGTACGATTGCCTCCTGCCTCTCCCCTCTTCCCGTTTCCAACTGATCTGACCCATCACAATAGCCACATGCGCCAACTCGAACAAGCCAAAACAATCTTCCCCAACACCTACCTCATCGTCGGCGTAACCGGCGACACCGAAACCCTCAAACGCAAAGGCCTGACCGTCCTCTCCGGCGCCGAGCGCGCCGAAACCGTCCGCCACTGCAAATGGGTCGACGAAGTGCTGCCCAACTGCCCCTGGATCGTGACTGCCGAATTCCTCGCCGAGCACAACATCGACTACGTCGCACACGACGACGAGCCCTACGGTGCGGACGAGGGCGATGACATCTATGCCCCGATCAAGAAGCAGGGGAAATTCTTGGTGACGCAGCGCACTGAGGGCGTGAGCACAACGGGGATCATCACGAAGATCGTGAGGGACTATGAGAAGTACATCTCTCGACAATTCAAACGGGGCACGACTCGTCAGGAGCTCAATGTCAGCTGGCTGAAGAAGAACGAGATGGATATCAAGCGGCATGTCACCGAGCTGCGTGACTCGATCAAGACGAATTGGACGGCGGCAGGTGGTGAGGTCGGGCGCGATCTGAGGGCTTTCTGGCAGGCAACCAACAGTCGACCAGCGAGTCCGGCGCCGTTCTTGAGGAGGATGAAGAGTGATGAGGGAGCGGGTAACGGAAGTCTGAAGAGTCCCACCGACCATCTTAAGCATTTGGAGGTGCCCGGCAGTGCTGCCTCGCAGCGTGGCGACAGTCCTGGGCGCTTGGGCTTTGGCTTCAGCAAGAGCGAGGACTTTGCACAGGGCTATGCTCTAGGACTGATTGGCGGGGTCAAGAGTTGGGTAAGTCCATCTTCCATGGTAGGCCTCTTTAGCCACACGCTAACATTCGCCGACATAGATGGCATCCCGCCGCGGCAACAACCGCACCGATTCCCAGCCTCCTTCTCCTGGTGCCTCAGACAGCGACGAGGATAACAACCGCAGTCCTGTCAGTGGCGACGAAGAGGCAGACAACAAGAAGAGCCCGACATTCAGTTCCGGTGCCTCGGAAAGGGGAAGAAAGGTCGGCAGAAGGGGTTTGACGGTGCTCAACGATGAGCTGAAGCGGGACCCGTTGGATATTGTGCACTGAGTTCGAAGTTCAAAGAGCGCCGAGGCATGGTCTAGGGGTAGAGATGGGATTGTTATCGGGTCAGCAGCACAGTAATAAGAGCAGTGGGCCATACAGAGATGGAAAAGCAGCACTGTTACCTTGAGTCAACAAAGAGTATTCCTCTTGTCCCACAGGCGGTTTAATTGATTAATCACCGGCAGCTGAGTCTGAATCGAGCAACGAACGTGAATACTCTTGACCTCGAATAATCGAATCATCGGACGAACAGTGACTGCTCTGTGACCGAGTCAGTGAAGCGATTATTTCGGTCTGCGTCGGACTTTCGTTGTTTCGAGCAGGTATAAGTGTTCGTCTACTAGGTAGCTCGCGACTTCCTTGTTTCCTTCTACCTCTCCTCACAACAGGTCCTAATGCATGGCAATTACTTGCCATGCCTTGATAGCACGCGTTGCTACGAGATGGGGCGAATCTGGATCACGCACTGAATAGTGAATACCTCCGATCGAGTGAGTGAAGTGATCGTTCCAGCTTGCCTCGGATTCTCGCTCTGTCGAAAGTGTATAAGTATTCGCTTTGCCCACAGCTTCCTCCTCTTCTCCTGTCCTCACATAGAGCTCAAGCAGAGCAAGCGATTGCCATGCCTTGGTAGCACTCTCTGCTACCTGGTAGGGCAAAAATTTGAAAGATTGGGAGGGACATAGAAGAAAAATACTTACACGAGATCAGTAGCATCATGCTTGCCATGATATGCATGGCTTGATGGCTGGGGCTTTCAGGACCCCGTCGGTGAATTGATCATGAGCAGCGGTCGCTCTCGAGCGTTATCGGGACTGCAGTCATTGAACTTGGCTTGGAGGCGTGGCGATGGCATTCATTCGATTCCATGAGATGGGAACCAAGCGGCGAAAGAAACGCCTGTCTATCAACACACGCACATTTTATGCATTGCAAGACTGATCTATCGTGCCTGCTGATACGTTCAAAGCTCATTCTATACCTATCGCGGCCCCAGAGCGCCTGTGCTATGCCATGCCCATCTACCTATTGATGCAAGAATGATATCTTCCCAGGCGCGTCCTCATCCAGTCCACAGACCTCCTTGTAGTCACCGTACTCTTCCCCCTTCTCCGCAACAAAGCCTGTGAAGAAGGGCAGGAGTACCGCATTGGGAGCTTCCCCGCGAAGAAACACCTCTGGCACACCGGGCAGTCTGACTACCCCGTCATTGATACTCATCCTCACATATCGTCGCTTCTCGCCACCGTCAGCGGGAGAGCAGGCGATACGCTCGAATATCATCCGGCCACTCATGGGCACGACATCACTCGTAACCCATGCCCTGTCCCGCTTGACGTGATCAGTCGGAAGTTCCTGCTCCCCTTCCTCGTTCAAGATCTGCAGCGCAGACAGCAACGGCACAATATCCCCATCATGCACGAAACTGAAATAAGCATTCTCGTCCTCCTTGTTCGAAAGAAGCTCCGCCGTAGCATTCAACCACAACCACCCCATCACCTTGCTAAACTCATTCCCCGGCCCCGCGCGATAGAAATGCAGCAGGTCCCTTCCATACTCGAAATCCTCCCACTCCTCCCTCGTAAACACATCACACCACGGACTGCTTCCCCGAACGAGCGTCTCAAAGCCGCACAGCTCCATCATGGAGTACACATCCAACGGGCTCAGCTCCATACCGTCCACATCCCCCGCCAGACGTCGTGCAATAGGAGCAGTGAAGACCTTCTGCCACGCAGCGAGTTTCGCGTAGCCTTTATCGTGGCCGTTGACTTTGTCGGCGATGTAGTTCAGGCAGGTATCGCCTGGTGTGAGGGTGTCGGCGCCGCGGGAGGCGACTTCAGGGATGATCTCGAGGTGGGCGAGATTTTCGGTGGCCCAGGTGGGGCCGAAGAAGCCGTTGGCGAAGTGCTGGGCGGTTTCGATGTCCCGGGGCGAAGAGCATGTCCAGAAGCGGGTTGGGGAGTGGTGTCCGTTGGAGTTGGGCCGAATGAGGTGGCCGTAGAGTGCTCTGAACTTATTGCCGGTGCGCTCTGCTTGGGCTGTTCCGGCGTAGGGTCCTTGAGTCGTCAAATTTTCGAAACGAGGGGCGTTAGGGTCGGTGAAGTAGGTCCAATGGTTGAGAAACGACAGGGAGCACTAGTGTGGCCTTTAAGTCGAGCGAGGAGTTGTAGATGGCGATTGCCGGCGTTGCGAGTGGGGTAGCGTTCGCCATGGCGGGAGATCATGTGGACTTGGTCAACTGTGCAGTGGGAGGGAAGTGGGTCGTCAATGGTGCCCAGACCGCTGTGGTGAGGGATCCATGGGCCATTGCCGCCGAGATGGTAGAAGAGATCCCATTTTCCGGAGCTGCTCGTAGTGCCAGTGTGCACGCCGTTATTGATTGTGCTGGGTTGGAATGAGACCAGAAGCAGCCAGACGCGGTCGACAAGGATGTACCCGAAGGAGAGGATCAAGACGGCTGTGGCCAGCCGGCGAAGCATTCTCAGGGATGACACCCAGACTGCCTGGACAGATACAATTTCAGAAGCACTCCAGATCTCCGCACTGCCTTACCTCCATGTCTACTAGGCACCTAAATGCATGTGGTGGTTGCACGGAGTTTTGAGGTTGAACTTGAATCTTGTTACGTTGACTCCACTATTTGCTTGGCCTATTCGCCAGCGTTGAGCGTGCTAAGCCAATGCTCTTATGATACCAACACCGACGTCCTTCTGTTCTCTACACATTGAAGACACTAGCTTCCAGTATCCCAAGCATGACCTTCACCGTCATTTTCTCGGCGTTCTTCCGCTGCTTGTCCGAAGTCGCTGCGGGCTTCTTGGCAGAGGAAGTATCACCAACCTTCAGATTGTCGCTCACAACGCTCTCGTGCCGCAAAATCAATGGCGCAAAGATGACAGCGTACTCTGTCATTACGGCTTTCCTGCGCTGGATTGCCGCTGCTTCCTGTTCCTTCTGCTGTGTATCTGCGCCGTTCATCGCACTTGCAGTAGCATTGGATGAGGACACCGAAGTGCCTCGTCGACGGCTGGTGAGTTTGTGCAGGAATGTGGAGGCTCTAGACTTCGCAGAGGAGGAAGTCATGTCATCATTTGAGTTGCTGGTCGTGATGCTGTTGTCGTCGTGTGTGCTGCTGGTGGCTGTATTCGTCGTATCAGCAACGCTGTAGGTGCTGATTGCCCGTGACCGCTTACTGCTGCTTTCGCTTCTGCGTACGGACTCGTTATCTCCACGTCCTGAAGCTTGATTGTCATCTGGTTGCTGTTCCTTATGCTTAGTCAAAGGAGCAATCTCGCTCATTAGTCGACCAAGCATGAATGTAAGGAATGTCAGGCTGACACTGTGCGCGGGACGTGCTCCCAACACTTCTGTCACCATGCTCAATGTCTCCTCGCTCGTGACAGCGCCCTGCTTGTTGCTCTGCTTTTCTTTTCCGAGCTCAGCTAGCTGTGACTGGATCTGATTCCACATGTCTGGCGTGACGATGCCGCCACGGACGCTGATGAGGAACTCGACCAGGGTCTCCGCCAAGACCTCCAAACGCGCAGCTGTTTCAACATTAGGCTCGAAGCACTCCTGGACATCTTTGGCCGTGTCAAGCGCCTCTCGAACGTTAGCCTTCATCTCATCTCGATCTTGCCCAGGATTGCACATCCAAGTACCCTTCGCAAACGGCCACCCATTGGCGGCACCATCATCTGCTGCGTTCTTCTCGTGAAACCACGGCGGCTTCTTGTCAGGATGCACCATCTCCCAGTCCGCCACGGCACGCTCTGTCAACAGCTGAACGGCTTCTGTAAGAGCAAACAGTTCCCTTGGCGCGGAATTGCGACTTTGTCCACCAGGCGAGCTCTTGATCCGGTCAGTACCAGTAGCATCATGATTGTTGCGGTGCCGCGGCATGAACCTGATACCAGTCGCAGGTGCTACAACCAGCTCGTCAAGACTGCGGTGGAAGCAAGTCGGTAGCCATATCGCTCGAAGAGGCAGGAAATGATCGCGTCCGGAGGCCACCCTGAGTATCAGAACATCATCGAGTGGATTTGTTGCCGCATTGAGTTGAGCCACAAGCTCTGGTTGCGTGGGTCCAACGTGTGCGGTGAGATGCAGAGTGTGCGTATCACCCGGCGATAAATTGTAGTCCGTGTTCGGCGCAGCATATTCAGCATGCTCCGGCGAGTCAGGGTCGAGAGACGATATGGTTAGCCAGGTTGGAGCGATAGCTCCGGTTGCAGAATCAGCGTCCCGACCCACGAAATTGAACTTCGCAGGAAGCTGGCCTGTATTGGCAATTGTTATACTTCGTGTCTTGGGAACGTCGTAGCGAAGTTGGCCGAAGTTGATCGAATTAACGTCTGAAGAGGTCGATGGCGTGATGTTGTCGGTACTCGCCTCGTCACCGGCGTCCGAGCGCACATCAGTGTGATTTTCTGTCACAACAGTGATAGTGGGTCGAGCTTCGTTCTCGGCTTTATCGAGCTCGCGAGCGACCTCTGCATGTATCTTTGCCTTCAAGTCTGGGACGATCGCGTCATATGTGACTGTAAACGTGCACTCGATGGGTTTGTGATCTGAAGAGAGGACACGCTGGTGTGAAATGTAATGTTCTGCAAGGATGTCGTCCTCGTGGCCATCGTGTGTCTCGACGAGTTCTGCGTCGTTCATCGAATCCTGGTCTTCGTCGTAGTCATCACCATAAGCTGCACCATCCGTATCAGGGTCGTAGTCGAAGAAGACGTCTTGCTCGTCTGCCTTATCCAGGCCACGCTTCTGCATGTCCTCATCTTTCTTCCGGACTTCTGCCTCCTTAGTGGCACGCTCTTCATACATCAGTCGATCTGTGCGTGTTCGATACAGAATCCGATCGCACCAGCTCGGCGAACGCTTCTTCTCGCCAGAGTCGAACATTCCTACGCTACCGACGTCGTACTTGTACGTTGGCAGGAAACGAATCTCATTTTCTCGCCATCCTTCGTGGAAGGCCTTCTTCTGACGCTGTTGAGCATGTAGCTGATCGTGCGCCAGGAGTGACTTTATAGTGGTGATCAGTGATGCAGGATCTGCTTCAGGGTCAACTGGTGGCTCGACCTCACTGTCTGTGGCTGCTCGTTCGGGCGCACTGAACTCATATCGTTCCACGGGCTCTGGTCCATTTGACAAATCGACGTCGCTTGTACTGGAGATGTACCCAAGTTCACTATCAATCTTTGCTCTGGACTTGTTAAGGACGTCATACTCGTTCCGGGTATGAAGCAGAAGAAGTCGGCGAACATCTTCTCCTGGAATGTCGTCTAGCCTGTAGTTCAGATCCCCAAACCAGAAAGCGAAGTCCTCATCGCCAATTTTCTCTTCCGGGCCAGAGTCTTCGCCATCAAATGACACGGGCGCGAAACGCGTACGATGAAGGATCTGATTAGTATCCCAAATCCGTCTCTGCAGAGAAGCATCATCCGCACCAGCAGCCAGGTGGCAATTGATGAAGGTCATCTTGGTCGACTCCCCTAGGACAATTCTGGTGCAGACCGCTCCTTTATTGCCAAGATATCCCATCAGTCCTGTCCCAACACTTGTAGAGCTGACATTCGAGATAGTCGGTGCAATTTCCAGCGAAGCAAACACAAGGATGAGTAGACCGAGGAGTTGGTGAGTCGCTACCTTCTCATACCCGCGCGGAAGGCAGGACCTGAGCGCCTCTTTCCATTTCTTGGCGGGATTTGGATCCGTGTATGGTCTCATGGCCTCCGTCACAGAAGCGATATCGACGACTTCTTGTAAGCCGAGCACATACAGTCCGATCTCCTCATCATGGGGCACAGCAGGACTATCGGCTTTCGGAACGGTAGGCTTCTTCTTGTCGCGCCTCCCTTCTTGGTCTTCCACTGACTCTAGATTCTCATCCTCGGGCAAGCTTGTGCTACTCTCCGGCTGTAGCTTGGCCATAGCATCCGATAAGCCCTTGACACCGAAGCCCTTCACAAACCATAAACCCAGATCCTTATCGGTTCCGCTAAGAGAAGCGACATTCCAGCTGCCGACCTTGACCTTGATGGTTTTCTTGCGAGTGAACTCATCCTTCCTAGCTCGGACGGCGGCAGACAACGATTGTGGGGCAGACGTGCCCACCGTTTGCAAGTCTGACGAATCTAGCGGGAATGCTCCAGGGGTGTCCTGGATGGAGCGCGGCACCTCAAAGTTCGTCAATCTTGAGGCCATGTCGACCTGAAGGAGGGCTGTGTTGACGGCGCGACTGTGATCATAACATATTCTCAAGGTGATCGTGTGCCCCAGGATGGCATCAGCTGATCCAGATACTCGACAGCAGCAGTGTGATGCATGAGGATGAATGACATTGGGGCGGAGTGAAGAACCGGCCTGAAAGCCTGGGATGGTCTAGGCCTATAGACCTGATATGCACAATTACTCAGGATGCTTACATACTTTGTGATGGGAAATAGCTGATGATGCAAATGTCCAAGGTGTCATACCTGGTAGGTTTGTGTGCACAGCCACTGCCGGGGCATTGTGGAGGCAATTAATGCAGCTAAAACTGCTTAGCCGTGACGCCTATCTTAACCATAACTTTGGGAACCACACACGTCACTTTTCCATCACATGCATGCCCACGCGATTCATTTCTTTGACTCGACTGCACTAGCACATTGTTTACTGCACCGAGCACATGCTCGCCGTCGCGTCTATCGACCTCGAGCTCAACGACACAGTCGCTCTCGATAGCGTTAATCCACTTCCTGCAGACAGCATCAATTATCATGCCAGCGTGGAGCAACAGAATCCGTCGACGACATGAACACTCGACCTGTGATTGACGAGTCTACTGGGCCGCTGTCCCTCTCCGCATCATTCAACAATGACTGCAGCTGCTTCGCTGTTGGACTCGAGGATGGTTTCTGTGTTTTCAACTCGGATCCATGCGAGATCAAGCTGTCCAAAGACCTGAACGCAGGCATCGGCAGCGCAGAAATGCTAGGCCGATATAACTACCTGGCACTGGTGGGAGGCGGAAGAAATCCAAAATGGCCACAAACGAAAGTGATCATATGGGATGATTCGAAGAACAAGATCGCCATAACGCTCGAGCTCAAGACGCCGGCACTGAGAGTGCGCCTCACCAAGTCGCATATCGTCGTTGCATTGCACAATAGCGTCCATATCTACCGCTTCGGCACGCAACCAGAAAAGATATCCTCGTTCGAGACAGCAGACAACCCGCTTGGCCTCATCTGTCTCGGCAAGAAGACTGTCGCGTTCCCAGGTCGATCGCCAGGCAAATTGCAGCTCGTCGAGCTCGAGTCGGGAAACGTCTCCATCATACCCGCGCATACTTCCGCTCTCCGTGCAATAGACCTGTCGAGGGACGGGCAATACCTGGCTACAGCATCAGAGACTGGCACCCTGATTCGTATCTTCAGCACAGCGAATTGCGCAAAGATATCGGAGCTTCGGCGAGGTGTCGACCCTGCCTTTATCTTCAGCCTTGCAATCTCCCCAAATTCGACAATGCTGGCCGTGACGTCCGACAAGTCTACATTGCACGTATTTGATCTACCAGTTACCGTCGCCCCTGCGACTAGTGCAAGTCGCATCGCCCGGCAGCGTTCACAGTCTCCACGGACTCCAACAGAACCAGAAGAAGCACAGAACCCTGCTCAGAAATGGGGCTTTCTCAGCAAGATCCCACTACTGCCACGCGTGTTCTCTGATACATACAGCTTCGCTAGTACGCATTTCGAAATGGGCGACGACAATGTTGGACCGAACTCGCCGTCGTCTCTGTCATATCTGCCTGCTCTCGGATCATTACCGACTCGTACACAGAAGGGCATTTTGGGCTGGCTCAACGATGAGACGCTGCTTTGCATTGGCACAGGGAGGGACGGTCGTTGGGAGCGCTTCAGGATCGGCGAGCAAGCAGGAAATGTGTCAGGCGTGGAGAAAGACGCAAGGATAGGCACCGAAGCTGGCATCGGAATGGAGAGAAGAAGCGTCTGGCGTGATGGCTGGAAACGATATCTGGCTAGCTAGGAGGACCAGCTGGAGCTCTGGCGACTTGCGCAGGTGCTCATCCGAACAGGCAGCGAGATCTGAGGACGTCAAGCAGTGAACCCTGGCATATATGATAGCTCGGGGTTCGCCCCGGAGATTAAAATGCTCATGGTGATTGGGCATGCATGTCTCGACTCGATTTCCGGCCCCGGCATACATACATCGAACTGGTCTTGGCAAGGCAACGAGGCGACTCGAGTCAAAGCCCATTAATGTCCTCCATCCTACAGATTATTCTCTAGCTGTCCAGCACTACGAGTCGAACCCGATGCCTCCCGATGAGGGACGAGCAGGAGCATCAGCATCGGTATGCATTTCTCAGATGTGTGGGTGAAGTCACAAAAGGAAAGTGAATCTCTATGGCAAAGCGAACAGGTCATGGGTCCACCATGAATACAATCAGACCAAAACCCAACGTGAATGCCGAGAAATTGACCAAGACTGGCCGCGATTGCCGAGAAACTGGTAGTGAATATCTCACTTGAGTGCTGACCCATATGTCATGGCTTTCAAACGATTCTTCGAACTTTTCAACATTGTCTGCAACATCCTCTGGGCGCGCTCATGACCTCGATCTTGGTCAAATCCCATGGTGTACAGCTTCACACTGGGATCACATACTTGGTCTTGCATGACCCACGCACAATCGCTAGCAGCCCTCGCAAGTCCATGCAAGCCGCTCTCTAACACTGGCTGCTGGAACAGGTCCACAAAACCGGCACCATGGCCTCGCCTCCGAGCACTCCCCAGCGCATCCCTCGCGCCCAGCGACCATACCCAAATGTCGACCTCGAAGAAGAAAACCTTGATCCAGACATCTTCGCCCAGTCGCCGCTCCTCCTAACACCCCATCGCAACCCCCGTTACCCACGAGTCAACCCCTCCAGCTTCAACACCAGCCCTAGCAAAAGCACTCCTGACACCACCCGCATCCGACCCCTGGACATCAACCTAATCAACGACTTCTTCCCTCCAAAGCGCACTGTCAAGATCTTCAAAGACGTCCACGATCCGTACACTGACTCCCTCACCGCTCGCTACCGCTCTCCCGCGCAGCAATTCGCTATCAACACTTACGCTTCCATTGTGCGTGCGTTGGAACTGGAAGACCACACCGCGCGCCAAATCCTACCTAGTTGCGCACCACCAGATCACCTCGTGCCAGGCCCGCCGGAGACTTTGGCAGCCAGGAAGGCGGGTTGGGCGGAGGCAGTGCTGAGAAGAACACACGAGGGTCTCGAAGAGGAAGCGGCTGCGGTCTGGCGAGCGAGAGCGTTGAAAGCGGTCAGACGAGTCGTGCTGGAGCGGTGGAGAGATGGCTTGGCTGTTCCGGCGTGGTTGGTTCCTGCTGAGGGTTCGAGAGTGGAGTACGATGGTAGCAATGATGATGAGAGGACGAAGTGGGAGTTGTCCATTGCGAGTGCGTTGTTGGTGAGGTTGTTTGGATTTGGGGTCATGGTGACGCCTGCTGATGGTAGCGTGCCGTTTATCATGCCTCAGGCTTTGGTCGTGGGTGCGAGGAGGACGCAGGCGGTCGAAGCTCCTCGGGTCTTGCCTCAGGCGTTGGTGGTGGGCACGAGGACGAGGCAGGAGTTTGAAGCGGCGAGTACGGGGCAGAGAGCAGAGGCGAGAGTGGGCAGGGCTGGAGCAGAAGAGATCATGGTCGGACGAATCGACGGGCGGGCGTACGCTGTGGGTTCGACTGTAGGCTGGCGTCGATGCCGCTAGGCGGTATGAGCTGGCGGAGACGATGGCACAGTCGAGGGCAGAGGGCAGAGCGGCGAGAGAGGCGGAAGCCCATGGTGGCGAAGGTGCGCGTCGTTAGCTGTCTCATACTTTTTGGATTGGTCAGATCCTTTGTTGGAAAGAGTTCGAGACGTCAACGACATCGAAGGGAAGCTCGGACGGAGAGCTGCTCCATGGTCACATAGGAATCATTCAGATAGCCGCGGAGACATCCATCTGATCTTGAATTGCAGAGGCTATCAGCACTTGGCGAGAATCTTCCAATCTTTAGCTCAAAGAGAATGGAAACAACAATGAAAGTACTAACAGAGTCCTTCTAGGAGGTATTAAGGTCTGAGGCAGCTTCAGATGCCTTTATAGTGCCTGCCTGAGAGTATGAGCTTTAGTTCACTGCCTTCTCCTGCTTTTCTTCCAGCTGCAGTACATCTCCCCAGCCCTCATGTCTCGACGAGCCACGATCACGGAGCAGATGGCGCAAGAGCATTCGATCCCTGGACTACCGCGTAGAGCCAACGTGTTCAACGACGGCACTTCTCCTTTCGAGCAAGACTCTGTACAACAAAAAGCCAACATAGACGATGAGCAGTCTATCCCCTCTCATGCGCATGTCAACACGGAGACCACTGGGAACGACAACGCCAAAGATGACGACGGCTCGTCCAGTAGTGATTCTTCTCCCGAGATCGATACCGCGCCAGTTGACCTGATCGATCTTGTCAACAAGTACGCAGTTCTGGAGATCGACGATCAGGAGCTGGAGAAGGAACTGCTGAAGGGCAACCCTTATAGATCAGCAAATGCCAAGAAAGGTGTTCAGCATGACCAACGAACCCTCACAAGTGCCGCAGACAAGCTTCGCCAAACCTGGAATGGAGTTCTGAACAATTTTGCAGATCAATCGAGGCTGGGAGAGTATGTAGCTGACAAGTGCACGAAGTACATGCGATTGTACAAGGAATCGGAGAAGGAGAATCAGTCACTGAGAGATGAAGTGGCCCAACTTCGTGATACTCTTGAGGCCCTTGAGCCACCGAGAAAGAAACCAAAGCACAGTGCTGACTCCGAAAGCGTATCGTCTGCAATCAATCATGGACAATCGGAGGACAACACTGATCGATCGATGGTCATGATACCTGAAGCTGATCAAACTTCAAAGCTCCCTGGATCGGGAACCAGTCTGCCGTTACGGCAAAAATCTGTGTCGACAGGTCAGAAGGTCCTCCTGAGATTACCAGTCTGGCTGCTCGACGCAGCAAAAGGCCCCAATGCCGCCGATACCAACAATGTTTTCAGATGGTTTGCTGTGGTCACCGTAGAAGTTGAGCGAAGCCTCGACGGAAAGGTGACGTTAACATCCATCCAGAATGCTTTAGCGGCTATTATGCAGAGTCAGAGACTGAACAATGATCTGAAGGCATCGCTAATTGTCCGTCACCACTATAGCAAGGGAGAGAACGCGGGTACAGCAACGTGGGTGATCGCGAACGCAACCATTTTCTCAGGCTGGATGGAGAATCGCCAAGCTAACACCATCGGATCCTACGATACGACCGCCAGCTTTGACACTGGCATCAAGGCTGTTGTGTACCAGGACGGTGACTATCAGGCCGTCAAGCAGTTGATCAACAAGTCTGGATCACCACTGCAGACTTCCATCGACAAAGCCAACGACTTGTGATGGTTGATGCAGCTCGACGAGGGCAAGGGTGCATATTGTCGTCAGTTGGATGACACAATGTCAGCACTCGCAGAAATGAAGCGAGGTTGGCAAAAAGCAATACGACCCAGAGTCAGATAGCCGAATGACACCGATGACACAATGAATGCGTGAAGAAATAGAATGCCCCACGCCCAGCCAAGTTTTCTATAGGCGGTGGCTGGCCTTTGACAGGCTGCCGAAGCCGCTAAACCTTCTGCACGAACCCCCTATTTTTTCCGGGGCCGTCTCCTCATCTCCTTGTGTTGTGCAGATAAGGTTTATGTCCCACCCCTCTCTCCCGCTTCCGCGGTCTACTACGAACGACCTCACCGTCACTCCGTCTGATATGATCTTCAGCCTGATCAGTTCATCTTTTACACTCCCAGTTTTCCAAAGGTCTCTGAAGTTCTCGCAAGCTTCACAGATGTAGCCAGATCATCTTGTCGCAAAGATCGCGCACACGCGTCTCGATCATCACGCGTTTGCTTCGGCAATGGCGGACGAGCCCAACGGTGTAACAAAGCGGGAATGGAATTGCAAGTTTTGCGTACGTCGTCCATCCCTCCCAGATAGTAGCCATTCTGCTATCGACCGTATATCCTCATTCATCTTGTTGGACGGAGCTTCTCAGCCGGAATACATTCTCGCAAACATCGTCTTCCTCAGATCGAGCGGGAGCTCTTATCCGTGTATGGCGCAATCTCGCTAATAGTTGCAGGACCGACGCTTCAAGCGACTGGAACATGTCCAACGTCATGAACGCACACACACCAAAGAGACACCTTTCAGATGTCCTTGTGGGCGATCGTTCTCGCGCAGGGACTTGCTACGACGCCATGAGAAGCTTGCCCATGGCGACACAGAAGGTGCCGGTGTGCGCCGGCTTTCCATGACCTCCAGTCACCATTCCATCTCATCCCCTGTAATGAGTCACCATCCTGTGGAAGCCAACATCGCGCCGCCTCCACCGCCACTGCAAACACCCGGTCTTCACTCTCAAGGCTCATATATGCCGACCTACCAGCAGCCCGAAATGATGCCGACGAGTGACCCTTCGCCGCCAATGCAGTTCCCGGTTGATGGATGGAGTCCATACGATATGTTCGAAGGGTTCCTCGACTACGCTGATCCCGCAATCTTCATGGATCCAAGCTTCATGACTGCTAATCCATTCGCGCCCGTGGTACCAGCGCCAGCGCCAATGCCTCCAGGCAGTGCGGCATCGATGCAGATCAGCAATGTCCTAGTGCCTGACACGACAATGCCTCCGCCAGCGACGTCTTTCTCGGCTCCCGGACGTCCGACACCCTTTAGCACTCCTCAGCCGCCAGCACGCCGGCCAATCGTACAGGTAGGCCGTTGGCGGATATCTGGCTCCGATTACAAGACCATCGTCAATGGTATTCAGGACTTTCGCGAGGTCCTGCCACGTTCATTCGTCTTTCTCACTCGGCACACCATGTCAAGATTCTTGGAAGGGTGCTTTCGAGGGTTTCTGGAGCATTTCCCTTTCATCCACTTCGCGACCTTCTCGGTGGCAAACACAGCTCCAGAGCTTTTGTTGGCTATGGCGGGCATAGGAGCCGAGTTCCGATTTGAAAGACACAGATCGCCACCATTGTTCTATGCGGCGAAGGCTATCCTTGAAGAACGAATACGCCGGCATAAATTCTGGAGCAGTGCTGCAAGCATTGTTCCACCGCCAGCCAGCACTAACGAGGCATCCTCGCCGGCGCAGATCAAGACGCCAGGAAGTGGATCCGAACAACAATTCTTCCAAGAGACCGGAAATGAAGTCCTTGTGCGATGGGGCCAGCTGCAAACATTACAAGCCATGATTATTGTTCTGGCGATGGGCGCTTGGAACTCGGAGAGTCTGCTACGTGAAGCGATGACACTTTCGAGCCTTGCTGCAAGTCTCATACGAGACAGTGGCAAACTGGCGAGACCACAGGAATCGCCGCCTACGAACTGGAGTGACTGGGCATTCCATGAATCACTCAAACGCACCAAGTTCATGTACTACTCAATTCTTCAGTTGATGTCTGTTGCATACAACATACCACCACAGATATATACAGCTGAGATCGAGTGCGATCTACCTTCATCCGCCGATGAGTGGACGGCAAGTGATGCCACATCTTGGATGGTTGCACGCAAGGAGACCACTGTCCGCGAAGTGTCATTCCAAGACATCTTCGGGCAGTTGTTCTACCCAACCGGGCCGTCAGTCGCCCATATTTCGCGATTCGGCAGCTATGTCCTCCTACTTGGTCTTCTGCAGGCGATCATCACCAAGCGCCAAACAATGGCTCGTACGCAGAACATCAGTCCACATGATATCGAGGAGCTCAGTCGTGCTCTAAAACACTGGCAGCCGCTCTTCGAGCACTCGCCAGAAGCGAAATCACCAAATCATGATATCCTTTCCTCCAATACTATGGGTCTAGTCCGCTTAGCTTGGATCCGCTTACATGTCGATCTTGGGCCATGCCGAAACCTAGCGAGCCGCGATCCCAAATCTATCGCGAAAGCATTTGCCTATGCCGCTCCTTCGATTAGACGCACACCAGAACTGGTCAATCCCATTTTTCAGGCAACACATTCGCTGTCAATACCAATCAGAATGGGCATCAACTACGTCGCCAAGACCCAGACGTCTTCATGGTCCGTGCAAAACTCACTGGCGAACCTCGAATGTGCGATCCTGGTCTCGAAGTGGCTAGAGATGCTCGCCGAGGCCTGTTCTCAGACTCCATTGGATCAACAGGAGGCCATGATCGTGCAGACCATTACGAGTCTTGTGCGCGAAAGCGGCATGTTCGATGACGAGGTCTTTGGTGACGAGGACTCGGAAGCTGCTGCAGCGGCAGCCACTGCAGCGGATGGAATCCGCGGTATGCCGCCGCTGGAGAGCGATCGCTTCGGCAATGTCCCTCTTCGACCGGCATCGCGTCAAGCTCGCAGTATGAGCGCAGGTGTGGGCTCAGCAGCAGATCAGAAGCAAAAATTGAGAAGACTAGCAGGCGCAGTGGCGAGGTTATGGGCTGAGATCTTCAAGGGCCTGCATGTATTCGAATTGGTCAACATCATTGGGGAGAGTTTGACGAGTTACGCGGAAAATGTAGAAAGCGTATGGATGCCGAGTGGTGGACAGTATTGATTTGGGAGGCTCTCAGGTCACCTGTCAGTATGAAATATCATGTTATGGAACTTCGACAAACACGTTGCTTCCCTGGGGATGCTAGCCAAGTGTCAGCCACGCATGGAGTTTCCCAGAGTTTGCCGCCGGCGCGATAGCCAGCCTGTTTCTTGCGCGTCGATCTGTACCACTCAACTGCTTGGCTGGCTTGCACATGGAGTGGGAGGCGAAGAAGCGGACGACAATGGCCTTCAGCAGGAAAGTGCAGCTTACCATGGAAAGCCGATATCGGCAATCACGACTTCTCTTTCCACGTCTCAACACAGCTTGTGTGGAACACACTGGTGGCATGGACTCGTCAAATCCGGGCCTCGAGCCGGTAACGGCTTCCCAATCTTCTTTTTGTGTGCCAATTCCTCGGTCACTCGTCATGCTACCCCCAAAGCCGCCTCAAACCTTGGTCGACCTTTCCATGTACAATCATATCGATGTCAGATGTCTTTTGCAATGATATAGATTGTCGTTCAGTCCATGATCTGTTCAGGCTAAGGCGAGCCGTTGGAAGGACCCAAGGGCGCCTGTTGAAAGCCGCCTGCGTTTGCGCTGATCCCCATCTTTTCCGAGCTGCCCTTCCTCGAAGTGAGCTCGCTTCGTGCAGCTAGGACACTTGGCTGGCACTTGCACGTCTGCAGCAATTCTGGCTGGTATTTGCAGGTCCGCAGCAATCCAATTCTGCATACAGAACCGATGATACACGCAAAAGCATATCTGACAGGTCGATGTCTCTTGCCCTGAAAACCAAGGATCCTTACAGATCCCGCACTGCGCTGGTTCGCCACTGCAGCTCTGTCGAACGACCTCGTTGATGCGTCGTCTGATCCGCTCCGCTTCTCGGCCCCTCACTTCCTGTGCCACTGCCTGGCGGACCTGTTCCTGTCTGCAAACCTCGCGCGTACTAGAGATCTTTTCCTTGAGCATATCGATTGCATCCACGAGTTCGACCATAACTGCGCGCTGTTGGGCATTCTCTTCAGACAGTTCCTTGTATCCTTCGTCCAGATCAGTCAACGTCTGATCTGCTTCCCCCATCTCCTGCACAGTCCGCGGCCAGATCGTGTTCGCCATACCATCAACAGTAACGCCCGACTTGTAAAGCCCTGCGGCCCATTGCTCGACTATATCCTGCATCTCGTGTTGTCCGAACACGAGTCGGTGTTCACTACACAGGCACTTTTCGGCGAACGGGCGTAATTCCTCTCGCGTGACGCCGGTGGTACCATCAGCCTTGAGTATGCGATCCAGCGTTTCGCTGTTGGGTTTCCTATCCTCGACTGGCGTCAGATTAGGGCATTGACACACGTTGCCAATGCCTGCAATACAGCAGAGACCGATGGTCCAGTGATGCTTCTGATTGAGGAGTGGGTAATGCCAGCCGTTCATAATGCCTGCCATGGTTGAATCGTGCTTGACTGTGGATTGGCGAGAATGAGAGCAGAATATGTCGTCTCCAGAGACTGTTCTAGTGCTGAGTGATGGTTGGGAAGACGCTGTTTGGTGTTTACACGTGTGTCGGGTCGTGGCTGGCAGCTCTTTACATGAAGGACAAACATATATGCTAGGTTGAAGGTATCGGTGGACATTTGTACTCACTCCCTGAGTACCTTCATCTAGGCAGACCGAACTTAGATGGACAAAGGTACTCGAGAAACTCCGGTACATGAATGAACGGTGCGGAACCAGATGTGTCGGGACTCTATCAGTGTCAACAGAACAATCAATGTTTACGCGATGGAAGAGGAACGTGGAAAGTGTTCGTTGCATCAAACGTTTGTCGACAAAATCATTGGTATTTCTAGCTTCTTCTCCGATCCCATCGTCGTGCCAATAGCGCTGTCAAGCAGAATCCTCGCTACCATCGCGTTCCTGTCCGCCAAAGATACATGTCTCAACTCTCAGTAGTATATCAGCGTGTGCTCGCGTTCGAACTCGAGTCTTTTCTTCGTCTGCGGGTTGTCTTTCCACAACGTTCTGCAATGAGGACAGCATATGTCCCAGGATTGTGACAGACAATGATCTATCCAGGGCATCAGACATTGTATGTGCATCCGCTTCTTGCACTGCACAGTACACTGAGTCACCTTGTTCGTACAATCCTGGGTCGTAAGAAGATAGCATATCGGACACTCGTCGTCGTTCTCGTTCACTTTGTGGGGTTCGTTGTTAGGAGTGGTAGCTGAGAACTTTTCGCACGGTCCTGTAAAGAAGCCGTTGGATAGCATCTGGCGGAGTAGGAACGTCTTTTCGTATCTCTCTTGACAATTGATGTCGCTCTCACGTTCACTGTTCCAGCGGGGAAATGAGCGCAGATACTTTCTTCGACTCCGGCCATGCCCATCTTCGTTGATCGTGTACATGGGTATCTCCAGCTCCTCAAGGGTATTCCACCACCCAAACAGCTGATAAGGGATCCAGTCACGGTGAGCGCGACAGGTGAAGCAGTCCGCAAGCTGGCGGACGTCTTGCCAATTGATGCCGGAACTGGACGTCGCGCCTGACATCTCCTCCAGTTGTGCCATTCCTTTTGTGTAGTTGTTGGAGGGAATAGACATGCAAGGCGTCTTTTGGTGTATTTGTATGGGACCACTACATTCGAAGAAGTTGGCGTCTTCGAGGCTCATAAGCCGTTTGAAGTATAGTTGACAGTCGTCGGGGATCGCTGTGTTGTTTGAAATACAGCGCGAGGTGCTCTTTCCGCTCGCATTGTGAGAAGTTTGAGAGTCCATTATGTGTGTTGATTGAGGGAGACGTGAGGGACTGGTGTTTCGGTGATCAGGTGAATGCTATGTAGTGCTGAAAGAGTAAGTCCGGGATGTCGAGACTGGCTAGATGATATATAGATGGAAAGAGAAATCTCAGATCTGAGTGCAGGCAGCATGGCTTATATCCTTCTCTGCTTGAGTACCTTACCTTTGGGAGGTAGCTGACGCGGAAAGCCATATCCGAGCAATCTTGTTGTTGTGGACAATTGTTCCTTTCAGCTTTGGTACAAACCCAAGACTAGGTTTGCTGTCACTGAAATAAAGTTCGTCACGCCCACACATCAACGTCGTTCTGTACTCACATGTAGATGCAACTGGGACCACATGCTTCACTCATCCAGTCTGGTGTACATCTTGATCATGACATCGCACCTCTGCATACCTTTCTTCCAAGGTTGTAGCACACTCAACATAGGTTGCCTCCTACTTTGTTGCCTGGTTGTCTAGCTGCCTGGTCACAATGTAGCCCTGGTGGTCTGGGACATCTACCCCTTTTCACCTTCGGCAAGTGAGAGGCATGATGCTGCACAGATATCTCGTTCTCCAAGTGACGATTGAGGCGTGAAATAGTGAAGCTTGTAGCCCCTCGCGTAGGCAAATAAACAACCTGAGAAGCCCACTTCTCAATCTGCAATATCATCTCCTGTAGACAGCACTTCGAGGCGTTGCATCATTGTCGTAGTGCGGAAGTCAGCGCGCCTTTCGAAGAACACTGCCACTTCTCGCGTGCCTGCATTCATTCGCTTGTGCGCAACATCGACAAGAGAGCGCTAGTCGCGCTACACGACAGCGCGTTATGGATCACTCACCAAGAAGATCCAGCCGGCTCAACAAAGGTAAACAGCCAGCACGAGAACCACGGCTGGTGTCGGAAGACTCCTTCGCTCCAGCCCAACCACACTCCGTCGACCCAAATGCGGCATACAACGAAGACCTACCGGATCAACCACATCAGCGTCAGCACACCTATCATGGCACACATGTCGACCAACAGATCCCCGAGCAGCGATCGCGTCGACCTCAGTCTCTGTACCATCCTTCTCCAGAGGCGGGTGTAGTATCACCTCATAGCCCACGTCAGTATGGCGCAGGCGAGGCGGAGGACATTTACGAGAAGTCCTGGGACCAAGTTGATGCTGATCTCACTCAGTTTGGTGGTACAAGACAACTACCGCGTGCACCAACTGAAGCTCAGAATGGATCAGCTTATCAATCGCTGCAGGAAATCGGGTTGGAGGTGCAACAAATGTTGCGGGATACTTACCAGTCTTCGCATCATGCTCAGACTTCACTCACACACTCGTCATCGTCATCTTCTCGACTCCTCGAAAACGGTGCTTTTCCAACTGCGCCGGATCTTATTCCTTGAGCATCAGACTCGCAAGCACCACTCAACGCATTTCCAGATCGACCACAACTCCGGTCAAGTCCTCACCGCGATGGGTTTGGGAGAGATGTCCAGCAACCGATTGATCTTGTCTCTGGGAATTCGAGGGGCGCTCAGCCTCACAACACAGTGCAATTGCCAATAGTCAGGGACGGATGCAAGCTGGCCAGCCGAACCTTCCCCAGAGTCATGCTCCAAATCGGCAATCTCCCAGCAACCTCTCCCATCGCGATGATGCCACTCACCTTCCTGGCCCAGCACAGCAATCAAGCAGAGTTCGCGCGTCTGAGCGCCACCCAGTCCACGGCTGGGAGCCTATCGCAGTTCAAGTTTTAGACGAACAAATCGAGCTCAACAGACTGCTGGCTCCATTCCGTACGGTGTGTCAAGAGCGTCTTCACAAGAACCAAATGAGAGCAGGCGACAACACGCTTTTCATGTTGTCGAAGTTGTTGTTCAAGACGACGAAAACCTACTACGACTTGCCCTCAGAAGCTTCCGCCTCTCCTAGACTGACGAACGAGAAGAATGCTCTTGAGGCTCTCGAGGTTCGCGAATCATGTTATCGGAACATGGTGACCGTGCAGAACTCGATGGACGAGCATCTACTCGTCAACGAGTTCACCGGCACCCAGGAAGAGTTTCTTGTGCTGAAAGGACTGATCGAAGTGCGGAAGCTGAGACTGGCGGAGCGTATGCAGGAACCTGTGGCGAAAGCCGCGCTGAGAGCATACACCCGTGATCTGGGTAGGCTGGGACGCGGTCCAGCTGCAGGCGAGTACTCGCGCCGAACACCCACACAGTCGAACAACAACATTGCCGCAGGACGCTCGGGCACTGCAACATCGACTCATTCACCTCGTGATCCAAGAGACCCAAGAGGCATGGGCACCGAGAAGCGGTACATGTGCTATCTTCGCGATAACGAAGTGTACACTGCCGAACGAGACAAGCTGTTCACGAGACTCCAAGATGTCGGACGCCATATGTTCCTTAGACACCCATCGGAAAAGTTCGAACCCGAGCGCTGTCCGGAAGTCATGGTCTATCGTGATAGCGGTGAGCCTGTGGATCCACTGCCTCGTCGAGAGAATGACGCAGGCGACGATACCGCCACTGGCTCCAGAGGCGGCTCTAGCACAACCGCTCAGAACGACGAAACGAGAATCGCTAGCACTCCGGGTCGGACGTTTACCATTCCCCGTCAGCGTGACCGCTCAGGCCAGAGCTCTCACAACAGTCTTGCTCGGCATGCTATGCGACAAGCTTCATCGTCAGCTCGGCATCACGATGGTGGTCCAAACAATATGTGTTCAACCTCAAGCCCAGTCCCAACGACGCCCACGCGACTCAGTCGTCGTATCTCGCGTGGTAGTCTCGCCCGCGGTCCTCTCGACAACTTCAATGCTGAAGCTGATGTAGATGAAGGCGGCGTCGATACTCAAGCTGAGGTGGGAGGAAACCGCCCTGAAACCTTCGACTCGCTCCTTGCAAAACAGGCGGAGCTGGACAACAGCTTGATTGATCCTGCAATGATTCCTCTTCCTAGTGATGACCAGGCGCTGACGGAGCAAATCAATGCTGGTCTTGACTGGAACTGGGAGAACGAAATTGACTGGGATAACTTGGATCTCGGCATGGTGGCATCTGGCAGCGACACAACTCCGCAGGGCCCAGCAAACCCTGTGGGACTTGCAGGCCCGTCAACCGAGAATGGGGACTCGTTCGGTCCGAACCCCACTGCGTACGATAGTACAGAGTGGCAGGCTCCTCAAGCTCCCGCAACTCTGAACGCACCGACTACACCGATCCGGCAGGGCACGATCGCTGCTCCGGAAATTCCTCAGGCCGAGACCATTCGTACGCCAGGAAGCAGCCGAAAGCGGCCAAGCACGGTAGGCGAGGGCAGCAATAGCGGCGCATTCTACAGCGAGAGCGAGTCTGCGAAACGTCGGAGACTGGCACCAGAGGAGGGCACGCGGGAAGGTGGCACGGCCGATTCTGGAGGAGCTCTGCCTCTTGATTGGGGCATCCTTGGGGACGACCACACTGACGAGCCGCTCCTTCCGGATTGGTTTGGCGACTATGTTGCGACATGGAACCCGAAGTCTGAAATCCTGTGGCTGTCCACAGCCCAAGCGGTGAGGGGGCAGATGCTTTCTCATCCACGACAGAGGCTGAATACACTACGACGATGGGCGTGGACTGCGCTGGATGGGTGCGGATATGAGCACCATGGTACCGAGCAGAGCGATGGCGACGGAGATCCGACAGCAGGCGTCCCCAATAATGGTGAACGAAACGCGGTCCGAAGGTGTATGAATGTCTGACCGTCGAATGTACGATCACAGACGTCTATATGGGTAGACGTAGATACCATGATAGAAAGCTTCATATAGTGGAGACTCCTTTGCCACTTTGTCCTCTGGCTGTAGCAGGTGAACTGTGCATTCGTCGTTTGATTGAGCTCTAGATGACTCCTGATCCGGGTCGTGGGGGCACGTTCTAGACGCATGCTGTTCCTAGGACGCTTGGAAAGCATGAACAACTCCAGGCGGAGTTCTCGCTCCGAGAGTCTTCAAATGGAAGGGCGGCGTGAGCTGGCTGCTAGAGTGAGCAGATGCCGCCAGACACCGACTCAGTAGCCGCTCATCTGACAGCTTATTCCCTTGGACGAAGCAGCGGGGAAGCGAAGGAGCTCAATAGGCTGACAAGTAGTCTAGGGAGCAGAAACAGGAAGATCAGAGAGGGGGCACTGGAAACGAGGTTGGATTAGGCACAGCGCGCTCGAGAGCGCGCCAAGACCATTTCAACCGCTCCAATCACAAGAGATGCAGAAGCTCCAGAATCATCCGCGATGTCACCTTTGGCGAGCACTGGCTTCGGCGTGCTTGCTTCGTCAGCATTCTCACGGATGATCGCCGGTCACCTGTTCGAGCTTCGCCGACGGTGAAGGACTAAGGGAGGCATTCACTATGGCGTAAGGTCTGAGGGTCAAGCCTCTGACTAGGTGCGCCGAGTACGTTGGAGCCGAGATGTCGACGATCAACTTGTGCCACCACGAGCTGGCAGTAGCGTCCACCGGAACGCGACTCAGTCTGGAATAGAATGGAAATCCCCCGCAAATGCCATTGTCCCCCACCAATCGTCCTCCTCATCTTGGCTACCCCATACCTCCGTTAGCCGTCACCCACTGCGGCAAGCGATGCCAGGGTCGGGCCTGGGAAGCGAGTGAGCACAAGATGCGACCCTGGCGGCATGTCGCCCAGTGCGACTACATAAGGTCCGGATCAGTCTCTCCATCCGCCCCAGCGGGTCAGCCACTTCTCAGAGGCTCATAAAGGTTCTTCGTCCCACAATTTGTCTGATTTCCAAAGCTTCTTGTCCACTGCTGCCGCCATGGCCACTTCAGGCAGTGTGCCCTTAGGCTACAAGATTTTCTCGAGGATCGTACGTAACAATGCAATGAAGCAAGACCCTCCGGAGATCTATGGATGGCGGGCCATAGCGCTGGCTTGTTCTGCCGGCTTCGGAGCTATGTTGTTCGGCATGGACTCGTCAATCATCGGAGGAGTCGTCGTACTCAAACAATTCAAAGAGTGAGTCACGAGAGCATAATTCAGTCAAACCCGTACTGATCGCTTCGCGCAGTAAATTTGGCTTAAGCTCCTCCGAAGACAAAGTGGCCCTAGCCAATTTGCAGGCCAACATCGTCTCTACGCTGCAGGCTGGTTGTTTCGCCGGTGCACTGATCGCGGCCCCAATCGCGGACAAGCTTGGACGAAAGAAAGGTCTAATCTACACGTCGATCGTGGTTCTCATCGGTGTCATCATGCAATTCAATGCATGGGGTGAGCTCGCACCTCTGTATGTTGGCAGATTTATCAACGGGCTTGGTGTCGGCGCTGCAAGTATGCTCGTGCCAACCTATATCTCGGAGAATGTCCCAAGAGCAATCAGAGGCTTGCTTACTGGATTGTATCAGCTCTTCATCGTTACCGGCGGCATGATAGCGTGAGTGAATGAGCACACTGTGACTACTTCCACTTCCGTCACAACGTCACTAACCATCTGGCGTACAGCTACTGGGTCAACTACGGAGCTTCTCTCCATTTCGAGGGCGACTCAGCTGGGTGGTTCCGCTTGCTGTTCAGGGCATACCCGCTGTCCTCCTGTTCATATGTATGCTCTTATGCAATGAATCTGTTCGCTTCTTGGCCAAGCAAGATCGATGGGAGGAGGCTCGAGCCGTCTTGTGCAAGATTCGACACCTCCCTACAGACCACCCTTACATCACCGCCGAATTCAATGAGATGGTCACTGCCATCGAAAACGAACGAGTACTGATCGGCGGCTCCGGTTTCAAGGACCTCATGCGTGAGATGTGGACTATTCCAGGGAACAGGAAACGAGCTCTCATTAGCGTGACACTCATGATCTGCCAGCAGATGACGGGCACGAATGTGAGTAGCCCGTCCACTTCACGTGGCCACGGCTGTACGTCGTTGCTGACACACACACCAGGCCATCAACTCATACGCCCCTCTCATCTTCGAAAACCTGGGCATTAAAGGCCAGAACACCGGGTAAGTTGCTGTGTCATAGCCAAATGTGTATATCGAATAGAGCACTACTTTGAACAGTGCCTAAGCACATGTCTCGGACTGACAAAGAAGCGCTCTCGCTACCCCATGATCTTGCTTTCGACCATACAATTCTTTTACAAGACAAGGCTAACAAGTTTCCCAGTCTCTTCGCAACCGGCGTCTACGGAATCGTGAAGGTGGTCACCTGCTCCATCTTTCTGCTTTTCATGGCCGATTCGCTGGGACGACGGCGCTCACTTCTCCTATCCAGTGTCGGCCAGGGCTTCTGTATGTTCTACATCGGGCTCTGGCTGCGATTTGATCCACCAGAGAAAGGTGGCGATGTGAAGCCCGCAGGCTACGTCGCACTCGTCTGTATCTTTGTGTTCGCGATGTTCTTCCAGTTCGGCTGGGGTCCGGTCTGCTGGATTCTGGCGTCTGAAATTCCTACCGCACGGCTTCGGGCCTTGAATGTTTCTCTTGCGGCTGCGACTCAGTGGTGAGTGATTCCCTGTCGTTCGCATACCTCCAACACGCACACTGAACTTCGCACAGGCTCTTCAACTTTGTCGTCGTGCGCGCTGTCCCAACAATGCTTGTCACAGTTGGCGCGCACGGCTATGGGACCTACCTGATTTTCGGCAGCTTCATTTTCGCGATGTTCGCCTTCGTGTGGTTTTTTATCCCCGAGACCAAAGGCTTGTCGCTTGAGGCCATGGACGCCTTGTTTGGTGTCGTACCACACGACGCAGAAGCACTCGCGCAAGGCAGGATGGGTGCTGCCATGAACCTACAGGCTACGAAGAATCTGGACGACGATGCGCATTCTACCGGAGCTGAGGTGGAAGCCAGTGAGAAGAGGGCTCGAGGAACGCAGATCGAGACTGTCTAATGGACCGAGGGCTGCCCTCGATGCGAGGCGGCTGCAGACTGTACCTGAGATACCTTAGGAGACGCTGGGACTTTCACATGGGAGCACATCATGACGATGGGTACCCAACATCATGGTCCCTGACTGAGGCCTGGTTTGAGCAATAGCATAAGACCCGTCTATAGTGCAGTTCGAGTAATATGACCAACGACTGACGCACAGCACGCGAGGCACGCTCCGGCGCCGTGTGCTTACAACACGTAAGAACTAGCGTACATGGTAATTCTGTAATGCACCTTCCGTTGCCCAGATTGTGCCGCTCGGTTGAGCTTACCCCTCACGAATCTATATTGTCCAGATATTTGCACTTTCCCCTCTTCACGACAGACGTGTCCTTCCCGTTCAGATGACCACAAAACATATCTTCCATCGCCACGTCTATAACTCTTTGCCACCATCAACCATGGGCTCTGTCATAGCAGATCTGTTGACGAGGCGCACTCGCATCATCTCTCCTTGCGGCACCGGTCGCCTATACTGCTATTGGTTTTCACTCGTGTATTTCGGTGACCCTTGGTAATCAGATGTTGTGGGCAGAGTCTCACGAGAGATGCAACATGCACACTCACAGGCCACCTATAGGTAGGCAAAACTAAAGCGCGGCGGCATTGACGACGTCAATTGCGTTGTATGGCCTGATGGGGCGATTGCTCACCTTTCGCGAGACCATACGAGCGGATATAACATGGCCAGCTTCTGCTCTGTCGACTGGGAGACGGACGGTAGCAATGGGAAGGGAGTCTTGTGGCTTATAAAACATCTCCAGCACAGACGCAGCAGACGCTTCTCATCTCGAAGCCGACCGAACCTGAACACAGCTCATCTCCCAGCCCAGTACCGCCAAAATGAGGCTTCCAACAACATACATGCTCACCGCCATCCTCCTCACCCTTGCGTCCACAACCAGCGCCAGGATCCCCTCCGCTTTGACCGATGGTCCCCCAGACTTCGTGTTTGACTCCACTTCCACCCTCACTCCCGCCGTCGACCGCCGCCGCATTCCCTCCGCCCTAACCGACGCCCCCTACGCTCCCGACTTCAATCGCCGTCGCATCCCCTCCGCCCTGACCGACGCTCCCTACGACCGCCGTGGCATTCCCTCCGCCCTAACTGATGCACCAGACGACTTCGTCGCCCAACCCGCTCCAACCATCGCCCCGGCCTCCCCTGCCAATCCTCAGACCGACACTGTCCTCTGCGGCGATGATAACGACACCCTCTGCGCCGCCCAAGTGACTCTCACCACCACTTCCGGCAAGCTCTATACCGTCGAAGTCCCCAGCGCCCCAATCCATCACGAACTCACGCACATCGTCGACCCCGTCATCAGCGTCAGCGTGAGCCCATACAACCCCGCACAGGGCGAAGTCGTGGAGTGTCTGTTCTGGAAGTTGTTGAGGGTCGGCGAGTACGGGGATGAGAATGCTCAATTTGGGCTGACGACAGAGGGGAGCGTAGAGGATCGGGAGCTGGGAGAGTTCGGGGATCCCGTGGTGAAGTGGGTTACTTGTTACCATAAGCTGTCGTTATAAGGGCTGAGAAGCTTTGGGGAACAAGGCGATGCGGTCAAGAGCTTGGCCAGCAGCGGTCGTTCTATTTGGCGGCTGGATGTAAACTGTTGTGATTGATGTATGCTGCGGCGCATAGGATATAGATGCAAGGACTGTGCCGCGATTTCCATCTGACCTTGACGCTCGACTTAAATCGGATGACAAAATTCGTGAACGCCGTATCATCCGGCTTCATTTGAAGCCAATCTCCTAGCCTCCTAGAGCTTGACACCCTCCGCTGACGCCAGGTGTACGTGATACCCGTCAAAACCTTGGAACGACCTCCGGCCTCTGCTCCAACAAATCCACCAGAGGCTGAAACAACACCCTCCTCCCCTCATCCCCCTCCCCATCCGCCCACTCCCTCATCGTCTCCCACCCAATCCACTCCCACCCCTCACACTTCTCCGGCTCCTTGACCTCCACACTCGCAACATCCTCCGCCCGCAATCTCCCAACCATGAAAACTGTAACATAGTGACTCCCAAGATCTGGACCACCGAGCACGCTATTGGTAGCAGTCAAAAACCTCGGCTTCCATATCCGCACGCCCGTCTCCTCCATGGTTTCCCGTATGGCGCATTCTTCGAAAGATTCACCGAACTCGAGATGGCCGCCGGGTAGGGCGTAGGTTCCGGAGCCGTGTGAGCCTTTGCGTTTGCCGATGAGGAACTCGTTTTTGGTGTTGAAGACGAATACGCCGACGCCTATCTTGGGGGTTGGGGCTGTTGCCATGCTCTTGAAATGGCTGAAGCGGTTGTGCCTCGACTCGACCTGATGATGAAATGGGAGGCTAGATCAGAGGTGTACCGTGTCACCTGGCTTGAGTACTTTTGTCATCCGGCCTGAGTTCAAATGAAAATTGTTCGAACTCAAGCCGGTTGAGCTCGCGCACTTGGCCTTAATGTGAGCCGGATGACAAGACATACTTACGATGTGTACTTCTAATCTGAATCTCCCGTGCTATCTAGTTGTGTCTGATAAACGTCGGTGTGCCATGAATCCTTGGCTGAGCTACAGTGGCCTGCATTTGTGAGCATGCGCCCAGTGTTGAGGCAAAATGTGTCTTGAGAGCGAAACTCTGGGGATGCCCAGCCGTGGCATCAAATTCCAGCATGCTGCAAGTATATTCCATGGCCTACAACTATGAAAGGAGGCCCAGACGCCGACGAGTTGAGAAGAGCATCATCTGAAGTTGTTGAGGTGGTAAAAGTATCAGTCAGGATCTATCTACTCTGTAGCAGATACTGGAAGCCAGGTGTCCTGCTCAATGGATATGCTCTTTCCGAAGGTCGATGACCACAGAGCGCTCCTCGCTATGCCAGCACCAGATATGCCATTCTATGCAATTATCTCGCTCATATGCCCAAGACTAGGTCCCGCTCTGGTAGTCACATACCCAGAAGCCCACCAAAGTATGCTAATCATTTCCGCTTCATGAACATCGCGTCAGCATTCGTTTTTTTCTTCTTGACCACAGGTGGTGGCTGTGCGAGGACTTTCTTCGCCATGCCATTTCCACCAGAAGAGGTACCATTATAAGGCACTCTGATCCCATTCGAATTCGCGGACACGCCAGTCTGACCATCATCGGCCGGTCCATCCGTCCTAGGCACCTTCACCTTCCCACTCCCTGCAATCGCCGACGCACCCTCATCGCGCTTCCGCTTCGGCTCCGTAGGCGCCCCCTCAACATACGAGCTCTTCACCTCCGGAATGACGCCAGCATGCTCGCCCAATTGTTTCGCACGCCACTTTGCCAGATCCTTCTCCCGCTTCGCCTTGAAGCGCTCTTCCTGCTTGATGACCTCCGCCTGTTGATCGCTGGTCAACCACAACTTCCTCGGAACAGTACAAGCAGTGAACTTATGCCCCACTTCACCACACTGGATACACCTCGGCGCAGTGCAGACACTCATTGTATGGTCGGCTGCATAGCATCGATGACAGCTTCCCATCATGGAGGCTCGTGCTTCGTCGTTGTCGCAGTTGAAGGTGAAGTGGTTGATAGAGCCACAGATTGCGCAGCGTGCGTGGTCGTTCAGGCCGAAACGACCACCTGCTGGGCCGTGGAGGGCGGTGTTCTCGTCCGGCTTAGGTTGAGCTCGATGCGGTACTGGCCTGGATCGGTCAATATTCGTGATTGGCGACGTGGTTCGCTGATGCTCGATTGGAGGCTCGACATGGCTTAGCGCGGTCTTGAGTGACTCTTTGCGAACAGTCTCCGGTCGGTTGACGCTCAAGATTGAAGAGGAGGACGATTTGCGAGACAAGTTGTCGGCGGGTCGAGCTGGAGGTTTGGCCACGACCGGTGTCGCTACACCAACAGAGCTCTCACGCGACTGTGCACTGCTCTCGGATCGAGAGTCAGAGTGAACGTCGGCCATGTCGACATCATCCTTCATCATATCATCCGTCAGCAGTGGCTTCTTCAGCAGCTCGCCACATCGCCATCAGTGTATAGCTTTCGCGACTTCGCATCACTGATCAAGCCACGCCAGAACTCGCCTTGGTTGAGCGCGCCCGAGTTGCCAAGCACCCAGAGCGAGCATTTTGCACGAGTAAGACCGACGTTCATACGACGAATATCGTTCAGGAAACCAATACCTTTCGTAGATGCTCGCACGCACGAGAAGATGATGATCTCGCTCTCTCGGCCTTGGAAAGCATCTGTGGTATTGAACTCAACGGCGGAGGTTATGTCTTCGCCATAGCGAATGCGGAAGCGGCTCTTCAGCTCCCTCAGCTGACCTTTGTAGGGAGTGATCACGCCAATCTTGCCTCGGAAGTTGTATTTGCGCACATCAGTGGTCAGACGATCATATAATGCCATGGCGATATTGATCTCGGCAATATTGATCAGAGAGTGGCCCTTTGTGGACGACTCACTCATGCCCTGGATGTCGAAAAAGCGATATGGCGCCAGGATACTGCTGTGATGCCATGGCCGAGCACGGAGCTTAGCCATACCAGCGCCGTCCTTAAGCCGGGAATCGTAGAACGTTCTGCTCGGAAACAAGCTGATCTCAGGATGCATACGATATTGCGTATCAAGCAAGTGGATGTTCTTCTTGTGATTCTTCTCCATCCGGGCGAACAGACTCTGCTCATACTGAAATCGGGCGGCCTCTCGCGAAAGCACAGTAGGCGGCAGCTGCTTGGGATCTCCGACCAAGATACATTTCGAGCAGCCATACTTCAGAGGTATGAGGGCGGACAACTCAATGGACTGTGCAGCCTCATCGATGATCACAGTCTCGAATTCCACGTTCAAAGATTGGAACAGGTCATGACCAGAGCCGCTCAACGTTGCGCACAGTACGTGAGCTGAGTCAAGAACTTCCTGCTGGACTCGTCTTCGGTTGAGGTCAGCGCTGCGTGACTCTTGATTGGCTTTGTCTTTCAGCTGATCGATCTTTGACCCCAGCTGTGTCTTCTTGCGCTTCAGACCATCGTATGCGTTGTTGTCTTGATCAGAGACTGTCTCGCCTCGCTGTCGCTTGGCGTCAATACTGTTTCGGAGCTCAATGATTTCAGTTGAGACCTTTTTGTGATCCATCATGTATTTGTGGATGTCTTCTTTCTCTTCCTTTGGCCCCACATTCAATTTCGCTTTGACGAGTTCCTCGAGCGTGACGTCCATGACGTTGCTGTTTATAGCATCGCTACGGCCGAGTCGTACGACGTTGATTTTAGTGGTCGTTCCGTCAGCCAGCTTCAAGCCTTGCTTGAGACGCATCACCAATTCATCTACAGCTGCGTTACTGGGCGCGCAGACCATGAGACGCTTTTCAGCCCTCGGTGCACTCTGTTGTGTGTTGAGCTGAGGTCCAGATCGAGACTTTGATGAGACATGACCAGTCATCAAAGCGCCAACGATTGCACAGATCGTTTTCGTTTTGCCTGACCCGGGAGGCCCTTGCACCAGTGTAAAGCCATCGTTGTCGACCGCTGATTTCACTGCTTTGGCCTGAGCTTCATTTACGTCATAAGTTCGAATGAGTGGTTGGACTTCTTCGGAGCTATAGTTGAGAAGTGGTGAAGGTGTGGCAGTGATGGCCTCCTGAACCAAGTCATAGTAGGGTAGCGCTGTCAAGGCTCCATACTCTCGCTCCAGAGTAGTCAGCGACAAGATCTGAGCTGCCCAAATAGTCGCTTTGTCGTTCAGATGGGGCCGTAAAGGATTGCCAGCTGCATTGATCCGGAAGACAATCTGAAATTCGCCCTTCTGCCGCTTGATCTCCTTGATCCGAGCCAAGCAGTGAGGCTGATCTGGATCGGAGGTTGGACGATCTGACTTGGACAGGAGCACCACATCTGTTGGCCCCAAACCAAGATCGTTCCCTTGTTGCATAGGCATGCTCACGTTGACCTCGAAGAAGCTGTCGATAAGCAAAGAATTGGCGATCTTGATCTCGAACGGCTTGAACGTCCCGTCCTCTCGCGCAGCACGAAACGCTTGCCAGCCTTCAAGGATGAGTAAAGGCTCGAAGGTTTTCTGATAGTCCTGGACATCCTTGAAAGTGTTTGTAACCAGTGTGTAGTCGGTCTTCGTCGAGTTTGGCGGCAGATCTGTGTCAGCAAAGAAGTCCCAGGCAAGAATCGTCTTATGCAAGCCAGTGAGATCTGGGGCAAGTCGCGATCGGATATCCTTCTGCGACTGAACCCGCTTCTTGATCTTCGTAGGACCTTGAGGCACAGCCTTGGTCGACTGAGTATAAGGAACATTGTTTGGTAACTTCTGTACCCTCCCAATATCTTCGTCCGAGTCGGATTCGGACTCGCTCGATACCATCATACTTGACTCTGTGGGTGCAGCGTGCTCCTTACCCAGAAGACCCATGCCCTCCCCAAGTACTTTGCCTTTCATTTTCGCAGCATTCTGCTTGTCGCGCAGCTTGCGTTGCTCTTCAGTCTTCTTGCGCTCTAGTAGGAAAGCACTCCTCTCTTTATCTTTCTGAGCCGCCTTCTGGACAGCGTATGACTCCGCTTTCTTGGCCAATATCGAAGATTTGTTGACAGCACTTGCGAATTGTGATGATGGTAATTTCTTGTCCTTCTGTAGCCCAGCATAGTTCTTGGTCAACTGTGCAAAGTCGACATCTAGGATGTCATCATCACCGAAGTCATCGCCACTCTGTCTTCGTGAGCTTGAGGCAGAGACGCTTCCACTGTCCTTTGCTGCGGCCCACTGCCTCATCTCCAGCTTTGTCTGCACCTTTCCTACTGGCTTCGACATCTGCTTGCCAGTATAGTTCTCGAGAGCACGGATAAGGGTAGCCTTTTCGCGATCGGTAAGGATTGTTCTGACCACATTTGTCGTCGCGACGTTGCTGATGTAATCGAGGCCATCAATGTCGATGTTGACAGCCTGTGACTTGAGGCGGCTAAGCATGTTCGTGAGCAACTTGACCAAGGTCTCTGCGAGGTACTGATCGCGAAGTCGCAGCCATTTGGCCATGACAGCGATTGTGCTCACAGGCGATCCCAAGTCTCGTCCACCATTTCCCGTTGATGCAAGAAGGTGTTTCGAGAAGTCAGAATCTTCTTTGTCGGATTCCCGCTTCTTCAGAAAGCTTGCAAAGACTTGATATTCCTCGAACAGCGCCTGAGCCATCTGCATCGTGTCCCTGCAGACCTCTGTCATCAATGGCTTATCGTGGACTTCATTGGACCAATCCTCCATTTTCTGGAATATCGTGCGCAGGGCAAGCCACATGTAAGACCACAAGCTCTGAACAGACTGCTTTTCTTTCGCATCAACACTTCTCCGAGTTCTGAGCTTGCCGCTAGAGCTATCGCATAGCACTTCGATGATGTCCATACAGGCTGACACCATCTGCGGAACCGGTGAGAACGTTCTCATATGGGAGATTCGTCGTAGCGCCCAGCACAAGCTCCAAATTGTGGGCGCGAAGAAGGCATCGAGGATGTGAGTGAGCGCGTCTCTGCGGCTCGGCTCACCGCTGATGTTCTTGATGAGACTGGTTGCGGCCTGCTGAATGCCCTCATCAGATGAGAATAGCGATGCAATGAGCTGCATACTCGTATCTTGCTTCTTGTACAGCGTATCAAGGTGTTCTGGATCGAAGTCCGCGATCGTCTCCAAGGCCTTGCAAACGGCATTGCAGACATCCTTGTATGCTGTGTTGAAAGCGAGCTTCTGCTTTGCCAGCGTGCTTGAGATGTCGTTGCCTCTGACTCGGAACTGCTCCAAGGCGCCCAGTGCTGAGAGTCCAAGCAGGAAATCTTGTGAAAGGGCAGTGTTGTCACTTCGAAGTGCAGTGATAATAGCATTCCAGACTGATTTCGCGAACCCGGTCGGTTCCGATGGCAGCGTCTTCTTGTCGTATAGCGATCTGAACTCCCAACGGAGTAATTGGCATTCGAGAGCGATTGAGTTCCTAACAATATCAAGAACACCTCTTTGAGCATTCTTGGAGAGCTCGCTAGTGATGCCGACTTTTCGAGGATCTAGCAGATCAGGTAAATGGTCACCAATGGTCTTGAGCACTGTTTGGACTACGATTCGCGAAGGAGGTGCCTTGTCATCTGTTTCGGCAGAGAAGGATACGACTGTCTTCAACATGACCTTGACTGCCGTCTCGAAGCACGCCTTCTTGCCATCTTCCGAGACTTCGAGAACGTGGAGCTTATCGAATAATTGTGTGCTCAGGGCCTCGCAAGCAGCTGGTCGATTGCCGATCTCCAACGATGATAACAAAGGGACTGCCCATTGGAGCACACTGAGTGTCGAATTCTCGTCTGCCGTCGTCTCGTTGAGTGCTTTCGTGAACCGCGGACTGCCAAAGATCTGCTCAGCGATCGTCTGGGTGGAGATAGGACCCAGCATTTGCCAGAAGGCCTTGGGTGCCTTTGTGAGGATCGTGGCGAGAGACTGAGTGATGAATGGAACCGCAGACGTTGGCTTGTGAAGATGATCCAAAGCTGCCGTGCAGATCTTAGGTTGTAGATCAAAGAGCTGATGGGTGATCATGTCCTCAGATAGCGTACGCACAATGACCATCATGCCGCTCCAGAACCGGGCGATGGAAGCTGCGTCAACCGATTGCTGTAATCTCTGCTGTAGCTGATCCTGAATAGACCATGTCCACTCCAGCTTACTTGGAGAGCGATCTAACCGAGCCCATGTTGAAGTCGCCCAATTCAACCGCAGAGTTTTCGAGCTGAACAAGAACCGAACTGTCGAAGGCAAGATCTCGCGTATCTTCAGTGGCTTCTTGGTCTGTATGAGTCTGAAGGGCTCGTCGAAGTGCTTAGCCACGGCATCTTCGTCTTTCAGGAAAGCTTCGCAGAGGAGCGCCTCGAAGAGGGCATGGAGTTGAGCCGGCTCGAGTACTGCTACGCCCCTCTTCTGCTCTGGTTGAGCGCGCAGGACCTCCTCCGCCGCATCGAGTCCTTTCTTAATCCGCGAAATATCTCTTCGATCGATCAAGCCGAAGAACTGCTGAACGTCCGGCTCTTCGTATTCCTCGCGGAGCTTTGACAAGAACCGTAGCTTCTCGACGTAGTAGTTGCGTATGCAGATGTCGCACTTCCCTAACGTCTCGTCCAGGGTGTCCCAAATCATGCGCTGGTACTTCTCACTCTCGTTGCCGTCGTATGCGAGCAGTTGGAGACAAGAGATGAACTTCTCTCTGCGTTGGCGAGCATCTTGTATACGCTTCCGTCGAGCGGTATCTTGTGTCTCTGACAGTTCAGCACCTTGTATGTCCTCCTCATATCGGTCTTGATCGTCCTCATCTTGGCGAGGGCAGAGGAGATGTATATTTGGACCAAGCCTCTGCAGTTCGAGCAGAGGCGGAATGAGTTCGGACATCGTTGGCTTGAGGCGGCTGCATCAGGCTGATACCTGAGCAGTGCGGCGTGCGGAGCAACGTAGATCAGTCTTGCCGTGTCTTCCGCAGTTCCATAGTAGTCAAGAGGAATTTATAATGGAAGGCATGACCGAAGGAGAGGGGAAGTTTTCTGGCTTGTTTAAAGAATCATGCGACCACAGTGAAGACTCGTTGAACAATGTGACTGAGCGCCTGCACGGCTGCACTTGCTACAGGGTGCAATAGAAGAAGCAATTGCCAAATGTCCCCGGCCTGATCAGTTGTGCAACTTCAATCTGAAGTTGAAGTCATCAGAAAGGAAAGTGGGGACAAATTGATCTTCGGCGCGTCGCGTCCGCTAGAAATCGTGTGGAGTTGGAGAAATTGGTCACTGTGCACCAGAATTTACGATGCGAGACGTATGCACTGAATCTACCAAGGAGAGGCGGAGTCAGCAAGCAGGAGCACATAAGACGACAATGATCGTCGAGTTTTGTCAGGCAAGTGCGGTTCAATAGATAATTGAGAAGTCTTGCTCATTGCCTTCTTTCATACCCAGCCACGAACGACTCACACCAGTGCAGTGCCCGAAACGCCAAGCCGAATGGAGAGATTCTAAGGAAATTCACATTTTGTAACACTGCTACCCAATTCCGCCTCCTGCATCACCGCATCTCGTCCGTGATATCATGCCGCCGGCTCGCAGTCGGCGTCGGAGTCAGCGGACTCCCATGCGAGTGCGCCGCTGAATGCGACGACTCCATCCTTGTGAGCAGCGCTGCCGAAGTGAAGTCCCTACTCGCTTCAAAACTCGACCTCCCCCTCTCAAAAGAATGCCGCGATCGCTCGAACGATGACCTGACTCTATCCAGCGACGGTCGACTTTTGGTATGCTGGTGTTTCACCCGATCAATGGGCGAAGGTCCTGGTGACTCTGAATGTGTCTCCAGATGTTGGGGTGGACCCCCGGGTGCTGGTCCGCCCTCTGGTACGCTCAGCCGCAGGTCGAAAGACGGCTTGGTCCTGTCTGTGCCGTCACTACCGGTCTGGCTATGAGGCGGCTTCGTCTGGTAGGTCGGAGCCTCCGACGGTGGGTAGATTGGTCGTTGAGACTCAGTCATGCTCATCTGCCGGGAGTGATCTGGCGCTGGCGCAACCTCCGTTTGCTCAGAAGAACTGTTCGTGGACTCGACTTTCGGTGGCACATAAGCATCGTATTGATCCAAGTAATCGAACTTGCCCTGTCGCACCTGCTCGCGAATAACGTCGATGTCGTATGGTCGATAATTCTTTTGGAAAAACTTGATGGCGAAGCGAGGAAGCAGGCATGTTACCCAAATGAGCAAGCTCAAAGCCCAGAATGTCAGTTGACCATACACTTCTGCACCGCCCTTGTAGAATTGGAAACTGGCCGTGAACGACGTCCACACACCGGTCCAGAACCAAATGGACAGGATAGTAATGGCGACGACGATTCCCATGATCCAGTCCCACTTGTACGTATTCAGCAGGACGTATGAGTTGATCACAGCAATCGATACGCAAGCCGAGTACACGCCCATCCGTTGTCGGTCGTTGAGATTCTTGCCATTTTCAGTGACAAAGGTGGCAGGCTCGAATAGCAGATAAGCAAGGAAGAAGCATATCGCTGATTGATACAGCCCATCGAACATGTAGAGCCTGCAGAAGTCAGTTTCTCAACCCGTTTGAGGTGTTTCATAGCTTACCAAAATTTCTTCTGTGTGAACTCCAGGCGTTCGATACCACGTCGATAGAGCTGAGGCACAGCGAGAGCTACTTTATCACTGACATCTTGATCCAGAACACCCATGAGACCGACGGGCACTGACGTAAAGATGAGGTTGACCAACAGAATGTAGGTGTAGTCGTACAAGTAGGTGATGTCGAAGTTTGTGTATATTTGATACCAGAACAGAGCGAATGTCCAAACGATGTTCTTGTAGAAGAAGTTTGCAATAGTCTCTGACAGACGTCGGTAGTCCCAACGACCATGAACGAGGACCAGACGTTGGAGGTATCGGAACTGTCCGATAGCGTAATCAGACGACATGACGGCCTGCCGGCCTTCTTCACCAGCGATACCGACGCCAACGTCTGCTTCTTGAATCATAGCAACATCGTTCGCGCCGTCGCCAATCGACAGAGCCATGATGTTCAGACCGTTCTTGACCAATGAGACAACAGCGGCCTTTTGGGCAGGGCTGACTCTGCAGCACAAGACAGAGCGGCACTGCTTGCAAAGCAGCAAGAAGCGCTGCCTGAGTTCATCGGACAAAACCAATTTCAGGGATTCACCATCAATGATGAGAGCATGCGTTGGGTCGGGAGGCTCGTGGTTGAGACGAGCAGCCGCAAGCTCTTCATCCGATCCAGTCAACCCAAAGTCTTGCAGGTGCTTGTCCAATAAACTGCTTGCGTCCTCAACAGTGGCATCCGGTAGGTCGAAGAGAATGAGCTGCATTTCATTAGAAAGCAGGTTGCACGAGAAGCCGATGTTGATTGCTGTCTCGACCTTGTCGCCCGTCAACACCCACAATTTGATGCCGGCTTGGCCAAGTAACGCAATCGTGTCAGGAACACCATCTTGGAGTCGGTCCTCAATGGCTGTACCGCCAATGAGCATCAGCTCACGCTCGATGCGGTCGGCGACCTCCTCTAGTCGGTCGTCGCGATCCTGTAGAGACTGCGCAGCGAAGTCATGCTCTTGACTCCATTCTTTGTAGTAAGCTTCATCAACATCACGTACAGCCACGCAGAGGGTACGAAGACCTTCGCGAGCAAACATCTCCAGGTTCTCTGCCGTAGACTTGCGGAGCTCTTGTTGGAGACCCTTGGCGAGACGAGAGTAGATCATGCTGTCGGCTCCTTTGCAGAACAATTGAATTCGCCCGTCTGGCATCCTGACGATGGCACTCATGCGCTTTCTGGTTGAGTTGAACTCGAGTGTGTTCAAAATCCGATACGTACGATCTTCGCCCAATACATTAAGATGCAGGTCATCATTGGATCGTCCCAGCACCGTGAAGCCGCAATCGCGAGCAGTTGCGACTAGAGCGGCTTCATCAGGTGACTGAGCCTTGAATTCGATCCGCGGCGGATCGCCCGGAGTGGTCTCGGTGATAACGGTATGGCACAGAGCGAGAGCTACCATGAAGTCCTCGTTGAGTTTCGCTTGCTCAGGCCCAGATCTGCCGTTCAGATCATGGATAAACTCGGGTGCAATAAAGGTCAAGTCCTCATCGTGCAAGTACGGATTGTCGTGTGTCTTCCGAATTGCTTGGAGCATCTCAACTCTGGCCTCAGCAATGTGAGCGCGGACTTGCTGTTGCTCAGCATCCACGTCAACGCCTTGACGACGTCTCATGCCTGCCTCGGCCTCTGTGTACGCCTCACCGTACGCGACACCGTTGACGGTGCATTTCTTGAACTCCATGACGTTCTGTGTCAATGTGCCGGTCTTGTCTGAGAAGATGTACTCGATCTGGCCCAAGTCGTCGGAGATGTTCCAACTCTTGGGCGTGCAGGGATAGTCAAGCTTCTCGTAGTACATGAACGTGTCCGAATAGATGAAGAACGCCTGCAACGAGCGGATGATCTCCAAGGTGATGTATAGGGAAATCGGCACCAAATTCTGGAACAGAATGACAGCTGACCAGAATGTAACGAAGCCATCCAGAGCCGGAGTGCCGCCAATGGACCCGAATTCGAAGTATCTCGCAGTGTTGCCACCGTTGGACCAGATGACGCCTTGCACGATACCAGATACCAAACACATGAAAAACAGAATGATGAAGTTGTAGATGACGTTCCAGTTCAGGTCCTTAGCCAACTGTGCACGTTTGCTGGGGGTGATGCCCGAATTGAGCATGATCTTGGTCTGCTGCCCAGTGAACACAACGACGCCCAGAGCCCACTCCGTATTCTTGATGCTGCATCCTCTCAGAAGCAGATTGTTGATGCCGATCGGCTCGCTGATCAATCGAGGCGGCGCATTGGGGTCTTTCAGATCACGCTGATGGAAGCGCATGACGGCGTTATAGTTATACAGATTGGGATTCGGGCCCTCGCTTTCGATCCAGAACTCAGCTTGCTCGCAATCTCGCGCATGCCTCACTTTACGTGTGCCCTGTAAAGCTTGTCGTACTTTGAGATTGGTTTCGCCATCCAGATTCTTCGTCTCAATGTAGCACGCACCATCTGGATCTGAAGTCGCCAGAACCACGATGTCTGCCGGGATCGGCTCGTCGTTGTATATGCGAACGTAGTCGCCAACCTGAACGCTTTTCCAGTAATCTCTCTTGAATCGTGCTTCGTTATTCGCTTGTCGGTGCGGGTTTATTACGTTCCCAAAATCTTTCGTGGGTCCAAGTTGGCTTTTTCGCTGCGCCTTGTCAGGAAGTCGCTTCGACGAACTCGCGCCGGACGCGCGGTTGTTTGCTTCATTGGCGGTCTCGAAGGACAGAGCACTATGCGGGGGATCGCCTGGCGTCAGACGTCCATCATTCGGATCGGTGGGCTGTATACGTGGGGAGGGCACAGGCGTCATCGCAATGTCGTCGCCTTGGTCCTCGCGTGTAGAGTGGAAGGATGTGCGCTCGGTATAGAATGAATCGCGCACGGTCGGCGCTATTGACGGGCGGTGATCGGGGCCAATCTCAGCATCCTTCTCCGAGCTTGACTTGCGTTTTCGAAGCCCTTTGCAGGATCGGTACGTCATTATGACCGCGTGGGTGCAGGCCTTCTTCAATCTCCTCCATGCTGAGATATCTTCGGCCGAGATGTTGTTGTTCGCCCAGCCCACAAGCCGATACACTGGCGAGTTGTTTAGCTCCCTGTCAAGGACCGTCCGTCTCCAGTCTTCTACGGCGTCCTTTATCGACGTGACAGTCAAAATGAAAATGAGCGGTACGGCGTTGAGCCCAGGATTTGAGGCTCCAAATATCGAGAAGATCTGACAGTCTAGTGAGCAAGCAGCCAGGGTCTCATGTGAGCGGACTTACACTCAGGATTACAATAAAAAGAAAGTATATGTTGGCGATGTTGTGGAATTGGAAGTAGAGGTTCTTCGGCACAAAGCTCAAGGGCGTGTACTTTGCCGTTCGGATCTTGTTCGTGGGATACTGTTGGCGATTGTGGCCATTCTCGTCCTTTTCTGACTCGGGCAATGCCAGATTCATGTAGATGTTGCGACCCTCCTGCTCGGGAACATCCTGCTGCTGGCCCATAGGGCTATCCTCCGTGATGTGGCCATGGTCATTTTTGCCGTCCTGTCCAGGCTTTTCTTCGTACGGGGAGAGATGTATGCCAGGCACTCGATTTAGTATAGACCGTCTCTTGTGATGACCTGCGTCGGCGGACTTCCGGATGGTCGCCCACCGCTGCCTTTTCACGGGCTTCGACACATCCCTCTCGGGTCGAGGCGCATTGTCCCCTCCCTTGAAGGATATCTTCGCCATGGCAGAAGCCGGTACTCAAGCCAGTTGTCCAGGGCCAACCGCCCGCGACGGGAAGTGGAAGCCTCCTCAGCGATGATGGATGGCCAGCGCCTCAAATGGATTGATACTGGTAACAAATACTATATCCGGGTGATTGTAGGATCGAGTTCCAAGTCTAAGCGGCGATGCAGGGAAGGACACGAGAAGCTGTGGTGCCTCCGGAACGGTCGGCTCACGTCAGCTACAGCGCATATTCGGCGGCGTCGTTACGGTCGTGGTCGTCGGCGAGGGAAGGGATGGCGGCAGTGACTGTCCGCTGTCGATGATGGACGCGTAAAGACGCTCCAGGTGATTTGTAGGGAAGTAAAAGTCTCCGTGTAGAAGTTGACGATGTTCGAAGGGGTCCGGTGTGCGGGCTACTGCGCGCTTGCTAGAGTTTCCGCGGGTCGCGAACGGACGAAGTGAATAATCAGGAGCTAGGGGTTGCCGTCGTGAAGAAATATGGTTTCGAGTCCATGAAACACCAACACTATGGCACAATGCTGGATTTCTCGACTGAATCAATAAATTGTAAGGTACGAATCTTTTTACGAAGGAGCACCACCATAATCATCGAGACGCGAGATCAGTACCTTCAGGCGAGAATGCTGGCGGTGCATTAGGGATAGTTGACAGCGGTAGGGTATCCCTTCGCTCTTCATGCATCTTCGAGCCGAGTCGGGTAATCCGCCTGAGGTACCCTCACCTATCAGGCTTTGAAGTGCTTACAATATCTCGAGTTGTACACGCTGCTAGGCTTGGGATGGGCAAGTGCTGGCACGCCTTAGCAGATTCGAGTTTAGGCTGTCCGTGGTTATTCATCGTTGTGCACATTCTCACCACGAGCTACGCTATAAGGCCGCTGACTGAGCCTCCGGATTCTACGGCTGTGCAATTGCGGCATTAGACGATCTGCTATCATGTTATATTTCTGTCGACAGTACACGAGGCGTTGGCGAAGCTCATCACTCCTGTCAAGTCTCCATGTAACGATCAGATCAACGCAGTTGTGTATGGCACCGCCGCGCATAAAGATCCGAAGGGCCCAAAACCCGAGCGCCACAACTCGACGCGCTGAGTAATTGGAGGAATTGCTCCGCCGTTCGTCGGCTTTAAAAAATGCAGGCCCGAATACCAAGACGCGCTCATGACGGTGGTGATGTTGCACGATGCTCAGCGACGAACAAGTTGGCGCTGTGTCGCGAACGACTTATACATTGCGTCGTGCCCAGTTGCGAAGGTCTTGGAATCCTTCGTTTGTTCGAGCGGATGAGCTTGCGGATCTACTCAGCCACAGGGCCTCTTACGTGCTCGAATAGGCCCTGTACATGATATTCGGGTGCTTTTGCAGTCTGCTTACTTGGAAAGGCTCTTGCTTCGTAAGTCTCGGAATGCAGTCTTCCAAGGTTGGCTTCAACCGCAGAACCTCTTCCATGACCGAAATGAGAATGCTCGGCGCCGCCGTGCGATGTTTATCCCGGAGCAATGGCTGTGTGCACGCGGATGAGATTTCCCGCTAGCTCGGCGGAAGATTTCAACAATGCAAGGTCTGCCTTGTGTGGTAGCGATTTCTTCGTTGGGGGCGAGGCAATATCAATATCGTACGAACGACGTTGGTGAACGAGAATGTCACCTGGTCCAGCATTCGCTTTGTGGGGACGTTATAACACTGTTCTGTCTATCTACAATGTGAGGCCAGTGTTGACATCCAAAGGCTGGGAACGTGATCCGCGTGGCTTTAGGCGAGTCCTGCAACATGCTCGTGCAACGCCCAGTCAAGACATTGTACGGTACATGATACGCTGTGCATGTTTGAATACCCATATTGTCTGGGCCGGATTATCGTGGTGGATTCGAACTTGGCGACCAAAAGATACACGCTCGTCACCTTCGGCATTCAAGCGGCTGCCAGCAAGGCATCAACTTTGCGAATATCGGGGCTATGGGCGGTGATTTATTCTTTCTGCGCAGCGACTTGTCGTTCGGTCATTTGGTAGAGCAAGATCTGTTGCCTTCAAAGCACTCGGATGAAGCGCTCGAGCACAGCCGACGTAAGTCGGTACATGTAGAGAGCTCTGACCTATTTATTCGGTCTGGACGTGCAGCAGTGGTGTTCCTCTCTGTTGCCAGGAAGGGAGCTGGGGGTCAAAGAGGATCTTGAGGAGTGATCTTTGAGTTTCAGAGATCCTGCTTCTGCACGTTTCATGTCCAGATGCACTGTTGCGTCGCACACCGTGCTGCTGGCCAGAGGTTGTACAAAGGGCTGCCCTGAAACTATGCCATCGCTGACTCCTTTGCGAATCATGGCAGTGGCCTCTACTCGGTAGAAGCTCCGTCAGATAAAAATTAATCCCATATGCAAGTCTCACACTAGTTGCACATGGAGCAGGGTTCAGAAGCTGATCAAGCTTAAATCGTAAGCTTGGGGGTGGAGAGGTCTAGATACGAAGGATATCCAACAAGTGGTGATGCGTGCCGCGAGGCAGTGGTAGAATAGTGAGCTTTATCCCACTATCTCAACGGCTGAAGCTTGCGCGCAGGATTGTCATCGTCATTGACTCTATGACAGCGCATATGCTCCCATGCAGTACTTCCAACAGTCCGCAGAAACTGTGTCGGCAGTTGTCACAAAGGAACAACCCGAACAATCCCATAATCTTAGATTTGATGCTGGAGTAAACATGGAAAAGTTGCTTAGCGGCCCTGTTTATATCTGTTAGGCGAGATAGGGTCTACGCCTTTACGGATTCTCACGGTACTGTTGTGTTCCGGAACAAAAGCAGCCTCTATCATTCGAAATTATGCAGACCATCCTCGGATGAGGGCGGGAGCAGGAGGAGCAACAACTGTTGTGCTAACATTCCCTTTGGGCGAGTGGTCAATTTCTCTGCTTGCGCGTCTCGTTGGTCAGAAGTAAGCGCAATCTTGGGCGTTGCGATATATTGTGCACCGGCTCGCTGGTCTATTTGCGCAATTGTAACATCGCAATCGCAATCGCAGCGGTGTAAGACACTGAACAGCCTGTATTCTGGTGACGGATGCCAAATCGTCTGGGCGATGGACTCGCGTTGACGGGTGGGCAGGTTGTGGCGTAGCCCGTCGGCCACAACTTCTTCAACTGTCCCGCAGATTAAGTTTTGGAGCCTTTAGAATAGTGTTGCGTGGTGGTGCGACAGAGGCACGATGCGATCGAAGATGGGAGAAGATGTGCATGGTTGAACGAGTGACTGAAACTTCCGCGTTGCGTGCGTGCTAGGCGCCGTACCTGAGACCTATAGACCCCTTCTGTACGGCAGATCTCTTCATGGTGAGATCTTGAGATGACCGAGCTGCTGGGCGACGAAGCATGCCCGTTGGATGTCAAACATAGCAATCAGCAATTTAGAAAGGCCTGTTTCTCGTCTCGACCAGGGACTCGTGGCATGCGAGTTCGCGGCACCAGTGATAGGCCGGAGGACAAAATAAAGCCCAAAGCCAGCCCCTAGCTTAGTTCGGCACCCGCCAATGGCGCCTATTATGGTGGGCCGTTGAGGACTCCATCGCGGCCAAGGTGTTCATCTTCGACAGTCCCAGGGAATTCATCACGCCAGGGCAAACAGAGATAGCCGGCATCATCTCACAGAAACACCGCATTTTGCGAGCAGAAAAATCTCCCCGTGCCCTGAAAGGCTTGTTGTGCATACGCCGTACTCCGTAGCTACCTAACGGGACAACCACCCTACAGAGCCTAACACTGCCTAAGGGACACCCTCTTCGACCCGTTCCCAGCAGTCTCTCCAGCGATTGAACTCCAACCCAGGCTTAGCGCGCCAGTACCGCTGCTGGCACACGTCTTCACGGAACTACAGTAAATCCTCAACCTACCCTAAAAAACTGCCTCCCTTTCAGATCTCCGTCCTCTTCGCACCTCCACGATCCTGCATACTCGGCGCAGTCTCCTATCCATCAGTCACGTACTGATCGGTGCCATCATCTGTTGCAGCGACGGACAGGACGGCTTTCTTTTCCCTTCACTTCATTAACCCTTAATACCAATCCGACGAAGAACACGACTCTTCCTTCTCTTCGTTCGTTAAATCGGCCGAGCTTCACTCTGAGACAACGCTGCGTCACTCTCACCAGCTTCGGTACGAATCTCGGCGCGCAACAAAAGCAGAGTACGCCTGAAGAAGTGGAAGAGATACACTCAGAGGAGCTATCGTCTCGTTACTCGTTCTGTCATTCGATGTCGCGGTTCGGGAACTGATCACTGATCTATCCACCCTCGTTTTTCTGGTCTTGCGAAAATAATCAGCGGAACCTCAATAATTCCTGGCCAACACACCTACCAATCCGACGATTTTAGATACGAAGCAAGAGGGAAATTGCTGACATCGAGTCCCACCTGCGCCTGCCACGAGCTCAATCGATCGCCCAGCAGCTTCAGCTCTCGGATCACAACTCCTTCACACAATGGCTCCCGCTCCACCACGCCTCAAGATCTTGTCAGGTATGCTTTATTCTTGAAATCTCGAACAATCTTTGTTTTGCGGCTCGCAGAGACCCTGCGAAAGCTGCCCTCATCATGAACACAGAGCTAAGACGCGCGTGTATAGTCGGCGGCAACGCCATCTCGGCGTTTCTATCCTGGAGGCTTCAAGCGACCAATGCCTGCGATGTGACTCTGGTGTGGAAGGCCAACTATCAACAGGTTGCTCAATACGGCATATCATTCAAGTACGTCTCCGTCATGAATCACCGATGAGCTCAACTAATGTAATTTAGATCATCCAAGTTCGGCAACGAGCGTTTCAAGCCTCGATATGGTAAGCTAGACCTGAGTCCCAGACAATTCACGCCGCTAACTTGTAACTCAGTCGTCCAAAATCCCGATGACGCGGCGCAGCAAAATGTTGCCTTCGACTATGTCATTCTTTGCGTCAAAGCCCTGCCCGATGTGTACAACCTCGCCGACATCATCCAGTCAGTGGTAACTAAGCAGCATACGTGCATCCTCGTTAATACTACAAACACACTGGGAGTCGAGAAAGAGCTGGAGAAACGATTCCCAACCAACGTTGTTCTCTCCCTCGTTTCGGGCGCGGAGCTGACCCAGCTCGGGTCAAGCGAGTTTGAGCATAGTGGCTCGACCGATCTCTGGGTTGGACCCGCCAACATCAACTCAGAGATTCCTGAAGCTATTCAACAAGACATGTCCGAGGCACTAGCAATGACTTTGACAACTGGCCAGGTAGACTGCCAAGTTTCGAACAACATACGGCAACAGCAGTTTGAACGCATGGTTGGGTACGTACCGCCCAGTTTTCTTATGCTGACGACTAACATTTCCTAGTCCTATTGCCTTCCATCCAGCGAGCGTACTCTTCGACACACCAAGCCATACCGAACTCCTGCATAAACTCGGCGTCCGAGAAATGATCGAGGACATCATCCAAGAACTCATGGCCCTCGCTGCCGTCCACAAATGCACCTTCCCAACAGACTTTGCTAGCAAAACGATACAAGCAATGGTCTCCGTGAAAGAGCCAAGCACAATGTATCAGGATTTTACCGCACGTAGACCTATGGAGGTCGAGACGTATTTGGGAGCTCCGGTCCACCTGGCGAGAGTCGCAAATGTCAAAGTTCCGAGACTTGAGACATTGTACACTCTATTACGGCACGTCAACACGACGAACAAAGACAGGCCAGTAGCTGCAGCTGCGCCTGCGCCGGCACATGCTGCACCACAACAGAACGGTCTACCTCCCGCCCAGACCGTGGAGCGTCCTCCTAGAACAGCATCGATGCAACCGCCTCCCAGGCAGCATAACGCACCGATGCCGGGACCAGGACCGAGAGGAAGAGGTCCCATGGGACCACCAGGTCGGCGTGGCCCCCCTCCAGTGAATGGTTATCGCGGGCCCCCTCCGAATGGCATGCAGCGCCGACCTTCATTCGATGATAACAACAATCTTGACGAGTTCCAGCACGTTGTGCTCTACGATGACTTGCCTGATGGAGACTTCGCAGAAGGTGGCGCCCCGGGATTGTCGGTCAAAGAGCGAGAGTTGATGCTGCGTGAAAGGGAGTTGCACCTCAGACAACAAGAGATGGCGATGCGGAGAGGCGGGCCACGCAGAGCTCCGCGCAATCACCACCAAGATTTCGATGAGGATGACGAAGACGACGATTTCGTTGACCCAATGGTTCCGCGTCACCCACAGCCGCCGATGGACGACAATTTCGACATGATGAGTGTCACCTCTCGACGGACGAAGAGAAATCCTGGTCCCGGCCAGATGAGAAAAGACATGTACAACGGTGGTCCTCCCATGCGCGGTGGCTACAATCCGCGACCGTACATGAACCGCAACAGAACCAGTGCTCAGCTGATGAGCGACATGCCGATGTCAACAGACAACATTCTCGACAACGCTATGATGGGTTTCTCCTCGAACCGCTACGGTACAGTCGATCGCAAAGAACTTCACAATGAGTCCAGGACAAATTCTTTGACGGCTGCTCGCCTACAAGAAATGGGAGGCGTGAACGGTGGCCCTTTCCCCGGACCTCCGAGTCGTCGCACGAGTCGATCGCCTGGGAATCCATTTGGCGGTCCGATGGGGCGACCGCCTGGGAGACCGTCTCCACCTCATGACCAATATGGCCCTCCACGAAACGGCAGACCCTCTCCTCCTGGTATGATGCAACCAGTGCCAAGGTACCCTCCCGGCCAAGGAAACGCAGTTCATCCACAACAGGTCGAGCAACAAGTCGGGGTGAGCAAACCCTTACCACCCAAAGCCCCTGCCAAAAGTCTGACTGGAAGTGCCAGTGCTAGCGCGGGGAGCGGCGATAGCGGTAGCGCCAATATCGAATCCGAACCTTCTGCGCATAGTAGCCAAAGCAGCTTCGCGCCTCGACAACCGATGATGAGTGCAGCTCGTTGATCGAGTTCGACTACTCCGGCGATCGGGATCCTCACAAGCCTCCGAACGCGATCACCACGCCCAACAGCGCGTTTACTCTTCTGTCGATCGCTCCATGTTCATTAGCTTGCATACATTATAATGGTTACACCTTCCAATATGTGACGACCTGACGACGCCGGTTTATATTGCCGGCCGGAGAAAAGGGGGAAGCGGCGGAAACAGGAAAGACTCTCGACACATATCACATACCGGAGGAGGCAACATCGTTTGGATCACGTATATACAGGACTGGGGTTGGAGATCGTTGCAACTCGTGGAAGCGGCGCAAAAAGCATGGCATGGCATTTTCCTTGGTGTTTTTGGGACACACTTTCTGCATCGGACTTCCAGAAGTCAACTGCTTGGGTTTTTGAGGCCCTTTGTGACGCATACAGCATTTTGGGGATGGCATTCCTCTGTCTCCTACCGCAGACGATCTGGTTACTAGGGCATGGGCAAGAAACGACCGGGTGGGTTCCGATCCATCATAATCTGCTAGAAGTTGGGCCGCGCACACGCAATGAAAGCGGGAAGAGAGGCATGTACGTGCGTACTAGGCGTAGAGAATCAAGATACATGCACACACTGATCAATTTCTGCTCCGCGAAGTCTCCGCAGTGACTTTGTTTTGTATCAGTCTCAAATCTCCGAAGACTGTGCGCTGTAGCATATATATCATATCTGTCCCTACAAAGTCTGCCCACTCGTCCGGCTTCGAAACGCACGCCCTGTGCAAATGGTTGGAACGATCATGGGCGAAGGCCTTTCATTGGTGGGAATAAGTCGAACGGTGCCTTTGGAAGGAGCATTTCCAGCGTGCTCCTACTGCCCGTCGCCTGCTTTCTAGGCAGCGAAGGAAGGCGGTGGTGAGTCAAGCTGGGTCGTCAACCGGTGCTACATGCGACCCGGGCCAGACCGGATGACAATGATCTGCCAACCTGAACATCGCGACGCGTTCTCGCTTTGCCTTGGTGGTTGACTATACGTCCACACACATCCATACACCAAATACACAATCACTCCCAAAACAGCCTCACTCCGTCCGTAGCACCGCAGAACACTCGTACACGCACGAAGAGTTCAGATTCAGCCAGCCTCAACAACACCTTACCGAGGACAGCACAACGCGCCTTTGCTCCACTTCAAAACACGGTCTCAAGCCTGTAGTGCTGAATGACCACCGACAGCTAGCAGCCGATCACCAACCCACCAACATTGACATCAAGTCCGTCTTCGTCAATCCACCGCTCGTCTCCACACACCACCGCCGCATCACCATGTCCACTACAAACCACAGCCAATCCTCGCAACCCAATTCTTCATCCTCAATCTCAGCCAACAAAACCCGCCAATACACGCACCTGCACGCGCAACTCGCCCAGCTCAATGCGCACCTCGCAGACACGGAAAGTCTGGTAAGAGTGACGGCGGCGCAGGCGCAGCATATGCGGTTTCTTGGTGGGTATGTGGGGGGGTTGTTTATGGGGAGTGCACGGGTTTTGGGGGAGGAGAGCGTTACTGGGCGCGGGAAGGGTGCGTAGGGTGAGAGGGGGACATGAGGCGGGCATGTAGCGGCTATGAACTGGCGGCTCTGGGGACGGTGGGCGGGGAGGTGGTGGGGAGGAGGTGGCCGCGAAGCGGCCACCGACTCACCACCACCTCAGGCGAGCGAAGCGAGCAGGTTTCCTGGTCGCGCCGCAGGCGCTCCCTATAGGGAAGGAAGGGTTGAAGTGTAGGAAGTGAGTGCTGGAACGTTTGAAGCAAGTGTTGAAGTGCGGGAGGTGGAATGCAGTAGTCGTAACAATTTTTTTCTTAGATTTTATTGTGTCCACCTCTTGAGTCTTCTTGTTCTTCAAGTTGACGCGCTCGGTAAGAGTGAGGTATAGGTTTTTGGCAGATGCCCCATGACGAAGTCACATTTGACTTGCACTTCAAGACGCCTGGTGCTATCGGATCCAGCTGGATGGACGTTTCTGGAGCCACCAATAACATATTTGACAAAGTCGAATTTTGTTGTCGTACGGAACTATTTTCGACCTGACCTTTCCCGAAGCCTACACGGCGTGGACCCTGCTGGAACGGGTTGAAAGGGATGCTGCGCATGGTCCTTGGGCCACGGCACCGCCTCTGAATGATGTTTTGGGTCCGGGGCGGCAGAGGTGCAATATCTGAGTTTCTTGGTACGGAGAGTGGTGTACGGATTTCTGAGGTGCCTGGTGTCAGAGATGGCAAGGTTTCATTGGTTGTACTCGCAATGGCCCCACTTCGTAGTTGCCTGATTCTTCCTCTGTGCGACACCTACTTCGTTGGTCGCTCCCAAATCAAAACCGCTCGTCCGGAATCGCATTTCAGAGCGTTCGTCTATATCTGACAAGTCAGTGCCAAAGCATGGGACTCGAACACAATGCCTCATCCCAGCGAGAACGCTGACCCTGCGGACAACCAGCAAGTAGCCGCGGTTGAGTCGCCTTTTCGCCTTTTGTCACTACCCGACGAAATTCTCCTCGAAGTGTTCAGCCACATGCGATACCATTCCCTTATCGCATTGCGTCTGACAAACCGCCATCTCTCGAGTCTCGTCACAAAGGACGTTCTCCTACAAGCCGCGCGAGAGCAAGTGAATCGCCAGCGAGAACTGTTGATGATCTCCGGACATGCTTTTAGCAGGCAGGCTCACACGGTGGACATTGGGAAGCACATACGCGTAGCGAGATGTCAGAGATGCTGGTCTATTGATCATACAGAACGTGTACCACGTGGCAGAGTCGATGAGAGGCCCCTGTGCGAAGAATGCTTTGACTTGGCTTTGATTAGGGCGATTCAAGCTCATATCAACTGAAGTGTCAATATATCGGAGCTCACAGATGCGGCAAGAAGGTCAAGTGTAGAGGTCTAGATTGATGTGGTCGTTGACGCGGGATCGTTCGAGGGCTCTCCCGCTTGTGGATACAGTGGCTGCCCGACGAGCTCGCCCAACGAGCGACGAGTCCCATACTACATTGCTTTGGGAATACTGGGCAGGACGGTACGGCCGAGTGTGTTCGATCAGGGACAATCCGTTTTACAATCTTTCCCTGTAACGCTTGCTTGATCGTGGACGCTAGTGTAGTTACTCAATTAGGTAATCTGCAGGATTGCACAATCAGTATCCCACGAACATCGACTTCTTATGTAAGATTATGTCGCTTGCAGAACCGTTAGCTCGAAATGTAAATTTGAGCCCAGAACAGGCTACCAGCTACCAAGCCCAGCGATACACTGATTCTTGATGGCTGTTCAACTTGCCCAGAGTTCGAGACACTGACTTGCTTACGAAAAGACCTCCAATACCCTGCCAATCCCACGTTCTATTGCCGGTCAAGAAGCTAAATGCACATACTTCTTCAGCAGCTCATTCTGCTGCTTCAACTCATAAACATGAGTCTCCAGCCGCTGCTTCTCCGCCCGTGCTTGTTTACAGTCCGTTGTGATGGAGTCGATCTCGGCCTGCAGACTTTGAACTAAAGTTTCTCTTCGCTCGCGAAAGGCAGCTTGTCTATACATACGTCCTGGTCAGTAAAATCTGCCCACAGGCAACAAGTCCCACAGGCGGATGCTGGGATGGGTCGTGCCGTGCGATGTTGGAAGATCGACTGATAGACTCACGCTCTGCGGTTCTGCGTCCTGCGCCGCTCTCTCCGCTCTGCCACTCGGTCTCGGGGACCGACGATCGCTCTTCCAGGCACCGCAGGCGATGCTAGCGCAGTGAGCTCTCCTTCAGTCTCGCTGGACTCGGTTGAAGCGCTCGATGACCTCGAGACGGCTTCCGGGGGGCTGCCGTCCTCTGGCTCTGGCAATGTCTGTGGCACAGGGTATGTGGTTACCTGCTCACTAGTCAGTCTCACCCACTTTTATCGCAAATCCGCATCGCACCATCCAAGCGTATGGATCTTCGGGCATCGGCCAGTGACCGGAATCTGTCCATACTGGCCCAGCAACGGCCTCGTCTGTACTGCCGAATAAGACCGGGCTGTCAATTTCTGTGAACTGGCTGAAGATGTCCTCGGAAGGCTCCTCGTTCACATGCGCTTCTCGCGATGACGAGGCAAACACGCTCAGATACTCTGGTGGCATCGGAGATGAATGTGGCGGACGAAAAGACGTCTTGGGTATGCCTTCCATACTGGCAGCTGACACAAACTTGACTCTCCGAGGGCGTGCGCGTTCTGTATAATTCTGATCTGTATAGCTGAGTCTGGATTGCGACTGGTGGGCTGTCGAAGTTGTGGTATTATCTGTGGTCGGACGAACGCCCTTCTACAGGCACTTCACTTCCGGACAGCAAGACTCTGTAGCAAGCCATATCCGTACTTATGATGAGCCAACTCCGGCTGAAAGATAACAGAAGATCTTCAGCGGAAAGCCAAACGAAGCCACTCACCAGTATGCGAGGTCAAGCAGCTACAAGCTCATGCATGACTTCGGAGTACGGCGAGCTTGATCCACTCAAAGCACGTCGAACCCTGAAGATCACTCCTTGACTGTACTAGATCTTCTGAAACACCTGTGTTAGTCATCGGCTCAGAAGTACAGCGCTCGAAAGCGCTCAGGCGATCATTTCCGCGGCGTGACTAGGGCTGAGCAAAACAATCAGTTGGAGTGCAAGGGAATCATCGCGGAATATTCCAGAACAAGTAGAGCCGAGTGGCCTGTATCCTTGTGAGCCAGCGGCCGAGATGCGCAGCAACTGGGGCCGATCAAGTACATCCTTTGCTCCGCCGACAAGCTCGCGAGATGTAGTGCAGACGAGGACGATAGACCGGAGCATGAGCAGAATACCCAGCTATTCCCGCAGTGACAGTCTCTCTGTGCATGCTTGCTGTGCGAAACGCGCCATACCGCAAAGGGTAAATGAGCATAGATCCATACCCTTTCGGGAGGAGTTATAGACCGGGTCCTAGTCTAATCGCGCTCTCCATGCGTTCATCCTCAACGGAATGATTTCGTGGAGATGTGGTGTGGCCTCACAGAAGGCACCAGGATACTGCGGGCGTTTGCTGTAGTCTGATCAGCGGAGGCGGAGACGTAAAGTTGTCGCTTCCCACAGGAGAATGCTCAGAGAGCGTGGCGGGAGTCGCTCCTGAAGCCTGGCAGAAATTACTGTACGTGCGGTAAGGTCTTGACTCTCTAGCATATCGTTCGCGCGGTAGCATTAGACGTCTCAACGTATTCTGATTCGTCTTGCAGACCCGGGAGAGAGCTGGTACCTACCGAGGGACAGATGGCCTCGACTCATCAATAATCACACAACCAAGGTTCTGCATGCATAACTCCATTTTATCATGTGGTGACTAGTGTCGTGTCTTCTATTTCCCTAGTGTGTCGACTTTCCCAGAAGGTGGTCAATCAGCAACACACACGGCGATGAGTCCCGGGTCACCACAAGAGGGGCCGCCAGGAGCTTCTTCGCGGGTTTCCATGCAGTCCATGAGAGCTGCATTGATGCAGGGCAATCTCGGAGACATGGTCTGTAAGTGGTATGATCGAGCTCCGAGAGTGACTGTTCTCAACCTGCAATGCTTGACTGGCCTTACTAACAGAGTTCAACAATGATGACTTGTTCGCATGACGAGTTTCTGACCTTGCGCAAGGCACTGAATTGGCTCGTATTTGGTCGAATTGAGGATGATTAGCCGTTGATCCGATCCTTCGTCTGCGTTGTATAGCGGACATGTTAGTGCTATCCAGGGTGGTGTAGATCAGTCACGCATGTCGCGTACGTGATCCCTGGCCAGTTCTTGCATCACATAGCAAGGAATGGTTTGAACACTTGAGGCCGTTGCACTTGCGCCTGTCCGCTCCGTAAGGAGAAGAGTGACGCGGCGTTCTGCAGATCTATATCATCCTGAGATCTTCGAAGACTAGCTGGATTCGGAGGTGAAATTGTTGAGGAGGTATGGTATTTGAGGAGGTGTGGGTGGTCTCAGCGTTAGCGCTTTACTTCGATGCGCTACACTGATGAAAGCCTAGATGACAAAGCCGTGCTGGACAGTGCTTCAGCACATGGCATCGGTTCAACAGGTCGTCTGTGATCCTGTCCGATCATTGAGTGGACTTGAAACGCCGTCAAGCCTGAAAGACCGCTGCTGCTGTGTCGACAGCTTTAGACCAGAGCCTCGCAGATCAGATGTTGAGACAGTGGAGGGTTTGGCTCCGGTACTCATGTCTTTTGCTGTATGCGACGCCTGCGTCTGATGGCTTTCATGCAGTCCGGAAACAAGTCATGGAGAAACGGACAGTGACTGCATCGCGACGAGTCTGGTGATGTTTCGGAGTCCGCCGGAAGAATCCAGTTTGCTGCCAGCTGGTCGGAGATAGTGCACTCCATTGAACATCGTTAATTGCTACAACAGTCGAGCAGTCACGAGTGTTTTACACATGCAAACACGATAGCAGAATGATAGAAGGTAAGAGTGGAAGATAGAAGGACGCGTTAGCAACAAAAGCAGGAGGACTTGGGGACGAAACTCGCTCTTTCCGCATTCGATTGGGTAGGCGTGGCTCCTGCGATGGTCCAAGCAAAACCGCTCTACTAGTATTGGTGGCTTCGTTTCGTTGTCATGTGTCTCGTTCATATTATTGGTACATGTGCAGTAGTCATGTTTGTTCGAGAGCTAGCATAATTGCAGCTAAAACGCAACTCGCAACGTGGTGTGAATGGACTGGCGGGTACTGCACAGCTCGGGCAACCAATGCATTCTTTTCCATCGTGAGTACCGGCTTGCCCACACGTGTCTGGAGATCGAACTCTATCCAACCGCCCCTGAACTCACGACGCTTCGTGACCGGGAAACAAGCTCAAGGTTCTCGCTTCCTGCAGCTTATTTATTCGATTGACTTGTCCTGCTGAGTACTCCGTACAGCGTTGGTCGTTCTTTCCTGATTGTGAGAATAAATACGGTTGTGTGAATAAATACGGTTGTATGTTCGGATTCTCGACAGAAAGTCCATAAGGTCGAGACGCGGAGTACTTCGATCGCGCATGTTGTGTCCCGCCGTGGCAAACAACTTATGACCTGGCGTCGCATGCATTCATCGCGGCTTCGGTGGCTGGTGCTGGTGCTCCGACCCTCCTCTCTGTTGCTGATACCGACGCTGCTCTTCGCAAATGTCTATGCGACCGAACAGTTCCGCGCCATATGCCATCCGGTTGTCCAACATAGCCGGTCACTTCTTGGCAAACACGTCTCACAGCCTTCTGTTCGTTGCTATCGCAACATATCCCGATATGTCGTCCTGACGAGGGCACTGCAACTGACTTGACGAGCTGGTGTCCATTTTGACTCGTCATGCTGTTCACAGGTTCGGGTCGACGCGAAACGATCAAAGTGTGCGTTGATCGCGCTCGCACTCAACAATGGGAGTATATACGTACAGTGTTCGACAGATCTGGTATTCGGGCATTCGGCCAATTTTGCCAAATAAGACTTCGTGCCATGGATGCTTACGTCGGCATTGCGTCGAGCCATAAATGACTCGAGAATCCGAGACCAGCAATTGTCCAACGTTGCAGTGGCGTGTGTTCAGTATGGTCTGTTGCTGACTCTGCAGCAGCTTTCGTACGCTATACGGGCATTAGGGCTGGATGCGAGCATAATGGTGTGACTGATCATCCTCCTCGCGCAGGTATGGCAGGCCGCCTTGATTGGGGTGCCACGCTGGTCCATAACCTGCGCTTGCAGAGACAGGCAGCTGTGGTACGCTTGTGGCTGTTTGTGAGGTATAGCCACCTGTACTATACATTGAAGGATCGTGATATTGTCTGCTGACCGCCTCTTGAGCATATCCGTAGCTATCGCGATAGCCGAAGGACGAGTGCTGAGGCTCACTAGCTCGACGGAAATTTGATGGGTGAGAGTGGTTTCGGTAAGCGCCGTACGGATGATAGGATTCCTCCGAGTCTAACATGGACGCCGACGCGGACGACCCTGTGAAAGACCACTGTGATCGGTTGCCAGAGGTCTGGTTTGAGCCCAGATATGATGTCTGTGGCGAAGCGTCGAGCGGTGATGCCATGAACTGCGTGGCGATAGGTGAGAAGTATTGGTGCTGAGAGCGGGTCATGTCCGGGTTGACTTGCAAATGTGTTGATAGAGTTGTGTTCGGTCGACCGTAGGCTTGACTAGAGCCAACACGCTCGGCTGGCTGGATGTAATCTGTCCTGGCATCAGATCGATCATGAAAGGCACCGTCAGACCCACCATAGTTGGGAAAGCCTGTCAATTCGTGCGGCGACAAAGGGCTGGGCACTAAGCCGTTGGCACCGGATCGATCCACCTCCTCAGGACTGCTCTTGAGCACTGGCGGACCGCCTTGCTCTGATGAAGAGCCTGACACGTCTCGTTCGGCGACGCTGGTGTCGGCTTTCGATGCCGTTCGGGCTCTTCGACCAACTGGGAGGCTTGTCTGATCAACTGGGAAGAAATGACAGTCTTTCTTTAGACGAATGCAATTCTGGCATCGTCCGCTGGAATCTTCGAAGGCGGCAATGCATCGTATCTTACGTCGTCGGCAGTGTCCTGGATTTGTGAGCTGCTGCAGAGAACCGAAAGGTGCTCGGAATCTGCCTACCACATGCGACGGCTGTGCGATGATAGCCAAGTTTATTGCGCTTTTTGTCTGCTGCACTTAAGGCAATGCCTTCGACTCCGAGTCCGCGCACGTCCGGCGTTGACATTGCTCGTTTGACCACACCGCCTCTCCCGTCGAGCTCTCCAGTCCTGTTCTCTCCAAGAGCTAACGTGGGATCCACCGAAGAATCGTCCGAGTCGTGGATGATAGTCTCTGGTTCCAGATGAGGGTACATGGTCAGATGTTGCTGGGCCAACCCACCGGACTGATCGCTGACTGTCTGGTATGCCATACCCTGACGCTGTACTTTCACTGGTAGAGTTTATGTCAAGCTGTCGCATAGGCAGTGCTATCGACCATTCCGATCAAACTCTCGAGACCTCGTCATTGCTGGTGAACAATGATCTACCGATGAGGTCGCGAAATGGCACAATACTCGTGGTTACCAATCCAATCAAAGTGACGCGCACGGTTTTATGTCGTCCAGCTCGAGTCGCCGACAAGAGGCCGTCGTACTGCTGGTGTCTAGGTCGTCGTATATGCCTAATCAATGTCAAAGCGCTTGTTGCAAGTGTTGCTCAGCGCACAAAGATGCTCAGGTACAGTGTCTCAAGGCGACTGGCTCTCGAGCTTCGATCGTTGTGTTCCAGCTTCGTTCAGCGCCGCCTGAGGTATTCCCGGAACTATATCGTTCCGAGGCTGCGAAGTTGACAAGAGCTCTCGTGGATAAAGGTACAACTGGCGATAAGGCTGGACGTCAGCAGTGTGTTGAAGACAGCAAGAAATTATTTGGAGAGAACAAACACTTGTCTTTGCAGAGCCACTGCTGCCGTAGTCTTGAATGCAGCTTCCACAATGCCCTAGTGTATGCCCAGCATAGAGCAGACTTTAGGAGGGGCAGATGGGGCCTACAGGGCAACCAACCCACGATCCACCTTAGAGCGCTGGCATGAGTTCCTCGGGGTTGTCTGAGTTGATCTTTGCTAAGAATGCGAAGTAGCACCACCAACAGGAGACACCATGCTGGCAAATGGGAAGGGGCATGGCTTGCAGTGGGTGCCGGTTAGGTTTGCCCGAAGCCATGCGGCTTTGGTGGACCAGACTCGAGTGATCCTTGATGATCTGGTGGATACGGAGACATCATTAGCGAGAGAGAGGTCAAATCGGAACCGCCGTGTAGTCGTCCCAGCCAGAGGGATGATCGACAAAATCTACCCAAAATAAATCAAGAATGCTGCATAGATGCCTAAGGGGCAGCATATGAGGTGCTTAGGGTTCGATACAGGCCTAAGACTGGACTACTAGAGCTCAGCAGGTGCTTACGAGATAGAACAGGAGGCTCGAGGTCTTGACCGACTGGAGAAGTCATTAAGCTCCAGCCAAACGTGGTCCGCTAAGAATATGAGCCCTCGGCCAGACTGATAGCTGATTGGACGACAGAAGATGCTTTGCCTGGATCGGACGTCTGGAGCGCCGAGGACGTGGTCTTGAAAGACTAAGTACGAGTTCATGTGCGACAGAACAGTTAGCATCAAGTTGTGGGATGTCCAGAACATTGACACGAGACATTCGAAACGAACAGTGAGTGCGAGCTTCGGAATCTCGAGGTCTGGATGAAAGAGCGAGCATGGTGCCTGCCGAGCTGGACCAAGTGATGCACATAATCGGGTGTGGAATGGCAGCAAGAACCCCCGTGCGGTGGATGCTGGTGCCCTGGACATGATTTCCGTCCACTCAGGCATGTCATCGTAGCTTTCGAGACGCGTGAGTTCCCTGTGGCAGCCTCATCAATGTTCTTAGCAATTTGGCAGACAGGGGTACAGAGAAGCCACGCAGTTGAAAGGATGCAAGGATCTGCATTGCGATTGTGTCGTCGATAACGTGGCTTAACAACAAACGAATCAGAGCAGATCTCTTTGGAGAAAACTTCGCTCGACACTGTCGGGATTGTGGAGATTTGACCGTGTACTTTCGTGCGATCAAGGTCTGGGGCCTTCGCAAGCACGAGGTGTGGCCTGTCGCGCCCGCATGCTTCTAGACACAAAAGGTGAGGTTGGATTTAGAGTCAGGTGCGAAACGAGAATTGCATCGATGCTTTTCATGCAACTCCGAGCTTCAGTCTGCAGCTCGGTTAGCAAAGAGCTTGTCTTGCGCTAAACGACGAATTGTGACCATGGTAGTGGGCCTGTATGGGGGGCCATGAACTGCGCGATCTTTCGCGAAAAGTCAAAGCCGAAACTTGACAGCTCGGCACATCGAGATCACGGCATTCGCATATCCAACTGGCTCGAGCTACGTCCTCGTCAGACACTGCAGTTGTCTGGACTGCTATGGTTTTATCTGGAAGTCGTGTACGGAGCCTAAGCGATATCGAGGGAATAGAACCAACTATGGCAGATTCTCGGATGCTGCAGGATGATGCGATTAGTGTTCACAGCTGAGTTACACTATGAAGATCATACCACGAACGGTAGCAAGAGCCAGTGTCGCGTGGGTTGAAGCAAATCAATCACGTGGGGATCGAAGCTTCACTCCAATCGACATGTCCGTCATATAGCAGGCCGTGCCGTGCCACCACCGCCACAGAAGTTTTTGAGAGTACTGCTCAGACTGCTAGGTACGTTGCTCCGCGCACGACCTCATTGACACCGTCCGTTTGCTTCTCGACCAAGCGAGCTGCCAAAGGTCCTAAAGATAAATATCTGGCAGAGGTCATGACGAAAAGCTTCTTTCGGCTCTCAGGCACCTAAAGCGTTATTCAGCCAAATATCGTTCGGGGTGGCCGTGTCGATCTCTTCGCCGATCTTCTCCCCATAACGACATTCTTCGAGTTGGCAAGCCACATTTGAGCTCCAACAGACCAGCGACAAGGCCTCGCCCCTGAAAGCCGCGCCTCATCAGTCGAAGCTGAACATGAGATACAGTACCTACTGTTGTCCTTGGATTTGCTTGGATCATAAGCGCCGTCACCGGCTAAGGATCTGGATCTTCAGTATACTCGAGCTGGACGAGTCAGTATCAAATTACATGATAGCACGGTTATCGAATTGTTCCCAACCTGGACTATTTTGACTTGAGAACGAGTCACCAATCAACCATGCAGCAGCTACTGAAGCAGAAATCAGCGCAGAATACGTGACGTGGACAGTGGTGATCAGGTTCACTGATTTCCAGAAACTTCCCAAGGTCCTCTGCCATCCTCGCGATGTCAATAACAGCCCCATGAGTAGTGACCGCCGCGTTGGCGTCCTACCTCGTCACCCTAATAACAACAGAAACCTCGAGAGCCCTCGCCTCCCTGACCGCGCAACCGATACAGCCCCTCCCAACCCTGCTAATGATCGCATGCAGCCCAACATACGCACACCACGCTCTGACCAGTACTTCCTTCTCCCATCCTCCGCGCGCATCCACCACCCATACTTCACAGTCGTCCTTACTCGTTGGGTCTGGGAGCAGCGTCTCATCGTCTCCAGAGATGTCGAGAACGTCGGAGATACACTTGAGGGCGTACTTGAAGGAGTTATGCAGAATGTGTGCTGGTAGGTGTTCCGCGTGTTTGTGCTTCAGGGTCGTGGGTGAGTCGCTCTGTAAGGTCGCTCCAATGGGTGCTTTGACGTGGCCGTGTGGAGGCCTGCAAGGATGCTGTGCGACGAATCTTATCGTCCATTTCAAAGGAAGGTGCACTGTCACGGCCGTGCCTTCCGCTGCACTTGATCCTTCCTTGACATCCGCGATCACGCTCGCCTGGTGGAGCGACTTTCCCTCTGCATTCTCCTGGACATCAGACTCCTTCTCTTGCAGCACCAGATTCAAATTAATCACGTCCGGGACTCTGCCAGCCGTGGACTTGTCAAGATCGCGGTCTGTGACCATATTGAACTCTCTGCCTAGGACATGTCCTTTGCCCACGCCCAGGGTACTACTCTGCCTGGCCACGTCATCAACGTCGTGAATTCGACCTACATCCTTCTTCATCGTCCTACTGCCCCATTTGCTTGCAACGAGATACCAGCCATCAGTCATCCTTTGCCCAGTCTCAGCGTTGACCGGGGCCAGGACTTCCGGGAGCCCAATCCAGCCCATTCGCTCTTTCGACCCGAGAGCAGGCGCGAGTACACAAGGAACGATACAGATTTTCGACCACCAGCTTTTCGCGCCCAAGACAAAACCAGCGCGTGGGTAGGCAATATTGCCCAAACGTTCCACAGCGCGCTGCTGTGTGTCGTTCTCCAGTAGAGCACATATCAAGATATCGCAGCTACTGTAGCCGGGGATGACCAGTCCGCCCAGCCATGCATGACTGAGAGGACCGCCCAACGTGTCTGGACCGACAGCTCTAACTTCGAGCCTGCTTTGATCCCTAGTGTGCCGCGCAAGATGCGGGTGTGCGATCGGTTCGACGCCATGAGCTAGGATCGTTTCTCGCGCTTCTTTGCTGACGTTGCATAGTTTCCGCTCGAGATCTGTCTGGATATGTTCAATCGAGGCTGGATCCCAGCCAATATCTTCCGCGAACCGAACTAGTCCATCGATCATGATTGCAGGCTTCCGTGGGAGAACAGCGAGGTCGTACTTCCATTCCTCCTCCGCTTTCGTGTCCTGGCCTTTGAACTTGCCGAAGAGTCTGAATGAGGATGCTTTCGTCCCCACCGTCGGCCGCTTTCCGCGCTCAGTACTGTGTGCGAAACAGAAGCCGGAGCTCATCACCGGCTTCGCATAACACAGTCGCTGAAACCTTTTTGCGATGGCCAAATCCCAGTCAACTTTGAGATTCCGCAACTTGTTGAAGCGATGAATCTCCATGGCAGACACTGCGATCTCCTCGCTGTGCATCGCCACACCTCGCCTCAAGGCTGCGTCGAGGCGGATCGTCAACTCCACCGCCAGGAGCAATTGTACGAGGGTCAGCCACTGTTTGGAAGAAGTCTTCACGCCGTTCTCGTCGGTCTCCTCTTTCACCTCTCGCGTACGCAGCCCCATAGCGAAGAGCAGGCGCTCACGTGGGAGGCTGAAGTCGAGCCAGGCTCCAGGCGTAGTTAGGATTTTGACCAGCACCTCAATCTGGTGTTTCAGAGAGTGACCTTTGTCGTACGATGCGGTGTTGTCGGAAGGATGGGACTCTGGCTGATCAAAGATGAGATCCTCGAACAAGGATCTGCCCATCTCCTTCTCGCCCCATCCCTCCGCCTGCAGAGCAGTGAATCTCGGGCCCTTTTTGACCACTTCCTCGCGCAGTTCGCTGGCCTTCTGGAGACGCTCCGTTATTGTGCGCATACCGATGGGTCGAACGCCGATCTTCGTCCACGCATGAGGGCCCTCACGGAGCAGGCCAACACGATCATACGGTTTCGCATGCTTACCGATTCTGGCATTCTCCACACTGAGTGCTCTGAGAGCCTCGGTAGTTGACTTGTACTCAAACACGTTGGTTGGTTTCTTCTCATCCTCATACTGAGCCTCGGCTGCAGTGTACGCACTCATTCCGGCGGCGGCAAAAGAAGTCATGTGGTCTGATATCGAATCACTAGTAGCTGCCGTACGCGTCAGACCGTCCGCGACGCCTCGCTCTAGGAAAGCATGCAGACCAAACGTTCCTGGCTCGATGCCATGGAGTGACAACATATTTGGACGTTCGTAGATGCCCAAGTCGAACATAGGCCTGAATTTGTTGCCGAAAGTCAAATCTGTTTCGTCTAATGCCACCGATGGTGATGCCACTTCAAGTGCTACTGGATCCTGAGTCGGATGGGCTTGGAAGTAGGTCGCGGACGACGAGTGTGGCGCCAATGAAGTTGGCGAGTACACATCGCGGTTCACTGGTGTGTCCAGATTGCTGTCTGTTGCCGAGCTCACCGGTGACAATCGTTGCTTTGCGAGATGTGACACCGGAACAGGCAAATGAGAGTGGAGCGTTGCTAACGCAAAAGATTCGTGTGTGAGGCTGACATGATCGTGGAGATCAGTCAGGTCGAGATCGAGAGCGAATGGGTAGAATGCCTGGGGAAACGAGCGACCTCTGTGTCCTGGCTCAATCGTGAAGTGTGGCGCCCCAGAAAACAGTGCTCTGACATCCTCTTTGGACAGCGCATCGTGGGCTTCCGTTCCTTTCACGCCGTAGCCGGCACGATGGTCCTCTTGACGCGTCTCAGATGCCGATGATGTCGACCCTTTGCTAGACCGATTCTTCGAATCGGATCTAGCGTGCGACTGAGGTCGGGATTGCGCTGTGGAGTGGTCTGTGGTAGCAGTGGAAGAAGTTGCTGCTGGTCTTCCATCCTTAGACGCGCTGTCAGTCTTGGTAAGACCGCCAGCATCGGCTTGTTCGGCAGCGCCACGTCCTCCACCATTGTCCCGTTCCCTGCTATGGCTTCGAACCCTCAATTTGTCGAGCAAACCGACTCCTTCAGAGGCGCTCGGTGATACAGGGCTTGTTGTAGACGAGGCAGAATGCTTAGGAGCCGGATCCGGCGTAGAAGACTTGTTTCTGTGGTGAAAGAGAGGCATGATCTAGCCTGTAGACAATTTCCCGGTGCCAGGATTGTGTATTCTGTTTGAACAAATCAGCGTGTTCAATACAACACAGCTTCACTTCAATCCTGAAGGCTCGTCGATACTGAGCGCCTTCAGTGGTTGATGGCGATCCAATATCGACAATGCTTGCAGATTTTCGCTCTGAAGTCCGCCGAGCACCGTAAATGCCTCGTCCGGTGACTTTGCCACTGCCTGACAGGAGCGAGGGCGGGCCTGCTACCTCTTTTCGCTACTACGTGGCTCAATATGCATCTGTTGCATTGACCACAGGATACTGCGGAGACGGACAGCTGTCTCAAGGTGATATTGATATGGCTTAGAGTGCTCCTCGCGGTAGTCAGTTGACAGATGAATTGAAATGCCAAGGGCTTCTGTCGACCGGTTGACAAAGGTTCTCTTTGCCTGCTGCGATCATCGAACACTGCTTGGATCAGTCGCAGCAAGTAAGTAGACACGATAACTTTGTTCATGGACTACCTGGGAGATGCATTGATATGTTTGCGCCATTGCAAGGACCAGGTACCGCTAATACCTTAGTCATCTAACACTTTCGGAGTGATCGGAAACGGTCATAGGTGAAGGAAGTCAAGACGTCCAATGATATCATTCCGGCGTCGGCATATTTTCACGCAGAAGCGGGAGCCTCCCCAGTCCTCTGCGTTACACGAACTCAGCACAATCCATCTTAGCGTATCGTAGGATTACTGAACCTCTGCATCACTGACCATCGACGAGAGGTTCTGGACTTCATCTGATGGCTACTCGCAGGATCGGTCGTGAGCAAGTTTTGAGTCAATAAATGACACATTAAGCAATGTTCGAAGGTACGTTTAAAGCAACACCAGAAAGGTGCGAGTATGTCCGCAAAAAATGCCGGCAGAATATGAATCGATTTTGGGGTATTATAGAACAGCAGCACGGAATGCAGCAAATTGACGATCGTCCTTCGTCAGAACATGCCTAGGGAGGATACATCTGAGGCATGTTCCCTTGATGTCTTAAGTGCTGCGCTTGCGGCGGTGCAGTCACTTGTCCGGGGAATGCCTGTCCTGCCATGCCATGATGCTGCTCCATACCAACGGCCGACCAATATGAACCAGCTGACATCGGTGTCACTGGACTGGCCATATGCGGATGCCTCGCCATGGATGTCGACAAAGGTGGTACTTGAGCAACTCCCCAGGCCGTGTGATCATTGCTAGGTAGCACGATGGATGGGCCTGGACCGGAGCCTTCGCTCAATTCGTCTTCGACCTCGTGTTCCTCGACGATACCCATCGAACCTCCGCCCTGCATGCCAAAAGATCCATGTGGTCGGATCGAAGTGGCAGACTGGGGAGCCGAATGCGGTCCTGGACCCATACCTGGGCCGGGCAGCGATTTTTGGATCTCTGCTTCATAGGCCGGCACACTCGGATACAGCTCCTCATATCCGTCGAAGAACACCCGCTTCATGGTCCAGCACCTGATATCGGACTGTCGTCGCATGAACTCAGGTGCAGAACAATACAGCGAGGTGATGGGGTCTTTGATGTATGAATCTGAGATCTCAAATGGCCAGAGGAATTTCAGGTTATGCCGGAAACTTTCGTTAAATTCGTTGGTGATGTACCGTTGCGGCGTTTCGATCAACAATTTGCGGAAGCCGGGCCAGACAAAACTGTCCACAACCCTGGATCGATTGTCCTGGTGCACGACCTCAGACGTCATATATCCGGGAATGTCGTGCGGAGCTGGGGTGGAGTTGGCGACGTGTAGCAACTTCATACGGAGCAAGCGCAATGCAGCCATTCGCTCGACAACACCGACGTCAGGGAAAACTACCTGGTCAATTTCTTGGAGCACTTGCCAACCGAGATCGAGCGGGTATCGTTCCTCAACGGCCGGCCAGCCTTCGATGACAGCACGAACGATAATGTCTTCGTCAAAAGGTCGATTGCTAAATGCTCCAGGGCCTGGGGCTGAGTAGACCCGTGCCAGATGGTATTCTGCATAGTAGAACATCTCGCCTTCATATTGACGCATTTTAGGGTCCTTATCCGGGCGAGCCGGGTGTATCCCAAGAGGAGATGCGTGGTCTGTATGCATTGCGATGGAGGATTGCGCATGTGCTGAATCGGGCGGCGGCACCCAGAACGGCGCTGCAGCCTCCACGGAAGGCCTGATGGCAGTGTTAAAGCTGGCTCTCGCATGGCCCGTCACCTCGTTGCCAGATGGCGGTGACGACGACGAAGAAGGTTGCCGCTGATCGATATTTTCCGACGGTAACGCTTTGCTCGCGTCACCCAATGCGCCGCCTAGCACTCTTTGCACGCCAAGCATCGCTTCCCGAAGACGTCGGACCTCCTCCTGGCTCTGACGCAGCTGATTCATGAGCTCTCTACTCCGATGAGTCTCACCGTCGGGACCATTCGTGTCGCTCTGCTCCATTGCTTTGACCAAAGACTCAAGATGCGCAATGTAATTCTTGGTCTTGATTCGGATGCTGCGTTGAGCTTCACGGTCGATTGCACGTTTCCTTTCCCTTTGCGATGCAGTCAACTTGAGTGGGCGCTTCCGCTTTGGCTGCGTTCCGTTGGCGATGTCGTCCTGTTTGGCTTGCGAGATGGTGTTGCTGCCTTCAGCCGCCGGCTCCTCGTCCGCTTCTCCCATGGCGTCCTCATTCTCGTCATCGTCGTCACCAATCTGCTGTGCTGCCGTAGCATCTGCCCAAACCGGGCCAGAATGATTCATGCGACCGTCACCGTCGACTTTGGAGTTCGACTTCATGTTCTGAAATCAAGAGAATCGCAACATGGTCAGGTCAGGAGTGACCACACGATATCAGAATCTCCTGGCCTGATCCCCGAATCTCCCCCGCTGTCACCGACAGGATTCCGATAAAGTTTTTGGCGGTAGTAACGACAGATCGGTCGCGGATGTCTTACGAAGCCTTGATCAACTTTTGTGAGACAAGGAAATCAGTGCTGCCACTTTCGAGTTCTCACACCTCAGAGAGCGCCAATACCGGTCGATCGGGGTATGCTATGTCCAGAGAGAGTTCAAGACCGGCTGCTGCCTTCAACCTTGAGCAAGTGAGCAGGGTTTAGCAATTGCTCCTGCAGGCGGAAAGCCAATTTTGAGTGCGACAATTGCAAGTGACGTGTAGGATGTGCAATGTTCACAGGTCGTGCAATATCTCCTGCGATAGCTGATGCTCAGGGAAGGATCTGCAAAGGTACAAAGCTATTGTCAGCGGGGTACCTGGCCGGCTAACGCACCGGCGGGCCTTGCAGGGTGGTAGGTATACGCGAGGTGAGGTCGACTGCAACAGAGCGAGCGAATGTGAAGACTGTAGCCAAATTGAGGTCGCGTGGCCAGCATCGGAGCTCAAGCGAGGACGCGACTCTTCTCGCTGGCCAGGATATGCTGGTATTGTGTGCAGCCAGCCAGTAGTTGTCAAGCAGGCCACAACGGTGAAGCTTCTCGGCTACGCAGCCTTGCCACTGTGCCGACTTTCGACCGCTGTAGAGAGATTGCGGGCGAAGTATGTCTTAATGGCTTTCTCGAAAACCGGCTTGAAGCAACCAATTTGGCAACGGCTGCTATCTTAACACAGCCACGCTACTGTGTTTTCGCCAAAGATTGCTTTATCGGGGGATGTGCTGGTCCCTTTTGATGGGACCTCTCGTGCGAAGCGTACAGGCGAGGTGCCGATGTCATCCTGGCGATACCCTCCCCAAAACTCCATTCCCAGTGATAAGTCCAGGCCCCGCCTTCTGACGACTGATTCGGGGGTTGGCCTCAAGCTGTCAAGGGCCCAAGGTCCAGGTAGGCACTGCCATTTCCCCCACATCTCGAAAACGGCGAGCTCGCAGGATGCCGAGGTAAGAATCGGTTGTGTCATGGAACTGACACGAGGCAGGAACATGTTTAAGAAGGCACGCTCTCACGTCTACATGAGCTCTCAAACAATAAACTATCTTCTGCTACCGGTCCCATCATGCTATCGTTGCTGGAGACGGCCAATTCCTTACAGTAGACTGGATGAGGAAGCAAAATTTTCACGCGGCAGCGAAGCCGCCCTAGTATCAGGTAGGTCCGGTCTTTTGGCAGCATCACGGTCAACAAACCGATATGAGTGCCAGTCCTGATCTTGACATCTGCAAGTACGACATCAGCGCCATGATGTATGCTTGAGGCGTGGCAGGGCTCTTAGACTGCCTCTGCGAGAACTTTCGACATCGTGAATCCTCCTGGTTCAAACATGATCTGTGCATGGCTTCTTGCACACTACTGCTCTGGCTGATCGACAATTGAGGCCTTTCTCTGCACATGACTTGATCGAGCGACTGAAAGCAACTCACCGAAGCCTCGATAATCGCATCCGTGTTCATACCGGAGGGATTTGCAGTGCCGCGCTCTGGACCCGTGGTCGCGGTCATAAATACAGATGGCCGTCTTATACTGGCTATAGACAGGTTGATGTCGCCAGCAGCAGACCCTTGGCTCAGACCGCTCGTTGCGCTGGTGCTCACGTCGCAGCGACAGATTCTGATCTCGTCCGTCACCTCGGGAAAACACCTAAGTTGCCTCATCTTTGCGATCCCCGGGTTGCAGCCATCCCTCCTGTTGCCGACCAAAAGGCCCTCCTCCTCTTGACATCATTTTCAAGGTATGTCGGACGGGCTCCCGATCACGTGTGTCACGGGTTCTCGACAAAAAGTATGCCGTTTCGATGTCCGATGAAGTCTCAAATGGCCTATGCCCCAGTACTTGCCCAGTCGCAGGCGGGCGAACTCCTTACCCTACTCTAGCAGCTAGCTGTCTTATCTCATTTGGTCATGCACCGGATCATCCTTACAGCGTGGCACAACGTTGTCAGTCAGTCTGGGGCACAAATCAGGGACGAAACATCAGACATGGACTCTGTGTTGAACTTCTCGTCAACACATTAACGTGGCCGCTCTCGACGGCGACAGATTCAGAGCCAGTGAAGCGCTTGAGACCTTGGCAACTCCATGGCATTCTCGGCATTGTCAAAGGACGCTTTTGTGCGGTCGGGAACGTCTGGAATGGCATATCAACGACCACAGTCCAAGCACGTAGGCATGGCTACTGACCCATTCATGAAGGGTGTCAACGCCCAGGAATGATTCTGCTCCATGTGGCTCACTCCATCCGCTGAGATGCCTAATTAGTGTCAAGACGCTGCGAATTCCAGAGCGGAAATTAGTACTGTGATTGAGCGTCCGTCGGCTAGACGGCGGAGTCGTCTGGCAGTTTTTGCCCTGGAGCGCGTCTCTAATGCGTGGCCTGAAATACACTGACCTTGTTCTTGACCGAGTTGTCCCGCACCATGTCTATTTGCGTACCTGCTGTATTCTACGAACACTGGACCGGGTAGGTCGGAGTGCAGTGGTGCCTCCCAGCCGTCAACATTTTGCGAACTTGAATAAGGCAACGTCACCAGAGGTTAATCGGACTGCTTGAATGAGTGCCGTGGTTGTCCGATTGGTTTGGTGTCAGATCGTTGTCAGATCTGGCAGAACTCTGGGCGCTCAGGTTCTTACTGCATGATCCAGTCCGTGTGCTCGTATTCCTTTGTTTCGGACGGGAGTTGATCTGCTGGCACAGCTGGGTACGATCTGGTTTTGAAGTCCCTTCAAGAAGAGACTGTTATCTCGCTGACTAACGATGGGCACAATTGGCGCGAGATAGCTGTGTGTACGGAGTAAGATGGACAGGTGAAGGCCATTCAAAGGTCTGGGCGTTAGATGCCCACCGAGTGGCCGACACCTCCGACATTTTTAGGCGGTAAGGAGCCCACCGAGCCGCTTCGGTGCAGATTGCAGCGTCACAGTGAACGCTGACTGGCTGCATCAGTGCTCGAGAGCCCTGATTAGGCGTCGGCGTGCGCACGAGGTGCATGGATAGCTTCAAAGATGGACTTTCGTTACCGGCCACGTTATTCACGGCAGGATGCCAGGATGGCGGTCCTCGCTAAGGATGAGCGCATCCAGGTGCGCTTTCCTTGCTTGTTGCTGTGCTCGATCCTTGCCTTCTCTTGCAATCATGCTCTCACTATCGCAAACGCCTCTGTCAAACAATACTGCTATGCTTGCATCTATTGCTACACCTGTCTAGCGGGAACACGAAACTAGACGAAACGCGGTCCCGCGTCCTCGATCGATAGACCAGGAAGCGCCGATAAGCCTACCAGAACGGACGCAACCTGTCATTTCTGCAACTGTCTCTCGCTCAGTCTCTGCTGCGCAAGCATGTACCTGCGGTGACCTCTCGCGGGGGTCACTCCTCGTTGCCCAGCCGTACGAAGCACTCGGGCAACTAAATCACCAGAATTGATCATGATCAAGACGTCGGCCCGTGGAGCGCGATGCGTTGCGCTTCTGCTGTCCATCCTCTCGATCCTCAATGTATGCCTGGCGCAGGCTGATCCGACCGTACACGATGGCCACCTGTGGGTGCCATACACGAGCGATCAAGGCACTGTCTGGCTCCAAGATGATCGCCAGCCGTCACTGTATACGCAAGAATTCGGCGACTGCCAGGGCGACTCGTTGTTGAACGTCAGTCGCTTCGATGCCGCATACTACAAAGACAACATGACGGTGCTCTTCCATCTCGAAGGAAGTTCTGCGTTGGCCAATGAGAGCGTCATTCGTGAGTGGTACAACATGAGCGGTACTCTGATGCACTGACCAGCTGTAGTCTATATCGGCGTGTTTGCTTACGGCGAATCGAGATTCAACCTCACCTTTGACCCGTGCTTTGCCAACATCAAGAGTCTCTGTCCCATGAACGCATCAGTCCCGATACAGGCCAATGGCATCATCCCTGTTGCACCAGCCGACGTTGCCAACATACCACCGATAGCTCTGACGATACCTGACTTTGAAGGCCAAGCTATTCTGCGTGTCTTCGCCAACTCGACTCAGTCGCAGATCGGCTGCTTCTCTGCCGTCATCACCAATGGAGGTTCTTTTTCGCACCCAGCTGAGGTTGGATCCACTCTAGGTGCTTTCGCCTTCATTGCATTTGCTTCCTCTGTGGCTGTAGCAATCTACGGCGAGAATTATTCGGAAACGAGGAAGCACTATGCGCATTCCTTGTCTGTGCTGGTGGTGTTTGCCGTTTTCCACCACATCTATTTCACGGGCGCACTCTCCATGAACTGGCCGAGCGTTTTGGTTGCTTGGTGGAGCAACTTTGCATGGGCAGCTGGCCAAATCTACAGTCGGCCGATGCAGAATAGCATAAATAGATTCATTGGCAGCAATGCTGGCAACATCAGTATGGTCGGCTCCGCTCCGAATGGACAGAATCAACCTGGCCTAGGAGGTGGCTTCTCGATCACTTCGATATACCGACGCGCCCTCGATTCATTACAGCACTCAAATCCTCCGGTGAAGCGAGCGTCGGAGAATGGAGTCGTTCAGTTTGGCTGGTATGGTCAACCAGTCCTGCCTGGTCTGCCGCTTCCTGGCAATTACAGCGGCTTCGCAGGGACTCTCGCACCTCAGGGTATTCCCGCTTCCAATGCCTTCATGACCGGGTTTTTGTGGTTCTTGATGCTACTGGCTCTCCTAACAGGTGCAATGACCATCTTGAAATGGAGTATTGAGGCTGCAATCAAGATGAAGATCATGCGCACTGACAGAACGGACGACTTTCGGCATTTTTGGGGCCGCTACATTGGTATCACGCTGCTACGCGCATGCTTTATCGCCTTCTTCATGATGATCTTTTTGACCGTATTCCAGTTCACACTTGGAGGTTCGGCTGGAGTGCTTGCGGTAGCCGCAATCGTTTTTGCGATATTCCTGGTCGGCATGCTCGGGACAGCAGCATACGCACTGTACTATAAGCTTAGACACGATAAGTTCGTATCACAGACCGGCACCATCAATCTCGAGCGAGCAGCCATCGAATCGGCCGCTTCTGATGAAGAGAAAGCCACCAAGTCGAAGCTATCGATGCCCATACGCCGATTCTATTTCACAGACGCCGATTCTGATCGCCCACACGTCCACGACGATCTTGACTACCTTACCAAATTCGGCTGGCTTTCGGCTCGCTACAGGAGATCCAAATGGTGGTTCTTCTCGTTCTGGCTTTTCTACGAGCTCGTCAGAGCCTGTATACTTGGCGGCGCGGCTGGTCATCCCCAGATTCAGGTCTTTGCGCTTCTCGTGTGGGAAATCTTGGCCTTCATTGCTGTTATCTGGCTCAGACCGTTCGAAAGCAACAGGCTGAACTTGCTAATGGTCTATCTGTTGGGCTTCAGCAAGGTTGCGACAATTGCACTCTCATCGGCCTTCGATCCACGTTTTGGACTGAGCCGTATCCTCACGACCGTACTGGGAATAGTCATTATCGTCATCCAAGGCATTCTCACTATAACCTTAATGGTGTTCATCCTGGTCGGTGCTGTGACGAGCTACATGTCTATCTTCCGCCATCGTGAGGAGATACGACCAAGATCGTGGAACAAGAACAAGGATCGATACTTCAAGCATCTCAACCACAAAGATACTGATCGACCGCGGCCACCACCGCCGCCTCCACCACCAGAGCCGGTGGTTCCCAAAGAGCCGTACTTCTCCGTGAAAGAAGTGAGGAGGGAAATGAAGATCGAGGATGAGGATACGGATGAGACCGAAGTAGGTCAGCCACAGGAGATCATCGAGGATATTCCACTGCCCAAGTCACCATCACGAACAATGTCAATGAGATCTAGCTACTCAAATCTGCCATATGGTGCGCGGCAACACCGGGTGAGCTGGACAGCAAAGGACTTCCAAGCTCTCGAACAAGTCAATGCTGCCCTGTCGAGCGAGCGAATGAGTCAGGATTATGCGAGGGAGGCCGCCGCGCGACATCGTGCCTCGAGTCTTCGCGGTCCTCACCCAATGGACCGCGGAATGAGCGGGTCGAGCTCAGGCAATGTAACAGGCCACAGACGCGCTCAATCGCTGACATCAGCTCTGATTCGACCTGCTCCGCCACAGCGCAGTGCCTCGATCGTTCCAGAAGAGACAGACATCATTGCGCCGGCAGGACGCGACGTACCGACCGGCACCACATCTACTCACACCTAATAGCACAGATCCTCCTACAACGAGGATCCCCCCTTTGACGACATCTGATTAGAGCATTTATCATGATACTCCTGTTGAGGCACTCCAGGTTACAGCATCAGCACAGGGCGCTTGGTTACCTGCATTTCCTACCACGACTACCGTTGGACAAGTACATAGGCATAAACTGTAGCACTTTTTCATCACCTACAAAGTCTTCTCAATCTCAGCCAGCTCCCTCATCTTCTCCAAAATCTTCGCCTTGATCGCACCCGAAGGCTCCTCGTATGGCCTCCGCGGCCTGAGCAACTTTTCTAGTTTATCTTTATCACCACCCTCCACCCCCGCCGCAACCGCACTAAACTGACTCACCGCCCACTTGGTCGTCGCGATCCCCGCCTTGGTCGGATTCTCCGCGTGCGCCGCCACCCGCTGCAGCCTCAACGCCTCCTCAAACTTGCCCGCCTTGTATAACTCATAGATCCGAACCAGCGTCTTGGGGAAGATATTCGCGAAAGCCGCAATACACCCCGCCGACCCGGAGGCGAGGCCTCCAATCAGGAAATCAGACTGGCCGCCGAACACAGCGAATCGTGAGGGTGGGAACGTGTGCGTTAGGCGCGTGATCTTGCCCACGCTGGCGCATGTGAGCTTCACGCCCACCACATTCGGGTTCCGCTGGGCGATCGCGGCGATCTGGTCGCTGTCGAGATCTAGGCCGTTGCAGACGGCGGGGAAGTTGTAGATCAGGATTGGGATCGGGGATTGCTTGGCCACGGCATCGTAGAAGTCGTCTACGACTTTTGGGGTGGTTTGTTTCCCGAAATACGCGCAGGGGAGGACGAGTGCGAAGTTCGCGCCCGCGCTGTGCGCGTCGGCGATGAACTCGTTCACTTGGGCGGTGGAGTGGCCGCCGACGCCGGCGATGATGGGTGTGGTTTCTGGGACGGCGGCGCGGGCGATTTGGAGGAGTTTGAGCCGCTCCTCGCGCGTGAGCATGAAGGTTTCGGCGTTGGTGCCGAGGATGACGAGGCCGGTGAGGCCGGTTTGGGTGGCGAGGTAGTTGTAGTATTGGGATTGTTGGGTGGGGAGGAGGGTGTCGGTTTCTGGGTCGAAGAAGGTTACGGCGGGGGGGTAGATGCCTGGTGGGGGG